GGATATTTTCCGGAAAAAAACAACACACTTTAAATATTCAGGATCCTACATGTACTTCCCAATCCTGGAACATAGCAGAATCAGGAAACGCAGGTTTCTTCCTCTCTTTCCTCTGGTCTTTGTCCTAGTACCCCTTGACATTCGGCCTAATTTGATTTGCACCCAGCCAGAAGTGCCCTAACCCTTGGCTGGCCTGCTCCAGATCCACGATTGAAAGCTCGTCAGGTCTGCGGTTCCTTTTTTTTCTGGCGGAATTACTTGGCTTCTCACATACATTACGTGATCAGTGTCTATCCCTGACCCGCCATTTCCTAGTCATGCTCACGTACGTGTTGATTTCTTTAGATTTATTTTCTGGGACGTACCGTTCAGACTCCTGTCTCCAAACGACCGAAATTTATTACGCTAGCAGTCTATTAGTGGAACTCCCCCAACTCCTAGAGTTAGCATTACTGATCTATGTACCAGGATAAATGGGCTATGAATCACGGGCAAATTGCGACGAGTTCATTTAGGAACCTGACACAATATGCATTTGTTTCCCTGGTTCCCCTGTTGGTGTTTACCGGTCAAACAACAGTAATGGATCCCGGGGACTACTCTGACGCGCGAGGACGAAAAAATAAAATAAAAGCTTGCGTGTCCTCCGGTAATAAAAGCCGGTAACCGTATACATCATACAAGAGACACCTAATGCATCACTCAGTAGAACCGGCCAATTTACTCGGGAGGGTTTCGGATGGGATTGGATGCGCAAAGATGTGCGATTTATGCGTGATCAACGTGATTTATGCTGCAATGTTGGGTGTAAGCTTACCTAGCGGCATTGAGCCACTGATGGGTCAGGTTTCCCATTTACAGCTACTGAGTCATTCTATATTTGCGTGTTTTTCTTGATTTTTGTCACAGAGAGTTATAATTTGTCATTTTTTTTCCCGATAAAAATTACGAAGAGAAAGAGAAACTACATTGTACATGTAACTTACTGGGAGACTTCAATACCTCTGGGGAAGAGGTGGCACTTGCAGTGCACAAATATTGTAATCCGGAGGTCCGAGGTTCAAATCCCATACTAATACTGAATTCATGTACTCCTAGTTTCTTGTAATTACATTTTATAAATGAATGTCAGTTATCTTTTATTTCAATTTCTACAAAACAATTAGGTGTCATAAATACAGAGGAAAAATCTTCCTTTTCTCTAAAGAAATTAGTACCATAAAAGTGTAATTGTTAAGATTTATGTATTACTGGGACTTTGTTAATGACAAAAAATGTGTAGCAAAGAAATGTCTCAAAGACAATAAACAAATAAAAGAATAAATTTATTCCAGATCTACTGTACCTGTACATATATACATTGTATGCATGTAAAACTATATTCACCATTTGCAATATAACAAACACATACATGTACTTAAGACATTCTTCCGAAAATGATATTTTTAAATAACGTGAGGTTGCATTTTGAATAATGATGTGATGTTTACAAAGTTATTATGTTGCAACGAAAACAATTCTAAATCTGTTTTACAATTTTTCCAAAAACTTTTCAACGAAACCCAAGTTATAAAAGAGGGACCTACCGGTACACTTTTGTACGTTCACCATTCACGTCTTTCATTTATTTGACATAAAACTTACACAGCACAAATAATCACCAATGTTTTTCAGCCCTATTTTATTTACAAAACCTTTGAAGTACCTCAATACTTCATTACAATGTACATTCAGGGCGTCATAGTTAAGCTTTTACTTTTTCAGTGACTGCCATTGTTGCTACATCATGTCAATCACACCGGTCTGCAGACATAATTAGCATGCGTCAGCCTTTGTGAATTGCAAAACGTTTAAACGTTTCTGAAAATATTTGCTAAACGTTTACAAAATTAAACGCAAAGTCGCATTCTTAATTTTGAAAATGACTACAATTTTATTTGACACATGGTAGGAAAGAAAACAAAATGATACAAATTATTCCATGCATACATGATTGCATGATAAAGCCCATCTGCTACAGAATCAATAATTTGAATTAGCGGCCGTGATTTTCCCGAAACCAAATAGAGAGGCGCACAAACAAACACACAGAAGCTTTTGTGAGCAGCTGAAATGGAGATCCCATAATAGACGAGGCATTACATTTCACTGTTTGTGTAAAATGTCATCCATTCCGTTGCCCCTGGGGGAGGCAAAACAAGACAGCGTACTTGATATGCACTTGTTTTCAGTGTAGCTGTAATCGTTGGAAGTCGTGTACGTGCATAGGAGATGCACATTTGCTCTCTGACCATGCATTGTACATGGTCACAAGTATTATAATTATAAGATCCCTAACTCCCTAGGCCTTTTTGCTAGGATGTAGCCTCAATCCTGCAAAATCCTCCAATTGGCCTCATGGAAAAATAGCACATAGCCTCAATCCTGCAAATTCCTCCATTATTTCTTGAATATGGTCCATGGAGGGGTGACCATGCACTGCCTGAATCCTGCAAAATCCTGCGGCAGTGACTGTCAAGATGTTGAGGTTTGGCCAGTGACATCCTGGAGCAGTACGGAGGATTTCAAGCATAATCCAGGCCTATATTTATGCATGGTTGAGCAAAAAACAACATACATTTTGTAAGGTCCGACCCAAGACCTTGACAAAGTGTATCCTACGAAATCAGTAACGCACTTTTGCTATGTAATCTCAATACTCCAAATTTCTCCACTTTTGCAAAGAGGATTTTGAAGGATTCAGGGCAGTTAGGGTTTTAAAGGTAATATGTACAACATTTGCAAACATCAAAAAGCAAAACTACCAAATTATTCTGAAACACCTTACTTCACTGTAAGTGAATAATAGTCTCAAGCATCCTGTGAAATCATACTCTGTAGTACCTGGTGGGCTGTCATTTTCAAGAAAAGTGGAATTTTTGTATAAATTTCCAATGATGGTCGGCCGATTGTTGGAAAAAAATACCGACTTTTTTCCCAAATACTGCCCCCAACTTTCCAAATTTAGCTAGTCAACACACGGTTACACATCTGTGAATGGGTGCAAGCCAGCTAGTCTGGTTTCCTGACCTGACAATTCCCCGACGTCTACAACTTGCTCAGTTTCGTCTGAAGTAGGGTCAGAGAACCAGGCTACAAGAACAGCATTGCCTTGTTTTTGTACAGCATCTATGAACACAAAACTTTAAACACGTCATCAGTGTAACAATATTTGCTATAAAATAATAACCCCAAAATCCATACATTTCTGAAAATAACAGCAAATGTGGTTTATTACCTTTAAATCAGAATTACCAGAACATTTACTGTGAGATTTCGTGATGTGTTTATAAGTTTAATACAAATAGGTAAGTGGAACTGGAAGTACATTGCTGAAAACATTTGTGTGAACTTAAGTATTTAGTCTTGTCCCAGCATGTAACTATTGGACTGGACAATAATAAAACATTCATTGTTTTGTGATGGGCACCATTCACGTGCAGGTTTAGGGGAAAAGGTGCATGTACCGGTATGGCCACAGCAATAAGATATTCACTAAAGTATTATCATTAGTCGCTTGTTTATAAATCCACCAACTAGAATTGCAGACCTGGGGCCAATTTCATAGAGCTGCTTAAGCACAAAATTTGCTTAAGCACAAAAACGTCTTGCTTAATAAAATCAGATTACCGGCCAAAACTCCATGCGATTGTTATGATTGTTAGTACATGTAAACAACAGCTAAATACCAGTCACAAGCAATGTACATCACATGGAGTTTTGGCCAGTAACCTAATTTTACTAAGCAATGTTTTTTCATGCTTAAGCAAATTTTCTGCTTAAGCAGCTCTATGAAATTGGGCCCTGCAGCTGTGTACATGTACTGTCTACATGTACATTGTATGTGCTTCTTTTGCTTGTATAACTGTGTAACACATTTAATTGACCATGTGTTATTTAGGCTATAAACAATAGGCAAGTTGATAGCAAGGCTGTTCAAGACAATGGGCCCTTGTACTAGAAATTAGCCGAAGGGATATATACAACTAACATTCATCAACAAATGGGCCACGATGAATTTGTAATTATGGCGAACGATGACTCATGTGCAATGAGTGATGGTTATTCAAGTGGCGGAAATTAATGGAGGCAGTTCTTGAGGTATGAGGCTTCATTGTCAAGTGTGCCATTTCACACCAAGCAAAGGATATTCAGTGACGGTATTGATAGGTGGCTTCATTATTGCAAAAACCATAGGAAATTTTCCTTTTGTGGTTAATGGAGGCGTTGGGAACAGACCCCTTGCATAGAGCGCCCTCGCTGGGGACAGTTCATTGTTCCTCTGTGATACGCATGTTTAGACTCTTTGTATATTCATTGTCACTAAATTTACATAACAGAATCTGTCCTCGGCGCGGTTGCTTTATTCAAGGCATCATACAAATGTCTTCTCTATTTTCTTAGCCTATCTCCAGTTATTAGCCTATTTGAAGTATGACAGACACGATGGGAGGGCACTATTTGGTTGGGAAAACTCTTGTATTTACTCAAATAACCCCTCCTATTGTGTCCGCCATACTTCAAATAAGCTAATTGTTACGCTACAAAAGACTACTAAAAATATACCAACCTGGGGCTTCCGAATTGTAGCAAAACCCGGTAGGAAATTTCTGTACTCAAAGATTAAAAGTTTGACACATAGCATCACGAGTAAAATGAAAATATAAAGTTAAACAAACAAAAATGTCTGCTGAAAGGTTGTATATTCCTTCCTACTAGTTGTCCAGAAGGTGAAATTATACACAAATTTTGAACTGTCATATGAACTCAGAATACAATTAAGGTAGAATTTTTTTCACAAAAATATGGAAAATGATCTGTAAATTTTTGATGTCCATGTATCCTCTGGAGCCTCTGTACAATGCCTGTTTTAAAGTACCGTAAATGTTACACATTGTTTGCCATTTTTGGCATTTTTTGAATTAAATTTCCAAATTCTCATTTCTGTTCTCTTTATTCAGGCTGATAGCCCTGTCCATCATCCTAGCCGTTTACCAGCCACACACCGAGGCTTGTTCCTCCAGCCTTCGTCATTACATTTTAGGCTACGTGGTCATCTTGACGGCATGTCTGGTCGTGGAGGGACTGATCGTCTTCGTCAGCATGCGGGGGACGATATTCTACGCTCGGCCACGATCCTCCATGCAGTACTTGCTGTACGGTCGAACAGGTAGGCTTGACTTCAGACCCGTCACACTATCCAAAATCTCTGTGTTGACCCGGGCCGAAATCCAAGATTTTGGGGAACCCTTTCAGACGAGCGAAAATCCAAAAGCTACAGCTGATCGATGTGCAAACTGGTGTAAGTGTGAACAGTATGCCTTGCCGACCCCTACCTGTTTGAATGGATCAGGTTCTGCTCACGGTGGACGCACGTTGATTTCAACATGAGTAGCGAGGCGATAGTGTGAAAAAGCCTTTGTACATGTAATAGTCCCAAGTCTGCCTCAGTATGGCCAGTCGGCCTCCTAAAAATTAGGACAGGTTTTGTTGTGGATCTGCCCTTGGTTCCCCCCATAAATTTCTGGAGCCCCTCCCCCGTCCTCTCACTGAACAAAAATCCTGCTTATGCCACTGCCTGTACCTCCCCAAACTGTCCTGCCTAGTATTACTTCCTGTAGCTCCCAAAACTACCTGAGTACTATATGCTAATGGTGAACATGTCAAACCGTTTTGTTCTTGATATTTAGAACCATACTTTACCCATCAAGCTGACATTAATTATATATACATAGACACAAACATATAAAAAGAAATATGACATAAAATCATAATTTGATAATTGCTCTACATTCTACATTTGTAGAATCACTAATGAATACGTACCCGGGTACTGGTATTAATTGTCCACATGCTACCAGTATAATTTGAAATGAACTAATTAATTTTAGTGCGTTACACCATGACTCTATAAATTTTCTGCAGGCCAAGATCAGCATGAACATGGTCATTGTAATCCCGCAACATGAAACTGGATATATGGAAATGCATGTATATTGCCTTTATTGTGCGTCATAAATGTCTGTTACACATCGCATCATAAATGTCAGTTCTCATAACAAGTGATCTGCCATCACATGATAAACTTCACTCTGGCTGATTAAGTTGCGAATTTCACGATGCTTGGAATCCATGGTAACTCGTAGACCTACATGTACATGAACAGCACAACACGGTGGTTGATTATCTGACCCATTTTCTTGTGTGGAATAATGGAAAGATTTATCTCCCGAATCTGCTGGACCTACATGTACATGTATGCAATTTTGCTTACAAAAACCCTCAGTGCAGGAGACTGCAAAATTGCGTGGTGTGAACCATTTTATTCCGGTGGACTGTTCAAACCAATTGGATGCTGTGCACGTAGCCCACGTACCAGTATTTTAGTCGACGTCATGGTGAAGGACGAAAGTCGTCACCCAAGTCCATCTCAAGTCAAGTCACAAGCTATTTAAATGAACTGTGACAAAGGCATTCCTTTCTTATTGTAACGATGCTGTTTTCTGGGTACAAACAGTTGAACTATTATAGTAAATTTACTTCACTTTTAAAAATGAGAGATTGTAAATGTGGTCTAAATGACCTACATGTACTTTTGTGTTTTTTGTAAAGTCACCCTCAGGTCGACCTGCATTGTGCTTGCGCCGTGACGGAACCATCGGAATTATCGTGGAATAAGCGGCATCTCGACACAGATAATCGCAATCATGCTCATGCTCATGTCACCCACAATGTGACAAGGATTCACAATAACATAAGATGGTCCGGATGCGCGCACGACGTCATAACTTCACACAGGTCAACTGTGAATGATTCACGCTGATCAGGAACACGTTTCATCGTGGCGCAGAAGTTGAAATTTTTCTACTCTTGCGACTGTTGAATTTTTTTTTTAGCGCCAACTAATGCCAATGATTACTGATGTGGTCGCAGTTACAGTCAGGTTGCAAAAAATTGGCGACTGAAATGTTCCCCTACGTTTGTAGCTCAGACGCAGCTTGATCTTGAAAAGTCAGTCACCAACTGATCTGCGTTGTCGCAAGGTCAACCTGAGGGCGGGTTTAGATTCATTGATGCAGCACTCTCATTCATTAAAAAAATGGCATTGTATTTTGTAGCCTCTGGGTTGGAATTAGAAACATTTTGAGTCTGTTGTCAGTGAACATCCTTGAGAAGCTACCGGTATACAGGATAAGCGCACTCCATGTACCCCTTACGCTTTGGAAAAATAACTGATCTACATGATTGCTCTCCTAATAGTCCTGCAGGCTGCTCTTAATACTACATGTACATTGTAATACAGACATAATACCTCTTAGTCTCTCATCACCGAACATGGCTGACGAGATAAACACAATTTGGTCAACCCTCCCACCCCCCCCCAAAAAAAACACACAAAAAAGGACATCAAAGATATTAGGCATGTACAGCTAGATCATAGCTTTAGGCCTGTCATCAGCTACCGTAACATGGATGACAGACTAATAGACACAATCGGATTATAAGCTTGCAATGGATGCACACTCCTGAGAGAGTGTGAGAGATGGTTCCGTGGTCTGAAGCCTAGGAATTGGGGCAGGGATGTGTGGCATATAACGACTGTCTGGGGACGTGAGATTTATTCTCAGCCTTCAGGCTTAGCTTACTAGAGCTGCATGTACAGGTTTTCATACGTGTATGAGGATATCTTGCTTTCAAGACGTCCTCAGTGGTGCGCTGTTTTAGCGCACGCGGGCTATTGGACTGTGCAGCGATTCACTGAAGAGGGCGCCCTTAACACACACGCCAACAGTCCGCAAAGAACTTCTTGGGAATTTCGCATCTCTGCTCAGGAATTGTGTGTGCATTTGCATGCTTGCGTGACGTAAGCATGTCTGGTTTCTGTACGCGCTGCAGCTTGCAAGCGGGCCTATATGCCTTAAAATAATAATAATAATAACAGGTTCTTATATAGCGCTTTTAACAAAGATCAAAGCGCTTTACATTATTATTACCCCTGAACATTCCATATACCATCTCAGCTCACTGGGGAGTATACAGCTCGATGCAGCCTGTTAGGCACAAGGAAGCTAATTCAATCACAATAACCATCTCTGCCCTCACAGGTACCCATTTACTCCTGGGTGGAAAGAAGCAATGAGTGACAAAGTGCCTTGCCCAAGGGCACACGCACCATGACCCCGGGCTGGACTCGAACCCACAACCTGCAGCTTTACCCGCAGACCACAAATCCAGTGCCCTTAACCACGAGGCCACAGCACTCCACCTGTTGGATAAAAAATATCAACAGCGTGGACGGAGCAGTCAATTTGGCAGCAAAGAAACTGGGCCTTGGAGAGCTAAAAATCAGAGCTCTTCATCAATTTGGAAGTGGCCATGATTCAACCGAACTGTACAGTCAACCAGTTGGCGCTTAGTGTCATCGATTGCGTGTCTGCGGTACGTCGCCTGACAAATGGTTTTTGGAACAGCTCTTTAGTCTCCACCAAGGCACATGTGCTGCTGTCGTGCCCCGTTGCAATGCGAAATTCCCAAGACGTTCTTTGCATGCGTTTCTTCGACTGAGTCAGGTTCATGAATGGGAACGTGGGATCAACATGAATGCTGCTGCTGCGGTGCCGTCTGTCGTGAACTACATGTACTCCTGCACCAAGACTAGTATGGGGACTTTTGCCTTTGTGCTGCTAGCGAAAATAAAATTATTGTATCATTTGACCAGCTGTTGTGTGTATGTACGATTGATTAGTTACGGTACATGCTAATTTCGTTTTCTAAAGCAATTGTACATGCACATACGTGTTTCCATTAATATTATTCCTATTGACACAAAAAAAATGACACTAATTCTATTCTATAAACTGTCCACTTTTTTTTGTTCAAAGTACATGTATACATTTGTAATGACTGATTTACATTATAAAGAACAGGCCAGAATTACCGTTTTAGTGACAGCTGGAAAATGTTTGTTTTGGGATAATCATTGACAGGCAGCCTGTATTTGTTTTATTAATAACCAGATTTCTGTTGAAGAAATACTCATTGCTATTTCTGAACCAAATTTCAACATTTTTGATGTTGTTTTAGGCACATTTATTTTAGAACCATTGATAAAATTAAATCAAATTCATGAACGTACAACAAGAAAATTGAACACAACCTTCCACCTTCAAAGCATGTGTTACAGACACCATACAGATCTAAAGTCTTTAACTTGTACCTGTCATTTCAACCAATTACTGGCCTGAAAGCTTAAAGGGAAAATACAACATTTGCAAACATCAAAAAATAAAACTACCAAATCATTTTGAAATACCTTGCTGGACTGTTAGTGAATGCGGTGTAAAGCATCCTGTAAAATCATGGCACCTGGTATACTGTCATTTTCAAGAAAAGTGGTATTTTTGTATCAATTTCCAACGCTGATCGGCCGATCAGCGTTGGAAAAAACTGGCTTTTTTTCAAATACTGGCCCCAGCTGACCATCGCACTTGTTTGCAATCGATTACACACCTATGAACGGGTACAAGCCAGCTAGACTGGTTCCCTGACCTTACAATTCCCCAAAATATGTAAACTGCTCTGTTTCTTCTTAAATGGAGTCAGGGAACCAGACTACAGGAAAATAATTGTTTTTCTTGGTTTTTATAGCATTTTCGAACCCAAAACCTCAAAAAGTCAGTGTAACTATATTTGCTATATATTTCCAACCCCCCAATTCCATCCATTTCTGAAAATTACAGCAAAAGCAAATGATGTATATTCCCTTTAAAGATTTTGTGTTTTTCTGTCATTTCATTCACAGTGCTACTCCTTCTCTGCTTCATCTGGATAATTCTCGGCATTGTGTGGTTAGCTCGATGGTATTCTCAGTGTCAAGTCTTGGCCATCAAAAACTCAGTACTAGGTAAGATTTCTTCAGAGAGATTGGCACGTGACAAAGTCTTGGGAAGTAGTGATGGGATTTAATTTATCCGGATTTTTACAAATTCTGTTTTATTTCCACTATTCGGTTTCAATTTTGGAAACCGGATATTCGAAACCAACCTTAAAAAAAATTAAGCCACCATTTTTTGTGACACAGGCTAAAGAGAACAACAGGAACATCCACCAATTTGCTCCATGGTCTCTGATTGTAACTGCATTCACTCGCTTGTGGTCTTCTTGATAAATGAATAACCTGCCCATTCGACTTATCAGAGAGTTCCCATTTATTTTTTCAACATTGTACCTCTGGAGTGGTCATTGAATCCTGCATTATATACCCAGTCATTGGGAGGGCATTTCATGCGGCACCTTACTCATCACTTTTAGTTGGCATGACTGTGAGCTGGATGGGAACTTCCGGTGAAATTTTGGTCCAAAAATAAAATTAGGAAAAACCAAATTTTGAAATCTCTGAGTTCTCCCACCACTATCTGGAAGCAACATATTAATGCAATTCAGATATCACCTGATTACAAAATCAGTACTTCTTTTTTTCCCCCTCTCAGGTATAGTAGTCTACAATCTCCTCTTATTTATCCTGATCCTTGCAAGAACATGGTGCCTTTACGACTCGGCGGGTCGAAGCTTCGTCCAACTCAAACGGACCGAGAAACAGTGTGCAATGCGCCGCTCAGCCAGTAGAGTGGAAAGAAACAGAGAACGACAAATGTAAATTTGCATCCAAATCTCTCAAAACCCAAACAATCTGGTTTTACAGCCAACCGCATTTACCTTACATGTACATAGAGCTTGATACAAAGTACATGCAATGTATTGGATTGTTGTAGTACATCAGGCCGGTGTTTATCTCCGGTTTCCTTGGCATGAAACGACTGAGAATATTTCTACTCCCCCTGAATGGGATGCCAGTCCATCGCAGGTTACTCTCCAGCTAATGCCGGTACCCATTTATACTCCAAGGTGGAGAGGGGCAAGTGGGGGTGAAGTGCCTTGCCCAAGGACACAATATATGGCCAGCGGCTGGATTCGAACCCTGGACCCTCTGATCATGAGTCACGAAACCTAACCACTAGGCCACACACTCCCCCCATTGGATTGTTGTACAGTGTTTTATTTTTGCAGACTTGGGAAGCTTGCCATTAAAAATACCAGGGCTCAGTTTCGTGGCTCTGCTTTCCCCGGAATTCTGCGCTTACTATCTCGGATTCGTGCTTACACAGCGCCAGCAAAGAAATCAGTGCTAACCCTGTAAGCACAGAATGTACATGTACGCATGAGCATAAGCCAAAATTCCTCCATAAAATTGCGAACAGCATGGAATTTTCTGCTACAGTAAGCAGGGATTATTTATATATTGGTTGAATAATTTCTCTCCATCACAGAATGGAAAAGTTGCTTCAGGTTCGTTATGAGATACAGTGTTTTATTGAAAGGGAAGATTTCAAAAATGTGTTGAATATTTATGATTACCTTCTAGCAAACTTCTTTCCATTGAAGGAAGCTTTTGTCACAAACCCTTTCTGCTTCACATTGCATTCCACATTTTATTGTTACATAAGTTCCAACAATGATATTTTTTGCAAGATATCACATTCTTTTTTCCCCATTTTTTTCCCTCCAGAAAAACAAGAGCCTTGTATGAACGGAAATGGGAGAAACGTTTCCGCCGTTATTGTTGCTGTATACAAGCAGAGGAACCTCAGGAGGTAGAGTCCATACATGAATATTATTTGCGAATTTGGGAAGGAAAATGTGTTAGTACTTTCAAATATAAACCAAGTGGTTCTTCATTGAACAGGATCTGTTATGTGTCCCTTGTGGGTGTTTTCAGATCTCTACTGCACTGTTCACTGTTGGGGGTAAGCAATTTTTGTGCCAAACTTTGCTCCTTATTTGTCACTCATTGCTTCTCTCCACCCAGGAGTAAATGGTTACCTGAGGGGGTAGAGATGGTTATAGTGATTGATTTTAGCTGCTTTGCGCCGAAATGGCAGCGTCAGAGCTGTAAACTCCCCAGGGAGCTGAGATAGTCTTTCATTATTTCATTGGCCCAATGAGCAGGGGTAATAATGATGTAGCGCCTTCAGCACAAATATTGGTGGATACGTGTGCTGTATAAAAAACACATTATTATTATTATAAGTATTATTATTATTATTATTAATTTTGTAGCCCTTTACATTTAGTGGTGAAAAACAAAAACAAAATCAAAGAAGAAGTCAGAAGAGAACTTTCTTGAACTTTTGTCTTTTTATCTGTAATTTTAAATGCATGTAGCTTTCTTTCCTCAAGACAATCACAAATATTTTACAGAAATTTTTGCAAAAAAATTACCAACACCAAACATGTATTTTCCCAGAGTGCCTTTGCAGAGATAGCACTCCTCTTCTCAGATTTCTTCCGCGACTTGGACATCGTTCCGTCGGACATCGTGGCGGGCCTGATGCTCCTCAGAGAGGAACAGAAGCAGAGTCGTCGATCCATGGAGCAGAACCCTAACAACAACGTCCTCAAGTTTCTGTCTGGAGTGCCCATCACGGCAGACACTAAGTTTGCGGACTTCAGCAACCATGTAAGCTGAAAGACGACACCATTGTAGATATTATTACACCTCGTGCATATTTATGGGGCAAACATGCTTCTTTACTTACTTGATGTCGAGCAATGCAAATTGGATGTAAAAGAAGCTTCGCAGGTATATCATTGTCTGTAGCACCAGGGTAGAATCCCATAGCTCCGAGTAGTCCTAGACTCTTAAAGGTAATAAACAACATTTTTTTTGCTATAATTTTCAGAAATGAATGGATTTGGGGAATAATATTTTATAGCAAATATTGTTACACTGACCTGTGTAAAGTTTTGTGTTCATACGTGTAGATGCTGTGAAAAAAAAAAACAAGAAAAAAATGCTGTTCTTGAACTCTGGTTCCCTGACCCCGACTTCAGACGAAATGGAGCAATTTATATATTTATCAGGTCAGGGAACCAGACTAGCTGGCTTGCACCCGTTCACAGGTGGTGTAACCAATTGCAAGCAAAATGTGGACTAACTTAATTGGGTAAATTGGCTGCAGTATTTGAAAAAGTCGGTTTACTTTCCAACGATGGTCGGCTAACCATCGTTAGAAATTGATACGAAAAAATCTTTTACTTAAAAATGACAGCACACCAGGTGCCATGATTTCACAGGATGCTTGTGACTATTATTCTCTTACAGTTCTGTATGGTATTTTATAATAATTTGGTAGTTTTGTTTTTTAATGTTTGCAAATGTTGTATATTACCTTTAACTACCGTTTATGCAACAACTTTGAATGCTTAATCGCGTTGCTGGAGATACCTTAGTAAAACCTTCATGACAGCTGATCTATAATTACACACTAAGGTGTTGGATTAATTTGACAACCTCCCACCTTTTGTCAAACCAGCCGACACCTTGGTACTAGTAGTTCCGCACTTCTCAAACCATGTATAAATTTGTAAATTCTGGAACATCTAACATTTGTAAAAGTTATCAGCATTTTCTGAAGTTTGGGAATGCAATTATTTTTTTTTTCTTACTCATTTCTTGTAGTTTTTTTTTTCTGTATAATATATGGTTACAGATTTCATTTGTAGCAAATTGTAGCCATGAAACTTGCTACAAGGTCGGTAGACATTCGAAGATGTTCCTGAACTGTCTATATACGATTAAAACCAAGCATTGAAACAATTGCAGAATAACTGTTTATGGACCCAATTGGCATCAGGCTAAATAATGGGCCAAAGTTTGTTGAGTTCCGTCAAAAGGTTTGACTGGTATGACTCAGGCGAATTACTGTTCATCAGTGTATTCATCAGATTTAAAAAAAAAAAAAAAAAAAAAAAATCCTGTCACCAAAATATTTTTTGGCATGTTTCATTTTCTTCATCTGCAGGATGAATGTCAGGAATTTGAGGATTTGATTTATTACTACAAGTATGCAGCCGCAGCGTACGGCTGGCCGGTCTACGCCATGTTCCATCCAGCCAGAGGATGCTGTCATCTCATTGGACGATGCTCGTGAGTCAGCTGGCTATTCTAATTCTCAGATATATGCCCTCATTGCATGGGTTAGCCAAATTTGTTTCCTAATCCTGCAACTTCACCCAATCTGTCCATCAAATTGTGCACATTTGACCAATTAGATCCTGACTTTTGATCAGGTGACCAAAGATTGGCAGGGCTTTAGGCCAAATCTGGAGCAGTCCGTTATGTGAATTAAGGTGTATTCTGTGTTAATATTTAAAACCTTTACCATCATTTTGAAATGTTGACCAGATAAAATTTGGGTAAGTGACAAAGTAATAAGTGGCAACTTTATTTCAGAGACATTCTACATGTAAGTGTAGGCAAGCAAACTGGGTCATGTGATCGCATTTCCTCATAGAAGTAGAGAGTGTTTCGTGCCAATTGACTTTAATCTGCTGTGGGCTGTGATTGGCTTAAGTAAGGAGTACCTATAGTTCGCAACGGACTTTTCCAGATTTGGCCATAAGCCCCGCCCACCTTTGGTTTGTGTACATTTCTCACTGTGTTTGTGATCGCTTTTGACTGAGCAAGCATGATCACCTGACTCAAAGTCTCAATTGTATTGGTCAGTGCGCACTGTTTGATGGACAGGCAGGAAGGGTCTGTTGAAGGCATTCGTCATTCGACTTAGCATTTTTTTTAGTTTTTATGTCAAGAGTAATCAACCCTTCGTATTATTATTGTTTTTTATTACTATTATCAAGGTGTTGCCGATCTAAAGACAGATTTGAGTATCTGGACCTATCGGACGACAACTGCTGCGGATGCAACTTCAGGGCCCTCAAGAAACTCAGCGGGCTAGAGGACGCCGACGTGGTCTACGCAACATTCCACTCAGCGGTTAGTACGCGCCTCCGCGACAATCCCCACAACATCAGTACGGAGTTTGGCCTAGATACGGAAGGGTTGACCCTTGTGGGGGCCACTGCCACTGAGGAAAACAAGAGGGGGTCCAAAGGAGGGACCATGACTAACGAATCGGGGATATGCCTGGAAACCAGCCTGACATTCCAAGAGGAGATGGACGAGCGATGCCTCCGAGAAGGCGGAGCCAGAGGAGAAAGAGGAGGAGGAGGTGGTGGTGGGAGAGCCAGCAAGCGAGGGCGCTGTTGCAGGGACTGCACACGCTCGTCATTCCCATCATGCATGGCGTGTCTGTGCCTGCCCCGATCCCCAAATTGTTCCCCTCCCCAGCATTCATCTGCCACCAACAGTGCTGAGAATGTGGAATCGCCTGCCACGGTATGGGTCCCCTTTTCACCTGGAAAAGCAGAACAAATATGGCACAAATTGCTTAGTAATCACTCATTTGCAGGGTTTTTTTTAGGAAGAGTTCAGATTTTATTAATAAATTTTATTTTATCAGAATCGTAAGACTTCATCAAGAATGCGAAGTAAGTTGTGTTTATCGTTAGATCTATACATGTGCAGTGCCATAATGTGCAGTTGATGTACATGTACCTTGCAAGGTTTATTATTTTTTTTAGTGAATTTATTTGTTTGTGCCTATATTGAGTTTAAAAATGTGGCCAGTTCTGCTTTGCTGTCAGATATTTGATTTATGCATGTGACTGGCATATTTTGTTTTAGCAATCTATGCAAAAAGGACACATTCATCATTCCGTCCCCAAAAATCTCATAGAATTTCCCTTTATCAACAGGATAGTCATGCTAAGAAGTATCTTCTGTGCACGCATCATAGAGCTACATTAAATTACTACAGCGCTAACTCTTCATTCTTGCGCGTGGAGACATTTTGAATTTATGCAAGTGTTTGTAGAACACAATCAAAATATATGGATTGAATTTTAAAAGTGTACTCTAAATGCAACGCGCAAGTACTTAACGCAAACAGCTTAAGCGCGACATGACGGTTAAAAAAAAACGTCACAGCGAAAAGCTTCTGCAGCGACGTTGCGCTGTTTGCGTAGAGCAAAATGAAACGCTCATTTGCTGATCATGCGTTTCAGTTTTGGGCGTATCGGCTTTGATGACGCACCGGTATGGAATACAAACACAGATATGCAAATAGCCAGACAAAAGCCGTACAAAATTTCGAATTTTCCATAGGTTTGTGCACAAACATGGATGCGCCCATCAGGCATTACTTTGTACATCGAGTTAGTGCTCTAGTAATTTAATATAGCTCTATGGCACGCACAGATCAACATGATCTGAAGAATACCCTCTTCAAGAGAAATTTACTTGCAGAAATTTTTGAACAATGTGACAAGTATCTGATTTACAACGCCGATGCAATTGAAGATGTTATCAGGCATCTAAAAATCCATAGTCGGTCTGACCGCTGATTTGATCTCGGTCACTGCAGCGCAAGCCCCACTCAGGGCACTCCCCAAGGCAATAGCGGGCAGCAGATTCAGTTACCGACAGTCCAGAACAGCAAAAACAGGGCTGGGATGAGTGACTTATTATCGACCCACTTTACACAAGGGCCAGACGTTTGTCCAAGTCATTGATTATTTTTGTCAGGGGACGTCAGGTCCGGTGGATTGTAATTCAGTTGATCTGCAGCTAATCTGGGTCTATAACATTTCCAGAATCTCTTTATTTTAATTAGTGAATATTTTTTTGCTATACTACCAGCCACATTATCTCTAAACAGTTATGAAATAAACAACTTGAAAATTAGGGGTTTTTTTACTGTGCGGTTCAAAATGTGCTCATTAAAATATTTTATAAATCATTGGATTAAAAAAAACTGCACAGTGCAAAAAAATCTGTAATTACAAGAAAGTCTTGAACTTTTTTTGGGGGGGGGGGGAAGGGGGGGCAGTAAACATATATCGTGCAAGTAAAAACAGACTTAAGCAAAACATCAGTGTTTACCGGGTATCTCTATCTGTCATGGTTTGTTGGATTCTGTGGTGGCACTTTTCTTCGGTGTATAGTGCTGATGTTGATTACGCCAGCTGCCTGTGGCCACTGCAGGCATTCCATTTTGAGTGTAGTGGTAACTAAAAGGATTAACTGAAAATCATTCAAGTCCCCGCTGCAAACCTTGATTCACCAAAATGAGTGAAATATAAACTCCATCAAAAACACCATTGTTGCAAATGTAAGATACATTTACAGGTACATAGCTTACATAACCCCTTGTACGGTAGTTGATATAGGCTACACGGAATTCATGGAAAGGGCAACGTTCACCCTTTGTATCCCTCCACATCCAATATAGGGATTTAATGTGACTCTTTTCATCACCCCTCTCAAGCTTTATAGGCCAGGGGCCACCCTGGCCACGTCTGTATGGTTTCGGTCACTTCTATTGGCACTGTGTACATGAAATTGCAAGCTGCGGTGTTAAAATTATCATTGAACAATTGGCAGCGTATTGTGGACCGAGTGTTACAGCTATGAAAAATATACAGTGACAAATAAGTGAAGCACTGTATCAAAAGGACATGGTCGCTTTAGAAGTCGAATTTAACAAAATACAAATGTAGGTATTGCATATGTGAATAATGCAATATTGTAAACATTGAGTATACTACCAGGGTATAAGATAAGAGCTTTGTAACAGGATCCCCTGCTTAGTGTTGATGCTCTTTCTGTTATGTGCTTTCCTTTTTTTTTTTTACATTCCTTACTGGTATTTCTTTGAAACCTTGGTTCTTTCATTTTTGCATGCTCTTTCCCCCTTTCTGGTACGTTCTTGCCGCTAGTGCATGTGATAACAGTAGCTTGCATTTACTTTAGTCGCATGGCATGAGAGTTTGAAGATTTTGCTTTGCTTTTTATTGCACATGGTGTTTGCATGGCTGTTGGGCATGGAATGTGCGTCCTGTTCTCAGACCTTCATCGAATGTCATCGTACTCTGTGTGTATAGTGTAGACTCTAGTTAAATAGTTAGTTTTAGTATTGTTTTGAGAGAAATGGTGGGCAAATGCCTTGTTGTGATAGTTCAGTACCCTTTCTGTTTGAAAGGTTAAGCAACATCACTTACTACACCTCATAAATATTCATGATCAAATTGGAGCGCGTCATTGGCCGATTCCGCCACGCGTCCGGGAAGTAAAAATGATACGCGCCCAGGTGACGTCATCCCGGTGAGTATCCAGCTCGCTGCCGTGCGGTAGTTTTTCTGGTAGCACCAAAAATTCCCTCTGGAACCCACCTCGTAGACATGTAGTCTATGGCATGTAATCTTTACGGAACCAGTCTGTTGTTGTAATCCTTGTTACTACTGCAGTAAAAAAAACAGTTTAAAGAGTGTTGGCATGAGACTATTTCATGGCCTGTGACCAAGACTTTTAATTGTGCTGAATAAATATGCAAACTCTAGGAAGGCAGTTATCGACAAGGCAGTAAGGCTACTAACAAGACAGTGAGGCTACTAAGTATTTATGCGGTGTAGTAAAACAAATACAGCCTGGTTTATTTCTGGAAAATAGTTGGAATTACTGGTCCCTCTTTTTGACTCGCCCTGTAGTGAACATTTTCTGATAGATTTTATCATCACGTCATCATCCATTTTTATGAACTTCGGGGAATTGTAGCGAAACACAAAGTAGTTGTAGTTGTAGTTGACAGTGTACATGGTGTATATTAAAGAGTAAACGTACATGTACACTCTGTAGGTAGTGGACTGTCTAGATATATGTATAGATGCATTAGTTATACCATTTTCATACTGCATGCTGAATTGTTTGTCCGTTATATGATTGTTGTTTTTTGGTCTTTGTTGATGTTAAACCAATTGTTGTCCATGTCAACAATGTCTAGGATTCAAAGCTTTAAACACTTGTTGAATTAACGAGTTAGTTTTGAGTGATTACTAACGTTTGTTGCTCCATCACTTGCCAACAGTGGTCCGCGGCTCGTTTTTTCCTCTCCCACTGCCACTTCATTGCTTGGACTCTCTAACCAAATTTTGCCACCACCATCCACCACCCTCCTCCTCTCCTCTCCTCTCTGCTGACCATCCCCTCTTGAGAATCGAACATTCCAACCAGCGCCAAGGGTGCAAACATTATGAGTGGGCGGTTCCACTCTGCAGTAGGTGTGTGGGTTAAGCACGTTGGGTAAGGCAAAATCATTTTCGAATGCTTGATTTTTTTTTGGTTATGTGATGAAAGCGGTTTACAGCAGTGCTTTATTTCAATATTTATGCAAATAACTGCGAATTAATGCCAATTAAAAAGCTTTGGGCATGGGCAAAAATGCTTTCCGTTTTCTTACCCTTGTCAAGAATTAATTGAAATTTGAATTGAAAGTAAAGAGGTTTAACTCATTTGCCTTGTTGACAAATGCATTCTTTAGATTTGCTCATTTTACATGTACTTTACACGTAATATGCTTTCTTTTATATACTTGACTTTTGCATTATAACCATTTGCTTGACTAACTTTGGCAGTCTTTCTGCTTTTTATCTCTGCTGGTTTTCGATCTGCTGGAATACACTGATTGGTTGGATAACTTTTAGGTAAGATCTCGCTCTGTCTTTGCTGACTGTTTGCTGTTTTTTATTTGTTGTTTTTTTGTTTTATTTTGTTTTGTTTAGTTTTCAGGGTTTGATAATGAGCAGGCAAGGAACTTTTCCTCGGATCCACTTATTTCCTTGTTTTGTTACTTGTCATGAATGCCATTACAAATTGAAAAACACTATACCAAGTCTTGTGTGGTTTGGAATTTCCTCATTTGTTCTAAGTTCCCAGTTGCATGCCTGAGTTAGGAAAACCAGAAATGATATACTGTGCTTCATTTAACATTGCACAATCCACAATGTAAAACTCTGCGATTATTTTGTTTGGTGCATTCTAACCAACATCATGCCAACAAACGAGTCTCAATTGGTTTACGTGTCAGAACGTTAAGGCCAAATAATCAAATTAACCAGTTTCTCGTCTTCCACTTCCTTTTTCCTGGCCGCCTTTTTCTTCCCCCCCCCTTTTTTTTTTTAATCATACATTTGCAATCACTTGTGTTTTTTATGTGCTTTCAGCAAAATTGTAGCTATACATGAACTCGAGAATCCAGTAGAAAGGGTGATGGCTCCTTTAGACACAAAAAGTATCAGCAAAAAAGTCGAGAAAATGGAAGAATCCATCTTGGAAAATCCGCCTTCTTGCAAAAAAGGAAAGAAAAAAGGGCCGCCTCCTCCCTTTTACGAAAATCCCAGACGAGAAGCTATTTTTCTTTTTTTTTACTTGGCCCAATCATCTTAACACATCTTTGTTTCAAATTCTTATGGTGTGGGTCCAATATGTTTGGCGTTACAGTGGCGTAGCAGGGGATGGAGGGGGCGCGGGCAGTTTGCACAAACCCTTTGTAACTATGCATGAGTTTTGGGCACCATTAGCAATGTGTTTGAGTCCCTCTCAGTGTCCCAACCTTCTCAAAAGCGAAATTTACTTAGGAGCCCTCTGTTACAGAAAGAATCCGTTGTGAGAAACAGTCTTTGTCTTTTTGTCCAGGTATGGGAGACGCCGTTCTTCGTCGCCTTAGACCACTCCAGACGTAAGGTGATCGTGTCGGTGCGAGGCACGCTATCTATGCAGGATTGGCTGACAGACCTGTCAGCTGATATATCTGAGATTCCATTGGAGAACTGCCCCAGCGATTGGTTTGGCCACAAGGTGGGTGTGTTGCTATGTGTGTGGGGGGGGGGGGGGGAGGGATTGGGAGGAAGAGTTAGGAAGCTTACATTTATATATCTAGGATTCCATGGTCGATTGTAGTCTATGCAGTAGACGCTCTCTATCATATAGGTGCAAATACGGCAATTAATTGTGCAAGACAACTGTTGTGCCTTTGGTATGCTGATGACATAGTGATGCACCATCGTAGACATTACAGGCCCAAGCAGTCAATAAATCTGAACAAATTTGTCACGCATGTCCTTTACAGCGGGCAAATTGCAGTCTTCTGTGTCCTCTTTTCAGCGCTGAAAGCAACTGACAAAAAACTACCTTTCTGGATCAGAATCTTTCTCAAACAATCCTCTGTGCAGGCTGCCATGTTGATGAATACAATCATCACAGGGCTCACTGTTTCCATTAAACACAGTATATTCAGACTTGGTTGAATGTAGTTCAGGATGTATCTGAATGTATTAGGGCAATTCCGTGGTAACTCACGTTACATTTACATGAAATGGAGGGTCCTCCATCAACTGAGCTGAATTATTCCATAAAGTCCAAGCATTGAAAGTGGATTTTTCTCACGGAAGATTCCTTGAAATGAAGTGACTAAACTACAAAAAAAGGCCAACAAAATAACCTTCTGTTGGTTTGGCAATATTTTTTATCAGAAACTCACATTAAAAGGGACAGGACTGGGCAAAAACTTAAACCACCCTGCATCCTTTTTAGTGCCCTTACATTATTAGGGTGTAAGTAATGTGCTACCATTTCAATTATTAAAAAAATAAACAAAAAATCTCTAGAAGGATATATTTTGGTTACTTGAGTTACGGCAACTCGCGTTACAAATTAAAACATAAACTAATAAACAAAACATTCTTTTCTCATAAAATATGAACCTGTCTCGCTGCTTTAAACACAAATCTCACAATAACACGTTTGCATGTACAACAAGGTGCCAAATGACTACCTAAAATCCATAGCTTTAGCCATAACTTCTTACTACCACATCACTCAAATGAAAGGTTTGAGTGTCCCCTTTAATTTGATGCCACATTTGAGGTTGTGATGCTTGCAGTTTTGAAGATTCCGTAAATTTTCAATTTTTCAGCCATGTCCGCATTCTCATAAAATTGCCCATTGTCACTGTTCGTTTTTAAATTCCTGTTGCATTCAGGGCATGGTTGGAGCTGCTGTACACATTAAGAAGAAACTCCAAGAAGAATTGATCCTGTCAAGGGCTTTTACTCACGACCCTGTAAGTTGAAAACACACATGACCTTATGCAACCAGATATATAATAAATGCATGTATACAATAAATCCAGCACTGTTGTATTGTGAAAGGGAATACGTTGGCACCTTTAATGAGGGAAAAAAATGTAATTAAGTAGTTAAGAGACTGTTAACCTGCTGGTACCAGGAACATGTTAGTTGAATTGTTCTTTATATTAGTCATCATTATTTGATGGTGCTTCGTGAAATGGTTTAAAAAGGCTGTCGTCGGACATTCAGCTATGAGATACATGTACCTTATGTGGCAATACAGGGACACAATCCCTATAGACCCTTACTGCCTTCCAAACTGGACACTTTGACCAATTATATCATGACTTCTGGTCAGGTGACCCCAGTAGAGCGTCATACTTGGTCACAGGCACGGTGAGAAATGTACGCAAACCAAATGTGGGCGAGGCTTATGGCCAAATCTGGAACGATCCATTTACTGCAGAGGGTAAATTTGACAATAGACTTAACTCACTTCTGCAGCCTCCATTTCCCAGCGGCCATTATGTGTATTCTACTTGAAGAAAGTAAGAAGAGCTACAAATAATTTATGGAATTGTTCAAATGATTGCTGTTGAATTGTTCTTTTGCTACATGTAGCTATCATCCCTGTTTGTGAGCCCGGTTGCCATTTTCCAGAATTGCAGCATTGTTAATGCTGCTAGCATCGTGACTTTGATCCCTGGCTACCTGGCATATACAGGTGCTTCTGACTAGTGCCCTTGAACAAAGACAATGGCATTGTGGAACTGCCAACATAGGGCTGGATAGCTCAGTTGGGAGAGCACTGGAACTGTAGCCCGGAGGTCGCAGGTTCAAACCCTGCCCTAGTCAATTTCTTTGCCCAACCTTATTATAATTATATCGTCAGACCTCTTAAAACTAAGCGATCCTATTTCTACGCACGCGCCTTTAATTTGCGTTGGCAACACGCACGCATTGCAAAGCGTTACCTGCGCAGATTATGGCGGATGAAGGGTAAATGCAGATAGTCAGTTTCCGTTTGTGGTTCATTTGTTCTTTTTTTTAATGCGATTTCTTATTTATTGGTATTTGACGATTTAACAGGAGAGAGGTTCTCAGAACTACGAGTTGGTTCTAGTGGGTCATTCATTAGGGGCGGGCACCGTGTCAATACTCAGCATACTACTCAGACCAGACTACCCTAAACTACAATGCTATGCATACTCACCTCCAGGTGGATTGCTCAGGTGAGAAATTAATACAAAATATAACATGGTTTGAGGGGGAATAGTGGATATTACCTCCCCGAGGTATTGGAAGTTGATAAACTATTGCCGAGGCGAAGCAGAGGGCTCTAGTTTGTCAACTTCCAATACCTTCGTAAAGCGCACGGGCAGTAGACACGGGTAACCTGTGCGATAGTCTACAGCCATGAGTATTTACCCTCTTCGTGAAACCTCGCGTGAGCACTTGGTAAACAGCAAAACTAGTCACAGAGTTATTTTGTGCAAGTCCCAGATGGGTCAGCCTAGTAACAAATCTCTTTTGTGAGCTTCCTTGGTTGTTTTCAGAACCTCACCACCTCACAAAAGAGATTTGTTGCATGGTGCAACTGTAAAGTAAAGTCCGGCGTTTATCTCCGGTTTCAGTAGGATGAAATGACTGAGAATATTTCTACTCCCCCTGGATGGGATGCTAGTCCATCGCAGGCTACTCCCCAGCTAATGCGGGTACCCATTTGTACTCCCGGGTGGAGAGAGGCAAGTAGGACGAAGTAGCTTGCCCAAGGACACAACATAAGACCAGCAGCTGGATTTGAACCCCTGACCCTCTGATCATGAGTCACGAACCCCAACCACTAGGCCACACTTCCCGTAAAGCTTAATCTTGTTGTTATCTTCACCCTGCAAACCTTCAAATCTTTATCTGTACAATAATTGTCATTGTCCCACAGCATGCCAGTAGTTGAGCACACCAAAGACTTTGTGACGTCTCTTGTCATCGGTAAAGACATCGTTACCAGGGTGGGTCTGTCTCAGATGGAGTGTCTGCGAGCTGATCTCTTTGACTGCATCAAGAGAAGCACAGACACAAAGGTACATAACAATGTTGACCGTCATACGTCCCGTCCACAGTACATCACAAGTCGATCATGAGTAACGGGGAAAGAACAGTAACAAATGAATGCTGTGGTCACAGTTCATTTGAATAGCTTGTGACTTGTGATGAGAGGACTGTTTGCAACGCACACTGGATGGTAAAAATGTGAGACAACTGTTGGTGATGAACACTTTTGCACAATCGTTGCCATACGTTCCTCTCATGCGTTCCTCTCATATGAAGATTCTAAAGGTTTGTTTATATTCAGTTGAAAGTTGGTTACCATGCTTTGTGCAATGTGTTCCTGTTTGCTTTGTGAATCAACTTCATGTATCAGTCGTTTTTGTCCATACATTACAAAACCTATTGATCTTGTAAATAATCAAGTTTTCAGAGAGGGGTTACATTCGCTGCTAAAGCTGGAGTTCGTTACTGATATTCCCTGTTTTTTGGTTTGGTTGTTTATTTATTTGATGGATAAAATTAAGAGTCAACTCCAAATGCAATCGCAAGGTCCTGGATTGAATGGGAAGTACAACAAAAACAGTTTTGCATAGTTGACCTGGCACCTTCAGTCTCAGTCCGGGACATTATTTGTACTCGGGGAGTGGGGGAGTCAGTCAGTCAGTCAGTCCGTTAGTGACTCGGAGGACAATGGCTAGCCCATCGGTTTAGCAACAATATTGCAGACTTTCAAACCTGCTTCAAATTTGGTTATTTTGGTGGAGTGCTGTGTCCTCGTGGTTAAGGGCACTGGATTCGTGGTCTGTGGGTAAAGCTGCAGGTTGTGGGTTCGAGTCCAGCCTGGGGTCATGGTGCGTGTGCCCTTGGGCAAGGCACTTTGTCACTCATTGCTTCTCTCCACCCAGGAGTAAATGGGTACCTGTGAGGGCAGAGATGGTTATTGTGATTGAATAAGCTTGCTTGCGCCTAACAGGCAGCATCGAGCTGTATACTCCCCAGGGAGCTGAGATGGTATTTGGAATGTTTAATTGGCCCAATGATCAGGGGTAATAATAATACTGTAAGCGCTGTGATTTAGTTTGCTAATAAGAATGTTCTTAAATGCCGATTGTTATTATTTTGTTTTTGGACCCAGTGGAAAATCATCTTTGATGGCTTGCTGTGCTGTCGGGAGATCAGCCCTAAGAACCTGAGCCCTCGTGACTCGGACTCCTCCCCCTCCCCTCCACGACTGACCAAAGCCTTCCACCCGACGAACCTGTCGCTCCTGCTGACTACCCACAATCCCCTGTACCCACCTGGGAGGATCATGCAGATCGTACGGACCAATCCCAAGCGAGAAGGGTGAGTTGGATGCCGCAGTTTGATTGGTTGAGAAATGTCATATGACATCACTTGGAAATTAACTGTGCAATTAACTTGTACCTTGCTGGAATCAATGAACTTGACGAAGAACTTGAATAAGTTGTACTTACTTGGTACTTGGTTGGTTTCCTCCTGAAACATCCTCTAGGGATCTTGACTAGGAGGTCACGGGGAGGTGTCGGCACCTAGGTCTCGGTCATGATGTGGTTGTAGTAGTTGTCCCTAAAGGTCTTGTGCGTCATAGAGTCGGTGATGTTTTGGGGCAGGTCATTCCATAATTTAATTGTCCTTGGAAAAAATGAGTTCTTGAATACAGTTGAGGATGTTGTACTGAACAAAGATGCCAAATCTATGAAGGTCGTTATCGACAAGGCAGTGAGGCTACTAAAAAGGCAGTGAGGCTACTAAATATTAATGAGGTGTAGTAAAACAAATACGGCGTGGTTTATTTCTGGAAAATAGTTGGAATCTGGTCCCTCGGTATAGGTCAGCTTGACTACCTCCCTCCGCTTCACGTCATGATGCATACCTCCCTCTGCTTCGCGTCGGGAGGTAGTCAAGCTGACCTACACCTCGGGACCAGTAATTCCAACTACTTCCCCTCAAACCATGCTGAATTTGTATACTACACCAACCTGACTGCAAATTTTTTTCATCTTCAGACTTAACAAGAAAGATTGTGCCTGGTTTGCTGTGTGGCGCGACAACACAGCATTTGATGAGGTGTTGATATCACCAGTCATGATAGGCGATCATCTCCCCAAGAATGTCATGTCTGCTTTACGCAAGGTAATCAAGATCAGCCTATGTTTGACATTTGATTACTTGAACTTGAGCCTTAAATTATTGCCATTTTAAAAACTTTGCACTTGATTAATATCAAATTAAGAGGAGTCCTATAAGATGTCATTTTGAGTAGAACCAAAAACAGGTTAAGTTAACTGGGCACTCAACTGAACCAAAGCCTGGTTTCCATATCGACATTAAGCTTAACGCAGATTTCGTAGACAGTACGCGGAACCGTCGGCAAAGTTGATCAAGTTCAACTTTGTCGATCGTCAGCGAGGTAGGCTGCGTCTGTCTGGATTGTCGGCGACACTTCCGGATGAAATGTTTTCATATGTCTGCGTTGTAGTTTGGGTCCTGTTTGCGTTTCACGTTGCGTTTCTCGCATCGATATGGAAACTAAGCTTTGCATGTGCAGTTGTGTGAATGCTGAAATAATATATCTTTCCACTCAGCTTGTATTATTTGTTTGCAACATGAGACACAAAAACAAAAAAAAAGACCTTGATTTTGCAGTTGTATTAATGGAGCATTTGTCATCCTAGTGCCTGCAGTATGGAAGACTTCACGGTGCCCCAAGATATTCGGGGAGACAGTTCAACCGGCCGTCCAGTCCCCCTCATCACAGGCAGTTGAGAAAAACGGTAGAGAAGAACGAAACGCCTTCCTCCAGTCAGTCGTCACCGTCATCTTGTCTCGTAGTGAACCCTGGTAGCCACGGTGATGCCGGACCAGATATGAATTGCAACACAGTTACCTCGTCAGCCGGCAAGACAAAGACTGGCCCTGAATCCCAAACGGGCTTGCCACAAAGTCAGGTCAGTACAGGGCACCAGACTGGCATGCAAAGAACAGGAAGTGCTTCCCCTGTTTACGCCTCGTACGAAAGTCTACCAAAGACCACTGGTTACCCAGAAGGCAGAGCGCCGCTCGCACGCTTCGATACCATGTCGGAAATGGGATCGATGTCATCCTTCCAGAGCGCAATAACACTGGAGGAACCGAAGCCACAACAAACGCACAGAATGTACGACGGGTACTGCTATTACGTGGACGAGGATTTGAAATCGCCGGTGAATGCGTATCAGTTGCATCCTAAATTTGACGACAGCCTCAACTCGAACTCCAGTAATCAAATCGTCACGACAGCATTTGTGGAGCCCAAACCGGATAGGACTAGTGCAAGCCTGTCCGACAAGTTTATGCTTCACCGGGATGGTAGTACTAAAGTCATGGATCGATATGGCAACGTGAAAGGTAGAACATCAACAAACGATAGATACCGGCTGACCTATGACAGTGGATCACAGAGTTCGGTGAACAAAGATGTTCCTGCAAGACCAGAACAGCTCAGCTTTGTGGACAAGAATGGAAGCAGTAAGTGTGGCCAATTTTGGTTTATGTGTAATCTTTTTTGGGCCTGTTTAAAATAAAAGAACACAAAACCCTATATATCTTGTAAGATGGATTTACTATTCAACCAGAAATTTTTATAAGCAGTGTATGCTCAGTACTGATCAACAGCTTGCAAGGATCAACTCCCAAGCCTGCTCAGGTGGGAATCGAACCCGCAACCTGTTTCCCACCGGTGCAGACATCCCATCTACCTACAGCCACTGAGCCCACCAACAGATACACATGCATGTACATACGTGCTATTTCAAAATACTTTACTCATTGACTCTCCATTATGTAAAACTTTAAGGTTATTCACACGCTAACCCATTAGACCTGTACTGCCCCAGACTGCCCTGCCTGTTGTTCCCTGTACTACTAAAACAGCTCGAGCATTGTATGGTCTCGTGGATAGAATAATAATGGAATAAAATGTGCTTGGCCGGTTTTAAACAAGTACATGTATGTTGAAAACTGGCTAGTGTCCTGGCCGTGAATAATTTGGCTCGGGCCATTTACCGCGGCCAGGACCCTAGCCGGGACCAGCCAAGCACATATTTATTCCCTTTCATAAATACCTTTCGGTCAAAAAGTCAATACAAGTCAAAAATTCACAAATCTCCAACGATTTTGTTCAACAATTTACTTCATGCTTTGTGGAACACCCCTCTGGCCATGTCTATGTTATGTGCCCTTGCGCACGCAGTGCTCAAAATCTCCTTAAAGAAATTGGCGTACGCTGCGCTTACTGCGCGATGTGGCACAGAACGCAGGAAGTGTTTAAAACCAGCCAGTGTTTGATCAGCGGTTTAAAACCACCCACGTGACGGGCTCTTGACAAATAGGAATGGGCAAACTGTCTCGGGTTTTTATTAAATATCTAATATACAAATATTGAATGCTTCGAGTGGTGTAGTAAAACTAGCCTCCCGAGGTGATCCATGGACCATTCTATTTTCCCGAGGCGAAGCCGAGGGAAAATAGAATGGTCCATGGATCACCGAGGGAGGCTAGGTTTACTTCACCACGAGATAAAGCATTCAATATTTGTTTTATAACACTTCACCCACAGATTCTGCTTGATTTTAATATTTTACTTTATTTAAATCTGAACACAGTTGAAATTAACTTCAATTTCAATACAAAATTGGTGGAAAATGTATTTCTCTCTTAAAAACTAACCCTTCACGAAATGTTTGAACCCAAGTCTGCGGCGCGCTCTCTTTGGAATAATACGCGCTACGCACAACGCGCAACGCGCACACCAGCATGCATTTGCACACAAATACCGCGCCGTGGAAATAGTACTTTGGTTGCTATGCGCATAGTACTTTTGGCGTGCACAGAAAGATATCAAAATTAGAAAGTAACATGTGACTCGCTCTCGGCCAATCAAGACACAGAATCTGTGGGTGAGGTGTTATAATACAATGTAGTAGAGGTGCTGATGGGTTAATAGTGTTGTGTCTAAAATGATTTTATCAATGACCAGGTTATGAGTCATCGGGGAATCTCTCATCAGATCACAGTACTAGCTTGCCTGAGGCTCTCCTAGGCCAGGCCTACACGCGTTACCACTCCCTGTCCATGGACAGTAACAGTCCAGACTTTGAAGACGACTTCCCCTCCCCCATTACCCGCCCCCCTCAGCCAGATGGTACATTCCGATGTGGCGTTGTTCCCATGGAAGCAGCGGAGCTCCTGCAGAAGAGAAATGACAGCCGCGTTGTTGCCGTGGAGATGGGCCAAGTGGACAGTGACGAGAGGAAAAAGGGTGCCAAGACAACGCCAGCTGAAAGAGTAAAGATGTTAAGACAGAAATACGGGGAGACGAAATGCTAGAGAGTTGTTCTTCGAGCTGTCTTCAGTTTGTAACAGAAAAATGTTGCGAAAATAGTTATGTGCGCTGTCAAAATCTGTTTGGGCCACTTTTCAGATTATGTGGTATCTAATCTTATCTAAAAGTGGCCCAACTCGGAATTCAAGCCCTTTCATTTAATTAGCTGTATCTCTGGACTGGGATGTCCAAATGAGATGGGATAAAGACCATTGTGTAGAGTATTTACCATACCTTCAGACTCTATCAATAAGTTTTGCAAAAAGACAGTGCTAGTATCTTTAATATTTATGGTTTGACTGCTACAATTTTATTGACACAAGCTGTATATGTGACCTGTCACTACAAAATGGGCCTGCAGTGGGACAAAGCCAAAATTTTTAAAATGAGCCAACTTTTTGGATTTAATAAGTGAATCTCATTCTAAACTCCTCTACCATTTCCAATTTTTTTTATTTCTTAAAAATCAATAAATCCTTTTGTAACCTATTGTATTATCTATTTTCTCCCGTCCACAGTTTTCGTAAAAATAAAGACAACTGCTTAACTCCAATATAGTTGGCAGTCTGTATTTCTATTGCTTAACTCAGTACCCCCTTTTGTTATGCAGGGTGGTGCAAAAAGAAGGAAACCCACTTTTGACAGCGATTTTCACCTGCTTGTTGAGCATATTTCAAAAATTCAATTTAATGGTATTAAAATATTGATCTTTTATTAAACCCAAGTGACCACAAAAAAAGATTGCAAATGCATATTTTGTCTCTGAGATATGGTAGTTTACAAATTTCATGTGCCAAACCTGTTTGTCCACGGACGGCTTTATTGCCAAGCTCCGGAGCTTGATTTGAAGACCAAAAAAACACTACACTAGACTTGTACGTGCACATCAGTGATTTTGGTGACTTGTATTCAAATAAACACTTTTCTTGCGATTTTTTTTCAAGATTTTTTTGCCACGTATGGTTGAAGAGCTACCCTTCACTACATTTAAAAAAAAAAAAACCCAGTTCAAATAAGTTAAGTAAGTAGGTTAGAATTCCTGTCAAAAAAATGGGTTTCCTTGTTTTTGCACCACCCTGTATACCCGTGGGAAAAGTCTTGTGTTGCAGAATCTAGAAAAAAAATTAATCCAAATTCATTGAAAATCTGATTTTGGCTTCATGTTGTGGTGACAGGTCCTTAGATATTATGTATCCCTCCTGAGTTGTTGACCATTTGTCTTGTTGATTTATCATTTACAAACACTCATCTTCCTATCCTGGGCCCAATTTCATGGCGCTGCTTAGCACAAAAACTTGCTTAGCACAAAAAAAGTCTGGCTTATAAAAGTGGGTTACCAGCCGAAACTCCATGTGATTTTCATGCTAAGCAGACAACAGCTGAATAGTAATCACGAGCAATATACATCACATGGAGTTTTGCCTGGTAACCTGCTTTTATAAGCCAGACTTTTTTTGTGCTAAGCAAATATTTGTGCTTAGCAGCGCCGTGAAATTGGCCCCTGGCTGTAAGTTACATCTTGTTGCCACTTAACAAAGACAAAAATATTATTTCATAAGTTTTTTTTTATAAAGTTTCACTTCATAAAAGTACATTGCCAATTGTAATCAGCACACTGTTTCATTATATTAAAAAAAAACTTGTGTCTATTAAATAGAAGTTAAATTTTTTTATGTACATAGATTTTATGTACACACTGTACATGTACTTACAATTTCTTTTTTAAAATGTAAATTTCTGAACAATTTATTTATTTGGGTTTGGATTTTATGCATAACTGATAATTTTGTCTTTCCTTATTGACGCAAGTTTTAAATGTTCACATCTTCAAAACCATGTAAAAGTACTGGACTAAATTGGAAATTAAACCTCAGGATAAACGACTGCAACTCAGGCTTCAAAACTCATCTGATAAAAAAAACCTTTCCACTTATTGCATGCTAGAATTTATCCGGAAGAAACTTGTAGTGTTGTACTTGTTCTTATACTCGAACACTCACAAGAAAATACCTCATACTCATGGCAAAGTACTCATACTCATAGCAAAGTACTCGTACTCATGAAAATATTCTACCCCTGGAATTCTTAATTTTGTAAATTTTTGCCAAAAAGAAGAAGCCTTTTTTTCCCTACTGTTAGTTAGGCCACTGGATATGTGTAATGCCTTATCTTAAAGCCAAACATTGTTGGAAACTTGTATACCCATCAAAGTGTGCTGATACTCTTAGTTAAATACTTGTGGAATACTCATACCTGTGGAGATGTACTCGTACTCAAGGACAAAATGTGCTCCTTGGGCACGTGTGGTCTAGCGGTGGAGCACAGGATTCATGATCGTGAGGTTGTAGGTTTGAGCCCCGCCGTGGCCATGCGTGTTGTGCCCTTGAGTAAGGCGCTTTACCTCAATTACGCCTCTCAACCCAGGTGTTAAATAGGTACCGGCATTAGTCAAAGCTGGGAAGGTAACACACTCGCTGTGGAGGAGGTGTGGCGAACCCCCCCCCCCCCCCCCCCAGCAGCATTTCATGGACTCGAGTCTGGCCCAATCGCTTCGAAAGAGAGATGGGCACTCCGTTCCTGTGAACACAGGTCCGTCCCCTTTACCTTTTACTCAAGGACAAAATGTACTCGGACGTGTGGCAAGGTACTCGACTACAATACATATCTTGTTCGTACCTAAAGTGGCTGAATGAGTTTGTGCCAAAGTTTGTTTGCATAATCATCCTTTTTCTAGATATCTGATAAAAGACTCTTGGTCCAAGGTACAATGTAACTGCCATAGCAACAAAAACTAATTTCTACCTCTATTTTTCACAATTGTACAGGAAAACATTTTTGGAATACATTTTCCAAAACTTTTGATTCATAAATTTTAAGAAAAACTGTAAGATAACCCCCCCCCAAAAAAAAACCCCACATCATGTCCCCCTTCTTATGCAGCAAATGAATCCTTTGCCAATGACTGCCAATATTTTGAGATTTTTTGAAAATATTCAAACATATTTTATGAAAATCAAAATCAATTTTATGAAATCAAATGTGCCTTATTTAATAACCAATGAAAACAAAAGAAATAAAAATGGACCATCCATTCCAATAATTATCTTTTCAATCAAGACAATTTATACTTTAGTATTTCAGTACAAAATGCTCCAAATGTTCGGTAGTCGGCAAGAAAAGTTGAAGATGACATATTCCCAATTAATGTAACGAAATATGCATGGAATATGAAGTCAGAAGTTACCTTACAATTGTCAGATTGGAAATTTTTAATTCATAAAAAATGCACAGAGATGCATCTCATTGATGGTAGTTAGTTTTGTCTTGTTGAACATGTACAAATGTACATTGTACATGTGGATCACATGTACTTACATGTATTTCAAGATTATGGTAGTTCTTCTCGTTTTTTTACTCTGCCAAATAAGATTGGTCTTAGTTTTCAAGGAAGTTATGTCATTTGGATGTTACATTGGTTAACAGAAGATATTCTGTATGTGTGGACATGTATATTTAAATTCATCTCAAGCTTGTTTTGTAAAATTTGCCAAAGAAAAATTGTTTCTTTTTGTAATTAATTTATTTTTTATGCCGTTGCTTCAAAATTGATCTTCACATGTTTTGGTTGTCTACATTTCTTCTTAAACTTTAAAATGAAAACATTTGCAGCATTTGCTTTGGTTATTAAATGCTTAATGATGTCAACTTTCGTAAGACATTTAAGAACAGTCCCCATGAACAAATCTATTTTTAATTTCAGAATCCATCTTTGTCAATACTAGTGCAGGGCCAGTCGAAAATGTGCGTGTTCGGAAGGGGCAGTTGAGAACTGCAGCTCGTGCAAACAACGCACATTATTCAATGGTGTGAACTCACACTCGCAAGTTAAACGCACAAAATGTCGTCACCCCCCTGGCACTGATATTTACCCCTACTGGACAATATGGTATCGCCCTACAACTGTAGGGCGTAGTTGTAGGGCGATACCATATTGTATTAGACTTGCTTAGTCGACCGCCTACATACAGTGCAGTGGTGGTTGCTCAGTTGCCTACAAAATGCATGTGCCCGTGCATGCCACTTTACGTATGTACGTACAAAGACATGGTGTGCAGTGCTATCGCCCTATAACAATGTGCCCGTCCTTTTTGCAATGGGTGCGTCATATTGAGCACGCGCGCTTTAGCTCGAACATGACGTAAACAATTGAAAAGAACCCCATCATGTGCCCGTCCTTTTGTCCATTGTTGCGTCATATTAAGCACGCGCGCTCTTGCTTTAACATGACGTAAACAATTGAAAAAAAAAAATCAGTGCGCGGAGTTCTAGGCTATATTCTGGCGCGTTTGCCTCCGAAAATACTGCTTTTTTGCAGCTTTTTCGAGAACCCCTAGTCCAAACCACTTCAAACTCGGCACTGCACATTCTGCTATCCCGAGCAATGCACCCGCCGATTTTCAATTCCATACGGTGCCCGGTTCTGGAGATAATCGGCGGACAGACAGACAGACAGACAGACGGACAGACAGACAGAGATTCCTTGAATTGTAGTATAGATGTTGAGGTGGAGCCAGTGATATCCTGGAGCAGTGCGGAGGATTTTAAGTATAATCTAAGCCAAAATTTATGCCCGGCTGAGCATAAACGACACAAGGTCTGGCCCCAAGACCTTGGCACAGTGCATCCTCCAAAATCAGCCACACATTTCTACCAAATGGCCTCAATCCTGCAAAATCCTCCATTTTGCAAAGAGGATTTTGGAGGATTTGGGAAGGTTAGGGTTAATGTAGGGCTAGAATTAAGAATAGTTGTGTTGCAACTTGTTCCTGTTTAATATTGACAAAGTTAAGCAGTTTTCCTGAATTACATGTACCAGGGTTTAGTTTCATGGAGTTGGCAAGCACAAACATGTCCTAAATTTTAATGAGACTGCAAAAAAACCAGTCATTTTTTTCTCACTGCTTTTGACAAGGCCTGGCGATTCTTGACACAGGTCTGGTAACCACAGCATGTCTGCATTGACAGGCAGGACAACCATCCGTTGCTTATTGTGAAAACAAAGACTGCACTAATTCTGTACCGGTACTTGTACCGAATCTTTGGGCGTATTCGAAACCCTGTTCTCTAGTGACTCACGAACAGTGTTCTCGGGTTGCCGATTACGAACGCCCAAGTGTATGTGGAGTGCAGCTGGGCAAAAATTCAAGATGGCAGCCACCATATTAAAATGCTGAATGAAAAGAAAGGAAACTAATGATCTTGCAAAAATAATTTATATCCCGGAACAGCTATAAAAATTGGCAAAAACTAGCCCACTCCATGAGCACATACAATTCTATTTTATTTTTTATCGTTACTGCTCCTGCACTGAATCTGTGCTTTCAATTTTATGCACAAAAAATTAATGCAAGTTGTGGTGGGGGCCTAATTAGTCCGCAATCTTTGTTTTGGGGGGTTTTTACTCCAGGATAAGTGGGGAGTGAAAATCCTGTTCGGATTCTCATCATTTGAAACCACGGGGAATAATGCCAGTTAGTAATGGGATATAGGAATGTGCAAAAATCAAAAGTGTATGGTAAGCAGGGCCATGAAATTGAGCCCCGTTCTTCACTTGATGGTTGCTCAGCAGGCAAATTTGATAAGCATTATTTTGTGCTTAACAGCTTCGTCAAATTTTGCCCTGTAAATGTATCTGATACTGTGTTTATAAAGTTAACCTTTGCGTGCATAGACTAACCCTCCCTGTCTGGCTGTCAGATTCAACACAGCTATCCCAGCAGTCAAAATCAATCAAGTGACTGTTTTAACAGTTGAGAGCTCCGAGCCTACATAAAACAAGATTGACTGGCTTTGACTGTTTATGTAACTTGATACATATTTGCCTTGACAGTAGATGATTGATAAGCCAGCTGTACCTACCAGTAACATGTACCTGCTTTTGTCTGTTGACTAAATTGGACTAGTCACAGTGCTTGTTTGATACATGTATATGATCCGACTGTTGGTGACTAGCCCGTGTATAAAGGCATGGCAGGGGAAGAGGATTGATTTTTTGACTGTTCAGACAGCAGGAGGGTCTTAAGGAACAAGCTACTAACCCCTTCATTAACATATGTGTAGAAGTGTTGTCTATTGGGTTTATACCTTAATTTATTCCATGAATTCCACGTTTTTCAATGTACTTACAATGCATTAAATAATTATCTAATTTTAAGGTCTTCTTTGGTTTTAAACTGAAAAATAATTGATCAGTTTTCCAGATTGAGACGTAATAAATTGTTCTCTATTGTGAATTTGAGCTTTTAGATTTGTGTCATTTATATGTGCTTTATCAGCTCTATTCATATTTTACTGTTGACAAAAAAGGCCAAATTGGTTATAGTATTTTTTCAATGAAAAACAAAAAGGACTTCAAAAGGTGTAACTCTATGGAAAAAAACACTGAAATATTTTGATCAAAACATACAGATTTATTTTTATACACAGATGATACTTAATGACATTTAAAGATCCCACTTTTTATTACAACCATGATCGACTTGCATGTTTATGTATATGCCTACACTATATGTAATCTACGTTTCAAATTAAAACTCATTGTTGTGCTTACGAAATATTACGGCAAAATATACATACAGTGATATAATTGCAATCCAAAAATCTTTGTTTAACCATGCAAAATCGTTTACAATTATGTCTTATTATCGCAAGTCAACTGCAAAGGATAAAATACATATCACTTTATATAAAAGAAAATCACACTTGAAGAAAAATAGACATCAATCAATGAAAGCAGTGATTTACGTTCAGCAGCCTTTGAAGCAAATACAAAAATAATTTGTTCTTAAGAATAGCAGACTCAGTGCAAAAGCAGTTCAAAAAAAATTAATAAGACACGGTATCAAAATTAAAGTAAAATAAAAAACTGGAAGCAGTAGAAACAATGCAATGCAAAGAAAAACGAGCACAGCTTGAAATGAAAGGCGTTAAATGCATTTAGTAAACACTTCTCAGGCTTACAAGAAGAAAAAAAAGTTTGGCATCAATTGCATACATCAACCTTAAAAGTAAAAAAAAAAATTTGCCGCTGCAGAATACTTGCATAAGTTTAACTACAGTCAAGATTTTTGGAAATAAAAAATCCATTTGATGATTACAGGTACAGTGAATTCTTAAGAATTTGGAATACAAAACTTCCATTTGATGATTACAGGTACAGTGAATTCTTAAGAATTTGGAATACAAAAATTCCATTTGACGATTACATGTAGGCCTACAGTGAATTCTTAAGAATTTGGAATACAAAAATTCCATTTGATGATTACAGGTACAGTGAATTCTTAAGAATTTGGAATAAAAAAATTCCATTTAATGATTACAGGTACAGTGAATTCTTAAGAATTTGGAATAAAAAAATCCATTTGATGATTACAGGTACAGTGAATTCTTAAGAATTTGGAATAAAAAAATCCATTTGATGATTACAGGTACAGTGAATTCTTAAGAATTTGGAATTAAAAAAATTCCATTTGATGATTACAGGTACAGTGAATTCTTAAGAATTTGGAATTAAAAAAATCCATTTGATGATCACAGGTACAGCAAATTCTTAAGAATTTGGAATTAAAAAAATCCATTTGATGATCACAGGTACAGCAAATTATTAAGAATTTGGAATAAAAAAATTCCATTTGATGATTATAGGTACAGTGAATTCTTAAGAAGCATCTCTAGAGTTGAAACGCATCTGTTCTGTTTAATATGCTTGATGAACACGGCACTGCCAATTACAAATACAATGAAATTTAAACAGTTTGAAACCATATGGGTCGTTCTTTAAATTTTTGTTGCAAGACAGAATGTAAACAAGAAATGATTAGGGCGCCCTCTGGCGATCCCTGTGTTGTTGCTAGAAAAGTCTGAATAAAGAGTCGCACTGGTGTTTCTTGTACCCTCCAAATTACTGTTCTCCCTACGTCTTTTGCCTGCGCCTGGTCACGCAACAATTTGGGTCCACTTTTTTGCTGTCCCTGTTACATCTAATGCAATGATTTTTATAATTCTGATGCACTCCTTAATGCAGTCCTTCTCCAAGAGTGAATGTGAATGGCAAACTACCTACCCAACACATAAAACAATCGTTCTTAATGATGTCATTCTTAATGATACTTGAATGGCAAATTACAAAGTTCCAAGGTAACAGGGACAAGACAATGTCTGCCTGTGGACCCTAAATATATAGAATGACCCACATGCATATAGATCAGCATTCACTTAAAACACCTTGCTCCACTGGTTCTCAATGACAAAAGGGGGTGTTATCAAGACTAGTTCTCAGGATGAACCAACAATGATCTTGTTGGTTTTTGCGCACTACTAGCAGTTTCCAGAAAGATAGAAATACCACGTCAACTTTCATTTCCTATTTTGAAGGGAAAAAACACTTTGAAGTTTATGAAAGAGAGCAAGCAAATATCTCACTACCTAATAGCCCAAACCACCCCAACTCCATCAAAATCCCCCCCCCCCCCCCCCCCCCATTTTGGTGGATTTTGGGGGACTTGGTTCAGAAGGCCTGGCGTAACTAAATATTGATGGAGTATGATGGACTTGGGCCTAATGGCCTGAAGCAGTGCTTGAGGTCTCCGATTGGTTTTGCCTAGCTTCCTGTACTGCTATTGTGATAAAAGCCATGTGTAGCAAGTCCATGAATGTCAACCAGTGCGTCAGTGGTGGATTCCATTATGTCATGTACAGTTTTGTATTAGACGCACGGTGATTGATGTATTTTGGTTGAATTGGTCCAGTTCCTAGTAAAAGATGCTAGGGAGTTAGGGTTAAGAAATGAAATTGATGCAATTTGGACCAGCAGTGTGAAAATGAGCATTATACAAGTGAGGTTGAACCTGTCTTGCAAATACATGTATACCTTAACCATAAACATCACAAAATTTACAAATAATCTCTCTAACCCATAAGTCACTTGTACTGCCCAAACTGCCCCAGCACTCTATGGTTTTATGCATTCATTAGGGAATTAATACAATGTAGTACAATGTAGTACAATGTAGTACAGGTGGTAATTGGTTAAAGCAGGAAACTTAAAATCTGTACCCATCAGGGAGTGAATGGACCGATCCATTAAGCCCCGCCCCCATGACACTTTGACCAATCACAGCCTAGATTAATGTCCAACACATGGGCAGTGGGTGGAGCTAAATGGATCGGTCTACTGAGGCAGGACTGACTGGCTTAGACGCTGGCTAGGACTTGAGGGATATTGGTATTGAAGCTGATGTGTCTCTTGGTGTCATGGGTGTGGTCATCGTAGTAAGTGTCTCGTGCCTTGATGCTCCTGAGTGGAAAATAAATGGGGGGAAAGGGTAAAATCAACATTTTTAGTGGTTATTTGAGCTCTTATTCTGACCAAAATAAATGATTTTAAAACTCTTTTAAATATCAGACCAATACTCGCCAGGGATGAACTTAAGATTCCAAGCTTCAAAGTGGTAAAAAAAAAATGGCGGTACGTGTTTCCGCACGGACGCTAGAGCCTCGCCAAAAAAACTTGCGGGTATTTTGGGACGCGCTGTACTGTACATGAAATATTGACCTCACCTTGCTACGTATGGATGGAGCTGCCTGAGCTGAGCTGTAGAGTCCAACTCCGGACCAAAGGAATGCACGGCCGTGCTCTTAGTGAACCCATCAGGGAGCTGATCCATGACGTTGCCAAACGTACGGCCGGCTCGGGCTTTACCCTTAGGGTTCATGTTGTAGAATCTGAAAAAAATAGAGCAAGATGAACAATATTTCACAATATTTTTGTACACGCCCCAATTTCAGAGCTGCTAATGCAAAAATGTTGCTTAACAAAATTACAGGTTAAGCACACAAATACAAAAGAAAGCCAGCAGCAAACAACATATCTACTAATATATATTAACAAGATGCGTCTGTTTGTAACAGATTTCCAATGGATTATTGTAGTGCTTGAAAAAATACTTGGGAATAAATTTCTCTGCTTACTTTGTGTCGTAGTGGGTAATCCACCTCATTGGCTCAATAGGAATCTGGACTTGTGGCTTGTCATTGTTGTCGCTATAGCCAGATAGTTCCTGCAAGGATAAAAGTTAGTAAAAGGTTAAGTCTTTTTCTTCCAGTAAAAAAGTTAGTCAGACAGCTTCAATGATTATTGATTCTACAAAACGCAGGGAGCTTCAAATCTTAGCTCCCAGAAAAACAATTAGAAAGTTGAACAAAGAAATTGACTGGAGCTGGGTTTGAACCTTCAACCTCCGGATTGCCGTTCCCGTGCTCTACCAACTGAGCTATCCAGAAAACTGCTTGTTATTCTACCTGTATTTGTTCAAAGGACAAATCTGTGATAACCCTATAGCCAAATGTCTTTCTCATGACGTGTTCGGACTGTGCGCCAAATCCCATGTTTGAATCATCAAAAGCACAAATTTCCCAAATATTTCACCTATTTGACCCGCTATAAAAATGAGCACAAAAAAAGGCAACTTTTCCCCAGCACTCAAAAAGTACATCTGAGCAGTGCGGTTGAGGTATGAAATCATCTGAAAAGCATCTGAAAGCATCCACAAAGGACTCATAACAGATCATGTTCAATGAAGAACCAGTATTTCACGGACAGGGTGATCAGCACAGATGTTGTAACTATACCTCTACTACCCCAAGGATGTACGTTTTCTCACCTTGTTTCCTACATAGTATCTTCCGAGTCGTTCATGCTCACTTGGGTCTGGTCTTTGTTTTCCCAGGAAGCTCTTGGAGGTAATGGAGGAGTGATTGTCGGGGTTGGTCATGTTCAGATACTCTGCAGGGTCGGCTTTCTTTGTCCGGTTCTCGACAGCGCCTGGTACTTGCTCATTGGTGGTGTAAGCCTACATAGAGTTGGGAAAATAAGAGTAAAGGTGGTTTGCAGACATAAAATGAATTAGTGACGGCCATCTTGGTGAAAAAAAAAAAATGACACAAATCATCACTTCAGAAAGCCACAAGCTATGCTTGGGTATTTTTAGTTTTAAGCAAATCATTTTATAAATTTCATTTTAAGGAAATTTTACTAAATATCATTAAAATTCACACATGTTTATGCCTACTTTTGTATGGTTTCATAAAAGTATTCAAAGCAGGGGTTTTGCTTTTAAGCCCATAATAGCTTTACTGCAAAAAGTATGACACCAGAAAAAAGAATCATTTTTTTCCATATGTTTTTCTGCCATATGCATGAATTTCAATATGAATTTGTTATTGTGTTGATACTCTTATGATATAAGGAAGTTATTTCATACTTCTCACAACCATCATTTGATATTCTTGTGATACTAATCAGATATCTTAAATCTTTCTTCCATCATGACCATCCTTATATTGTTACCATCATATAAACATCATTTGGCATTCTTAAGATACTCTTGAGTTAGTTTCCGTCTCTCGTGACTATCATTTGGAAATTCTTATGATACCTCCTTCTTATATGTCTCCTGACTATCAGTCTGATAATCTTACGATACTAGTCAGATGTCTTCTGTCCTATTATACTTGTGAGATGTGATTTGAATATTCTTATGGTACTAGGCAGATATCTTACATCTCTCATGACCCTATTGACATAGAGTGGTTTGGCCTTCTCATGAGTGAAGCCGGTCTCTCGGTCCGATCGGTTGGCAACAACTGGCAGCTTTTCATCTCCCTGAAGGAAAAAATAAATAAATAAACAAAATAAATAAACAAAAATATTCCAATAAAGTGTTAAAAAAACATTTGTTTGGTTTAACATTTAATGGCTCATTTTCTACTTGTTAGTCACCAACATTCAGATCATATTTTTATAGGCAGTGACTAGTTATATTCCATCAATGGACAAAAGCAGGTGACTGGTAGTCACAGCTGGCTTTCTCCTACAGCCAAAGCATAGCTGTATCGGGTTACATCACAATCACAGCCAGTCAATCCTGCTTTATGTGAGAAGGGAGCACTCAACTGAATAAAACAGTCACTTGATTTATTTTGGCTCCTGGGTTGGCCTTGTTGTATTTGCCATTTACAGAGGAAGGATGAAATTATCTTCTGAAAATAAAAAAAAACTTCTGCAAACTGCTTGCTGACTAGATTGACCTCAAATGCACAAAACAAACAAAATCAGACGGCCAAATGTTTTATTCCTAGCAGAAGCTTTATTGAAGGCAAACAATTTTCTTATGGCAGAAAATTAAATGCTGCATATTGAAGTACACTGCAGACAAGATATCTATTAGTGTTTATTACTTAATAATTACCTTTGAATACTGTGAGGGCAAAAATGCCGTCTTCATAACACTCACACCAGTTGGTCGGTCAGTGTAGAAACCCTGTCAACGAAATGTAAAAAATTTCATTACAAATAAAGAAAATTTCAAGATATTTTATAAAATCTGAATTGGTGTGATGAGTTTTCAAATATTAATGCATGGTGAATTCAAATATCTGAAACTCTGAACATACTGAAAAAAAGTATATAAAATAAGTTTAGAACTTAGTGGATTGTTAACACTGATTGGAAGTTCTAGTACAAGACAATCTATGAAGAAATTCAATGTGATTCGCTGAGAGTTCACCTAATTATTAATATTCATTTGATGAAAGTTTTCTACGAGCTCACTTGAGAAAGATGAGATTAAATCTGATTGGCCACTCATTTGCACTGATCCTGAATATTCATACCACAAAAAGTACTTACTGGAAGCTCATTGGAGAATGAAGAGCCAGGATGGAATTGGATTGGTTCAACATTGTAGGCGTGTGTGTAGCCTGACCCCTCCTTCCTACCAACGGTCTTGGTTGACACATCAACTATAATACAATGAGGAGTTGTTACACGCAAAATAGTATGAATGCTTAGCTACGCCTAGGAAAACAAAGAAAAAAGTGCCAGAAATTTAACTAGTGTTTTACATGTTGAACCTGCGTACAGTTTCTTTGAAAATACAATTAGGAGCAAAATGGTCCTCCGTTTTAAATTTAAACAACTTTCTTGAAATTCTGACATTAACTGGTCCATTCTTTTATTTTAAAGTCTACAATTACTATTGACAATACTTACGACGCTCGCTTGGTCTGCCTTGGTAACGGACTTTGGACTCAGTTGACATAAAGCCAGGCCCCTTGAGAAGACAAAAGAAAATCAATGATTGTTTGCTCAATATATTAATTCTTGGTTCCAACAATCAATGAAACCAGCTGTTTGTGGCTCATTTCTGTTAAAACTGCTCACTTGAACTGACTGCTATTAATTTACCTATTTTTTTTTTTAATCTACAATGTTTATTATTTGCTACCCAAGGCCAGATAGGATTTTGAATAAAATGTTACTTAAATAAGGCTCTCTTTTTGTTCTTCAACAAATTCAATTCTTTCCTCTTAGCAAACGTTCGTGTTTGCTACATTTGGGGCTTCCACAAACCTTTAATAAAGGCGTTTATTTTTGGTTGCTCTTTGCACTTGTTACAAACAAAAACATCTGTGTGAATCACTGTCTGGCTGAAATTAATTCAAATTTTATCATTACTTTAATAAATATGAATGAGTGATTATTCCATAACTAGATGTGGGTAGACGTTTTCTTTTGACATCGCTTTCTAAAAAGTGAATTACATTTGTACTGCTAGAAAATAGCTATTCAAATATTTGTCTGGCTGAAATTTAAAAAAAAAAAAAGCAAAGAAAGAGCAATTTAAAAGGGTGTTTATCATTTCAGAATATTTCTATTATATTTTAAAACTCCTTCTTAAAGCTCCTTCTGATAGATCAAAAAACAGAACTACCAAATTATTATGAAATACCTCACTGGGCTGTTATTGCATGACAGTAAAGCACCTTGTAAAATCATGGCACCTGGTGTGCTGACGTTTTTAAGAAAGGTGGAATTTTTGTATCAATTTCCAATGGTGGCCGACCATTGTTGGAAAAAAACTGACTTTTTCCAAATACTGCCCCCAATGTACCAAATTTACTTAGTCGACTACACATCCGTGAATGGGTACAAGCCAGCTAGTCTGGTTCCCTTTGCTCCATTATTTCATGACTACAAGAACATGATTTTGTGTTCATGTTTTTTGTTTGCAGCATCTACGACCACAAAACTTTAAACAGGTCAGTGTATCAATCTTTGCTATAAAATACCAACATCCCCCCTCCCAAAAAAATCCATCCATTCCTGAAAATTAAAGCAAAAGCAATTGTTGTAGATTCCCTTTAAACAGACTGTTTCAGTGTGTTGTCTCTATTAATTCAATCTCCTTGCCCCTTTTCCTTTTCAAGATCCTGAGTTAGTTTAGTTTTGTTAGTAAATCCCCATTGAGTCTTAGTTTTCTGCGAGTTCCCCATGGTGTGTCTATTTTCACGGTTACACATACAAGCGCAATGAATCAAAAATATTCCCAACCCAACAGTCTTCCTTTCTACTCACATGGGCAGCATGTTCGGCAGATACTGGGTCCTTGGATCGAAGCTTGTGAAGGAGTGGCCTATGCCTGGGCAGAACGCCGCTGATGGTTGGACCGATACCGTGGTAACGGGTGTCAACACAAACATGCTGAACCTAATATTGGAACATTTTAAAATTCACATTTTTAACAGTAATGAAGGGAAGAAGCGAGGGTCATTTTTGGAGTAAATTAATCAAATTTCACAGAAGGATCCAGGTTTGGGAGAAGGGGAAGGGGAGGGGTGAGGCTTTCGAAGGGTTCTACAGCCATGCCCTGCTAGGGGAAGGGGTGTCCGGGGGGTGAAAGAAGAAGGTATTGTGTGGGGGTCTGATTGGGGCGTGTTTCCCCAAGAAAGGTCTGAAATCTATATTTTCCTGGATTGGATTAGTAGGCCTACTTTCAAAATGGCAACTGATACCCGATATGTCCTGATTTTCTGGTGGCCATGGTTATTGGTGGCAAAAGGGAAAATATTACCAATCCCCCCCCCCCCTTCCGATGCATTTGCCACTGAATTTACTTAAATCTAGAGATTTGGTTAATTTAATTTAATGTAGAAGTTGTGGCTGACTGTATCTTAGATCTGTAACCTCTGCAAGGGCGGATCCAGAACACAATTTTGGGGGGGCCCAAAAAAAATTTGGTCCCCCAAAAAGTGGGTCAAAAAAATTACGGCGTGGGGTTCGGGGCCCGCTTAAGCCCCCCCTGGATCCGCCCTTGAACCTCTGTAATCTTTATGTTAACAGTAAAAAGGAGTTTGGGAAATATTGATAACTAGTACAAAGCAAATTTAATTAAAATGGTACAGTACATGAAATTGGATGAGCTGAGTACAAGTTTATGTGGGGCTTACGTTGTTGACCGTAGGTGTGGTGATGGGGTCCTGCCGTGTAAAGCCACTGCCGACCTGGGTCAAGTTGGAGGGCAAGGGGTCGCGACCGTTGGAATCCTGGGCCGGGTTGAAGTGCATCTTGGTGATGGAGGTGTAATTCTTGCGTAGAAGTTTCCTTTTTGAAAAAGAAGAAATCCAAATATGTTTCCGTTTAGAAATTTGCAAGTTAGACATTTGACTCGCATCATAGTCAAATGAAATAAATTATTCAATAGTATTTGTGTGAGGTAGTGACTAAATCTTTAAGCATTCTGAATTGATATACATTTACAAGAACCAAAAAGAAAAAGTTTTATTAATGAAATGAAAGGGTTTTTTTAAAGAAAGGGCTAGACTATAAAACCCTGAGGGAAAAGAAGGAAAACAGAGAGACATGCAGGCTTTAGATTCCCTTCTATCTTTATTTTTTGTTATTTTTTTTTGGGGGGGGGGGGTAGGGGTGGGCATGGGGGGGGGTTCACTTACTCCATAGCTGGGTTGTCCAGAACATCAATCCGCTGGCTGTAGTACACTCCTGGACGAAAGTTGGACTGGTACCCTGTCCCAACGTGCTTCCCCGTTCTAGGACTGTAACCATCTTTGCCGTATGACGAGGAGTAAGAAGTCGAGAAGAACTTCATGATGTCTGCGTCAGGCCCATTGCTGGCATCGACGTGTGCCGTCTTCTGGCCGTGTGGCAGCCGCCCCATGGCTCCTTATCCTGCCCGGTACCGTGCACGTGTGTGTCTGTTGGGAAAAAATGGTTCTTTCTTAAAATAATGTTGCTCATTGATAACAAAATACGAGCAAATAATGGCAATCAGTTAAGGAGAATACATGACAAAGTGTGGATTCGTAATTTAAGAATTCACGAGGCGCGAAGCGCCGAGTGAATTCGTAAATTAAGAATCCACACTTGCGAGTGTATTCTTCGACTTAAACCATTGTGTCAAAAGAAGTATTGGCATTAACAGTGAGTGGAGATGAAAAGACTTGGGATAAATGTTGCAACCTGACGCCACTTCCGCGATTGTGTACAAAGTCTATGGAAAGTCAAGAATTTTTTTAAAGTATTTCCTAACAAAATTGGAAATATTTCTCAGTCCCAGATTCATGTCTTATCATCATTTTTGCAATGAATGCCCTTCATTGAGATATATGGAGAAAAAAGTGGCGTCAGGTTGCAACATTTGTCCCATTGGTAATTTCGGAAGGAAATTTTCACGCAGACGGTCCTATTAATGCTCATTATAGAGAACAATTGTCTGACGTGTTCAAAGTGTGGATTCGTAATTCCGAATCCACACTTTACTAAAGATTCTTTGTTTCGAAACTCCACTTAATTTTTGAGTTGGGTAAGAATGTCACAATTTTCTTCCACAGTACAGGCATAGGCCTATTAAAAAAACAAAAAGAACAAAGACTGCTTAGGCCTGTCATGTCTGTAACTAGTGTAAGTGTAACGGCTTTTTTTATTGATAAGCGCCATGTAAGACTAGTAAGGGTTAATTAAAAAAGACAATTTTGGTCCACATTTATCAAATCTACGCACATAAATTGCTCTTAAATATATTTCATTTCATTTCACCTGTTGCATGATGTGATGCAGTGCTAATGATCAATTACAATTTTCGAAGTGGCTATCGTTACGGCACTCGTTGTTTAGCGCCCTCTACGATTTTTTTTTGATACGCACGCAGGTATATAATTATTTGTTTCCCCACGTTTTATCGAGCAGTGCGCCAGCTCAGCCGATAGAGGGTAGGATTTTGCACCGCGAGGTTGCGGGTTCGAATTTCAGTTTTGCACTCGAATTTTTTTCCTTTTCTAACCTGAGGCTTTGGAGGATTTTTTTTAAAAGGGAAATAAAGTCCGAATTTCATAAAGTTCAAATTCACTTTTTTCCTTCTAATTTTATATTTTCTTGTCATGTTTTTTTTATAAAAGTTGCCAGGTTGCAGTCTACCGTAACGATAGAAAATGGGAAATGCGTTACGGCTGCCGTAACAATAGCCACTGCGTACAATTTTACATGAAAAAAAATAAAATAAATTATAAACAAATGCCATCACTTTCAAGGCATCATTTTAGGAAATTTTAAGTAAAAGCCGAGGCACAATAACCTAAACCTTTGGCCTGTATGCACAAGAAAAACATGTACATGTATGCTTTAATATTACAATGTAGGCCTAGTATTAGGTATTTTTCACAAAATTTATTATAAAGTCTGCATAAACATGATAACATTTTTAACTTTGATTCAGTCTTTGTTGACACATTCCACAATCAGACATGCATGCAAGCGAATGTAAGTACGTTTTCTCGTTTTTCTCACCTCTTGATGAACCTTGCTTCTTCCAGGCCTGGTCAATATTGCAAAGATGTCATAAATTCATTGAATAAAAAATATTAAGTGAATAAAAAAACGTAAAATATGCAATACTTTGCTCGAACTTCGAAGCGATCGCCCGAAAACTGACCACATATGCGGAAGCGCCACTCCAGCTGCTTGTACACGTTGCCATTGACAACTTTATCATGTTTTATTCATAAGCTCTACATATTCATTAACATGTTCCTTATATGGCATCAATTTGATGACGTCACCAAAGCTGGTTCCGATGAGAACGGTTGATAACACATAAGGTTGCCGCAGCATACTTCAAGGTACATGTCTTCAAAAGCTATAGGAATCGTTTAACTTTGCGTATGGATTTTTTACCATGAAAACTTTTGTTTTTATACTGTAGCCTGCGCAGATTCGATTTATATTACATCTAATTATATTGTTCAACAATTTCTTAAATACAGTAACTTATTTGACATGATTTGTACTTATTGAGTAATTTATATGCGAGACCTATTTTGTTTATTGCAGCAGGACAATCTATTTACTCGATTTGCACTTCGGCTAACTCAGGTGCAGCAGAAATGAATACATTTTTGTGAGCACACCCATTGAATATTGCGTGTTAACGTTGGATTAGGCTCATGGGTTTACAAAAGGCTATTTTTAGTTTATTCGAGTCACGTTGACGTAGTTGCGAGTCACTTCCGCATATGGTTTCTGCTATTTTCTGTTGTAAGTAGATTTTGGAGAAATATTATTTGTCATGAGATTACTGAACGAGCAGCATTATTTTGTCATATTCCTCCAGTCATTTGACATGTTGACTTTTTTTTTTAGTAGGCCTAAAAATTTCCAATTTCTTGTAGTTGTACAAAAAAATTAACACCTTGTATAAACTTTATTCAAATTTAACTAGGCTTAGGCATAACCAGTAACTGGTTATACTTTTTATTTGTTGAAATTCACATTTTCAGTCATTTGAAATCTGAACGAGATATTTGCAACATGGAGTTTGCTTCGACTCACGTGTACAACTACGATGAATCTGATGAAGAGGAAATAACAGAAAAAGATTTGGACCTCAGGTAAGCATCTAACAGCCATGACCATGATGACAGCTAAAAATCAGCACACATATAAGTACATCACATCAAATATTTTTAAAACTGAACATTATATTTAAAATTGACTTACTACGTACTAAGCAGCTAAGCTCATGAAGCTATGTATAGCCCCATAAATGTGGCCAAACTACCTCCGTAAATAAAGGCCACACTTCCATCATGTGTGAAAACATGTAGAACTTTGTCAAATTTTGATTTTCACATTTAGGCTTAGTTTGTAGTTCATTTTTGCTTTAGAAACATACTCACCCAATTATACTATAGGCTAATAAGAAAGTGCTGCCTTTTTCAGATGTCTATTTTTCGTGAAATTTCATGTTGAAATTTTGATACGCAAACGTGTGCAAACGAATCAGTAAATTGGCCACATTTATGGGGCTAAGCTATGTAGGCCTACACTTCTACTTCTAAGATTGTAATCTAAACAATGAATTCCTATTCAAACTTATTTCATTTTACATCAGATTATAATTTTTGTACAACTGGTTTGCCAAATTCCAGGCAGGATGATAATGGCAAATGCCATCAATTTTGTGTATGGCTAGTGAAATACTGTGAACCTTGTCTAGTCTCTGCCTCATGAAAATTTTGGAGAATTTTGTTGGCTAAGGAGTGAGTAAAGTTGGCCTGATTTTTTTTTTTTTTGCATATTTTTCTGCACTCAATCAAGGTTCCAGTCTGGAAAACTCCCATCAAAACGTTTAGGTGGGTCAGATGTTATACACGGCTAACACAATTTGCATAATTTGTTAATGTGCATATTAAGTTAAATGTATGTCTAATTGCATTTTTGTGCATGTGCATAACAGTTAAAAAAGTTATTGACTTTTATTTTTTGCAATGGCCTTGTCTTGGATTTTCTCTTTCAAGTTCACACTACCAACCGTTACGCTGGTAAGATGTGTTTTCTAGTGACTCGTGGCTATGCGTTTATGGTTATACATAGTGGACATATCACTCTTCAATATCATAGTTTTGTATTTTATGATTACCAGTTCATACGCATCACCAATGTCTTACAAAACATGTTCCATATTTTATGCATGTAATATTATTACACCATTCATCCTGATTTTCAGTGCGCATTGTTTTTAGCACATTTTGTTTTGTTCAGGAACAAGGCCACAGCCAATTTATTTTTTGTAATCTAGTCCATGACACATGGTTCTGTTTCTTTTACCATGTTTATATTGTAGCATCATTATGTGGCATACTCATGTACATGTATATTTCATGTTCCTTGTGTGGTGTTCTTCATATACATGCACATTTATCGACTTTTGTGTAATTAACCACGCAAATTTAGGCTGATTTCATGCACATTGCACAAGTTTCAGTAATGCATGTACCAGCACAAATATTAATGGCGATTTGTTGTATTTTGGTAGCATTTTGCATGGTGTTGCACAGTTGCAGTTAAACGTTATTTTTTTTTTTTAGTTTTGCACCAATCTAAGGCCAAAAAAAAAAGTCTCCGGTTTCTGGTATGGTGCTTGCCCAAAAAGTGGTGCGGCGACGCGGCTTTTTTTTGTTTTTTTACCTGATTTTTTTGCTTTAAATGTCGGCTGATGAATGCAAATGGTGCCTGACTAAACTTACTGCAAATATATGGGAGTCCAGAGAGGCCACATGAAGCTATTCTCGACCATAACCCAATCTAAAAACACGTTAAAATTGTGCAGCAGCAGGATTCCAGTCAAACCAGTGAGTTTGGCGGTTTTGAGACATCATCTTTTATTGAAAAAAAAACTTTTTCATTTTGCCGACGCGCATGGCTACGGCGACGCGCGCGCATACCAGAAACCGGAGACTTTTTTTTTTTTGGCCTAACTTCATTTTACACAAATTAGTCAGAAATATCATCCATTTTCCTTGCAAGTTACCCAAATGCTCGATCTAAAAGGCTCTCAGAACCTTTCAAAATCCACCAAAAGGGTTTGTAAGATTTTGCAGGATTGAGAAAAATGGAGCACATCCTCTGTTACTATTCACAGAGCTTGTTGTTCTTGGAAATATTAAATGCACACGTTGTTAGAATTTGCAGATTCAGTATCAATCATCTGTAGTCCTAAAACATAGTTGTGTGGAGGTCCAAGACATATCACATGTAAAAGAAAAGTTTGTCTTCATCGTTTATTTTCATCTTGTTTTAAACTTTAATTTTAGGATTTGCAGTGTCTGACACATTTATAAGCCAAAGAGCAGTTATAAACCACTTGAGAATACTTAGCCTAAATATTTGCCTTAATACAGAACACAAAACTTCTTTCCTTCTTTGTAAAAGGCAAACTTCATTCCTAGAAAGTATTATTTCAGTCTTTTTCATTCCACTCATTCCAGCATGCAGCCTGGTGCATTTATTTCAGAAGTTAAAACAAAATAAAGTTTTAGTTTCTTTATCAGAGGAATAAGTTCTAAATTTCGTGAATGCAGTGATCTTGTTTCCTTATTTTTTTTTGTATACATTCACCATACATGCACTTTACACTGATCTTTTCTCTCCGTACAGTGCACAAGAAAGCTCTCAATATATGCCGTTGGGTTTTCAGGCAAATCTGGCTGGAGTTGCTCAGTCAGAAGGTACGTGTTACTCATTCTCCTGTCATATTTTGACTTTTTTTTGTTTACAAATTATTTAACCCTCCTAGTGGGAAGTCAATATGTAAAATACTTCCAAACACTGCAGTTCAGTTTAAACTGAAGGGATATGATGTGTTGAAGGGAATATACATCATTTGCTTTTGCTGTAATTTTCAGAAATGGATGGAATTGGGGGGTTAGAAATATATAGCAAATATAGTTACACTGACTTTTTTGAGGTTTTGGGTTCGAAAATGCTATAAAAACCAAGAAAAACAATCATTTTCCAGTAGTCTGGTTCCCTGACTCCATTTAAGAAGAAACAGAGTAGTTTACATATATTGGGGAATTGTAAGGTCAGGGAACCAGTCTAGCTGGCTTGTACCCGTTCATAGGTGTGTAATCGATTGCAAACAAGTGCGATGGTCAACTGGGGCCAGTATTTGAAAAAAAGCCAGTTTTTTCCAACGCTGATCGGCCGATCAGCATTGGAAATTGATACAAAAATACCACTTTTCTTGAAAATGACAGTATACCAGGTGCCATGATTTTACAGGATGCTTTACACTGTCACCACTAACAGTCCAGCAAGGTATTTCAAAATGATTTGGTAGTTTTATTTTTTGATGTTTGCAAATGTTGTATTTTCCCTTTAAAGTAACTGTGTCACTAAAGTCACTGCACCAAAAAAAAAAAAATCATTGTAGAGAGTTGTGAAGTGTGACTGAGTCTGCCTGCTAGCCCTGAGCTTAACCACACAAAAGAATTGTGCAGGGATTTGAAGAGTTAACCATACTTCACACACAGGAATTTGAAGTGTGGGTGCTCACTCAATGGACAAAAGTGGCTTTGCGAAACTCGAAGGAATGTAAAGTGCAAAAGACAAGGAGGGTTAATAAAAAAAAGGCCTAAAAGTAACAGCAAAACAAAAAAAGAGACCTAAGGCCAAAAAAAAAAAGTCTCCGGTTCCTGGTATGGAGCTTGCCCCAAAAGTGGTGCGGCGACGCGTTTTTTTTTTTTTTTTTACCTGTTTTTTTTTTTGTTTTTTTTGCTTCAAATATCGGCTGATGACTGCAAATGGTGCCCGACTAAACTTAGTGCAAATATATGGGAGTCCAGAGAGGCCACATAAAGCTTATTCTCAATCATAACCCCATCTAAAAACACGTTAAAATTGTGCAGCAGCAGAATTCCAGTCAAACCAGTGAGTTTGGCGGCTTTGAGACATCATCTTGTATTGAAAAAAAACCTTTTTCATTTTGCAGACGCACATGGCTACGGCGACGCGCGCGCATACCAGAAACCGGAGACTTTTTTTTTTTGGCCTAAACAAAATATAAATAATGACAGATTGACCAATACCGCTCCAAATCACTTGGCCTGTTGCTCCCTGTACTGCCAAAAACTGCCTTATGAATTTGCGTCGGGTGATGTAAAACAATACTGGGCTTTGCCCTTGCTTCTCTGATGTATATTTTGTATAAACACTGTATACTCAGTGTTTTGTGAGTGTTTGTGAATCACACTGAGTATGCAGTGTTTATAAAAAAAATACGTTAACGCAGGGCAAAATCTAATATTAAATAAACAGTGTAATACAATGTAGTGAAAGTACATGTAACAGGTGCTAATGTAATACAATGTAGTGAAAGTACATGTGTACATGTAACAGGTGCTAATGTAATACAATGTAGTGAAAGTACATGTAACAGGTGCTAATGCATTGTAATTTCTTTATGCTTCATGTGATTTGGGTCCCTCGATCCGGTCACAAGTAAATAATATTTGCAAAATCTGGGACCTAACAATATGAATGTGTTTTAATCCTGTAGAGACATACGACAGCACCATATTTGCCAAGCCTACAGCAGATGGTATACAAAATGCATGTTTTGATATTGTTTGCAATTTATCAATGGAAAGCATAATGTGTACTTCCCAGTGAAGCTTAAATAATTTTGTTTAATGATTAACACCAGCATGAGGACTGCAAACTTTGTGCATTATGCATGTGCCATCTGCTTCAATAACAGAATCAATACATTATGATAAGTGTTCTGGTTCTGTTTAAGTCACGTCTCCTGCACAGTATGTAGGGATCTGACTTCTTGCTCAAATCTGTTTTGTTTGAAATATAGATTTCACATGAAAATGCACAAGCTTTAAAGTAACAAGTTTAATACACAACTTTCAGCAGGTGGCATTGTTGTAGTGCACGGTGCAAGAAATTGTGAATTCATTTTTTTAAAAAGTAGCTTTAGTGTTGTAATGGGCATGCTATTGGCCTCTGCCTTAACATTGTCGTTGAAATTGTTCAGTTTTTATTCCTTTGAGAATGACGGTATCTTTGCATAAGAATTCCCTCAATGGTTACATCTATAGAGGTGGGACTCTTAAACGCATTGCTGCTGTGCACTTGACGCTCATGTGAAGACGCTACGGCTGTGCGCACATTCAGGGTCAAATTTATCTCGCGTACCTCGTGCCATTTTTGCACGTGTGCCATATTGGGCTGTCACTGGTTAGGTCATGCATTGTCATGGAGCACCATCTACATGTACTGTTTGCGCATGGAGCCCTTACTTTGAGTGCTTGTAACAGAGTAATTTAAGCATGTAGATGAGGAAAAGCAACTACTGTACTCAATTCTTGTACTTTTTTTTAGTTTGTTCCTTTTTTATGTGCCTTATAATAAATCCTTAATTGCGTTATTTACTTTATTTTTCATTTTTTGCCTTATAATTAATTTTATTTTTTGCCTTATAATTAATTAAAGCTCCTTTGTCATCGACTTGCACTATCAAAGCCTTGGTGTTGCTTTATTTTGCTGGATTCATTACTTACTGTGACAGATAATTAAAATTGAAAATTTGCGGTGTCTCAATCTCTCGTGTCTAGCTACTGTATTTAAGTCTTCAAAATGACAACTGTATGAGAACATGCTAACAAAACAAAGGACATAGCTGTAGCTCTGGACCCAGCCATATCTTCTTTTTTAATATTTAGGTTTTTTTTAAATTATATGTTATGTTTCCATTTTTCAGTTTCTTTTTATTTGGCCTTCTTTCTGACCTGCTGACTATGATAATTCAATCCTCGCCAACTCACCAAAATTCACAGTGTTCATGTACTGATAATGTTGAAAGATAACTCGTTATTCGGTGGCAGCAAATGTTTGGGTAACATTTGGCAAATGGCTGTTGTGACTTGGCCTGTAAATGAAGCTTTCAAGTCTGTGTGGCTGATAGGGGCATTTTGTGCAATGAATGTTTTTGGAAGACAGTTTTACTGACGTTGTGATATAAACATTTTTTTAATGAAGCTGTGGTTTGTTTTTTGGCAGTGATTTATGACAATACTGGCTGCCGTCCTATACAGAACCAACGTCAAGGTAAGCATCATTAAAACAATCGGAAAGAATGTAGTATCCCAACGACGCCACTTCTTTGGTTGTGTACAAAGTCTATGGAGAGTTGAGATCATTTTCAAAGTATTTTCTAACAAAACAATTAAACAGCCATAATTTGTCCACGGAGTGTCTAATTGAAGTGCAACAAACAGTAATGTAAGGAGAAATTTAGTCTCTTTCCTAATACCCACAAACCCTCATTTGGACCTCTGCTCAGTACTGTCTCATTTTGCCAGAATGCCTCACATGTTGCCATCTTTCTAGATCCCTAAAAAAGTGGTCTTTCATTTTCTAACTCCCTCAGTACTTTACCCCGTCTTATTGCTTCAGTTACTCAGTCGACCCCCTTTTTTACATGGTTTTCTCTTTCATGCACTACAGAAGCAATCTATGACAACTTAAAAGCTCCTGAGCCCCCACCCCCTAGGGTCAAACCCAAGCCCAAGAGGAACAAAGACACCGGTGAATATGCCTCGGCCTATGAAATGCTCAGGCCAGGAGATCCCTACTACTATATCCAGGGGGGTGAGTATATTAACAGTATTTTCCTCGTTAGAAGCTGCCGACTTCTTTTCCTTTGTACACAAAACCAATACTGCTCAGCAACCTCTACGACTGTATCCTATGATGCACTGAAACAAATTATAATGCCCTCTGTTTTGTAACTGCGTTTATCAAATTGCTCGAATTATTGAGGATGCTACGATAAATGACTGGTTGTTTTTGCCTCTAGAGGGAGCTCCTCAGCAGCCACCGCCCTTACCTCCGATGAGGAAGCCAGTGAAGAAAGGTAAATAATCCATCAGAACAATTTTAGCTGAATTTTTTTTTTTTTTCTGTTTGCAGTTATTTTTCGCATATATTTGTCTACTTCCCAGGAGAAGATCATTGTTAACTGTTCACTTTAGTTTTAACTAAGGCGAAGAACAGTAAATGCATTCTTTTTTACATTTGCTTTTTTAAAAGTGAAAATGTTTTTAAAAACTTGTTGCAAACAAACTATATCCGTAAAAGTGCTGATGATTTTAACAAACAATTGAAAGTGTCGTCTTTTCAATAACATTACCTACAGCGGTGAGATGGTTTGCATGTTGCAGATGCTGTTACGATCTCATAAAAATACAAGAAATTAATATAAAATATGATTTCAAATGGGTTTTGAATTATACATTTTGTATTCCAAAGAACTGATTTGTTTTGCGTGCCGGGTCCTGAAAAAACATTTTCTGAAAAAAGAAAATGTTGTTCACAAGAAATAACTTCCGTCTTGCAAAAATTGTGATTGATACAAAACATTTCTACTTTGGTACTATACCGTTTGTAATTATTATCATTTCTTCCTTCTTTTTCTTTTAAACCTAGAGCCAAGTAAGAAACACCGTCGGGCAGATACCAACGTGATCGCCGTCAAGTTTGACATGCTGGTCAACCCCAGCCACCTGCATGCAGGCAGCCCAGTCTTCTGCAGTAACTGTGAAGCAGCATTCTCCGCTGTCAGTAGAATTACCCCCAGTGGAGATGGGGCACAGGTAGGGGCAAATGGGTGGATACAGGAAGGTTATTTGCGACAAGATATTGAAGCTTAGAAATTGTTCAATTCCGTATTCAGGGTGTTTTACCCTTAAGGGAAAATGTGACCTGCTCCACAAAAAAGGGTATTATGTCGCCAAACAATTGAGTTATATACATGTTTGGAAAGCCCACAATGTAAGCTTTCATTTGATATATAATAGAGCTCCCGTTCTGGAGATATGCTGTATTTGCATATTAATTACTTCCTCGAAGTTCAAATTACACAACTGAGAAAACAGGCTTTGAAATAGCTGGCTTTGTTGTAGGACAACAGAACGATAAACACAAAATGGTTGGTTTTTCCACTTTATTCATCAAAATCAACTTTTCTGTGAATGAAACCTGAAACTGTAGGTAGTATAGATATCATTCATGACAAAAAATGAAAATCACATTTTGACGAAATGTTCACCCTCTCAATGTTGAGCAGGCCATTACACAATAATGCTCAGCGTGAGTTAATACCCTTTTTTGTGGAGCTGGTCACAAATTGCAAAACTAAACAAGCGATAACTTGAGGTTGAATACTGCGGTACTTCGTAGTGTAAAAAGAAAGTAAAATCTGTCACGAGCCAATATGGCCCATCAGGCTGGCGTTTATCTCCAGTTTCCTGGATGGGATGCCAGTCTATCGCAGGTTACTCCCCAGCTAATGCTGGGACCCATTTATACCCCCAGGTGGAGAGAGGCCAGTGAAGTTGGATTGGCTTGTCTAAGGACACAATATACGACCAACAGCTGGATTCGAACCCCGACCTGCTGATCAAGAGTCACTAAAACCCGGTTCATACTCGGCACGAAAGCGAGAGCGAACGCGAAATTGTGACAACATGGCAAGTATTTGCGCTGCGAATTCGCAAAAGTTGAACACATTTCAACTCGGACGAATTTCGCAGCGAATGTTTCATGACGTCAACTTCGCTTCGCATTCGCTTTTGCATGAAGTATGAACCGGGCTTAACCCTAGCCACTAGACAGCATTGACTGAAATGTTTGAAAGAAAATCAATGACCGTTTTGTGGTTTCTTTTTGGTCAGATCTGGAAATGTGAATTTTGTGACAAGAGGAACCCGGTGACTGCTGCGATGCAGAGTATTCCCAAGGAGGATGACTTGACCTTCACCATTCAGCCTGGGTCAGGGGGAGGGGACGACACAGCTGTTATCTTCATGGTGGATATCTCAGGCAGCATGTCAGTAACCACAGCGGTGAGTAGCATCAGTCAGGAGCCCTAATGTTACTTGAAAAAAATTGGTTTAAATTTGTTCATTTTTGTAAATTTTAAGATTTAGTATGTACATGTAGGGCTAGACTTCTTCTTCTTTTTTTGTATCTGTAGGTTCCAGGAACTTCTCTTAAGGACCAGAGACTTAATGATGCGGGGGCGGCTCTCTCCGCCTATAAAGAGGAACTAGCTGAGCAGGAGGATAGATACACTACGGGACCCAAGACGGAATGCACTTACGTCTCAAGACTACAGGTAGGAGCCTAGGAATGGAAGTGTTGTCAGGGATCAAAAAGAAGGACATACATTAAGCTTGGATTTTCTTAGTTTGAAACTCCCAGTAAACTTGCTCTTCGTTTTTGTGAGCTACACAACATCCTTTAGGGACACAAACAAGTCACACTACATTTATGGAATGACCCAGACATAATCATTATTTTATTTTGTCTCCACAGGCCATGCAGTCGGCCATTGATCAACAACTTTGGAAAATGGAGAAATCCCTTGGAAACAAGCGAGTTGGACTGGTGGCCTTCAACGACAATGTAAGTATGATGTTTGATTTAGTTTTGTTTATTTCTGTTTTGGGTATTCTTATTTTGTAATACAAAGTTTTCAGAGCAGAACTGAGTATAAGTCCGTTTTCTTCCGCCTAAGAAAAAAGAGGAAGACAAAAATGACTTCCTCTGGACCTGTTTTAGTTTTGTCAGCTACTTTTGTCGGCGTGTAGTTGAGTACTTTTGTTTGAGTACGAAGCACTACTAAATACCAAGCTACCGAGTACCATTCACATCAAGTACTTTAACCATTGAGAATGACCACAGGTCCCTGAGTCCAAGTACTTGGGACCTTCAAGTACAAGTTTTGTGAATCCCAGCTGAGTACTTTGAACACTGAGTACAGCACTAGTACTTGGACCCTTGAGTACAGTTCTATTCAGTAAGTATCGATAAATAGAGCATGTGCTTCTCCAAGTGAGGAGATTTATTTTATCCAAATAGTGAGTACTTTAATGATGGAGTACGATATCGAATAGTCAGATCCAAGTACTTTGCTTCTCGAGCAGGAGTACCGTGAATTCAAGTCCGAATGTTTAGATATTTGAGTACGTTTGCGAGTACAATATTCTCAAAAAGTACTTGAGTTGTATTCAGGTACCAGTACCTAGTATAAGTACTACAACAGTACTTTTTGTTACTTTTTGTTTAACAAAACCTCCAGTCCCTCCTTGATTTTATTGTACAATTAATGGAGTGGCTTAATGCCTTTGCAGTAAAACATTACATGAAATGGTTACCATTTCCTTTTCATCATTAGGTGACTGTGATCGGGGACGGAAGCCAGGAACCAGTGCCTCTAGAGGGCGCCGGTTTGACGGATGAGCAGAGCATCATTAGCTTGGGCAAGATATTCCCCCTGCCGGCCCCCATCAGCGAAGTCAGAAGATGTCTCTCAGATAAGGTCTTCAGGTATGTGAATTAGGTTTTGCCCATCACCACCATTATTTCCTAAAGTGTATACTCAATGTTTGTTGTCTGGGGGCCTGTGAGACACAAAAAATCACAATCTTACTCGGGTGGGACTGGAACCCATGACCTCCTGCTTACTAGTGCAGACGTCTAACCAGTCAATGACCGAGCTTGCCAGGGTTGGCTTGCCAGTTTGATTTTGATGTAGCAGCGGGTACCGCAACCAAATTTTTTGTGAGGCGAAATTTGCATCGGTGATTCGGTTTTGGACTTCGCCAACGTATCTTTTTAAACACTGTATACTCAGTGTTGTCCGAAAGCTTGCAAGAAAAGAAAAAACACAAGCTTCCTCGGATTGGACTCTAGCCTATGACCAATTGCTTACTAGTGCAGATGTCTTATCACTTGACCACCAAACTAGCCGTGGTTGGTTGTCTCGTCTCAAAGGCATAACAGAGTGCCGTCTCTCTCTTCAGCCTTTCTGATCCCCTGAGACTTATTTTCTGGGAACCGTTAAAATCATCCAATCATTAAAAAAGCAGGCTTCATATTTTAGCTGATCTGGTATGGTTGAGGTTATCTTAAAATTAACAATCACATTTTTAAAAGTTTTCTTTTACGTTTTTTTTATTTTTTATTAAATGAGGTATAAATTTGCCATTTGTATTTGACAGCCTGACGGAGGGAGGACAAACGGCTCTTGGACCAGCCCTCATTTTATCCGTTGCCATGGCGTCACAGAAGCCAGGGTCAAAAGTCATAGTGTGCACAGATGGCTTGGCTAACGTTGGGCTTGGAAAGTTAGACGTCACAGATGATGAACACTATGATAAAGCCTCTGAATTCTACGAGTATGTCGGACATTATGCCAGGGACAGTGGGTAAGACATTTGTTTCTTTTTTCCCACACTTTTTTTTGGAAAACAAAAATTTTGGGTAACAAGCCCTTCATTACCGAAATTAATTGGAAATGTTACCATAGTACTTGTCTTATTAAGGTTACATTTTAGACCCTGGTGATCTAAAAGATCAAACAGTCACTGGAAATATTTTGAAAATGTAAAAAGTGGAATTCTATTAAATAGTTGCATTCATAAAAGGGGCTTTCATCTTTTTAAGTGGAAACCGGTATTTACTGTTAAATATGTTTAAACAAGGAGCGATAATGGACTACTTGGTTATACAATCCAAAGTCAAGTCCCTTTAATTTTTGTGAAAGTAAGCCCAGCTCAAAATAAATTTGTTGTTGGGGACAAAATGTCTAAATACTGAATTATTTGTTTGTCAAGTCACTCATGCTAACTTGTTTGTTCTGTCTGCAACCCATTGTATGTGGTTCAGTTTTCCCTTGGCAACAAATTAATAACAATTTTCGACGACAACTAGAGCCTAATCGAAACGTTAAGAACCGGCTCTTCGAAGAGCCACACTTCTCCAAACAAAAGAGAGAGAGATTTTCACATGGTGCTATTGAATACACTTTTAACTAATAACAATTTGACCTGTTTTTGATGGTGAATTTACAATTCCCTCTTGTTTTTATCCCTCAGGACCTGTGTCTCTGTGTTAACAATGGAAGGGGAGGATTGTCGTGTGATTGAGCTGGGAAATGTTGCTGATAAGACTGGCGGACAGGTAGGGTTTGTGAATAACAGAAATTTAAAACATTTAAACAGGATATCATACGTCCACTAAATTTAGTGAAGAGTCCTTTATACGTTTGCCTTAATTTGGCTTTTGGAACAAACTTTTTTCAATAACATTGCCTGGCCCGTTTTGTGTACCACAGCACAGTTGTCTAGAGCTGCTTTGCATTAAATATTTCTTGGAAGATTTTTAGAATTAGTTTTGAAGCTTGTCTTTAGTTGAGGAGAAAATGGAGTATGTGCTATATTTCCAAGAGGACTATTCCACTTTAAATGTTTAGGTTCTTTATTTTGATTTGTGCTGTTGTAAAAACCAATCAGATACAGTCATTAAGCCGCCTATCCATAGCTAATCAATCCCTCTATTTTTTCTTGTTCTGTTTGTATTCTTGTGATGACATCCTTGTACTCTCGTATTGAAGGCCAAAGTTCAAACTTCAGGCGAGTGCGTACCGTTAGGCACAAAATCTTTATGAAGAAATTGCCAGGGTCAAAATGTGTTTGACTTTTGTAAATTCAAAGCGCAAGGAATTGTTGTGAAATCACAAATTCCAGTTCATCTTTGCTTTTCCCGAACCAGTCAAGATTTGAGCAATTTGTTTCATCTTTTGGGTTGTTCCTTACAGGTGAGTGTGGTTGATCCCATGAAACTGAACGAGGAGTTTGCTAACATCCTAGATGACCCTATCCTGGCGACCAACGTCTCAGCCAAACTGGTGCTCCATAAAGGATTGTGAGTTTTGCCAACTTCTCAAGTGTTTATTCTGATGGTTTGGAAAGTAATCCATTCCAATTTCTTGAATTTGAAACATATTAAAGGCACTCTGTCAAGTTGGAGTAAATCAATATGGAATTATTTGTAATTTTTGATTTCAAACTGTCCTGTGTAGGTGCCATGTAGTTTGTACCATCAGTTCTCGTTTGGGGAAAATAACCGTATGTGTGTCAAGTTATAACAGGGTTTTAAAATTAGACAAATGGTCCTGAACATGTTTGGGCACCAATCAAAATTTAATGCATACACACCAAATGTATACATTTGCAGAATACTTTTTCATGACATCTTTCTTTCCTCAAACTATTTTTTAATTACACAAATGTTCTCATTTTTTTCTAATGTAACTGCCATATTGACAAATTGATAATCGTTCTGTGCATTCCCAACAAGGTACTTCCGCGACGATGAGAACGTGGATGGTGAGCACGTAAGCCACGCGACCCGGAACATGGGCATTGTGAACAAAGATTCCGAGACCACATTTGAGTTTGGTGTCCGCACTAAGCCCATACGAGAGGGTAAGCCAATCAGTCCTTAATTGACCAGATGCATGAACTTAAGAGGGCGGTATATAACCTTAGCAGCAGCTGCTAGCTGCTTCAAGGATGTTGTTCATCGATGTACATATGAGAATTTTTTTTGTAAGAAGGGCAGGGTTTTAATGTACAGCCGCATCATAAAAGTACACACGTGGGTATGGAAGTGGCTGAATCAACTTATCAAAGAATCATGTGTTATTGCCAGCCATAGCCAAGGAATTGGATTGACAATGAGAATGAAGAAAAACTGGGTTATGTTCATTATCTTGTGTTAAAGCCTTCGAATGTATGTGAGCAGGAGCTGTTATAAAAGTAAGATTTTAGAGCAATTACAGTTTTCATGGACATTTCTCATTTTGGTAGTGCTGTTTATACACAACAATGCCTGAGATGATATTTAACCATCTTTTAGCCTTAATTTAGATCTAAATTTGAATTGATTGAATTAATAGTCTTATGGCTGTGTGGTAACGGGACCATTCTTCTGTAACTGTTCATGCATAATTTTGTTTTTACTATTTTTCTGCAGTTATCTATGACAACTTTGGTGGCATGACCATAACGCACAAAGATGATGAGGGTAAGATAATTGTTTTCTCTTTTATTTCTCATTTTGTGGGAGGGACATACCACATGCACGCAGTGGTTCACCCATGTATGGCGTGAAGTACGCGTGACTCATTTAATTCTGAATATACACAAATCCATGGCATCTTCGCTTGAGCCAGTTGCCATCGGCTGTGCATTCGAGTCCCTCCCAATGGTCTCCCCCAACTCTCTCTTTGTTACCGTTGAGGGGGTACTTGTGTGCACATAGTCCATAGCCAGGGTGTAACAATGAATTTATATTTATCAATTCCGCTCACAGTCAAAGTGGAGCCAGTTTATGACTCGGTGAATCCCAAGAGTATGATAGAAGGCATGGAGAGACTGCCATTCCAGCTACAGATCTGGTTCATGGGACGGAACGGCGCGCAGAATCTACGCGTCATCACCATGGATCGACCGATCACCAAAGACCGGCACTTCACTGAGATGAGTAAGTTACTCAGTCTTGTTACTCCTTGTACATATTTATGATTCAAATGCACTTCTTTCATTGTCGACGTTCCAATGCGTCAGGGAATTAACAGCCATGGCCAAGTTCAGGCAAGGACCATTAGTCGACTAGTGGTTGATTTGTGACGTACCTTACGCCTGGGCAGTAATAGCAACGTGCGAACGTCTCTTGTTGAACGCTGGTCAAAATGTTATCCCAAAACTTCTGGATCCTGGCTCCCTGCTAGCGTTATGAATGCGTGCAGCTATTGGTTACCAGCGATGCAACCAGCCCCAGTAGGTTGGTTCCAAATAGTCGACTAGCGTAGTCAACCACCGTCGACTAGGCAGAGTTCGGGCAAGCGTTAGTCCAACTATGGTAAACTATAGTCCTTGCGCGAACTTGGCCAGTGTTGTCAAGTCCACCACAAGTCCATCACAAGTCATCCAGTCTTAAGTCAAGTCACAAGATATTCAAATGAACTACGACAAAGGCATTCCTTGGTTATTGTTACTCATACTTGTGTCTGGACTTGTGAACTGACTTGTCATTTACTAGTAACTGGACTTGTGACGGACATGTGTTCAGTGTTGTAGTTGAGTTCATTGCAAGTCCATCACACGTCCTTCAGTCTCAAGCCAAGTCACTAGCTATTCAAATGAACTGTTACAAAAAGCATTCCTTTGTCATTGTTCATCCCGTTACATGTGATTGGACTTATGAAAGGACTTGTGACTGGACTTGCCAAAGGATTTGTGCAAGGTCTTGTGATGGGCTCGAGTACAACACTGGTAGATTGTTACATTTCAGCACTCGGAGATTGTATCTGACTAGCACTTATAATGTTGGTTTCCCCGTTTTTTCCAAATTTGCTGCACTAGATGCTAATGTAGCGGTTTTGGGAGCCCATGCAGCCCAATCGGCAGCTAAGCTTGCCGTGGAGGGCCTGTATGGAGAAGCACGCATCAATGCGCTGGTCACACAGAAACTTGTGGAGAGACATGCGTAAGTACTTTGTTGACTGGAGCGGGGTTTGAACCTGCGACCTCCAGATTGCCAATCCGGTGCTCTACCAACTCAGCTATCCAGCCCTATGTTGGCAGTTCCCCATTTTGACAATGTCTTTGTTCAAGGGGCGCTAGTCAGAAGCCATAAACCCGTAACTGTCATGTAGCCAGGGATCACGCCAGAAGTCGAGATGCTATTGCAACAGTAGCAATGTTGCAAACCTGGGAAATAGCAAACGGGGATCACTCAGAGAGGATACAGCTTTTTATTACAATTGTTCAAACCACAAAGGGAAACTGACTAGGTGCATTGTACAAAGTAATGTAACTAGTGCATATCATTTCTGTAGCAGTCTAGTTAGTAATACTGCTCTCTATTGTCTTCCAGACTACAGCAAGGTGATGAGGGAGAGGACGTCTATCAGACCTTTGTAGCCACCTTGGCTCCCATCCAATCAGAGCTGTACAGAGCCCACACGGTAAGAACTACGCTTGATAACTGAAGTAACGCAGTTGTTACACTGTGTGAGACTTGCTCCCACAAAACCCAGACGAAGATGCAGAAGTTGTTTTTGCACAAAGGGCATGTGAAGTCGATTCAGGGTGAAACTGACCATTTTGAGGTTTTGAGATTTTCTGAATCAATAACTGTACATTTACGACCTCCCAAAATATGAGTATAATCCACGAAGAGACGAGTGTTTTTAGGATTGAAATAGTGAAAAAAATGTGTATAGAAATGTATACAGAAAGCATCTCAATAAGCGTGTTTATCACTTAATTGTGTTGTCGGGCTTTTATCACTTAATCCTTCTCCCAGGGTTGATAGGGTCATAGTACCTTTGTAAAGCATATATCATTATGAAGCTGAAAACATCAGGAATTTGAAAATGCCTAAACCTAAAAAAAACAACATCTGTCAACTTTGTCCGGGCTTTTGGGAGCAGGTCACATCTGTAACTTATTCTTCAAATTAGGTTTTGCCCTTCACCGACGTTTAAACACTGTACACTCAGTGTGTTACCTCTCGAGTGAAAGTTGGAAAAAATCACACGGGTGGAACTCGAACCCACGACCTCTTGCTTTCTAGTGCAGATGTCTTACCAGTTGACCACCGAGCTAACGGGATCGGTTGGCCGTTTCGAATCTGATGTACATAGCAGCGGGTACCGCATAAACTATTATTAACTTATTCTTGTCTTTAGTTAATTGTCAGAATAATTGTCAAGATTGACAAATACTTTCAGATTTTGTTTACAATTCTTAATGTGCACCAAGCCTGTTTTTTGGTTTGGGTAATTTTTACCTCACTGTATTTTGTTTGTTTGTTTTTTATTTATTTTTATATATATTATTGTTTTTTCCTTTTTTTTTTTTTTTTTTTAATATTCCGCAGTAATTACTCTACAAAATCAGTGTGCAGAATTGAATGCAGGATTGTTCTCCCTCTAGAAATCTGGGTTTTCTTTTTCTGCTGTTTCATTCTATCCATTCGGTCGGAATTAAATAGGAGTATGTCAGAAGACATTATATGGGGGTTTTATTTGTGGTTTTTACATTGACATGGCACAGTGAATGTCTGTAGCTGCAAACAAAAACATCAATTTCAGACATCGCTGGATAAGGTTTTCAAACTATTCTTCTTCTCTTTTTTTTTGTAGTCTGCTCGCCGTCAACCCGGGGCCAGACCAAGCGAAGACCTTGAGGATGATGACGATGAAGCAGCAGTGTACACCGTTTTTGTTGGCAACCAGAAATCTGTCAAAAGAGGCATGACAAAGAAGGTGGGATTCCCTTTAAAGTTAACAAACAAACAAAAGGAAAGAAACAATACAAAACAACATTAAACAAATACTCCAACCAAAAGTTCAAATAGACACAAAAAGTAAAGAGTATGCTTATATGTTTTCATGTAATTTGCCAAAGTTGTGTCAATTCCTGGCTTAAGTAACTATTTCAAAAGGGAAAACCTGACCAGCTTTTATTTTGACCAAGGCTGGAATTGCCTATGTGCCTTTTTAATCATTTATTTTAATTCCTCTGTGGTTATTCAGGCCAAGAAGAGAAGACAAAAGATCACAGACAAGCAGGCCAACCTCTTCTACAAGATGAAGAACGCCACCAGCAACATGTTCCAAAAACACAAAGGTCAAATGAAAATGTGAAACATCAACTGAACCACCAAAATATGGACGACTTTGACATCTATCGGGTAGTAGTCATTGCTGTGGGTAGGCAATTTATCCTGTTTAGTTTAGGTGATCTGTTCAACCTTAATTTCTGGTTGTAGAGTTGTCTTTTTATGACAGAGCGATCCAATAAAGTACAGTAGTGATGACTGTTTATTTCAGGTTAACCTTCCTTCATGAAAGACTCATGTCTTTAAAGAGCACATACAATGAAAATGTTTTAATGCCGTCTTTGAAAATGCACTTGTGTCCCATTTAACCTTATTTTCAATTTTTGTTTTGCCATTTACAAGGGTATTTTTGGTGTCTTTTTGGTTTTTTGCTTATTCGATAATTTCCAAATTCATGAGCAAAAGTGTGACGTCATTTCAGGCAGAAACCTCAATGTTAGAGTTATTTCGGCACCACGAGTTGCCAGAATTTTGGAGATTTTGCTGTCGCAAATTTTCTTTTCTTTGGCGATTTTTTGTTGTGTCAGTACATGATGGTAAGCCATGAGCAATGTTTTTTTCACAAATGTTTTCAATGAGCTATTTTTTGGGTTCACAATTTGAACAGAATACCCCTAAACTGAACTGTGTCTCCCTGAAATGGCATCACAGCAACAGCGCCCTCAGTTGTCTGGAAAAGCATGGAAAATTTTGAATGTTGAAAGAAGTGCACTTTTCAATAAAATTCACCAAAAAGGGATGTCATACAGTTTTCATACATATAAGAGGAGGAGGAAGTTGCACAGAATATGTTCCTTACAAAAATTCATTGCATTGCCCCTTTAAATCAGTCGTTTTCTTCCTTAAAAACCTCAAACATTGGGTTCTGTCAGTTAGGGTAGGTTTGATTGAAGAATGTCTCAATTGTGTAAATATGAGATAAATGTATGTTATGGTGCAAGACGCCAGGATGATTCGTTGTCAAGAAGTTCAGCGACTATTTTACCAATTTTCTCCCACCATTTTACTATACTATTCTTTTGACTGTATTCCCATGTACATGTGATGTATTTTTGTACATTATATTCAAGACCTTATAGATCCCACATATGTTAAGTAACTACAGTTTTATAGTAAAATATGGCTTATACATGGGATAGCCGTTCTTCCCACCCACCCACACCTTTGAATACTCTTGCTTATGTAGTCTGAATTATGATACTCTTGTTACTGTTTCAAGAGTATTAGAATTGGAATAGGAGCCAATTAAGATGCTACTGCGTGTTAGATGAGAGGCCCTTTTCTTAAATTGATCCGTTTCACTTTGCAAGTTGAAATTGTGGCTGTTATAAATTCCAAGCAAAAATTGATTCACTTTTCTATCTTTTTATATCCGTTTGGTATTTTGTGTCCTATTTCCATCACGGTGCCTTAACACAACTCACCATCCATTCTTTCCACCAAATATATCAAATTGTATTCAAGTGAAGGACTTATTTTTGTAATCATTTATGTGTTTCATATTTAAAGATATATAAATTGTGTAATCAAAATTGTACGATAATTTACATATGGTTTAATGGGGGTTTTCTGTGTATATATCATGCAACTTCTTTAAAGATGTAGTTATAAAATTTAAATATTTTAAAATCCTAACAACTAACTTAATAAAATGTTCATATATTTTTGAAAGACAAAATAACCTTACTGATACAAAAATTAATGCCGCGTGTTGTATTATCAGCAGAGTGCATATGGGACGAATTAAGAACCAATTTGAGATGTACATGTAGCATTTGATTTTTTTTATGCACATAGTTTTTGTCAGTACTTGAATAATCATAATCCAATTTATATACATTTTCTTTTAGGTTCATTGGGTATATGTTATTCCATTAAATACATTGCAGCTGTGATTTTTATGATTAATACTGATGTATTCAAATTATATCATATTACAAAGTGTAGGTAAAAAGTGGAGTATGATGTTTCTTTGCATTTTAAGTAACATTAATATTGTATTGAACAATAAAATGTATCTTTCCTGCACATGATGACCTTTTTCTGTTAGTGCACTGTGTATATCACACAATAGGTGTATGTTTCGTCAGATGTGTAGGATCAGTATTGATGGTAGATTTATTTCTTGCTTCATTGCATGGACAGAAAAAGTCCTGAAAAAAACATACATGTATGCATACTGCAGAAGCTCATATGGCTTGAATAAAATGATAAAATAGTTACTATGGTTCATTTTACATGGGTTAGTTCCAGAATATCAGAACATTTTGTTATGCGGTATGTCCCTGTTTATTAAAGAGTATATATACATGTACATGTGTACATGTATCCTTATTTTTATGCATGTCGCACCCCACAAATGGAACTAAATTCAAGCAAAGATCGATGATAAAATGCTGAAATAAATCTTAAAAAAAACAAACATTTTTTTACTTGTTATGAACTCGTTAGTTTTTCGATTTTCAAAATTATTTTCTCATATTATAGAGTAGAAAATAACAGTTTAGGAGTCATTTTGCTTTCGTTTTATTCAAGGTAGTCCTGCATTTCCTGTCCTAAAAATAAGTAAAAATAATAATTCTACACGAATTTGTATAGTTTGAAATAACTTATTTTGTAAAATGTAATTTGTTCATGAAAATGTCACACTATTATTTTAAAGTTGTTCAACTAAATTTCCTACAGTGTAGATCGTGAAATTATATTTAACGACATATCTCTACTCCTCAGCAATACTGGGTTCCGAATAACGCTTTTACTTTGTAAATTAATTCAACGAAATAAATGTAACCAATAAAACGACAATTTGAACCAGTAATCAAAATTTAAGATAATGATGATTACGTTCTCTGCTGCATCTAATTTTTACCAATTGAAAATCCAAACGGCAAAAAAGAAAAAGCAAATTCGATGAGCACGTAATTGTTTTTATTAATCATAAAAGCCAGAAAACAAAATCAATTACAGACAAAAACATCCTGGTGGCTTAAGAACAATATTTTTTCATTACTTAAATTAGACATATGTCAAATGCATAAAACACATGAACGAACTCACAGCGAACAACCGTTTTTTTTTAATTCAGACAAAAAAAGTGGAATCGAATGCACCACAAAAATCACGACTTCTCCAAAATTGTCTTTGATTTTGGGTGGATTCCAATGTGTTGGATGTGATCAAATCAATGTGTTTTACTCGTGGACTTATTGAGCTGAATATGTTTGCCCAAGTTTTCTGAACATTGAAACATGATCTGAATCGTAATTCACGCGGTATACCAAAGTTATTTCCTGTACCAGCCGGGACCAATACTGTGAAACTACTCAAACTCCCGGTCAGCAGGACCTGACTCAAACTACAGTAATTGTAACACCCATTACCCGAATTGATCAGTTGTTTTCGGTTCATCCACGCAAACTAATATATGAAAGTTCATAAAGAACTGGAAATTTACTTTTTTGTATAGGCCTGCTTGGATCGTTATTAGGTCGATGAAATATTCGCCTGAGCTTCGACTCTTTTCGTTACCATTGAAGGCGCAATGTGAAAATTCCATTCCGTTGTTTTCGGTTCATCCACGCAAACTAATATATGAAAGTTCAAAAAGAACTGGAAATTTACTTTTTTGTATAGCCTGCTTGGATCGTTATTAGGTCGATGCTTTGACTCTTTTCGTTACCATTGAAGACGCAATGTAAAAATTCCAATGAAATAAAACGTGAAATAAAACATTTCACTTTGTGAAGAAACGTATACCTTAGTTAAGTTCAAGTACATTAAAGTTTGTTCTTATCACACAATTAGCATTACATTATACAAGCATGCATGCTCATTCTTTACAGCTGTATCCAAATTTTACGAAAAGGATTTAGAAACTAGAGAAACAACAGAGGTTTAGCGATTATAAAATAATTGTCGAACGAGAGACGCCGGAAAGATCACATTTAAAACACAGGATAGAGTAATAACAAATATTTATGCAATTTTGATTCGAAACTTGTGCGAAAGTAGACTCCTTTCGTTTCTCATTGTGCGAAATGAATAATTGCTCTTGTGCTATTAAAGGGAAATCACTCTCGAGCTCAAGCCTACACCCAGCAAAACCGAATCAAGAATGTGCATAAAAAATAACGTGAATTCCAGATCAAGAGTTTCGCCACAAAAAACCTCATTGCATATTAGCTGATTATTAATACAGATACGCCAATTTATTACCAAAATCATTTTGTTAGATAAGTTACATAGTAGAACGAATAAAAGCCTATTATGGCTAACTCCATGTCATGAACAAAGATAATCAAAACTGTGTTTAAATCTTTCAGCTTGGTGCACGTACACTGACTGAATAAACACTGAGTTTACCCAGAACTGCCCCATTTCATCGACGTCCCGGATATCATAATTATAATTATATATATAGAGAGAGAAAATAAATCCGTGCAAAATAGCCTGATGGGTAATAATAACGCCTCATCCCCTCATCCACTGTCTGAGTCAGAGCTGATGTGGCTCCTGTTTGTCAGATTGTCGGGATGTCTGTCTAACTGTCTTGTTGCTGTATCTAACCAGATACAAACGGCGCAGTGATTCTTACGAAGTAGTATCATCTTACTTCCTCCATGGTAAGTATTCAGCAGTGATTATTGACCTGTAACAAAAAACATGTGCAAGAATTCGTGAAAGTTTAACATATTTCAACTCGGGCAAATTTCGCAGCGAATGTTTCATGACGTCAAATTCGCTTCGCATTCGTATGAACCGGGCTTAACCCCAATTTTACCTAATAGCCTACTACCCCACGAATTTTGGTATACTTATGTTTTGGACCAGGAGCAATCGATGTGGGCTGGGTTTTTTTAAAGTAATATTTTGCCTCTAAATGGGAGTTGAGACATAGTCCAGTGTCTCCCTAAGGTATAACTGATGACGCAAAATGTACAGAAATTTTGTTATTCTAGAAGAACATAATTGAATTACGAGCTATTAGGCCAAAAAAAAAAGTCTCCGGTTTCTGGTATGCGCGCGCGTCGCCGTAGCCATGCGCGTCGGCAAAATGAATTTTTTTTTTTCCAATACAAGATGATGTCTCAAAACCGCCAAACTCACTGGTTTGACTGGAATCCTGCTGCTGCACAATTTTAACGTGTTTTTAGATGGGGTTATGATCGAGAATAAGCTTTATGTGGCCTCTCTGGACTCCCATATATTTGCACTAAGTTTAGTCGGGCACCATTTGCAGTCATCAGCCGACATTTGAAGCCAAAAAAAAAAAAAAAACAGGTAAAAAAAAAAAAAAAAGCCGCGTCGCCGCACCACTTTTTGGGCAAACTCCATACCAGAAACCGGAGACTTTTTTTTTTTGGCCTTAGGGCCTATCTTTTATTTTTCGGCCGGAAAAAAAGCTGAAAGTTGTCTCGCAAGTTACGCAACTCACTTTGGGGGGTAGGCGTTAAACATTTGGGAACATCAGTGCTCGTAAAGAGATTTTCGGAAATTATGCTATAAAAATTTTTTTTAAGAAGGTAATTATTCAAATGAATCATAAACTAAAGAGCAAAATGATTGCTTAAACTCGTTTGATATTGTCTCTTGATCTCTTTTTTCATTTTTTTTTTGGGGGGGGGGGAGAAGCTCTCCACTCATTCCACACCCCCAAGAACGTATTAAAAAAAATGATTTGCCGTTTGGTGTGCTTTTTATTGTAAATAATATAAGTGGACGAATTACCTCGGCTCCGTGTGGGTGTTCATTCCTTCCTCCACCCCTACAAGACGTAGAACAGAAAGCATCGTGTACGTCCATGAGATGCATAGCGAATGCTTCGTCGTTCTGGAAGCCCAGTGACATGCGTATGTTCCTCCACCGCAGAAACGCCAAATCGCTGCCCAGGAAAATGTCTCTTGTACCGCGGTGTAGTTGGGCGTTGTCAATCCGGGGGCTGGGGCCAGGGATGGGGCTTGGACTGAGCCTGATGGGAATGGGAATGGGGCTGGGCGGGACTTCGGACGGATTCCAGGGCGCGCTTCTCTCACTGAGATGATCGTTTATTGTCGGTGGTGTGTGGTCTGTTTGTGGTGGACTGTTCTCAGTGATCATTCGAGAGCTGCCCAAAGGAGCTTTGGCTGCTATTGGCGAAATGAATCTCCCCGCGAAGGCGGGTGGTCGACCTCGTCTGACGGGATGGGCTGCGCCGGACTCTTGGGCCGGTATCTCTTGCTGATCAAGCGGAACAATCTCGGAGAGTTTCCCGGACTCGAATAATCTTATGACAACGTTGCGGCATTCTCTCACGGTGGTGTCCGACACGTCGAACCTTTTCACCGCCACACAGGATCCATCCTTGGCCGCGATGAAACCGATCTTCACTTTGTCCTGAAAAGACAAGGCCGGAGATGGAGATTTGCCGGCATGTTTCGTCGATTTAGGCAGGAACGCACAATCACCCGTTTCCATGGTGACATCAGCGGGTGACTTAGGTTTCCCGCCAATTCCTGTAGCAGGAGACGGAGCCTCCTCTGTCTTATTCTGCGCCGCCTCCCGACTTGGTCCGGGCTCGGCAACGTTCGACTTCTCCTTCGTGTGTTTGCCCGTTTGGACAGGCATGCCATTCCTCATTTTTGGCGGGATGACCTGCTGCTCGAGCGGTAGGTCAAGGGTCAGGATCCCGTCCACCACGAGGGCCATCACACAGTTACACATATCCCGAGCGGTACTGTCCTTCACCCCTGCGAATTTCTTCTTTAAGGCTTTAATCCCCCACTTCGCACCATAATACCCCATCCGCATTCGCTGCTCGTGAGAGTACGTCATGTTCCTCAAGCCCCTCCCTTGTTTTCTCACTAGCTTCCTACGCTTTGACTTTTTCCTGGGTTCGTAATCCAAGTCCGCATCATTATCGTCGTCATCATCGTCTTCGTCATCTTCTTCGCACCTCCCAAAGTAGTCTACCATCGCCTCTTCCCCGGGCGCGGGCTCCTCCTTGATCTCGGCTAGTTCCTCCTCCAGACTCATGATGACGTCTTTCAGACCTTTGCTCGTAAACTCCTCACCCATTAATGATTCTAGATGAGCTGACAGGACAGCTTAAAAGCGTGGGTATTCCACAACGGGATTTTCTTGACGAGGAAATCTGAGAACAAAAGCACCAGCATTTTATTCGTGTGCATTCGTTTATAATTATTCGTGTAGGCCTACATAGAGCACGCTAAATAATATACTTTCAATGTACTAAATCACACTAATTTTACATGTTTACTTTGTTACCACAATATATTTCTACGTTTAAAGTTTAACCTGTAATTTGTGTGTTGTGGTTAAGAACTTTGGGTGGGAAGTTGTGAATGTAGTACGTAACTTAGTTACTTCACGAAAAGAAAGCTTCAAAAACATGTGTTTTAATTTTATTGGGCGCGGCGCGTAACACGTATACGGGCGGCGTATGCCACCCCGATATATATACGGGTCTCCGGGCCAGTGTCAGACTCGTATGAAAATCGGACTCTTTTTCCCTTTTATTGGTTAAACCCTTTCACGTGACCAGTCCCTCTCCTAATTATCTATGCATAAGCATGCGCAATACCACCAATGAGTCCGTATTTCATAAAACCTAAATTCATGCTATGTGTTTATGTATATAAACACCCTTTGTGCATTAATTGTTAGTAGATTAAAATAAGAAATAACTTCTTCTCAGGCAGCTGCAACGTAACGGTCTCATAATCATATGTAATAATGTCGCAATGAACTTTCCACGGAAAAAAACTCACAGAAGGCCCTAGTATTTTATGTCCATGCATGCATGTACACCGTACCGGCGTGCTCCACCACCAGCAACTTTCAGACCTGGGGGTCGAAGCAAAGTTGATTCGGAAAACGAGTCATGTCCATGCACGGTACGAGCCGATGAGAGGCCTAGGGCCTACATCAGATCTCGAAAACATATGTCAAAAACCTACACGGAATGCTCTGTTATTTTTATCCGAGTAATTCTGTCGATAGAAGCGTAATCCAATGGATATTTTTTTGTATAGAAAAACTGCGTGACAAGGGTTGGCCCCTCGTATAGCTATAGGCCTATGATTGATTCAGGAACGACTAAAACTGAAGTCACTAGGCTATATAAAATAGTTAGGCACGAAAAAAAACACTATCGATGGCCACATAATTATGAGAAAGACTTACCGAAGAGCGCCCAGGGCTGAAACCAAAGATTTCAAACTTGTCTGGTCTGCAAATTATAACGGCAAAGGGCCGGAATGAAATCACGGAACATTTGTGAATGTGAGATCGAGAGTGGACGACAAATGACATGGGCAATTCCGCATGCAAAATGGCGCCTCGATCTCGATAACACGGAAACACGTACCACAAAGCACACCCAATACAGATCGCGTGATCACGCGTGCACTCGGTGCACAAGCGCAGCAGACCGATTTCCGTGAAGCATGGAAAACACAACACCCAACCTATTTCCGCACGGTCAAGGGTTAATACTGGGACATTCAAAAGCGCCCTCTTTTGTTGTATTGTATTTCCGCGGGAATTTGTTTTCCGTATTTTTGGACTTTTTAGTTCGACTGTGATTGCAGTTACCCATGATCGAGTGTGAACAGTGTAAATCTGCTTTGAATCTCGGCGACTACGCGAGATATTGGCCCTGCACGTGCGCTGCTCATCAAAAATAAAAATAAAGTTCTCTTAACGAATTTTCAGTTCATAACTTTGTATGTTTCCGTATTAACGGGGGGAAAAAAACCTCTTTTTTGCGATTTACGGTGTCTGCTACCGTCTGAAAAGGTGCTATCATTTTGCGCACAAAATCGTCTTCGGCTGATCGGCACCGCGAACTGACGCGCAAGTGGGTGTCAGTTCGTGAAAACCACGTAATCAACATACAATTTCGGTTTCACGAACTGACACCCGGTACCGGTAGTGCGCGCGCACATCGACATGACGTAAAATAGGAAGATTTTCGTAACAGGTGTAGCGTGAATTTAGGTTTCTATGAAATTCGGACTCATTGGTAATACCACGCATGCGTAAGTATGATAATTAGGAAAGTGACCGGTCACGTGAGAGGGATTAACCAATAATAGGGAAAAGGGGTCCGATTTTCATAGGAGTCGGATTTTTTGCTCTTTTTTTCAAAATGTCCCATAGGAAAGCGCACAAAGTACCCCAGATAGTTGTGTAATAAAAATATCGCGCCCCGTACGCCGTTCGAGACCTGTGGCACCTGCAGTGCCCCCAAATTAAATAAAAAGTCCACTGTCTTGTGCCCGTGCAAATGATCCCAATATCCTAATAGTAATAAGCCTCTTCGATCCTCCTCAATCCTCCAGGCGGTTTTGGAGGATTTTGGAGTATGGAGGCTGAGTGGCAAGAAAGTCTTGGTTGATTTTGGAGGAAGAATTGTGTCGAGTTCGTAAGCTGTACCCTGCATTGTTTATGTTCAGTCATGCATAATAATATTATTTAGCCCTGCATTACACTCGATATCATTCGCACTGCTTCTGAGAATGTGCCTCAACCCATTAACATTAACAGTGATTGGTGGAGGTTTTGAAGGATTGAAGCAACGTTCACCACTCTACTGAACAAATTCAAGAAATAACGGATGGTTTCTGGAGGTTTGAGGCTGAATCCAATTTTTACATGGTAACATTTTGCAGGCCTTTGGGGTGGTTTCAAGGGCTAGTATTATAGGCACAAGTTATGCAAGTGCTGCAAACTTGTCTGTAAGTGTGATAACTTCTGAGTTGCTGAAGAATTCCAGTTTTGTGAAGTCGGTCAAACAACGTGAGCCGGCGATTTTTGGCAGAGGCCTAATTCTGAGAGTCGACTGAAGCTGGAGAGAAATCCCGCCCCCCAAAAAGACAATCAGCACTCGACATCTCTCAGCATGCAGCTAGCTCGGTAAGATGGCGCGCCACCACGCGCTGATTTCGCGCCAGTCCAATATGGAGGACGGGACCGAAGTGGTGATCACACCGATTTCCCCGTTGACAGGGATTTCTGAGCCGATTCGGAGGCGGAGATCGTCCGGCAGTGCAGACTTTACGATGTCGAGGAGACCTCCAAGCAGTCGGCTGAGGCAAGTGTCCATCGGACCTCAACTGGATCGGTGGGATGCGATGAAAACTCGGCTCGGTGTGGACTCGCACGCGCAGCTTGCTGAAGTGCTGTTGGATGGGTAAGGCATTGACACATCATCATGATGCATGATTGACCATGTTGATACTCTCTAACTAAGTCGAAGTAAAATGTATCAAAATGTACTATGTGTAGGGTACTCCTTACTTTTAGGACCCCCTTCCTATATAGGAAGAGAAAGACTCACCAAAACAGTTGACTAAATGACACTCAAAATTGACATTCTGATATTTCTTGACACATCTGATTCTGAACAAATATTGGCAATGACACCTTCTTGAATATCAGCAGGGTTAGTTTTTGTGGAAAGAGGGCAGGGCTTTGATTTATGAGAGAAACTAACGGGTAAAAGACGACGATGACAACCAGAAAACAGACTCAAAAACCAAGATGGCAAACGTGAAAGCTCGATGCAATGAAAGCTCGATGCTGATTGGCTGATAAAAAAATAAACATTGTATTTATTTTTTTTAGCAGCCAATCAGCATCGGGCTTACATTATGTAGGGCTTTCACTCATGTTGTGAGAACTACAACATGCACATCTGACTGCAAAAAAAGGTAGGAAAGTCACATTTTCTTTGAAAGTGCTTTCAAAATTACAACTACATGTAACATGAGTTTACATGAAAAAAAAGACTGCTTTAGTCTGCAAAAGTCACTTTGGTAATGGACAGTCATCTGCAAAAGTCAGTTTTGAACAGAACTCGTAAAAAATAGAGGTGTCCTAAAGATAAGGATTACCATGTATAGTCTACCTTTTTGCACGCTTCGTTGATCAATTTACAATTACATCCATATTAAAGCATAGGCATGCATAGCCCCACTTGTGTGGCCTCCGTATTGCTTCGCTGTACGTTAGGCCACACGTCTGGTTTTCCAACCTACTGAGGAATTTAGTCCAAACACTGGCGCACCCTTTTGTGGCATTTTTTTTACATACCCATTTATATGGTTGTTTTCTATGATTTCTCATCTTTTGCCCTCCGGGTAGATTAGGTAATCTTTCTTCAAATGTTTCAAGAAATTTAGACATCTTTCTGGAGTCCATATGCACCAGTTTGGGACTAAACTCCTCAGTAAGTTGGGAAACCAGACGTGTGGCCTAACGTACAGCGTAGCAATACCGAGGCCTCACAAGCATGACAAGTGGGGCTAAGGCATGCACAGACCTAGAGCTCCATTTCTTGCAGTTTTCAGAATAATCTTTCAATTCATGTCCATAACCCAACTTCCCAAGAGTTTTTCAGACCTGTCTCGGGTTTGTGCACAAGGTGTCAAGTGATGTCCAGGTATGGAACTCTTTCTCTAGTGACAACATTAACAATAGGCATTATCTGGTTGCAACAAAATAATGACAGCTCGTACTCGTTGTTAGCAGTTTTGTTGTCATCACCTTATATTTTGTCAGCTTTTTGTGTTGTTTTGATTTTTGTTTCTTTCCATCAGTTATTTGGATTTTGTTTGCAATAACATTTTTATTGTGTTATTTTGACATAGCATGGAAGCCATAGTGGACGGAGATGTGGTGTGGGGCACTCAGTGCAGCAATCCTACTCTCAAGAACAAACTAGCCAGCTTCTTCAAACGAAAAGGAATCCCTGCTCTTGTGATTCCAAGGTATTAGAGAAAAAAATTATGTTGTGTTTCATATTCGTTTTCTTTGTCTTCAAATTCAATGTAATTTTCAAGATCCTTAAAATTAACAACGGTTGTTAAACTTTTGGAAAAGGAATGAAAGGTAAATTAAGTACATCTAACAATTAAGTTTCTTCATTTCTGGGACATTACCTATTTCTAGTATGTCTTGAAAATATTTCTTTTCATTTAATGGCTTGACACAAGTCCACTTCCCTGGTACTTTATCACTAAAAATAGCTAATTCCAGAGTTTAATCAAATTAACATTAAGCATACGTCTCATCGGTAGTCTGCAACCAAAACAAATATTTCAGCAGACCGGACTAAGTTTATTTGCTTCTCTACGTTTGAGGATCAAAGCTCCACGTTAAATCAGACCTGTAGGCTCTGCCGTCCCTTCCCCAGTAGATTTGGATTATATTCAGTTTTTGCAACCAACATAATGTTTCACCGAATTTCTTTGCTTACAGGCCTACAAGATCAGCCTCGGTCTCCAAGCTCAGCACTGGCCGAAAGAAGTCACCGATGAAGCTGAAGATCACTCTCAAGAAGGTGGTCAAAGGTCGCAAGGGCCATGATCAGAACGGCCACGAGGATGAGGAGGCAGACGAAGATGAAGATGAAGCAAGTGATGATGATGACGGGGATGTGGGGATGCAAGATATTGCCAGAGACTCTGACTATTCACCTCATGAACCCAGCCGGCATGGTTTGAAAAAAGTATGAAAGGATGTTACCTATGGACTCTGTACATAAACATTAGATAGCGTTTTGTTACCACTTTTGAGAGCGCCAGTTGGACGGACACTGCTTGCACGTAGGCCTATTAATTGGCCTGAAGCAGCACAAACATTTTCAATCTGAATTTGCACAAACCTGTAGCCTCCTCATGTAAGCATCATGCGCCGTGACAATGTTTGAGAGTCCCTCCCTGTGCCCCTCCCAGTGGCCCCTCCCAGTGGCCCCACCCAGTGGATCCTCCCACTGTGAGAGTCCACTGGGAGGGGCAACTGGGAGGAGCCACTGGGAGGGACAACTGGGAGGGGCCACTGAGAAGAGCCACTGGGAGGGACCACATTTTCCCAGTGGCCCTTCCCAGTGGCCCTTCCCAGTGGTTCCTCCCACTGGCCCCTCCCAGTGGTCCCTCCAAGTGGCTCCTCCCAGTAGGTTGCCCCTCTCAGTGGCCTCTCGCAGTGGTCCTTCCCAGTGGTCCCTCCAAGTGGCTCTCCCCAGTTGCCCCTCCCTGTGGCCTCTCGCAGTGGCCCCTCCCTGTGGCCTCTCACAGTGGTCTCTCCCAGTGGTCCCTCCCAGTGGTCCCTCCAAGTGGCTCCTCTACGTGGCCCCTCCCAGTGGCCTCTCCCAGGAGTCCTGCCCAGTGGTCCCTCCCAAATTTCTCTTGGCATTTGTTGAAGGGATACCAGTGCATGGAATCATCAACAATTCTAATTTTTATGCAGTACTTCTAACTTGGCTATATAGGCCAATTTCAAAGAGCTGCTGGGCACACTCGTGTCTGAGTGCAGAAATGTTTCGCAATGTAAAATGCTTGTGGTGAGTTCTACTCTGAATTTTGCTCAGCATAGCAATTTTTTATGCAATATTTTCTGTTTTCCAGCTCAATAAGCACAACAAAAGATGCACTTGAGGCAAAGTGGTTTGCTCAAGGACACACAAATGGACAAATTTAACAACATAAGCACTGAATAATGAACCTGTTATTTAACACTTGCGGCATCGGAGTACACACTTGTAATAATATTTCTATTGTAAAATCATAACAATAGTCAGCAAAAAACCACCAAGCCAATATTAAAGTCTGCGTAACTTTTCACTGGAAAAAACTAACTAATGCACACATTTTACAAACTTTCATTTAGGCATGGTTGGGACGTCACCTCAAAGGCAAGCACAAGACAAGGCAACAAAGAAAGAGGCAAGTCCCCAAGACGTACAATGAAGAAGACTATGACATTGATGATGCTGATGATGATGAAGAAGATGTTGAAGATGTTGCAGCTGAAGAAGAGGCGGAGCCAGAGGAAGCTAAGAAGGCGGGAAACATTGAGACACCTGCAAAGAGAAAGATGAGACACAAAGCTCGGAAGAAGCTCTTGATTAAGAAGCTGAGGCAGGAGAAGAAAGAGAAGGCCAAAGCTTCCACGTAAGCTTTCAAGTCATTCATTAAAGTCCACCATTCCAGTGTTGTACTAGAGTCAATCACACAAGTCCGTCACAAAGTAAATCACAAGTCTACTGACAAATACAGTCACAAGTAACAGAGGATGAACAGTTACCAGGACTAGTCTTTGTCACAATTCATTTGAATAGCTCGTTGACTTGGGACCAAATGAATTGTAATTGACTTGTAATGGACTTATGAGGATTTGTGATACACTTGAGTACAACACTGCCTCACACGTGATTTTAACCCTCCCAGTGGGAAGTCAGTAGTCAAAGCAGTGTATGTAAAAACCCTTTAAAAACCTTCAGGTCATTTCCAAGTTTGAAAAGATTTGAAGTTGTAAAGTATCTGTCTCTCACAGAGAGTCACTGCATGAAAAAAACAGCACAGTGGAGAGCAGTGAAGCGTGACTGAATCTGCCTGCTTGCCCTGAGCTTAACCACACAAAAGAATTGTACATGGAAGAAATTTGAAGTGTGGGTGCTAACTCTATGGGAAATGGTGGTTTTTGCAAAACATGAAGGGTTGTATGGTGCAGAAGACTTGGAGGGTTAATGTCGAGGCAATCTCACAAGACCGTCACAACTTTGATCTTAAGTAAATCACAAGTCGACTCACATATTTATGGTCATAAGTAACTTGGGATGAACATTTCCAAGGAATAGCCTTTGCCACAGTTCATAGACTTGTGCGGGCTTGTGATCAAATTAACTACAGTGTTGCGTTGATTGCATACAAATCTCTCGTTTATGGCTATTGTGTAGGGCTTCGCCAATTTCAACTAAGTGGTCACCTATTTTGGACACAGATTTATGTAACATGGGGCTTGGTCTCAAGTTGGTTCACGGCATAGTGTTGTTTTTTATTTATGGTAAATGGATTATTGTTCTTAAGTTTATTAGGGCCTGGGCCTTGCTTTCAAAACGGTCCCTCGGCGTGGCCACTTGTACCAATTTTGGATATCAAACGTAAATTGGATAAAGAAATGTAAATACATGAATGTATTGATTTTCTTCGTTTTTTCCTTTTTGTGTATGCGAAATTCAACAGGAAAACAATTGAAGAACTGTTTGGACCAGATGCTGTTCTTAAGAAGGTGTACTGTTGCCGTAAGTGCTCAAGCCAACTGGACTCTCCAGATGTCATGAAGATTCACTGGCAAACGCATCTTGCTGAAGATGATGGCAGCAATGAAGGATCCGGAGGTAAGGAGGAGGATGCCACATCAAGGAGCAAAGACGGAGATAGTCAGGAGATGGAGAGAGGAGGAGAGGAGGTGGAGGATGAAGGAGACGGCGATCAGGAAGTCCCAGCCGATCTCAAAAACATTGCCCGAGTCATGACTCGCTGCCCCTTATGCCAGAAACTCTTCTCAAATATCCTGGCCCACACTGCTTGCCACTCCAACTACCTGTGCGAGGAGTGCGGGATGTTGTTTCGCCAGCGCCGCTCCCTCAAGCTCCACCACCGCGCCGTCCACGAGCTTGGCGAGACGGGCCAGTTGCCGTTTGTCTGCACCCGCTGTGGTCGGGCATTCCGTTGGGAAGCTAGCTTGCGTAAGCACCGCACCCTGCACTCCCAGCACCGTCAGTATATCTGCCAGACCTGCGGCAAGAGCTTTAAAGTCCAGGCACATCTCAAGCGGCACGTCATCATGCACGAGGAGGTCAAGCCGTTTGTCTGTCCGCACTGCGGACGACGCTTTACCGAACTCTCCAACATGAAGGTTCATACCCGCGTCCATACAGGAGAAAAGCCGTACATCTGTGATGTCTGCAAGAAGGCCTACTCCCACAAGGTCAGCCTGAAGACGCACAAGAAGAAAGAGCATGGAATTGACATGTGGCAGCTGGGATACATCACACAGCCAGTCATTGAATTTGATGATGAGGGTAAAGAGACTGAATACAGTATTGCCAGACGGTCACGTCGTCCTAGCGCCAACGCGTCTGGCAAGACCAAGAAGAAGAAGAAGGAGCCATCAGCATCAGCAGAGGATGTCACTAAAGCTGATCAAGTGGCACAGTTTGTCAGAGAGGCCAACCAGGAGAAGCAGTTGGATCTAAACAACCGGGTGGAGAGAGAGGACAGTGAGACATCCCAGGCTTCACAGACCTCACAGACGCCGACTACAGCTCCAGCTCAAGTCCCACCGCAACACTTTATAGAATCCAAGATGCAAATACCGCTGCAACATGCGGCATATCAGCAGCAGCAGCAGCAGCAGCAGCACCAGCCTGTTCCTATCCAGCCTCAAATCCAACAGCAACCCCCACCAGAGGTGCATCCTGTCCAGCACATTCATCCCCAGCACCTACAGATATCCATCCAGCATAACAGGCCTTACCCCCACCCCCACCCCCACTCCCACCCCGCAGAGTCCAGCCAGCAACACATGGATGACGACGTCGACAGCGACCCATGCTCGCCAGAGGAGGAAGAAGAAAACCCAAGAATGTTGCAAGCCGAACTCATCACCAACCAGCTACGCCATGCACAACGTTTACAACTCCCCGAAAACAACAACCTCCCTTCCCAACCATTGCCACTGCAACTCCCTCACTCCCAAGCACTCCAGCTCGGACCACAACAACAACAACAGCAGCAACTCCCATCACACACCCAGACGCAACCCCTGCCGCATATCCAGATACCTGGCATGCGTCAGCTTCCCCCGCAACCCCACCAAAGCAATCAGAGGCCCCCGTTGCCAAGTTTTGAGACTGTGACCTCGCCGGACAGGCAGGGGCACCCTCAGTATCGGCAGGGTATGATGAACACCATGCCAGGCCTAGACCTGAATGCACTGGTAGCCAGCTCCATGCCGTACATGTACTGGGGATCACAGCAATACCAAGGGGCACCAGCTTACATCCAGAGGAGCAGTGAGGAAAATTCAATGGAAAGTCCGAAACAGTGAGTCTTGAGTAATTGCACCCAGAATGGGTTGATCCTGAGGGACCATTTACCAATAGAATATTTATGCATGCTTAATAAACATCTTCCAAAAATATGACAAATGTTTTAAAACTTTTTTCTATGTGAGAATTACCCTTTGCTACGGCATTTCATATATAACATGCATGTATAGGAACATGCACTTTACATATATGCTCAAGCTTGACAATAGACAATGCACAAAAACGAAATACAGAACATCAATTCTACATGTAATTTGACAAATTTGGACACAATTCTTCAATGAAAATCTCTAAACAATTTAAAATTGGCAAAATTACTCAACTTTTCCACAATACTTTAAACACACGGACTTTTACATTAAAAGGGCCCATGCAATGTGATTTTTTTAATGCAATCCTTGAAAATGCACCTTTGTGTCCCATTTTGAGCTCATTTTCAATTTTCATGTTGCCATTTTAAGGGTATTTTGGTGCCTTTATTGTTTAATGCTTATGCAAATTTCCGTATTCATGAGCAACAGTGTGATGTCATTTCAGGCAGAAACCTCAATGTTACAGCTTTTTCAACACCAAAATTTGCCAGAATATTGGATATTTTGCTGGCGTAAATTTTCTTCTCTTTGGTGAAAACCCCTAAACCGAACAGTGTCTTTCTGAAATGACATTACAGCAACAGTGCCCTCAGTTGTCCAGAAAAGCATGGAAATTGTTAAATGTTGAAAGAAGTGCCCTTTTCAATAAAATTAACCGAAAGGGATGTCAGGTATTTTTCATATAAGAGGAGTAGAAAGTTGAACAAAATATGTTCCTAAGAAAAATTCACTTCATGGACCCTTTAAACAATGCACAATTTCACCTCATTGAAAAATTCTGGTACTTACCCTATTAGCCAACTTCTTGTCGGAAACATAAACTGAAGAATTATCATGTCATATAGAGAATTAAACATATCTGTATCTTCATGATTCAGATTTATAGTGGTTAAAAAGTATATTCAGTAACATTTCAGATACATTTGTACAGAATATTAATGTCAGCTTTTTAAAAATTGAAATAATATTTATGTATAAAGGGAAACTTGTAATAACATTTCAGCACATATACGATATGGAGATTTTAGCACCAGCGCCTCAACTTCCATGCATATTTAACAGACTTTTAGATTAATATATATAACAACCATACTATTTTGGAATAACAAATTGCTCATTTAAAATCAGTCCTTCAATTATTGCGTTTGTTGATTTGACTTGTTTCTCAATAAAATGTTTGATGCAAATAAAATATATTTCCGCCATAACTTAAAAACCAGATTTTATTCAGACAGTATTTATAAAATATGGATATTTACATGAGCAGAATCGCTAACAGATGTACATGTACATGTAGGTATTTCTCAGAAAATTCCGGATTAGTACAGAAATGCCTTGAACTAGTGTAACTCAACTCAGCCCTAACTTGTTGCTGGATTCAGCAAGCTATCTGCTGAATACCAAATTGAAATTATAAAAGAACTTTCGCCCTTTGTATTTAAGCGTGTTATTTTACAAATGTACATAGAAATGTTCATATTCCCATATGTGTTCAAATTAATTATCACAATAATAACTGTAACCTGTCACCACGCAATGTAAAGTCGATAATTGCCATTTTGCAGTACAGTGGGGCAAAGCCAAAATTTGAAGGGGTGGTCGATTCTTTGTTTTCAGGTGAACCTCGATCTGATAGTCCCATTTAACCTTTCTCCAATTATTTTGTTCTGTCAAACATCTTTAAAACCTATTTTATCCTGTTTTATACATTGTTTTGTATGCCGTTTGCAGGATTTTAAATGCCATTTTTCCAAGAATCAGTTAAACTACAACTTCAAGTCAGTCGATTACTGAACTCAGTACTCCTAAATGTTATATACCATTGGTAAGCTCTTGATCTGCAGAATCCAGATAAATAAATATCTCAATTCTTAAAAAGTCCGACTTTAAGCCCATTTTGTGATGACAGGTCACACATTTTGTTTACTATATATTGCCAAGTACATCAATATCTGATGTTAAGGCACTTAGCAGTGCCCTAGTCAAGTCCATTACAAGTCTATCAAAAGTGCGGTCACAAGTAAATCACAATCGATTCATAAGTCCAGTCACAAAAATGGCATGAACAATGAATAGGAATGTCGATGTCACAGTTCATTTGAACAGCTTGTGACTTGACTTGTGACGAGAAGACTTGTGATGGACTACAATACTCCCACATGGTAATATTTTTTAATAATAGCCAAGTAACCAAAACCTCTCCATTTATACTGAGTGATCCTCAGTACAATCATGTGTACCTTTAGTCAGTTGCATTAGTATGAGCCTTAATTCTATATATATGCATGCCAAATTTTTAATATGCAAATGAATACAGTTTTATTCCTGTACCATGCTAGAGATTTATCTGAAATTCAGAAAACCCTGTGTGCTATTTGTTGTAATACGGACAAAATTATCTCTTATTCTTTAGTTTTGTATGTGTAATGTATTCTCTTTACAACCTCCAGGGCACAATTTCATGGCTCCGCTTACTGTTAACGAAAAATCCCTACTTCAGTGTAGCAGAAAATTCCGTGCTTACGGTAAGCGTATTTCACGGGTTAGCGAGGAATTTGGGCTTCTGCGAATGCGTATATATATCCCATTAAGGATTCTGTGCTTACAGTGTTAGCATATAATTATTCTACTGGCGCGGTTAGCACAGAATGGTAATGGTAAGCGCGGAATTATGTGGTTAGCAGAGCCATGAAAATGTGTCCAGCTCTGTACAATTGTTCTTAATTGTAATTTACGAAGAGCTGCTAAGCATACAATATTACTTAGCAAATTTTCACACTTAGCACAAATCAGCTGGGAACCAGTCACATGCAGTATCATTTGCATGGCATTTTGGCTGGTAACCCGGTCATGCTAAGCAGATATTTTCCCCGCTTAGTTGATTTCTGTGCTTACCAGCTCCATGGAATATGAGGGCATGTCTTTGTTCCTACATGATGGGCAGTGTCACTCTGAACTTTTATATTTGGTACGCTGGAGTAGCTCACCCAAATCGACTCGGGTAAAGGCAGACGGGTTAGCCACGAGAGCCTGGCTATACAAATCAAACGCTCAAATGCAAGCCATCATGAGCCATCATGAGCCATTGACAAAACACCCTTTCTGGACTGAGTCTTACTCTCAGATTACTGCTTTTTCGTCGCCTGCAAAAAGCAACAATGCCGGGCTGGAATTATAGCCTCTAAAGTACCCTTTTCGGACTGAGTTCTACTTTGAGATCAACTGCTTTTCTGTCAATCGCAAAAAAGTAACAATGTTGGGCAGGAATATAGCCCCTATATTCGCAAAGAGCTCAATAACTATTTTATGTTGAGACTTCACATAAAGTTGATTTTTGGTCCACTTGAGCTTATCCGCTCTCGGCTGTCATATTTGTCCGGTTCTTGGTATGAATAGCACATGCGAATGACGCATTTACACCACTGACTCTGCTCAGGCTTAGGGATTAAACCAGATAATCCCATTCTGGGGTTGGCAACTGTCCTTCATGTGAACTAACCAAATTCCAGTACCGGTATATGCATTCAAAATAGTGGTCTCTTAAAATAGCAATGCTTGGAGGTTCAATAACGTGTTCGTTGTCATGTCTTGCCATTAAAATGGATCTACATGTATGTGGATTTTTTTAGTGTTCATGTTTATATAATTTAACCAATGCTTTATTGGTGCTTTTAAGTGATAAAATAAGAATAGTGAAGATTTTTCATATTTTATTGTTAGCTAGACTTACATCTTCATGTAGGTACTGTACAGGGAAGTTTTTTTTCTATTCATGCCCATTTGTAGACCAACTCATTGTTTATTTTTTATTTAAAAAATCCTGTTGATTTATTTTGATTTTTTTTTTTAAATACATGTATTTCAATTGTAAATGTCTAGATTTTGGCTAGGGTAATCTGGTGATAGACTTGACCCAGTCTCATCAGCATTATTGTTGCTTTATAGAAAACATGTACTTGTATCAGAATGGCGCAGAACAAATGTATGTGTTTAACGAGGATTCACTTTGGCCCGACTCCATGATTATTTGACAAAGTTGGCTGTTTTAAAGGTGTACATTTTGTGTCTTTTTCCCCCCTAATTTTATGGAGCTGCTTATAAATAGTCAATTAATTAGCAAGGACAGGTGGCCAATTCCAGCGTTATGAAAGGACATTTAATATTTAATATAATCTCCTGGACCATAACTAGATGATGCATGTGTCAGAATGAAAATTTTTATTATACAATTTTTCAAAATTACATTTTTCACCTAGCTCTTAAAACCTGTGTCGGCGACCTTACATAATACTGGAATGGGCCTTATGCAAGAGGCACTTTTGTAGCCATTTTTGTCCAATTCCCAGAATGTACCAGTATTTCATAAATAGCTAACTTGTGTTGAATGGGATGGCGCCAGACTATTTATGCAGCCTCATTTTACTGTCTTTTTTTTAATCTGGCTTAAAACATTAGGAAATGTCATTAGGAAATGTTTAATTACAAATTTTACATTTTTTATTGAAGCAGACTTGAATTAATTAGCAAGTTTTTCTGCTAGTCCCCAAAATGAAGATTTTACCTCACTCTCAATTCAATATGGCCGATCTAGCTTTCAGAATAAGTGTGGGGGTGTGATATGAAGGGGTGTGTAGTTTTATGGGGGTCTAGGGGCACGCCTGCATCTCCCCCCCCCCCCCCATGGTTCAACCCCCTAAACCCCCCTTTAGATCCGTTACTGAATGTCATGCAGACTCCATGTGTTAACTTGTGACTGCTTTGCAGCTGATCTTTGTAGAGCAGGGAAACTTGCGAAGTAATGTTTTCTGTTTGGCAGCTCCATGAAATTTGTCCTCCGTTTCTTTTTTTTCATTTTTTTTTGGGGGGGGATTAATAACTTATACGTTTATGGTCCATCTGTGTCAACTACAGCAGCTTGCTATGGTCTGTGTGGGTTTTATTAGTTGTTTTGACCACAGTCTAACAGTTGACTTATAGGCGTGATAGAAGTAGGAGACCTGGTTCTATTACAAAGTTTCACTAGAAGTGGATAGAAACATTATATTGATATGCATTTGAGTACATACAAAGTTTTAGAAATATTGCAATAAATTACATGTACCTTAATCAGAATTTACTGTTCACGTTTTGTTACAAGACAACTATGACAGTCTTTGCATTTTGTCCCCCCCCCCTTATTTCCAGTATCAGGTGAAACATTTAATGAGAAGTTAAGTTCAAAAAGCTGAAAATTGGGTCATTGAATATTGCGCTTATTGAAAACAACATGAAAACATTTGTGTCTATCACAAAAATGCATTTTTATTGACAACAGAATATCTCGGCCCGAATTTCAACACTTAATTGATCAGAGTACCACTTACAATTTGGTACACGTTCTACACATACATTGTAACTCCACAGGACCGACACACAAAGGGAGAACAACAGATCCTTTCAGTCCTCAGGAGTTTTGTTGGAAATGGTCCTATAGTAAGTTTGTGTGCTTAGTGGGAGAGTGTTATATTACAGGGACAAAGTGAAACACAAAGCATTGTCCTCGAGAGTATAGTAAAACATGACTATGTATATGCATTGTGTCTGGGTGTTTTAAAGGTAATGGACACCATTTGCATTTGCCCTAATGTTCAGTTGACCTAACCAAAATCAACGATGACCCCTAAATAACCTTTGACCTAAAATTTCTCAAGTCATCTTAGGTCCCCTACCCAAAGATTATTGTCACCAAGTTTGGTTGAGAGAGAAGTCTGACTTTTCGTATTACAACACTTTCAGTTTACCAAACCAAAAGCAGCAATGACCTCATTTGATTATTGTCACCAAGTTTGGTTAAGATTGAAGTCTGACTTTTCATATGACAGCACTAAATAGTTAACCTAGCCAAAATGAAACACACGGTTACACGGACACACAGAAGAGATGTACATGTATCTATTGCAAGATCCCCCTTTCTTGGCTTAAAAGCCGGGGGATAAAAATGAAACTGTCAAAATATCATGAAATATCCTACTTGGTTGTACAGTCGAGTCTCGTTATAACAAACTCGTTCGGACCTAGCCAAATTGTTTGTTATATCAGAATTTTGTATTAAGAGGAACATCAGTCCCATTCATTGTGCACATAAATGCACAGTCGGGACCAAGGCTTTATGTTTGTTATAACCAGAATTTTGTATTAACTGAGTTTGTACTAACGAGAGTCGACTGTAAATAGATACCAGAATCATGTATTCTGTGAAATCATTGGGAAAAAAGGAATTACAATTGTTTCCTTGGTTACGTTTCAACTTGAACCCATGCTTCGGGTTGAGAAAAATGAAGATGCATTTTCAAAGTTTTCTCAAAGTATATCTAATGAGCTGAAAAGGCAGGTTTGTTTTATCTACCCAACCTTTTTATGAATTCAAATCATTCAGGTCTGTTTCTTTCCCTGGATAACTGCCAACAATTCTGTGTGGTTTAAGGGTATTATGATGACTACATGGTACGTATGTATCAAGTGATGCTGGATTCACACTGAATCAAGCTATGGGACTGAAAGACAATAATGGGGATTGAGGAATGATTGACAGCAAATGTACGTGTATGTTAGGGTTGGAATCAGAATTCCGGTGGTGGTCTGAATCTGATCCATGGCTGGTCAGGCTATTTCAATCCTCATTTGGGAAAAAGCAGATACCAAACTTATTAGACTACTGGAGGGTCAGTATGTCTTGTGTAAAGTACATGTATATCTTAAAACTAGTCATAAATTTAACACCCCCCCCCCCCCCAAAAAATGGCTTTTCTTTGTAATTGAACTCATTTCGCATTCTTTGATAGACTAAACCATGGAGCAAGGAACAGAAGGAGTCAGAACTCTTGGGCGATTTACATTTTTGACCATTAACATTCTAAATACCTCGGGAATGTCCATCTAGCTACAGCACTGTGACAGCAAGCCCGGACCATTCATTGCATGACTGCAAGCGGCCTTTAAACCCGATGATTGTCACCGCTTTTTAGGTTGGTAACCAACAATCTCCCTATAGTCATGTCACGTCGTTGCTCTTTCTTGAAAACTGTGCAGTTGTTAGATGGGAGTTATGAAATCAAGTTATCGATGTGCAGTTGTTGGCCCTTGAAAGCACTATCTGTTCCTGTCATTTGAAGATGAATTAAATTGTTTTCCGATAAGTTATCATGGAATTTTGAATTTTTTATTGGCAATACATCATTTATGAAATATGACATTTTGGGAAATTTCATAAGGTTTCCGACGGAAGGGATAGAGCACATTTGGCTCATCATGAAATGATTGTTTCAGTGATTTGACCACACTGTGGACCAGTGTTAGCCAACTCCGAACAAACACTTTCAAATCAATCATTTTTGGCGATGTATGACAAGTGCACCACAGTGCTATCCACAAATCAATGCAAACTCTTTCTTCAAGCATTAGTGAGTACAGATCTCAACAGGGTAGTGAGCAATTGGATAAGCTGGCCACCAGGTGCTTTTTTTGTTGCTTTCGAGGGCAGTGATGATCAAATAACTTTGAAGTAGGGGAGTTCTGACTCCTGCTCCTTGCTCCATGACTAAACCCAGTGTTTCTTGAAATGCAATGATTTCCAAATGTATTGCATACATGTATTGAGCCCCACATAACCTAAAGGGAGTCATTAAAAGCATCTCAAGCAGTAGGTGACAAGTTTTCATTTTAGGTTCTTTTTAAGCTTCTTTGCGGGCAGACGTCCACTAGGGAAGTCATCTATGGCTTCCACTACAGTGGATGTCGTGTCTTCCAGTTCGATTAAGTGCTCCTTCTTCAAGTGTTTTTTCAAACTGATATTATGGTTGAATGATTGGTCACAGTGACTGCACGTGTAGGGCTTCTCCCCGGTATGAGTTCGCTGATGCCTCGTCATGTTGCATTTTTGCGTAAACCCCCGTCCGCAGAAAGAGCAGGAGTAACGTTTGTGCTGGGCGTGTGTAGCCAGGTGTCTCTGCAATCGCGTATTTGCCTTGAAGGCTTTCCCGCATTGCTGGCAGATGTAATTCCTGGCCTTGTTGTGCAGCGGCCTGTGGATGGACAGCGACTGGGCACTTTTGAACTTCTTATCGCAGAATTGGCACGAGTAGGGCGTTGCTCCTGTCTGCTTGATCGCGTGGTACTCGCTGTGCATTTTTAGCTGCTTGCCACTTGCAAATCCCTTCCCGCACGCTTCACAGATGTAGTTCTTCACCTTGTGCAATTCCAGGTGTGCTTTCATGTCCGGGACGTACTCGTTGCATTCCGGGCAGCGTCTGAGCTCAATGGCTAGTTCCCGGATGTCCACCTCGTTGACCCGCTGATACAGGCCAAGGTCAATCTCGATATGAGTGAATATCTCACCGTTCTCCTCTGCAGCATTGTCACCGCTGTCCGGTATGCTGATAGGTAGGTGTGCGGTGATGGTATGCATCCTAAGGTCATCTGCTTCCTGAAACCTTTGGCTGCAACTCCGACAGGAGAACATTCTTGGCAGGTCCTGTTTCTGGATCTCCTTCAACCGTTTGTTGAATGTCAGTGCCTCTCTAAAATAAACAATGCATACATCTGCCATTATAGCCAAAATTTGTTGAACATGATACACATGCTTTGATAACAAAAGGCAAGGAGTAATTGAATAGGTTCACGTTTTTAATTTTTTAATTTTTTTATTTTAATACAAAGACACTTGACTTAAGGATTTGAACCTGAGTAACTTGGAATGGGCTCCGTGCACATAGCCCATACTGTACCAGGGGGCGGGCCTCACAAATAGCTCAGTTGGTAGCAGTACCAGTATATTCTGAAGGTTTTAGGTTAACTTTCCACTTTTGTAAATTCTGTATATTCAACTGAAAACTCACCTAAACAAAATGATTAGTGCTTATAGGTAGGTTAGATCAGTTGTCTTTTGTGCATTTTTTCGTTTGAAGCAACAAAAGTGCTCAAACGCTAAAGACAGATGCTTAACAACTAACCTGATTAATGTTAAGCTTTATGAATCCTGTGTATTCCGTGAAAACAATATTCTAGGATCTCAATTTCAATTCAAAAGTTGCTGAGTCATGTTTTGAATTGCGCCAGAAATCAGCGTCCTGGACACGTTCTCATTCAGCCAAATGCAGCTACGCGATGTCACGCACTGAACCGCTAAATAATAGCAACAGCACGCTTGTGTGCATCGTGTCAACGCTTGTGCGTACCCATTCCCCGAATAAGAAACCAACTACTAACGGACATTTCCAAAAATGCATCACTTAATGCATTTTTGGAAATGGCCTTCTTTTATTGTTTTCTTCAAAAAGTAATTTCACAGGTAGTTTAGTGCCATTACTATCTTTAAACCAAGTAAGCTTTAACAATAATTTTGTCAGTTACATTTTGGATAGCTGCAAATGATCTACTCTTCCTTTAACTCTTTGTAAATCAACTGCCTATTATTGGTTTTTATCTCATGGAGTTGCTATTTCTCATAGCCATCTCCTTGTGACTTACTTTTCTGCATCGTCCAATTCTATCCTCGGCCTTCCCCTCCTCTTTTTTGTCTGCACTTTGTCTCCGCCCACTGTTGCCGTCTCTCCAGATTCTTCTTGTGAAGTCTTGGTTCTCAAGCTTGGCATTTGTCTCTCAGATCTGGAGGCTAGTTCATTAGAATTTGTTTCTGGAAGAACAGTTTCATCTGCATTCTCTGTCCTCCGTTTCTCTGTTGCATCATCAGATCGGGACAGTTCTGGACAATCACATTTATCTTGATGACTTGAAAACAACTGTTGTCCTTGACAACCAGATGTGCATGTCCTAATTCCATTGCCATTTCTGACGTTCTCAACTGGGGAGTTAGACAATGCATCTTGTGGTTTATCCTGCACATCATTAAGACCATCATTTTTACAGCGAGATGCTTCAGTTGATTGAACTTTGTCAGTTGCTTCCTTGTTCACGGTTCTTCTTTTAGTTCTTGTACGTCTGTGACTTTGTTTCAAAGGGCCTGATTCAACGTTTCTTTCCTTTTCTATTTCCAGATCTTTTTCCAGCCTAGGCAAAATCAACAGAGCATACATGTATAAAACTTTATGTAGATGTCACAAAACGTTTCTTTTCATTTCTTTGTTTTCTTTAACCCTCCTAGTCTTTAGCACTTCACAGCCCTTCAAGTTTAGCAAAACCACTTTTTCCCACCAGAGTTAGCACCCTCGCTTCAAATTCCTTTGAGGTAATCTTCTGTGAAGCATGGACATTCCAAATCCTTGCACAATTCTTTTGTGCGGTTAACGCTAAGCTCAAGACAAGCTGGCAATTTTGATCGTGCCTCTTTGCTCTATACAGTGCTGTTTTTTTGTGTGCAGTGACTCTCTGTGTGACACAGTTACTTTAACACTTCATATCCCTTCACCTGAAACTGACCCGCAGGCTTTAAAAAGGTTTACATTTTGCTCTGCATATTGACTTCACACTAGGAGTGTTAATACATTGCATATCAAAAATTCTCAAATGATTGAAAAGTTTGAAAATATTTTAAAATATGAGAACACAATAATTTATTTACCCCCAAAGTACTTTAGGTCTAGGGCTGTGCCTGTAGCCATTTATTGGAATACACACCTATCTAGCAGGAAGGTCATGAAGATTTCATCCGCACTCCATTTTCTGTCGTCTTTCAGAGATGTCCATCTTGTGTCGTCTTCCCTCAACTCAGCCGACGTCAGTATTCTGTCTCGAAGCTTTTGCCATCTCACCCCTTCATGTTGGAGATTTATTGAAAGAAAAGATGATTCACCTTGTGCCACACGTTGGAATGGTAGAGCTTCGCTGGTCGAGAGGTTCTCTGTGAACACCTCTGTATCATCCATGACAAAGCATCACTGTTGATTTCTGCATAGAAATGGAAAACGTTTTGAGAGTCTGCTAGAATTGATACGTCAAGCTCTTGCAAGTTTTACACTTTGCAAAGTACACATGTACATGTATACATTCCGGGATATACAAAACACTAATGTCTACTAACTAGTAAACTGACTAATTAGTAATTGACTAGTAGTACATGTAACAGTTACAATTGCCAAATTTGAAATGAGCATTAGAGCTGGGATTTCCCTAGACCCAGTAACTGAGGCGCTTTAACTCCTTTTTTTAAAATTTTGATTTTGGTCGTTCGTACTAGCCGATCAAAGTCATAATTCGAAGAGAAAAAAATGAGTTCTAGCGCCCCTGTTACTGGGTCTAGAATTTCCCTAGATCCGTACTGCCATGTGTCGATTCAAAGTCAAAACAGTTTATCCTTCACTTGTTCTAAGCAGGGCTCTTGCAATGTGCCTTTGTCAAATTCAGGACTTGATAAGGAATATCCAAGACTCTATTTACGGGTCTAGAGTTTCCCAAGCCAGGGTTTCCTCACAAAGGTCCCTTGACTGTACGTGAGACATCATTGTTTTTAGGTAGTTGATATTTGGCCAGCACAGGTTTTTTTGTCACACATCATCTCAATGAAGGTCACTCATTGCAAAAATGTTGGGAAAGAATGTTGCAACCTGACACTACTTCAGCGGCTGTGTACATGTACAAAGTCTATGGAGAGTCAAGAATTTTTTTAAAAGTATTTCTTAACAAAATTGAAAATATTTCTCAGTCCAAGATTCATGTCTTATCATTATTTTTGCAATGACTGACCTTCATTGAGATGACGATAAAAAAACCCGGTAAAATGACGATGACAGTGCGGCGACAACGCGCGACTCGAAAATAAAGATGGCAATCACCGTGCGATGTACCGTGAGCACACACGGCGCGGTGGGCTGAATCGCAAGGCACAAACCGCGCAGGAAAATCGTGATTTCTACACCAAGAATCTGTTCAAAATTGCAAAAAGGGTGTCATTAGAATTAAGAAACGTCTGCTTTTGATTGTAAAGGTGATTTTTGAGCAATAAAAAACATTTTTGACTCTAATTTGATCAAAACAAAACAGGGGCCCTTCACTTCACGATCGCCCTGCCACCATGGCCACTGGCACCAGTGCAGTCAGTGGCAACTGCCTTGTTATTTTACTTTTTAGTGTCAATTTAGTGCAAGTAATTTTTCCCTTAACGTTAAAAGAACAATAAAACACTCGCAAATGCATCGAAGATTGTCATTATCAGTTATTAATATTATATTTATAAATACCAGTGCAGTGATGACCAACACACGACGCGACATGCACCACCCACCAAATTGATTGCAGATCTGGATCCGATCGTAAATAGCGCCACCAAGAGTTTTAGTCAAATGGCGCCACCAAGAGTGAATTCTAAGTAAATTTCTTCCAAGAAAAAAAAATGCCACAAAGTTGTATTGTGATTTAATACGTGTAACTTGCTTCATCCATTATGCATTTGTGACTTCATACATAACGGCGTCAAATAGTTAATTAAAAAATTAGTATTACAGAATTAACTACATGTATTTCACTCAACTTGTTTTCATCTAGTTTGTGGGAATTAAAATTTGGGTAATTAAAATGCGGTAAACTGTCACAAAAGGCAGAAATGGCAGAATTGTTTGAGATGGAATAAGGCATTTTTAATCAGAATGCAACAGCAGGTTAACACTTATTACAGCAGGCTTGTTCAAATTCCCCCAAAAAGGGAATAAATGAAATAAAACAACTTTAAGATTTACTATTTAGCGAAAACGAAAAGGATATACATAAAAAAAAATCAATTGCATGTACATAACAAATCTTTAGATATGATCTTTGCTGTAGAAGTGAACTAGTCGTATTTGAAGAAAAAAATGCACACATAAGAGCATAAGACAAGTTTTTAATATTCCATAGGGAAAAATTTGAAATGTTGGCATATTTAATTATGTACAGATAATGCTTTCATAAAAAGATGAACCTTACAAGAGAAGGTTGTCAGTTTCTATTGCCAATTTTAGCAATTTTCATTATTTCAGCATTTTCTTAAATATACATGAATCCACAATAAAAACGATGTTTACAAGAAATGGAAGAGGTATTTGCACTTGGTTTGACACAATTTTGTTTGCAAGCTTTGGATGATCAGACATCACAAGAAAAATAACACTTTGTTTCCCGACAAAACGCGATAAATACCATTTATAATTACCTTTAGAATCCCGCCCTCTTTTGGCTGCTCAAAGTCAGTTTTGATGGCCGTTGTAAAAGTAAAACACAATTTAAGAAAACAAAGTGAACAATTTAGAACCAACTGTTTGACTGTGAACAAATGTGTTCTATACATGTACATGTATTAACATTTTCATGACCATGCAACTTTTCCCTTTTTTTCCCAAATACATGTATATATCGGAACTTGGAAATAAATCTAGACATATATCATACAAAATTCATGAACGTTGGATAGATTTGAACTCCCCCCCCCCTTTTTTTTTTTATCTAATGGACCTTTTTGATTCTGATGTCATATTACATGTATACCAGTGCTGAAGTTCATTACTTTTCTGAGTCTGAAAAGTACATTAAAATAGAAGCTAGGGCAGTGACAATTTCACCTGAAAATCTAGACAGAGTAGTATATTGTGAGACAAAGGGACTCTCTACAAAACTGATGAATACAGTACGGTACAAGGCCTGATTCAGGTCGTGTCATTTATCAGAAAATAAAACTATGCAAGCCAACAGATCAAGGTCAACCAAACTATGATATTCAGATTCAATTATGGAAGAGAAAGATTGTGTAAAAGGGTCCACATTTAAATACAAAAACTCATACTTTTTGTAAAAATAATTATCTCTAAATTTGTAACTTGGAATTCATTGAACTGTATATTGATCATTGTTATTTTGAAATTATATTTTTAAATACTTGAGAACTATCTCACAAATATATCTCTCCTATGAGTAAATATTGTTAGCAAACAAATTGTCTAATTTCTCAACAACAAAAGTCAAAGCACATCGTTCATGCACGTCTACTCAATAAAAGCAATTTTTACTTCTATAAAAATGTAATAAAATGTCCAGCACTGAAATCTACTGCATAAAATATGACTTGCAAAGAAAGGAAAACTGCTAATTATTTTTGATATACATTGTACACTGTTCTTCGATTACAACAAATTCCTCCAAGAACAAAAATTGGTAAGACATACACAGTAGGCATTTGAAGCTCACAGCACAAGTACATTTTGAAGTTATAGTGTTTCGGTTGACGCCTTTCAACAGCTTCGTTTTTGCAAAATATTTTTTAGAAAAAGTATAAGAAATGTTTTTGTGGAGTATCACTGGTAGCTCGGTCTTGTGGCAGGATGAACGGTTCCATCAGAGTTTATCGGAACGATGGGCATTCCGGGATATCCTGACGGATATCCTTGAAGGTACGTAGACGGATAGAAAAAGGCAGTCATTCCCTGTTCCCCTGTTTGCCCTTGCCTATCTAATGGCATATTGTTGCCCTTCCACTGGTTCCCCGCCTGGTGGAGGGTTTGCAGCCTGACGGCTTCCTCCGCTGCTGCATGATTCTGCTGCTCCAGGTTCAGGTTGTTTTCTGGTTGGTGCCAGGGACTCGCAGCAGGCTCGGCTTCCCTCACCGGTTGCTGGTCATCTCTCCACTGATTCCCAACATTATTGTCTCTTTGGATAGTCATATCATTGCCCTTCCATTGGTTTTCTGTAACCAGTTGGTCCTCCTGGGGCACTGTGTTCGCTTCCTGTTGGATTGGCACCGGTTCCTCTGTATTCACAACGACAGTTTGAGAAGACTCCTTAGACTTTCTGGTTGTGGCAGGCTTAGGCCTACCTGCCTCCTCCCACCAGTCGATGCCATGATGCTTCTTCTTGTGGTTCTTGAGGCTAACCTTGTGGTTGAAGGACTCCTTGCAGAGGTCACACTGATAGGGCTTGACACCCGTGTGGACCCGCTCGTGCTTCTGCATGTTGCTCTTCTGGGAGAAGCCTCGTCCGCACTCACTGCACTTGTACGGCTTCTCCTTCATGTGGATCGCCGAATGGATGATCAGCCGGTTGTTGGTGTAGAACGACTTGCCACAGTGATCGCAGATGAAAGTTTTCTCCCCTCCGTGGTAGAGCATGTGGCTGCGCAGGTTCTGAGAGAAGCGGTAGGATTTATCGCACAGCTGGCACTTATAGCGATCCCCAGTTCGATCCATCTCGTGAACCTTCCTGTGCTTCTGCAGGATCTGGTTCTCCGTGAAGCCCTTGCCGCATTCCTCGCAGATAAAGTTGCGTTCCCGGTGCTCTCGCTTGTGGACAGTCATGTTCTCCACATACTTCTTGCATTTGGGACACTGTCTTAACACATTGGCCAGGCTGGTGATATCCGGTAGCAGTAACCTGTCCATATCTGATCTTTCAGGATTGGGATTTTCTCCTTCGATGTTCTCATTAGCATTGTTCTGAGGTGGAATCAGGAGTCTATCTCTCTGGTGCACGCTGAGGAAATGTTTCTTTATTTCCTCAGCATCTGGGAACTGTTCAAAGCAAGTCTTACACTCGTACATCTTGGGTAACCTCTGGAGTCTTACTTCCATACGGATGTATGTTCTGTAAAACAAAACCAACTCTGATTTAATAATTTTAGTTAATAAACAAATAATAAGCTTGAACACTGTATGCAGGTTTTTAGCAGCAGTTATGAGTTCTTTTCACCAACAATTTATTCTAACCAACTTTAATTTTCATGACAAACTACAGACTTCTGGGCAAAATATCATATCCATAGAATCAGTTTGGTAGTCAAGTTCACAACATTTTTCATACAAGTTTGGTCACAGGTAAATCGTAAGTGATTACACAAGTCCACTCACAAGTAGCACAGGATGAACAATAACAAAGGATTGTTTTTGTCAACTTTTTGTTGTGACCTTCCTTGAACTGGATAGCTTGCAAGGACATAGCAAGACTTCGGTTTAAAGAGCTGATGACTGACAGCCAGGCAAACGATTCTAATCCCAACCGCAGCCCGTTTTCATAACATGAAGGCTTTTACAAAGCTTAGATAACACAGGTACTGAAATTGGTTAAGGCAAGGAACTTGGTTACAGTGTCCAAAAATGTTTAGATCAATTGACCATTGTGCAGTGAGGCTGAAGGGAAATTAAATAACACTCGTATGGGGTTTTGGCCAAGGATTAGGAGTATCCGCACAATTTAACATTTTGAAAAATTACTTTGTGGTTTTGTTATTATTTCAAAAATATTTAGATGGAAACTTTTTGGGGGGCACACTGTAGTGAACATCCCCTTTGGATTTAAGTGATAATGTGCACTGCTGCCAATTCTGATATTTAAGGCACTACCTTGTTACCACTGCCCATAGTGTCCGGCCAATCTTAACTGCATTGACAGTATGACATGGTGAAAGACAGAGAGATTGAACCCTCAAAATATAAATCGTGACTCACTTGGCAGGCTTCTCCGCTTTGACCTTTAGCTTAGGGAACTTCTTCTGGCTTTCGGTCGCTGGTTTCCTGGGTCGACCTCTCTTGCGCGGAGGGCTGTACGTTTCAAGTTTGGTGGTCTTTGCTGGGGTTTTGGCTGCTTTCTTCGAGGCAGGTGTCTTCTTTGGTGACTTGGTGGGTTTGGCAGGTGGTTTGGGTCTGCTGGGTGTCTTTGGCTGGGCTTGATAGTTGTTGATGGCGCGGGGTAGGCTTTTCCTTCTCCTCTTTGGCTAAAATGAAATAGAAGAAGTTTTTAGTAAGACTGCAAGACCTTTTTAGTGAGATTTTAAGCAATAACTATTTTGTGGGATGAAATCTTTGTGCCCAGTGAGATGTCAATTCAAAAGTAGGTTTTGTCCTTCACATCTCCCCAAATGTGCATGTCTCTGATGCAAAAATTTTATCATGCAGAATAGTGATTGATTGTAGCACCTGTTACATGAGATTTGAATTGTCCAACCGACCCTGGCAAGCTCTGCGGTTGAGGGGTAAAATGTCTGCACTTGCATGAAGGAGGTCAGGGGTTCAATATTGTAGAAGAGTCCATCACAAGTCCTCCAGTCTCAATTCAAGCCACAAGCTATTCAAATGAACTGTGACAAAGGCATCCCGTAGTTGTTCATCGCGTTACTTGTAACTTAACTGCACTTTTGAAATGACTTGTGATATACTTATGCAAGCTAGTGGTGAACTTTGCTTACAACACTGCCACAACCACCCTGCTGAGAAGTGGCCCTTGCTTAATTGGTCATGCACTGCGAAGACCTGAGGTGCCTCTCACTGTCTTTTTGAACCCACAGAACCAACCATCAGAACCCTTCCGACAGGACGGAGCACTGCACCTACATTTCACAGACCATAGACAACCTTAACGCTAATGGCCTTAAACACGATTGGACTATTCCTGCTGCCCAGGAATTGGGCTGAATGGCAGAGATGAATTTCAAGCATTGGAAAAACCACCGGTCACAACGTCTTAGGTCGAGTACGGCTCGAGTAGCGTCAATTAGAGAGAACACTGGGAACAAGTATGAAGAGTTCAGTTTTGGGGGGAAAATTCTGAAGTAACGATTTATTTCACGGACTTAACGCAAAAAACTGAGTCAGTGCTTACATATCGTATCATGGGCAGTGGCTGATAATCCAGATCTTTGGGATTGTCATCCATGGCCAGTAAGTCTTCATCTTCTTCGTCTTCATCAAGACCAACGTCGTCTTCCGTCAGCTTTAAGCCATTATCCTGGCCTCTCCTCTTCCTTGCTGGTCTCTTTGAGTTGTCTTCTAAGGGTACTGCCTGCTTCCTGCATTAACGATTCGATAACATTTCTGGCATAAAAATGCGGACCAAAAATGGGAGAAGGGGCAAAAAATTGAAGGGAAGAAGAGTTTCAAGGGACACTGCATCCTGGAAAGTGCTCAATTGGACTACAAAATGCATTTTTCATGAAAAAAATGTGTTTGGATTTCAAGCTGTTTAAGCTGTGCGTAACAGAACCTGCTTCTTCTTTTTCGACGCCCGCCTCTTCTTTTTTTAATTAACACATTTTCAACATATTTTGCAAATATAATGTCAATAGATTGCCTTTTTATTTGTTTCCAACTCAATTGTACCTGTTATGTAGAATGCGTTACGGCTCCTTTGGATACAATTTTGTATTAGCAAAAATACATGTAAGAATCCATTCACCATCTTGGAAAATTCGCCATCTTGGGGAGGGGGGGGGGGGGGGAGGAAAAAAGTGCCCGCCTCCTTATTTTTTTACAAAAAGCCCGAACGGAAAACTGTTTATTTTTTTGCTCGGCCTAAGAGAACTAAGAGGGTGCAGTAGTTTGAAATACCGTTCATATTTTTTGGGTTGTCCCTTCCGACGTGTGCCTTTTTTGCCCTGTGTTGAGGCATCAGTTTGCTTGGCGATGGACAAAGTTTCCTCCACACTGAAAAAAAACCACAGAAAAATAGAAGTTTGGTTAAAAAGTGTGTGCAGTTATGTAATGTATGGAATAAAAAAATGTGCATTAAACAAGATGGCAATACAGGCTCACACAGGAATGAATTTTTTTTTTAAATTGAAAATTGAAAGGTGGATATGCGATTATTTTGTAACAACAAAGATACATGTATACTAATATATTGTAGTTTTAAAGATATAAATTTAAGAAAAATGAAATGATTCTAGATATCAAATAGAGAGAAATATTATAACATTTGGCTAGTCATACAAAGCAAAATCTTGGTCAAGTTTAAAGTAATCACAAGAAGCTACCGATCAAGACAGAAGCTGGCAAAAGCCTCGTCAATACTCCAGGTTGAATCGTCTTCAGTCCATTTCAGGTACTCCTTAAAATCTGGCAATCCCATCATCTGCTTCCGGAGTCGAGACCATCTGCTGCCCTCGTGAGGCAGCGGCACTGACAACAACGCTTCATCAGGGTTGGAATCATCAGCGTTGCTAACCAGTTTTTGGTTATTACTCTTTTGCGGTTCGGCTTCCTCGTTAGGTTCCTCTGATGTGCACTGTGACTCTGGAGGTTTTTGATTTGCATCAGGGACTTGGAGATGTACGTTGCTCACAGCTGCTGAAGAAACCAGTAATGCATTCTGACAGTCAATTCTGTCCAGGATTTCTTCGAGAGCACCCATAGCAGCAGCCATGACAGCATCATTCTCCGCATCCTGCACGGCCATAACTGGTTCCTTCAGAGAAAAGGGGGAACAACACGAAAGTAAAAAATATACAGTCAACAATTATCGTGAGTACCATTGAAGCCCCAGTAGCTCGTTTTTGACACATTGAGAAGCCAGTAGGTGCTTTATAAGGTATTTTTGTCCAGTCCCCGTGATTTTGGCAACTTTTTGAGCTGGATGTTCGTGAAAAACTGGTTTACAGATTTTATGTCTTCTATTTGTTGGGGCGCTAGTGAGTACTACAACCAAAGTCAAAATTTGTCAAAGTTCTAGAACCTCAGTTACTGGGTCTATAACTTTTGGGAAAGAATGTTGCATCCTGAGTCCTGACGCCACTTTGTTCATATATTATCTCAATGAACATGATGAAGGTCAGTCGAGTCATTGCAAAAATGCTGAATAGACATGAATCTGGGACTGAGAAACACTTCCAGTTTTTAATGTTTGAAAATACTTTGAAAATGCACTCGACTATTCATGGCATTTTGACTAGCTGTACATGTACACAACAAAGAAGTGGCATCTGAATAGGCCTAATCGGTGCTAATACTACTTTACTAGTACTATAGTAATAGGGCCTACATTCTTTCAAATCTTTCATGTCTTTGTTGGGAAAGACTGTTGCAACCTGACACCATTTTTTTCTTCATATATCAATAATTATCATCTCAATGAAGGTCAGTCATTGCAAAAATGATGATAAGACATGAATCTGGGACCGAGAAACATTTCAAATTTAGGAAATACTGAAGTGGCATCAGGATGCGACACTTTTTCCCTACATTCTTTCCCTTTGTTGCAATATGCGGAGCTAGCACAGTCAGTGGTGCAGCGTTTGGCAATGAATTCCGTGTTAAACACCACGACAAGCGATAGTGCATGTATGCCTATGCCTGTCATGCCGGTATCAGGTCAACTCGGACCCGAACCAAGTCAGACCCATGCCAAGTCGGACCCATGCCAACTCGGACCCACGCCAACTCGGACCCACTACCAACTCGGACCCACGACCAACTCGGACCCACGACCAAGTCAGACCCACGACCAACTCGGACCCACTACCAACTTGGACCCACTACCAACTCGGACCCAAGCCCGACCAACTCGGACCCAACAATGACTCAATCATTAGTTTCAGAGATTATATTTATAGGTGATCTTAATGTTAGTGCTTATATAGTGAAGATATTCTGTAATTATATTGGGCAGAATGGGGCTTTTAGTTTTGTTGTTTTCTTGTATTGCTGCTGTGTGGAGTGCTATTTTATGATGCGTACAGTAAATACTGTTGCTAAACGCTTATCGCTTTGAACGTCATGAAACTAAACGTGCTTAGCTTTTTGAAACCGTGACCTGTGAAGCTAAACCAAGAGATATTAATAGCGTATAGTATAGGTTAGGCATATCGTATGTCATTTGTACAACTTGATATACAAGCTTTTTCAAAATCTCGATTTGCTTTTCCAAACGAAGTTCAAAGGATTATAATTTTCAGAAAGAAATAAATTACTTGTTTGTTTTTGCAGGCCTTTGTGTCGTGTAACAAGTGGTTTTAAGTGGCACATTTTGTTTCAGTGAGGAAGTTATTAATTTGAAATAACTATTTAGGCCTTTCATTTCATGTAATTGTGTGGGTTTTTTTAATTCACATGCTGGCTTTGAATTCTGTGGGTTTTTTTTACGAATCCGATTAACTTTTTATACTTTTTTGATTTAACTTTTTTGTTTAATATGGAACCGTCTTCGTTTTTCTTGCAGTGTATGCAATGGTGTTTATGTGGGGTTTTTTTTAAATAGAGATTAGAATAGACTTCGTTTTTATATCTTATTTATTTTATTTATTGACTTATGTTTACTTATATTTATTGAGTTAATAATGTTATGTTTGAAAGTGTTTATGTTTTAATGCCATACTTTCCAATTTTATTTTTCTATGAAGATCTGTTCTTAATTTGTATACTCGTTACGTTGAAGTTTGGATTAAAAACGAAATAAATTGCTGTTAAATTTAGCGAGATGGTGTGAACGATGTCAATGAATATGTTTTAATGAAAATAAATAATTGGTTAAACTTTTAAAGCGCAATATGTTTTAATGGAAACAAATAAAAATAATAAATAATTAATTACACTTTTAAAGCGCATTTCAAAATAGCATTTCAATGCGCTTTACAACGACAAAAATGTTATACTGCTGCAATACAGATTTGGGATAATTTACCTTACAATTACAATGAAAATTTATACTAAACAGCATCACTGTAATAACAAATGAGAAGTGGACAAACTTTATGAAATGAATGATTGAAAACGATGTCGAATGATTGAAAACGATGGGTCCAAGTTGGTCATGCATGGGTCCGAGTTGGTAGTGGGTCCGAGTTGGTCGTGGGTCCGAGTTGGTCGTGGGTCCGAGTTGGTAGTGGGTCCGAGTTGGCATGGGTCCGAGTTGGCTTGGGTCCGAGTTGGTTTGGGTCCGAGTTGGATCATTTTATTAGTGCACTGCGCGGTGACGGTGATCGGGCACATCTGATCATTGTTGTTGGTACAAAAACAAGCACATACCCGGCCCTATTTCTCACCTGCTCCATGTCTGTTATGACAGTGTATTTTTGTAATGAGATCTTTGTGAAGAAACCGATGTGAGGCGTTGATTTTAGCCGTGCACCATCATCTTTTTTAGGCCAGGACCTGAAGATTTACATCATCTTCCGTCATTCAGATCAGATCGGCAGATGGAAGCTTCGCAAACGGAACAGCGCCCCCCAGAGGCGACCTAAATCAATGGACACTTGCATTTTTCTTCACACACCTAGTCGCCACGCCCCCTCTTTATCCTTTAAGAGAGTAAACCCATATGTACGATAAGACTGAAGTAATAGAGATTGTGTTGTTAAGAGCAGCATGGATGAGGCCGGCAGGGGGCCGGCAGGAGGCTGGGAGGGAGGCAAGGAGGGGGATGGGGGTGGGTGGAGACGGGGGTGGGCCGTGGGTGGATCGGAGACGGGCCGGGGGTGGGTGGAGACGGTGGTGGGTGGAGACGGGGGGGGGGGGGGGTGGGGGGGGGGGGGGGGGGTGGGGGGGGGGTGGCGCAGTATGTCAGTCCAACATCACTCACTCATATTAATGTGAAAGTATTGGTGAATGAAAACAAAAACTCGCTCAATCATGACGGCCGCAAATGTTAGAATTATAAACTGTAAAATTAATCAATTTTGCTGCACAAAGAATTGCAAAATTCACTTTTTTTTCAATTAAAAAAAAATTGCAATGTTCATGACACCAAAGAAGATCCCACACGTGAAATGTGTCCATTTACTCTGATGCAAGGTATTTATTTAATATTTGTTTAAAGCAAACAGATCACAGGCCTGACATTCCGATCTTAAGATCTTATCAGAGGCAAAATGACAGTGGTACAAGAAACAAACATGTAAGGGACACACGAGCCGGGATGGGAGGAGAAACACAAAGGAGGGATTAAATAGGGGACGGACCAATGTGGGTGAGGATCAAAGGAATGGAGAAGGACAAACAAAGGATGGATAAATATATTTCTTTAGAACTAAATATGCACCAACTACAAGGAATGCTGGAAAAATCTGGTGACCAATTTTATTGGCGTGCAATGATTGGAGAAAGCAGCAATACACATATTTCTATATAGATTCGTACATGTATGTACTAATGCATATCTTGTAAGTGCAATTATCATTAAGTAATTATCATTAATAATAGATTGAAGACATAAGAATACTTTATTAAAGGTCAATAAATTGTACATGTGTTATCAGTGAAATAAGGGTTTCATTTTTGTACAAATGAAATGCTGGATTTAATAAATAAAAAAATGATAAACAATTGATTCAATGGGCTTTAACAAGTTATGTACATGTATGTATTGTGCGGTGGGTTGTACCCTGTTCTACTGGCAAGAGTTTCAAGTTTTTGTGCCTCAAAAGAGAATTTTTTTTAAACTGCTAACAAATTTCAAGTTATATTATAAAACCAAAATGTACTTATGGTTAGAACCAGGCACAGTCAGATGGATTTGTTAAATTTTGCTTAGTCTAACTTCTCCTCTCTGCTTAGCTTGCTAAGATGAAGTAAGGTGAAGCATTGTTACCTTTTTGTAAAATGTAAGGCTTTCTCTATTATTTCTATGGTTATCTCCTTTTTTTGGCCTCTGAAGTAGGGTCGGTCGGTCAAAAAATATATAATCTGAAGAAAAAAATTGCAGTTACACTTGTATACATGGCTAAATTAAATGATGCCAAGTGCGTATTGTCTATAATTTTGTTTATTGCAAGGAGTTTATCATTAGTTGATATCACTGCACAAATAATAAAGCCCTATTTGGCAAGATGTAGTATATCAGCACGAAGCAGCTCACTAATGTTTTGGCTGTAATGGCAGCCATGACATACACACCTAATACAATAAGGGGCACCATCCTCTCATCTGGGTTCCATTGGTTGCTATACGCCATACTTCACATAAAAATCTGGTATTCATTTTCAATAGCTTTTCAAATATAATGAAGCCGGATTGCCCGAGTTTAATATTCATATTTTTCCATTTATTATTATTTATTTTTTTGTGAATGGGGTTCCAGACAGGGTTGGCAGTATTATAATAAAAAGGTGTATTTTTTTTCGGGAGCCCAAAATAGGGTCGGTCAGAAATGAGAAACAAAGAAAATAAAGAGCGACGCCCTTAGTGCTATTCCAATGAAGAATACAACAGTACAATATCTGAAATTAGTTTTTAAATAGTACAAGTTTTAAAAAAGGTTTTCATAAAGCCACTTTAAATAACTGAAATTAATGATTTTGATAAACACCAAGGAAAGAAGGCCTATAGTATCAGTTAAAAGTCATTTAAAATATCAAAATCATTAACTGCAAGATTTAATTCTATGTAAATGACTTTTTTTAACACTATCACAGTGATAGTTAAAAAAATATTTAATGCAATGAATTCCGAGCAATATAGCATATAATTTCAAATTACAAATTATTGTCCATAAAATTGAAACAAATTATAGAATACTAGTAAGATAAAGAATACTATAAATCATGCAAGGATAGACAATATGTGTTGCGGGTGTCTTCGAGGATGTTCTTGTTATTTTAATTAAGTAACAATGAATACACAAAAGGTTCAGTTTATTAAAGGTAAAGTCCATCATTTGTAATTTCTGCATTTTGTTCGTTTGAAGTAACACAAGTGCTCAAAATCTAAAGGAGGGTGGTAAACAACTAACCTGATGAAGTTTCAGCTCAGCTTCAGCTGTATATTTCAAGAAAAACAGCATTCTAGGATCTCAATTTCAAATCAAAAGTTGCTGAATTATGTTTTGAATTGGGCCTGAATTCAGCGTCCGAGACACGTTCTCACTGAGCCCATTGCAGCTACGCGATGTCGCGCGTGTGTGCGTTGTGTCAACGCTTGCGCGTCCTTTGCCAAATTAAATAACGAGCTACTAACGGAAATTTCCAACGGTGCTTCTTAAGACGCATCGTTGGAAAGGCCTTCTTTCGTTGATTTCTTAAGAATGACAGCTTGCCAGAAAGAATAATTTCACAGGGAGTTTAGTCCCCTTACTATTTTTCAACCAGGTATGTTTTTCAACAATAATTACACCAGTTACTTTTTGGATAGCTGCAAATGATGGACTCTGGCTTTAAATATGCCTATCTGCATAGCGATACAAGGCCATAGCCCTCGAATTCCACCTTAACACATCAGGTCTATACATGCAAATAATTAAAACACTACAATACAAACATGAAACAAAACACTAAACAAAACTGAACCCCCACCCCACAAAAAAAGACAAATAATAAATATAAATAAACTCTTGTATTATCTAAAAACTGTCTTTGATTTAAAATCAGAACATTATAGTAATCTTTGGTAGCAAAACTGAGCTAAATGGACAATTTCTATAAACATCATTGTTTCCTTTGATCTCAAACGTTGGTCAGGGGGGGAAAAAAACCCAAAGTAGCTTCACAAAACTGCACAAAAAACCACCAGAAACCATTTTTGATGATTAAATTGTATGAATACAGATAAAAAAAACCGTCTCCCAACAAAACGTTTCCCCCCTTACATACCAGCAACTGGTGACGCCAACATTTTTAAATTGAAACAAAGTATGAAGCTACAAAGGGCACCATACTAACTGCATATTCAATACTCTTTCATTAAATGAAACTTATCTTTTAGTCACTGGTGACTGACATTTACACAAATTTTTATTTTTAACAAGCAAGGTCAATGTACTTGCAAAGGCAGTTTATTCAAGTCTTCGACTTGTCTCTGATAAAGGGCCAATTTTACAGAGCTGATTAGCACAAAAATCCACCAATGACTGAAAACATGTCTTTACAGTTATTTGCTTTATAATCAATATTACATATGTATGGTTTTATCTGCTCCGTTCACAAGTACCCCCTCACCGGCAAAGAAAGTACAGTTGGGGGTGACCGAACAACGCCATCTTGCCTCAGTTGCCTGACTGCAATATTTCGCCGCACGAAGTGCGGCCACTGCGTGTCCATAGTACAAATCCCCTGGTGTACATGCGTCATACACAAGGCACAGTGCGCGTCAACCAGCGAAATGTGTGTGTCCTGCCCATGGGACGTCATTGCTAGGTAAAAAGGCGCCCTCTTTTGTTGGCGCACGGAGCCCATAGCAGTATAGACTCTGTGCACGGGTGCGTCCTCAACGGTTACAAAGGGAGAGTTGGGGGAGACCACCAGGAGGGACTGTTGAAAGCATTGTCCGTCGCGCCTGATGCTCACATGAAGACGCCATGGGTATGTGCGCATTGAGTTCTACGTGCCTTGCGGAATGTGCGCATGAACCACTACGCTCACATGGTGCGTCACTCCCACTGGAACTCTCAGATAATACATGTATACGTGGTCACAAAACTGCCATCGACTTGTCATGCACAAAAGTCCATAGTGTATCATATACACACATTGTAACTTGCACTTACAAATGCCAGCAATGGATGGAGGAGGGTGGAAAATAGATCTGGGTCCAAGTCGTTCCACGGTCACAGTAAGCAGTAAGGACAGTGGACGCTAACCTCTTAACCAGTTCACGCCAGGATTATTTTGACAAGAACGGAACAAAGCGCGGGATTACTTTTCACTTGACCTCAAGCCAGGTTGAAGCCATCACCCATGGGCAAAACACTCATATTTCAGGCCTCACTTGCTGGGAGCGGGTCACTGACAGATATTTTCGGCCTCGCTCCCTGCATGTTTATGCCTCATTCGTTCCGAATACTGCAAAACCTTTGACTGTATACACGGTATCCGGCGCAACCTGGTTAAGGCTGAATTTGCTTAGTAATTGAGTTATACAACCACCTCATTGCATGTACAAGCGTAAGCATGTCTAAATTGCTAAAGATAGAACTCTTTCTTTTGCTACTAAGCGTTAAGCAGCACCAGGAAATTGGCCCTTAACTGGTTGTCACTCACGATTGCCAAGGATGCTCAAATGGGTTCATCATAGAATGGAAGGCTTCAGTCACGTTTGTTTTTCTTTCCAGTTGAGCGTAGGTCTTAGAGCCTTGCGTGATCAGGTTGCTGGCATACTGGTAATTCCTCGCGGTCTCCTCTGGGTGCGTGTGGTGTTGATCCACAAAGGTTTGCATCTTCGCTAACTCCTTGTCCACTGATTTCTTGCTAGTGGTGGATCGCTTTTTGACTGATTTCCTGGCTTGCATCGGTACACCGTTTTCTTTCCACCAGTCGATTCCGTGCTTTTTCTTCTGGTGCATCTTCATGCTGACTTTGTGCGTAAAGGAATCCTGGCAGTGTTCGCACTTGTACGGCTTGATGCCCGTGTGCACACGCTCATGACTCCGCAGGTTGGTGAGCTGGGTGAAGCCTCGCCCACATTCCGTACACTTGTAGGGCTTCTCCTTCATATGCACTGCTCGGTGGACCCTCAACCGCACACTGTTGAAGAAATCCTTCCCGCACTGATCGCAGATGAACGTCTTCTTTCCCGTGTGAATCAGCTGGTGCCGCTGCAAACTGGCGCTGCAGCGGTAGGACTTGTCGCACTTGTCGCATTGCAGTCGCTCGCCAGTCCGGTCCATTCTGTGGACGCGCATATGCACATTAAGCTGCCTACGAGTCAGGAATAGTTTGCCACACTCCTCACAGATAATGTTCCGTGGCTGATGCTCGCGGCTGTGATGCGACATGTTCTCTACGTACTCATTGCAGTCGGGGCATTCTCTGAGCACGGCGGCTACGTCTGCCAGTCGGCATGTGTTGTACGCGCTAATCTTATCTTCGCGGTCCTGCTCGCTGATTGACTGCTGCCTGTGCACCTCAAAGTAATGCAATATCATGTCGTCAGTTTCGGTGAACTGTTCAACACACATCCTGCAGCGAAACATCCTTGGTAGAGTCTCTCGTAACACCTCCAAACGAAGACGTGTTCGCCTGCCACAAAACAAAGAATCGTCTGATTTATCAGAGATTGTTAATATTTACTTATTTTACAAAACATCACCCATAGATTCTCTCTGGATTGGCTGAGAAAGCATCGCACTATTTATTGCTATTTTTTGCTAACAGATGGCCAAAAGGGGTAGTCTCCCTCGGTGATTTGTGGAGCGTTTGATATTCCCTCAGCTTTTGCCCAAGAAGAATAAAATGCTCAAAGGATCACCTCAGGAGGCTAGTTTTTACTACAGTGGATTGTCAATTTTTAATAACGCATACTCAGTACTGGGCATACTTATCCATCAATACATAAAATCCAGGTGCTTTAATATTATATTATATTATCCCTGTGCGTCATACCATAAAGGTATTTTTTAATCCACTGTTAACTCCATGGTGTGTAATCTAAAGTTCTCAGCTTGATGTGGCATTAAGAAAAATCATGCTACAAGATCCAACTTTTTCTGACTTACGATTCGTTGTAAGCTTTCTTCTTTGCCATTTTCTGCTCTTCTGTCATCCGAGGGCGGCCTTTCTTACGCTTGTTCCTCGCCAAATCGGCTGGGTTTTTCCGCGGTCGTCCTCTCTTGCGTGGTGGTCCGTGCTCTGTCTTTGGTTTGGCCGCTTTGGCACTCTGCACTCGCCGCTTGGGTTTAGACTGCTTTGGCATGCGTTCAACGATCACGCCACTGTTGTCATCATTCAGCATCTCCATGGAAACCGTCGTGATTTCATCCCTGGAACGTCTTGAACTGTTTCTTCTTGGCAGTTTTCTACTTGGGGTCTTTTCTGCAAAATAAAAACAATTACATGTAGTTAAATTGAGAGCTGGGTTTCAACTTGTTTTAAACCTTAATTCTTAATGAAAAGATTAAACAAGGGAAATTAAACCACAGCAGGATTGGGTTCCATTAACAGGAACATTGGTGCAAACACTATATAGGCCCGTGCAAATGTGCCAACTTCTAGTGGTAAAAAGATGCTGCAAACCACTGTTGTCAAAATGGTGCTGCCCCCTGCTACCTACAAGTGGCAATGTGTGGATACCAGCCGTGAAATTTCGAAAGTGATGTATGAAGTCATTGGGAATTTTTGATGAAGAAAATGGCAATGTTCAGCTCAAACGACACTGCTCTAATAACTCACTGTGAGTTTTCCATCTTTCAAAAACATGATGAGTGACTAACCCCGGAAATCTTTTTGCCTTAAAGGGAATATACATCATTTGCTTTTGCTGTAATTTTCAGAAATGGATGGAATTGGGGGGTTGGAAATATATAGCAAATATAGTTACACTGACTTTTTTGAGGTTTTGGGTTCGAAAATGCTATAACAACCAAGAAAAACAATCATTTTCCTGTAGTCTGGTTCCCTGACTCCATATAAGAAGAAACAGAGCAGTTTACATACATTGGGGAATTGTAAGGTCAGGGAACCAGTCTAGCTGGCTCGTACCCGTTCATAGGTTTGTCATCGATTGCAAACAAGTGCGATGGTCAATTGGGGCCAGTATTTGAAAAAAAGCCAGTTTTTTCCAACGCTGATCGGCCGATCAGCGTTGGAAATTGATACAAAAATACCACTTTTCTTGAAAATGACAGTATACCAGGTGCCATGATTTTACAGGATGCTTTACACTGTCATTCACTAACAGTCCAGCAAGGTATTTCAAAATGATTTGGTAGTTTTATTTTTTGATGTTTGCAAATGTTGTATTTTCCCTTTAATTACTGCTGGTCACCAATGAAAACATTACCAATGTTGGCAAAAGTTAGCAGTTTGAGGTATACTCAGAATTTTCTGGGTAGCGCTGCCAAAATTCCAAAACTAGTTTCGATTTTATCGAGTTGAAAGAGACCTCTGGTGCCATGGTGACTTAAGGTGAATTAAATCCAAATCCAGTGTCGGACTGAGACTAGGCCTAAAGTGGCAATGGCATTCAAGTATCAGTCATATCTCTCCATAACATTCAAACAGTCTTATTAAGCCATGTCCAAATTATTTGGCTATGAGCTAGCAGTAACACGTGTCTATGGGAAGTGGCTTCAGCCATTTCCATAGGTGCATGTGTACCCGCAAGCCATAGCCATGTCATTCTGATGCAGCCTTACATATCGAATGATGGAAAGCGGTGTGTAGTCCAGATCATCCGAGTTATCATCCATGGAAAAAGGGTCCTCCTCATATTCCTCGTCTTCGAATGGCTCCATGAGGAAATTGGTGTTGGCATACAGATTCTTCTCCGCTTGAATTGTGGCACTGTTATCATTCGGTGTTCTACAACAAAAGGAAAATAAATCCATGTTCGTTTTATTGTCTGAGTCGACTGGTAGAGTACAGAGCCAATGTTGCTATTCATGCGCACTCTTAGGTACTGTCCAAATTGCACACCGTAGCCAAATAATTTAGATTGTCTGTCTTTGAAACAGGTCATCTAACATGTCTAAGGTACGTAGGAACACGATGGGATCACTAAATTGTGTTCCAAAAGGGACAGCATCTTCTGAATATTCTAAATTCTGGCATGTACATGTACATGTACATCCACTTTTGATGCTAGGATGTACACTGCACCTTAAGCCAAGAGATTATTCAGAATTGAGATGACTTACAGAGGAGGCAATATTCTGCATATTCCTCAGACCCACTGAGAATCACCAACCCAAAAACATAATGATAATAAACATTTAGAACAGCTGCCCACCTCTCATATTTGCGTGGCTGGCCTTTCCTCCTTGTTGTTTTCTTGGTTTTCTGGATCACCATCTCTGGTCTCTGGTGAGCGTTGGCCGGCAAGGGATTGGCAAGAACTTCGTCTACTCTGTTGACAAGAAGTTTATGGTAGAGGTGGGGATAACAGATTTCAAATGTTATGTCAGGAAGACAATATTTTCAACTCTTACGTCAGAAAAGCTGAAAATGTTGCAAGGCTACTTGTACACCTAAGTTTTGGTTTTGTTTGAAATGGGGCAAATCTTGAATAGTGTTAGATATTAAGCCTACCACGCACTACCCTAGTCTTATTCCACAACCTGTAATGAAGTATTACAAAATTGAAAACCTGCACCCCCTGTAGTTACCTTCTAGGTTGCCCCATGCACGGGTACCTGGGTACCCGTAAAAGAAACTCAACCCCAAAATTCAAATCGCGAGAGACGTCTGAAGGGCTCTATAGCTTTATGGTGTAAACTGCAACTTTCGCGAGCATCATCTGTCAGCTGTCGCGCATTAAAATGAACATAAAACAAATTTTGGTTTTTCGATTTTATAACCTGGTTTCATTTTGAAAATCTCCCAAAAATGGCATTAAATGCCAGTCTTTTTATTCTCTGAGAAATTACTTTGTAATTTGTAAAGTTGGTTATGGGTACCCGATCCCATCATCTGGAGCCGGTTCCCGACACCAACAGTCGGGTACTTGGGTACCTGTTCTGATACACATCTCTAGTTGTCCCACAATAGGAAAACATGTCCAATGAAGACATTCTGTGCAATCTCTCTACTTTAAAAACTAGTCTAGGCAAGCGCGGAAAACAGGGAGTTTCTTACATTGCCTTGTCCAGTTCCCAGACTCATTTTCGTAAATGTCTGGAGTGCTGAATGGCAAGGCATAGCAACTGGTTAAAACACAAGTTCTTAATGAAAATATCTTTTTACAAGCCGACGCAATGTTTCGCTGCCCCATATTATTTCACAGACCTTTGTGTTTGTATTTTCTTTATACCAAACAGTTTAGTTACTAACCGATCAAGGCAGAAGCTAATGAATGCCTCATCAAGGCTCCACTGTGCCTCACCCCGTACCCTGCTGGCATACTCCTCAAACTGTGGTTCCGTCTCAATCTTATCTCTGAGCCGCGCCCATCTCAGCCCTTCATGAGGCAGTAATCTCTGGAGGTTCGAGTCTGCGTGTTGGCTATCGCTGGCAACACTGGAAGAAGGTGGATTCTTGGAGTTCGTTTCTGAATCTCCACTGTTCTCTTGGTATGTCCCTGTAGGGTCAGTGACTGCCAACTTGACTCCTTCGTCATCTTGCTCATTGCTTAAGGTTGCTGGGATGTTGTTAGCAATATGATTTTGTGTCAGCGTTGCCAAGGATACTATTTCTTCTTCTTCCATGTCTTCCTCAATGACTTTTAGCATCTGTTGCAGGCATTCTGATACGGCTTTCTTGACATCCTCATTGCCACAAGAGTGGGAATCCTATAAGAAATTTGGAAAGTAAATGCAAAAGTGATGACACTATGATATGGAGGGGTATTCGTCTGCGACTTAAGATGAAATAACTTGCCACTTAATTTTCATCCCAAAACTGCCAAATGGCCGAAAATAAGGAGGCTGATGTCAACAAGGAGTTGTAATTTTTGTCACAACTAGCGATTGCTTGGGTAAGTGAACCCATACATGTTGTATGCCGAATATCCTGCCAAATTATCTTAATGAAAAAAAAATATTTAAAAAATCAGTAACTTTTTGTACACGTAGGTTACCTTGCTCTATGGTATGGCTAAGGTGGGAAAGTGAATGTTCTTTAAAGACCTAATGGGTAATGACATCACGCTTTGTTTACATGTGCGGTCGCAGTTTTCTATGACTCTATGTAAACAAAGCATGGCATCATATGAGCTCCGTGCGCTACCAAAAGAGGGCGCCCTTTTACCTAGCAACGACGCCCATGGGCGGGACATTTCGCTGGTTGACGCGCACTGTTCCTTGTGTGTGACGCAAGTACACCAGGGGATTTGTTCTATTTACACACAGTGGCCGCGCTTCGCGGCAAATGAATTGCAGTCAGGCAAGATGGCGTCGGGCGGTCACCCCCAACTGTACTTCCTTTGCCGGTGAGGGGGTACTTGTGAAGGGAGTGGATAGGTCTATTTTAAGAAAGACAGTATCCAGACACCATGTTGTTGTTTGTGTACAAAGTGAGTTGAGTGCATTTCAAAGTACATGTATTTTCTATTTTGTCTAACACAAATGGTCTAACTTACTGACTTTAACGGAATTGGAAATGTTTCTCAGTCCCAGATTCATCAGACCATGTACAAAACCATCGTCAAATTTTGGTTTTCACATTTAGGCTTAGTTTGTAGTTTATTTTTGCTTTAGAAGCATACTCACCCTCTTTATAGGCTAATCAGAAAGTGCTGTCTTTTCAGATGTCTAGTTTTCATGAAATTTCATGTTTAAATTTTGATACGCAAACATGTGCAAACGAATCTGGAAATTTCACGAAAATTAGACATCTGGGCAAGATTACCTTATGCGAAGTTCATTAATTTTCCTCTGTATTGAATAACAAGCCCCCAGATAGCAATTTCATGTCATCAGAAAGTGCTGCCTTTTTCAGCTGTCTACTTTTTGTGACATTTCATCAATTCATGTTGAAATTTTAATGAATCTGGAAATTTCACAAAAAATATACATCTGAAAAAGGCAGCACTTTCTGATTAGCTTAAAAAGAGGGTGAGTATGCTTCTAAAGCAAAAAAAACTACAAACTAAGCCTAAATGCGAAAATCAAAATTTGGCAAAGTGCGACACGTTTTTGTACATGTGGATGTGTGGCCTATGTTTACGGAGGCAGTCCAGTAAATAAGCCACATTTATGGGGCTAGAGTAGGTGAAACTGGTGTGGCCTTGCTTTATACGGAGGTAGGCCTAGTCCTGTGCTGTATTAGGCAAAAAAAAAAAAAAAACATGTTTAGCGTCCTGCCTCTTTGACAAAAAGGAAGGAGGAGGCCCTTTTTTTTTTTTTTTTCTTTTCAAAATGGCCGCCCGACACATTTTTCAAGACAACGCGGCCGGGCTATTTTTCAAGATGGTTACCAGCTTTTTTCAAAATGGCCGCCACTTGGACTCATTGACTATTTCCACAGCTTTATACACGGTTTAAAAGTAAAAAAATATGATATCTTTCGTCAGAGATCGTTAAAATTTATCAATTTTTGTCTTTAAAAAAAAAAAAAAAAAAAAAAAAAAAGGAGGCGGCCTCTAAAAAGGAAGCGGGCGGGGACGCTAAACATGTTTTTTTTTTTACTTCGCCTTAATATTGGCCATATTTACGGGGCTAAATTTTCACCTGTTTTGTAGCCATCTTTCCACTTCTCGATTTACAGTTCAGTCCCCCTATTTATTGTATTGACAAAACCAAATTTAAGGACCAAACGTGAAATTACGGAGCGCAGACATGGTTGAGTACTACGTTACAGCATTATAACTTGTTGTGCCCATTCTTGAAAATCACGCAATCTTAAGAATGCGCGCGTATTCTTAAAAATAAGCGCATTCTTAAGAATGAGCACGCGGTCTTAAGAATGAGCGCTCATTCTAAAGATTGCGTGGGAATATCACGTGCACAATTTATGCATTTTGCGCAATCTTAACAAACATTGCACGTCATAATTATGTTAAATGAAATGTATATTATTATTATTATTATTATTTATTCGGCCAAATTACAAGGTACAACAAGCAATTCACAAAAGTAAACAAAACTAAACAAAAACAATCCAATCCAAGCTGGCCAGGATTGACAAAAGTATAATAAAACACTGTGACTCGAAAGCCTGTCAATCCTAACTTGAATGGTACATGTAACATACAAAATATATTAAAAATTAGGTATAAAATTCAATGAAAAATAAGACCGCCTTAAAAATAATACTAACAAAGATAATTAGATAGCGGTTAAAAGGGAAACAATTCATATAAAGAGAAAAGAAAATGTTCTATGCTTCTGTACTCGTATAACTACGATAATTTGAATCAAATTAAACCTGTTATTATTGCTTTTTTTCTGCCCACTATGGGAAGTTTTGTAATAACGGAGGACTGGGAACTAGTCTGGGAAGTGCTTTGTTTAGGCTAGACAAGTTATAAGTCCCTGTTTGTATCATATGCATGCCACGAAAAAAAAAAACTATGTCCAGAAGCTGCCAAAATTGCTCTTTTATGAAGCCCGGGGAAAGGGACAGGGTGGACTTTTTTTTTTTGGCATTTGCTAAGTCGTTCGCACAAATTGCTAATTCGTTCGCACGAATTACTATTTTGTTCCCACGAATTTTGCGAACGAATTAGTAATTCGTGCGAACGAATTAGCCAATGCCAAAAAAAATTTCCACCCTGTCCGCTCCCGGGCTTCATACTCTTTTGACTAGATAGAATCCAGCTCTGCGACGTAATGGTGGGGGTGTGAATAATAAATTGGTGGCAATTTAAATGCGAAATAGCATGATGTCACAGTATTCATTCTCATTCTTCACATTCTTCATTCTTACGTCCCCCTCCCCCCGCTTTTATTATCCCAAAAAATCAGAATTCTTTCCAATACACTATTATTATGTCTCTTATTTTTTCCCAGTCCCCCCCCCCCCCCCAGGCCCAATACGCGTATACTTTTCATATCCACTCTACTTTTCAGCACCTTGCGTTGCAACAGTATCTATAATTATTAAGAATCAGTGAACGAGGATACAGCTAGACTTGCCAAGTGCAGCAGGTGCTCGGTATCGACAAGACCGTTATCTTGTCGCGCATTCTTAAGAATGTGCGCTTAATCTGGAAGAGTTATTTTTTGCGAAGATTGCGCAAGGATCCAGTTGCACAATCATAAGAATGTGCAGGCGCATTCTTAAGAATGCGTGATTTTCAAGAAAGCGCACAACATACTCGGCCATGTCATCGTCAGCAGTCGATCCGAGCTCGCGCGCCGCCTTATAAGGCGCTGTAAGCTTACAGCGCCCTCATCAGGGGCCAATTTCATAGAGCTGCTTAAGCACAAAATTTGCTTAAGCACAAAAACGTCTTGCTTAATAAAATCAGGTTACCGGCCAAAGCTCCATGCGATCGTTATGCTAAGTAAACAACAGCTAAATACCAGTCACAAGCAATGTACATCACATGGAGTTTTGCCAGGTAACCTAATTTTATTAAGCAATGTTTTTTCGTGCTTAAGCAAAATTTCTGCTTAAGCAGCTCTCAGATCAGCGCGAAAATTAATAAGGGGATTCCCCACCCGGCCGGCCGGCGGCCTGTGCAATCACGCACGCAGAGCAATCGTGGATGGGTTTTCCCATATGTGTCATTGTGTGTTACTCAATTTTTGTAATTTTCCATTCCGGCATAATATTCTCGAAAATGTTCTAGATATTTCTCAATTAGGACTTTGGAAAATTCGTAGCTTTGTTTGTGTCGTATAAGAACGAGATGGAAAGAATATAACGACCGTCCATTCGGCAGATGATCATTGATGGTGAAGGAGGTTGTTGTGAAAAGTATCTTGCTTCAACTTCAAGTTCGTAGCAACTAGCATATTATTTGTTGCTTTATGAATGATCTTCGTGAGTACTACAACGACTTGAACAACAGAAACTCAAAGGTAGGAAACTAACGTACGTTAGATTACTATGGCACTAACCATGCTAACTGGGCCTACTGCTAACTCCGTTTTATTTATTTTTTATTTATTATTTTGGCTTGGATTAATTGGTCGACCGATTGATCAGATCTAAGCCAAATTAAATTTCAAAGAAGAAGTTCTAAATTTTACCCCTAGAACAATGGGGGCTAGGGGTTACTCAAGCTAGATAATATGATGAAAATTGGCGTCAGGATGCAACATTCTTTCTGCCACAATTTAAGGCGCAATGATTTTCGTTCGCCCCAGGCCATCCGTGTATTTCATAGATTGGACTTCAGAAGTGATAATCCCCATTTCTAATTGGGTGGAGCAGCTGGGGTGGGGGGATGAGAAGTGGTGTGGGAAACAAATTTTAACATGAAGGCCTAAATTTTGGTGAGATGGTGGCACCAGCCGTAAATGAAACTCTCTGTCATGGACTCTAGAGCTGCCCCCAGCTTGTCCATAATGTAGTCACTTGTTCAATGTACATGTACTGTACACGTCGTGTGTACATGTACTACTAGTACTATACTCAACCAAAAAAGAAAGCCCCCCCTTTCCAGTACTTTTTTGTCTAACTCAAAAACTACTGAGCACCTCTCGCTCAAATAATAACTAAAAAGTGCAGAAATTCCGTAGCAATCAACCATACTCTTTATTTGGACCAAAACCATGAAAACAGTGATAATATGTACGAATTTATGCAATTTACCATACAATTTACAAATAGTATCAAAAACACAGTTCATATACAAAACACTTTTGTATACGTGCAGGTTGGTTCACACTCACCTTGCACATATACAAAAAAAGCAACATTTTTCGGTACCATGTGTCATAAATTGCATACTGATTTTGTGTACATTGTCACTGTTTTGGGTCAAACAAAGAGTATGGCTGGATTGCTAAGGAATTTCTGTACTGATCAGTCATAATTTGACCAAATGTGCCCAGTAGTTTTTTTTTTAGACAAAAAAGTATTAAAGGGGGACTTTTTTTTGGGGGGGGGGGTTGAGTGTAGTACAGGTACTAGTACCAATACACGTGTTGTTTCCCGCATGTCTGCAGCATGTGATGCACTGGTGTAACATATGAGTGACGACTACCTGCCAAATGACTCTTTTTTTGAGTGTCAAAATGTTGACCCCCAAAATTTGTTCTTGCAAGAATGACACCAATACAAATTTTTGAAGGATAGTTGTGTGGATGTTCATATTTTGATTTTAGATGGTTGTTTACTTTCCAATTAATATCATTTCATTTAAAGCATGTTTTGTAGCTAGGGATGCAAAGGGGTGGAAAGTTTCTGGGAACTTTAGAAATTTTCCCAGAAAGTTTCTGGGAATTTTGAAGGCCAGGCCGGGAATATTTGGAATTTTTGGAATTTTTCAATTGTATTGGCATTTATATTGTAATAAAAATGGGGGATGTCCCAATTCAGTCTAGCTCTTGCGCAAGTTGGGAAATTTTCAAGTTAAGCAACTTAATGTTGCATTTTTGGAAATTCGTATCACACTATAACCACAACAAGAAATGTCACGCGTGTGTTTTCCCCAACTACAGTTGGCAAAAAATGACAATTTTCAGCCTGTATACACCCCTTCCCCCCCCCCCTCCCCCCATTTATATGCTTTGTAACAAATTTATAATCTCTTAAGCTATGGAAATGTTATGGCCTTAACCCTAAAAGGGCCGGGGGGGGGCGGAATCCGCCCCCCCCCTCAACATTTTCCGCGATAGCTTCTAAAAAATTTTTTTTCGCGACCCGAGCTGTTATGACTTTTTAGCCTCGAGCTTTGCGCATCTTTTGATACCAAAAACATAAAAATCGAACCACGGGTTAGCCTGTAGCGAAAAATTTTCCGGCGCTACGCGCCGTAAAAACTGAATTTTCGCATATACACCGAGCAGAATTGCCATTCATACATATGAATAATTAATTAGCCATAACTCCAAAACCCTTTGACCTATAGTCATGAAATTTCTTGGGCATGTTTAGGAAGAGTTGCTCTATGCATGTGCTGAGTTTCAAAATTTTTCGTCGCTCGATGGCCGAGATCTTAGGGGGGGGCGGAATCCCCCCCCCCCCCCCCCCCCCCCCCCCCACCACCCCCCCCCCCCCCCCCCGGCTGAGAGATGGTCAAAATAACCCGGCCCCTTTAGGGTTAAAAGCATACATTTATCACAGTTTGAACTCCAAGGCAGTTAAACTTTGCCCTTTGTAATATGCCATTAATTTTTTTATAGGTGGAAGGTATTTGTATGACTCTATTCGAACATTTCAATGGTATCATTCCTCTGGTATAAACTCCCATTAGCCATATATCAGTTTACTCGGTGGTATATAAGAAGTAAATGTTGTTTACATGGAAATTTTGCTTTTGTTGGTAAACTCAGTATGCTCTTTTCCTGGCCGGGCACAGGGTCTGACTTGCATTTTTCATATGAACAAAGTATGGAATGGGTATTACATGTACAGTGATTTTTGTTGTACAGTGAGAATTCTGGTAGAAACCTGTGACTATATTTTTGACTATGAACAGTATCCTTTCAATGTTCACAGATGGATGTTCTCCAAGTGGCAATACAAATGTTCAGACTTGCAGTGCTGTTGTTTGTTTCAATACAATGTTTGACAGGTAAGGATGACAACACAACATCTGTTTGTTCTTTGCTTGTTTTTATTTTATTTTTTTAACAATATTGTGTTCCTCGTTTTGTGGGTGAGGAACTCTTTGCATAAAGCAAGCCAACAAATCGGATTCAAATTGAAATGAGGCCTTAAGAGGCAGCAGCCTAGTATTGTTTCGATTCCATGCACCTCATTCTGTACTCAAAGAGTTAATGGTCGACATAAAAACCTAAGGAAAACCCTTTCTCAGAATAAACTGTACACTGCTTCAAGTTGAAGTTGATACCTCTTCTCAAATGCAAAACATTTAAAGCCTTAACCCGTTTTTTTTCCTTTATAAAAAATAATCCATAATAAGTTTCTCTACCCATGATGATATTTTTTACTTGAACTTTATGCATGTATGCCCCCCAAAATGGCATTATCACCATTTTTCCTGGGTGGAGAGAGGCAATTTGTTATTAAGTGTCTTGCCCAAGGACACAAACACAATGTTCCTGGCAGGATTGGAACCACGTACCATTGTACATTCGTCAAACACGGCATTCTATTGGCACATCGTTTTGTGTATTTTAGAGTTGCAAAGGCAACCTGAATAAAAGCCTGAATTTTTTTCTATTGGGTTGCTGATGCCCAAAATAGAGAATTGAAAATTAATTGGTGGGGGAAAAAAATATCAAATTTGTGAAAGAGCTTGGGAAAAGCAAGTTTACATATTTTAGCCACTCACTTTAAAAAAATTCATTTCAGCGACTTCTGCAACAACCCCGATCGTTTCTCCCAGAGGCATCTGCACCTCCCCAGACGATTTCTACCAGATCAAATGGAGAGCTAGGACTGTGGACCCCGGGGAGTCGCTTCAAGTCTATTGCGATCGGCCAGATGGAGCAAAAATCCCAATGGAATCCGTTAGCTCCAGATTGGGTGATGAAACCACTCTGACGGTGCACGGCCTAAGCGACGGTCGTTTCAGCTCTTGTGAATGCGCCGTGATGAAGGATGGCACAGCAGTCGGAGCTGTCCAGGAGATGTCAAAGGCAAACATTTGGGTCAGGAACGACACAAGTGAGTGACCATGATCCCCAATTTTCATGCAGGATAATGTATGCTGCAAGTTTTCCTCCCTATCCTGTTTTCATCCTTGCTATTATAATCTTCCAGTTAGAGTGATAAATTTTAAGACATCTGGAAGAAGCGTGATGTTAGGTATAATTCGGAGAGAGGAGAGGTTTGTTGACCAGTCATATAGTGATGTCTTCAAACATCTAGATGATTTTGGTTGATGTTTAAGACGTCATCATTTTTTGTTATTGTATCTTCAAGATTGTTTTATCCTTATCTATCCAAATTTGTCTTTGAACTAGTACATGCCTTGTTAACTTCATTTCAGTGTAAAAAAATTATTAAAATTGCTTCAGAACAGCCTTTGTTTGCTTTAAGCTTTTTTTTGCTTTGAGCCTTAATATCTATTTATATGTAACCGGTGAAATATTTGAAGCATATTTCAACCATATATTTTTTGGCACCTTTACTTTTCCTATCTCTGGCTGCGCTTTGCTGCCATGCGGCCACTGAGGAAGAAATAAAACAGTACATTTTCCATCTAAACTTGAAGATCCTGTGTTCCCCCGGTCACATATAGTATCCATTATTATTCCAATTTACTAAGGGTACCGGTACCTTAACCCTTTAGTCACGGTAGCACCCAAAACTGCACTGCCTATTACTCACTGTGTAGTGCCTGAAATCGCCCGAGCATTCAATGATTTTATCACTTCTTCAGTTTAAATAAACACAATGTAATACAATGAAGTGCAAATGGTAATGGTTTAAACCATTACTCCTTGCCCCGCCCAAAACCGTCTGAGCACTATATGATTTTATACATGGAGCCTTCGGGGAATAAGCACAATCTTATACAATGTAGTACAGGTGCCAATGAGTTAAATACTTCTTACATTTGTTGTATATTTACTACTTCAACAGTGTTCACCATATCCCAAGATGAGATATGGATCAGCCCTGACCAGGAGGAGTTTGAAGTTACGTTTGACGTGGACTGTGACTTTGGTGGATCGTTTGAGGTGCGTTACAACAACAGATTGTTAGAGCACAGGCACAGCCCAGGCCCAGACAGGTTGCCTTACATCAAGCTAAGAGCTGGACAACCTCCAGTACTTTGCTTCCCAGACCCAAGCTGCCGTGATATTGGGCTCTACCTTATTATCTACCGTGCTAGTAGGAACTACAAACCTATTGAAACAGCACGGTATCTGTGGATACGCGGTAAGAAAATACGCAATTTAATATCTATACTGGTAAATGCTCCAACTCATTTATGCAAGGACTGTTGGTGTCAGTGGTACTTTCTATCTGCAGAGCCTTTTACACTTTCTCAAATCTTTGTGTTGGACCCAATTAACACGGAGATTTTTGGAACCCCTTCATGCTAGCAAGAATCCGAAACGGCTTCTACATGGATCCAGCTCTCTATACACAGGTCAATCTGGGCCACTCATGTTCCATGGGACTTGATTTTGCTGGAGTTGGGCAATGCACAGTAGAATTATTTCAAGGTATTTTAAAAATCCAACATTGGTCAGGGCAGGGTTGAGAAGAAAATCTAAATCTAAAGCTGATCTGTGTACACAGTCTGGTGAAAGTGTGAGCGGTACTGTGTCTTGCTTATACCCGTGTTTGATGGGATCCTACTTACAGTGGACCCATGTTGATATCAGCATGGGTAGGCAAGACGTACAATGTAGTGTGAAATGGTTGGGCACTGCAAATTAGATGTAAAACCCGGGCATTCTGTGAATAGCCTGATATAAGCTGTCTCTTGGGGTTAATACCTTTGACAGCATAATTACTTACGGGGTTGCTCTCAGATTAGAACTGAACTGAACTTCATATTTGTTCATCACTACCAAATACATACAAGGGCGGATCCAGAACACAATTTTGGGGGGGGCCAAAAATTTTTTTGGTTCCCCACAAAAAGTGGGTCAAAAAAATTACGGCGTGGGGTTCGGGGCCCGCTTAAGGGCCCCGAAAAAAATTTGGATTCTAGATGCTCTGTGGTGTGATCTGAGGCGATTTCTGACCACTTTAACCAATGTTTTTTTTTAGGAAAAGATGGTGGTGTACTCATTGCCTGCCTTTATTGCGATGTCAAAAAGTGGGTCAAAAAAATTACGGCGTGGGGTTCGGGGCCCGCTTAAGGGCCCCGAAATTTTTTTTGGATTCTAGATGCTCTGTGGTGTGATCTGAGGCGATTTCTGACCACTTTAACCAATGTTTTTTTTGAGGAAAAGATGGTGGTGTACTCATTGCCTGCCTTTATTGCGATGTCAAAAAGTGGGTCAAAAAAATTACGGCGAGGGGTTCGGGGCCCGCTTAAGGGCCCCGAAATTTTTTTAGATTCTAGATGCTCCGTGGTGCGATCTGAGGCAATTTCTGACCACTTTAACCAATGTTTTTTTTTTACGAAAAGATGGTGGTGTACTCATTGCCTGCCGTTATTGCGATGTCACATAAAAAAAATAAAAAATTGATTTCGTTTTGGGGGGGGGGCCATGGCCCCCTTTGGCCCCCCCCTGGATCCGCCCTTGAATACATACAGCTTAATAATTAATTTAGAATACATTACAGGTAAAGTTTGTTATAACCATTACATTTTTTCTTTGTTTAAATACAGCTAATAGTTCCTCCTGCCCAACTGCAGTTGCAATCCAAGAAAATTCCACCACAGGTAAGATTTGAGATCCTATGATGACCATGTCACCATGCAGCGGCATAGTCAAGGGAGGAAGGGGGGGGACCTGCAGGGGAGGGGACACTTCCCCCCCCCCCCCCCTGCACTCCCCCCAGTATCTTTCTGAGTAGTAAAACACAAGAGGAATATAGATGAGTACTTTTTACTTCCCTAGCCCTACGGCTTAACAACCATGAATAAATAGACAAGGAAAAAGGCTCCCTCTAGCATCAACGGAGGCCTCCGCCTTGCTTCTTCGAATTAACAGCGCTTGCCTGACCAGTCAGTGGCCTGAGAGTTTTGGGAAAATTCTGTTGTTGGGTCCCCTTTGGGTCCCCCAGTTCTTGGTTGCCCATGACAATTAACCTTTTGAGCATCAGATATCCAACCTTGATATTTAAGGTTCTCAGAAATTGTATTTAGTAAAAAGAATTTGTGGTGTCCCTGCCAGGTGATGTCAGCATGGAAAAACATCAAGCTACCAAGGCTTTTATCTTGAATGATGTTCCTAAGCCCGACAACGGTGGGACAGCAGGATATTTTGTGATTGGCGGAATATGTCTGCTATTGCTTGCCGTGTGTGCGTATATGCTTTACCAGAACCGTCGCCTAAAAATGAGTCTGAGGTGAGCTAAACAATACAATCTTTGTTCAAATACACTCAGCGAATTATAAAGCAGGAGGTCGTGGGTTTGAGCCCCGAGTAAGTTTGTGAATTTTCCCCCAAGCCCTTTGGACAACATGCACCGATCAGTAGAAAATACCTTTTTTATAAAATGTCTGTTTGGACACAACCTCATATATTGAATCAATGGAGGATTTTCAAATTTTCCCATGAAAAACGATAATATGGCTTATCTTTCAGAGATTTTAAAATGACTTGAGCTATCAATGCAGGAGGAGATTGGGAGAAAGTAAAAATGACTCATTTTCTTATTTTAAGTGTTTGTAAAATCACAAATTTTGAAAATCCCAACACTGATCAAAGGCCGATTTAATTGACCTTGTTTTCTCTATAAATTAGAGATGCAACTTGATTACCAAAGACATTGGACTGCAACTTCTGAGACATTAACATCAGCCTGGTTACTCTTGAAACATTCTCTTTCAGAGAATCAAATCAAAGGAATGAACAGACGACGGCCCTGAATACTGTTGAAACTATTGGCTAGTATCAGCAGGTGGCATTCAGACAACGGTCGCAGGTCCCAGAGCTGATAGATTCCCAGAGGTGGAGCATGCTTTGTGAGACAGCAAGTAAACATTTAAAACGTCGGTGTGAAACATTGGTAATTCTTGGGAAAAAAATCACCATCGTATTATCTAATAATTCCATTGGTAACAATTTTGCAACCTGACGCCACTTTTTTCTTCATAAATCATAAGGTCATTCATTGCAAAAATGATGATAAGACATGAAACTGGGAGTGAGAAACATTTCCAATTTTTTGAATATTTTGAACATTTTCTTGACTCTCCATATAAAAACTTTGTACACAATCGCGGAAGTAGCGTCAGGTTGCAACATTTTTTCCCATTCCATTTTATTCTGAAATATTTTAGGTTGGAAAATTTTATTTTTTTAAATTTTTTTAATCAAAGTAAGATTTTGTAAAAACATTTTGCAAGAAAATTTTTGAAAAAAAAAACCTGCAAAAAAATGGAAAAAAGAGTGACTTTGTAAGCACCGTCGATATATCGAGATAACTTGATTATTTTACATTACTTTGATATCAGTAAAGCCAATTGCAATTTTTCAATCATATCAAAATATCACAATTTTCAATATTGAGGAATAATACCAAAAATAAGCCAATTGCAATTTTTCAATATCAAAATATCACAATTTTCAATATTGAGGAATGATACCAAAAAATATCGAAAACTTATTTCTAATATTTTTTTTTCAACAATTTTACTTCATGTTTTATGAAACACCCCTCTGGCCATATCTATGGTATGTGTCTCATGTGTGTAGTGCTAAAACTACTTATATCAAAATTGGCGTGATGTGGCGCAGAACGCAGAGACCGGCAGTTTCAAACATGACGGGCTCTCGACCAAAAGGAATGGGTAAACTGTCTTGGGTATTATGAATGTTTTCAATCAGTCTAGTTCATGTATATTTGTGTACATTTTGCTGCATTTCAGTGGAAAACAGTGTTTTGTATATACAGGTAAAATGGGTTTACCAAAGATGAACAACAAAATGAACTGAAAATGTATAAATTCATTGGCCCCTGCCAAATTCCACATAATTTCTTTTTCCAGACACTTATTAGACAAATTCTCGTACAAGGACTGTAAACCAAAACATCCAAATAAGAAATCATGATAAATTTAATTACTGGACCTTATCCAGGTTTTGGACCAAAAATAAATAGGTTAAGCATCAGCACTTGTTTAAAAGTTGGTATATCTGGAAAAAAAAGTGATGGTGCTTTGAACGTCTTTCAAGCATTAATATAAACACGGTGGTGCTTTATGGGCCTACAGGCTTTAGTTAAGGGTCACATTTAAAAAAAAAAAAAAAAACCTATTAAAATAAATCTGTAGGCCTATACCCAGGCGCGGTTCTACAGGGGGGCTAGGGGCTAGGGGGGCTGTAGCATGAGTTAATATAGTGTGAATGATTTTAGGATTTAATTGGCGCTCCCCATTGAAAATATGGCATGAGCCCCCCTATTGATTTTCGGAGGCCTAAGTTTCTGAAAAACATAACCGTTCTACATTTCAGCACGCCTCCCTGAAAAAATTCTGGATCCACGGTGCTAGCCCCCCCAAAATATTGGTTCTAGAACCGCGCCTGCCTATACCTTTATTCCTCTGCACAACTGCCCAATCTGAACCAGTCATGTATTCCAGTATGTATCCCACGCACAGTTACACTATAAAATAATTTTGTCCCTAATGTAATTAACCCTTTAGCATTTCTATTACATTGAATTACACTGTATTTATTCTTTGATGATTCCAAAAAGCAAAGAGTGCTGGGGCAATTTAGGGTGGTATAGATTGCTTTCTTTCAGCTCCCATCTTTGAGGTGTGTGTGTGTCTATCGTTCATTGAAATATGTGTGTTGATTATTTGTACATATTGTAAATATAACTTATACTCAGAAAATTTAATAAATATGCAAAAAATGCAGGATCAATTGTAACTTTTCAGAAATTTTTTATAATTGTCATTACACTAAGTCTGTGGCTACAAATCAACAAAGAGAAATAAAGGTTATATGTTTGGATTTGTTGTGATTGCTCCATTTATTTTTCCCTAATGGAGTCTTTTTTTTTTCAATCCATGGATTTCATTTAGTATTTTGTTTAGTCAAACTATTTGGGTGTATGCCCACCGGATGTCAGACAAGTCGACCGTTGAGACAACTCGACTCGGGACAAGTCGACCGTTGAGACAAGTCGACCGTTGAGACAAGTCGCCCGTTGAGACAACTCGACTCGGGACAACTCGACCGTTGAGACAGCTCGACTTAACGGAAATGTATACACGTGGAGCGGGAAAAAGTTGCGATCCCGGACGCGGCGCGGGCATACTTGGTGGCCGTCGCGTCGGGCCGGCGCGCCCCGCCAGCGAGGACCGGGCCCGGCCCGGCACGCGGGCACGTCGACCGGGGGCGGCAAGTGGGTGCACAGGCCCGGCATAAACGATGTCACCTTGCACGGTACGGCCGACGCTGACCGGGGATAAGTGCGCGCACAGGCCCGGCTGCGCTATATCGGCTCTGTTATCATGGTTATATCCAACAACAAAAACAACTCATGTGTCATCACTCCCAAACGGCGATTAGCCGCCGTCAAAATCCCTGCGACTATCCCCAAAACTACCAACAAAAACATGCGAGGCGACTTGTCTTAACGGTCGACTTGTCTCAACGGTCGACTTATCTTTCCATTTATCGCACATACGGTCGAGTTGTCTCAACGGTCGAGTTGTCTCAACGGTCGACTTGTCCCGAGTCGAGTTGTCTCAACGGTCGACTTGTCTGACCCCCTGCCCACCCACCTTCGCTCCTCTCCAAGCACAGATGATTAAGATGTTTTTAAGCTGTTTTTAACTGTATTGGCTAATGAAAAAGAAATGTTACACCAGCAGGGTTCGAAATTAGCGGTAGCCTGCTTGCTAAATACTAGTCAAAACAGCAGCAGGCTAGTCAAACTATTCCTCAAGTAGCCCGGCTGGCGAGTCAACAAATTATTGGGATACAGCAAAAGTGAAAGGACAGGAAGAAATAAATCATAAAATTTAGAAAGCAAACCTATATCAATTTGTGTCTAATTTTATCAAAAGGGTTAGATTATTAGTTCTGTTTATTAAAAGCACTGACAAAAGTGCCTCAGAATAGATGAGAAATCAGTTGGAAATAGGTAAAAGCGAATGTTACTAGTTACAACCTATTTTCGTTCCAAGGTCGCCTTGTTGGATCACGTATGTTTTCAAATCATGTAATTGTGTGAGAATGTAAACGACGCGAAGATTTACCTACGTACATCCGTTTGGATCACGTTTTAATACAGTTCTTATCAACGGTCATTTTAGATTTGTTTGTAAACGAAAATAAATCCTTCAAGTTTATTTTAAAAAAATGTCTGTCCCAAAAGACATTTGAGTCTCCTGTTAAGTTTATTTTTTACTCAATGACTGTCAAAAAGTTATTTCATAAGTGTTCATGCTTGAACGGGTGATCGAGTTCCACGAGTCCACAAGGACATTTTTCGGAAGTGAGAGGTCAAAGTTTGACACGATATTTCTCTTTCACGTCATGCAAGTTTTCAGTTTCCATAGCATTCCGAGGGTGATTTGCTTAAGAAATCGATGTCCCAATTAACCAATTTTAAAACTCTGTGACTTTTACAAGTTAATTTTCCTTTTTGTAGGGACCTGAAGCGAGCCACCAGTGGTCAAATTTTAGGCTAAACACATTTTTACATATGTATGCACATTGTTGTTTATGAGACACTCCATAAAAGAAAAAAAACATGCAGGCTGGTGAAACTGCCCCCGGGCTAGTTGAGAGTCTGTTTCAGGAGCCCGGCTGGCTAGTGAAAAGAAAAAAAGATTTAAGGTCGAACCCTGACCAGGAGCACACCGGGATTCTAATTTGAGTGGGCACTCAAACAATTTCAATAACAATTTCTTTATTTTTCAAATAACCAATTTTTTTCAAAACAATTTCTATATATTTTCAAATGAACCACATCTTTTCGAACAATTACTTTATTTTTCTCAAATGAACCATAACTTTTCGAACAATTACATTATTTTTCTCAAATGAACCATAACTTTTCAAAACAATTTGTTTATTTTTTTCAAATGAACCACAACTTTTCGGAACAATTTCTTGAATTTTCAAATGAACCACAACTTTTGAAAACATTTCTTATTTTTTTCAAGTGAACCACAACTTTAACAAAGCTACGGGTCGAATGTCCAAAGTCCTAATCGATAAATATATAGAACATTTTTCGAGAATATTATGCCGAATGGGAAACCCCTTCCACGAGTCCAATTTGAGTTTAAATTTAGGACTTTGGAAATTCGTAGCTTTGTTTGTGATAGTGTAAGAACGAGATTGAAAGAATATTGATGCCGGTGAAGGATGTTGTGTAAAGTATCGTGCTTCAATTTCGTAGTATTTTTTAGTAGGCCCTATTCCCCTCAGTAAACTTTTGTTTATGAATGATCTTCGTCAGTACAACGACTTGAACAACGGAAACTCAAAGGTAGGTAAACGTACATGTACGTTAGATTACTGTGGCACTACTGGGCCTATGGGCGCTAACTCCGTTTTATTTATTTTTTATTTTGGCTTGGATTGGATTGGTCGACCGATCTAAAATTTCAAAAAAGGAGTTCTAAATTCTATCTAACGGGGGCTAGGCTGGGGTTACATAAGCTAGCTTTTTGTTAGTCTTTCGAGAAAATGGGTTGTCCACTTTTGGTCCTCCATAATCCTGACGCCACTTTTTTTCATCTTATTATTAGCTATACCCGTGAACGTGGCTTTATAGGCCTACAACGTTAAATTGTACATGTATTGGCATTTATGCCTATTATGTTTAACATTTTCTTTTTTAATATTTAGTTACCCCGAAAGCAAATTAAAACAATTTTTAATCTGTTTCCCAGTTCTAAGTGATGTTTGCAATTAGAGTTAGTGCTATCTATTAAAAATAGGGCTTGATTCTTTTCCTATCACTGCATAATGTGAACTACTGACCCCATTATGGGGGATGTCCCAAGTCATCAAGCTCTTGCGCAATTTGGGATTTCCAAGTTCAGCAAGTATGATGTTGCATATTTGGGAATTCCCAAAACACTATGACCACATGAAAAAAAAAAACTCCTATAGGCAGTAACACTTTGCCCTCAGTAATATGCCATTAATTTTTTTATATAAGTGGAAGGTATTTGTATGACTCTATTCGAACATTTTAATGGTATCATTCCTTCGGTATAAACTCCCATTAGCCATATCAGTTTACTCAGTGATGTAAAACTGTACATGAACAGTTTAATGTTGTTGACATGTGTACAATTCACCAGGCTAATCTGACCATTTTCCTTCTCACCTTACGCTCTTCCGGGTTCATGGTCGGACTTTCATATTGCAATTTGCAAATGTTACAAGTGTGGAATTGTGTATTTCATGTACTGTGATTTTTGTTGCACTGTGATGGAATTCTGATAGAAACCTGTGACGCTCTGTTTGAATACAAACAATATCTTTTCTATGTTCACAGATGGGTGTTCTCCAAGTCACAAAACAAATGTTCAAACTTATGGTGCTGTTGTTTGTTTCAATACAAAGTTTGACAGGTAAGGATGCCAACACAACATCTGTTTGTTTGCTTGTTTTTGATTAAAGAAATATAATTTGTTTCTCGTTTTGTGGGTGGGGAACTATATTGCATAAAGCGAGCCGACAAACCAGATTCAAATGAGGCCTTCTTAGGCAGCAACCCATTATTGTTTTAATACTCAAAGCATGCATAAAGAGCCAACATGCTTTGATCAAAAAGTGTCCTCATACAGGCAACCTGTGGAAATTTCTTTTTAATGGATAAAAGACCATGCCATGGGGCACATATATAACAAGAGTAAAACAAATCCTCTAGAATCTCCCATTTTTTGCAATCCACAAAAAAACATGGTTACTCACGTTACGGTTACTCACGTTACATTTTGTCCGACCCATCTCAGAATTTTATGGCATGATTTTTTAAACTAAATTATCATTATTATTTTTCTACCAAATAGGCATCAGAACTACTAAAAACTCTGACTTTTAGATCTCCAATGGCAAGTTCTCCAGATAAAGGTTTTCAACTGACATTATTCTGATACTATTACAGTGCATACTGATCCCCTATCAGGAATTTGATGTTTCCTCTTAAGTCCAGCTGTAATTTAGGGGTTTTTTTTAACGAATGCTGAGCCATCAGAACAAACCTCTTGTGTTCTGAGAGTCTGCTAAAACTTATGTACGCCACTAAAGCGCAGAATAATGGGTCCATGGAAAGGCCACACTATCAGAGACCATGATGTGGAGAGTGGGTTCCAGGGATCCAGGGCATACCACTGTACCGGAAGCTTAGTGTGAACCGTTACCAAATTTAGTTGCCTTTTATTCTTACATGTGTGAATTAGTGTCAGCAAAACACTTATATTTATATCTTTGTTCATGCAAAGAATGATAATCCTAAATACCGAAATTTAATTCATTAGAAATGTTGGTGAGAAAAAAAGTTTTACATCTTTTCGGTTACTCATCTTGACCAAACAAAAAGGTGTAAAATGCTACTTTTTGACATCTAAAAATGGATGACGGCTGTGAATTGACAAATTGTTCAGAGATTAAGACTATCATTCATGCTAAGGTTATGATTGAAATATCTTTAATTGTATTAATAGCAATCAATGTTTAAACTTTACCAAATTTTTAGTTCTTTGTAGTATAAAAACATATTTTTCACTTTACGATAAGATTTCTCATGAAATGTTTGATAAAACTGGGTTTTCTTTGTTAATTTTTCATACTTGAATGTATAATCTGTAATAAAAATTTTAAACTGGGTTAAAAAATAACCCTTTTTTTTTCTTAACCATGTCCATCAAACCGTGGAATTGCCCAAATGCTCCAACTGATTTATTTTCAGAATTAAGGTAAAGGACATGTTGATATCAGTAATGCTTCCTGATAGGGCCTTTATCCCACATCTCCATTTTTGACTCGCCATATTATTCAGTACCAAATACATACAGCCTAGTAATGTATTAAGAATACATTTGAGGTAGCATTTGTTATAACCATTATAATTTTTCTTTGTATAATACACTGAGCTATTGATTCCTCCTGCCCAACTACAGTTGCCATCCAAGAGAATCACACCACAGGTAAGATTTGAGATGCTACAATGACCATTATGTCATACCCACAGTGGCATAGTCATGGGGAGGCATGAGGAGGGGGAATATGACTCCCCACAAATTCTCAGTGCCCCCCCCCCCCCGGTACCCCACCCCCAAAAAAATACCCCAAAATGTACTGCATGCCAAGGAAGTGTCTTTTAAAGTATCATTTTGAGTAATGGACATGAGGAAATATAGATGACTATTTTTGAATTCCCTTAATTAAGCACACAGCTTTATGAACCGTGAATAAATATATAAGAAAAAAGCTCCCCCTAGCGTCAAGTGGCCTGACAATTTGGGGACAACTTTGCTTGTTGGGTCACCCCTGGCATCCCCCCCCCCCCCCCCCCCCCCACTGAAAAATCCTGGCTATACTACTGCATCCATGACATTATGCCTGTCAGTTGCTGACAGACAAAACATCCACCAAAGTATCTTACTCATGTTTACCCATCAATATCTACATTGTATAGGCATCACATGCATGCAGTTTTGTAAGCAAGTACACAAGTTTTGAAATCGGACAAACTAAAGACTAAATGATCTATATAGCAGGCCCCATGAAAGGCCGCAAGAGTACAAGTGTGCTATTGGTGCGGGCTTGGATGTTATCACCCAATAAAAAATGTATTTATATTTTGTGTGTGTTACCATTTAGTACTCCTTTCAGGACCATTCAGGTTCTATAAATGGGAAATAGACGGAGTAATATAAGAAGTTCTTGGTTGCCCATGGCAACCTTTTGAGAGACTCAGACATCAAGCTATCACAAATTTAAGGTTCTCAAAAGGTGTATATAACTAGAATGTATTCGGTATCCTTCCCAGTTGATGACATCAAGACACAACTTGGTCTTCAATCTACAAAGGCTCCCGCATCTCCCGAGCCTAAAAATTGTCCTGTAAACGGAGGGTTGGTCGCAATGGCTATCATCATGAGCCTCCTTTTCGGTGCATGTGCTATAGGGAATGTGTATCAGCTTTACAAGAGACGTCAGCCAAAAAAGACTCGGAGGTAAGCTTAAACACTGTTTCCACAGGGCTCACTGTTACCGACTCTAAGTTGTGAATGAGACTTGCTCAAAGGCAGAGTACATAATTTGTCATTTGCTCATTTTTTTTTGAAGGAACAAAAGTGTTCAAATCTAAAGATGGTTGCTTTACAACTATAACCTGCTGAGAAAAAGAAACATCACAGATTCTCTTTCAAGGCGTCGTTGTAAAACAACAGCTTACTATTACTTTTGGAGCCACCAAACCAGTGCCTTAGCAACATCACGATTGGTTTACATTTGCACCTTTTTGTAACATTGTAAGCTTTGTTCAGAGATAATTCCCGTACTATTTCTTAAGTACTTTTGACATTCTGGAAAAAACACTACTGTACTTTCTAAGTCACTTTTATCTGAAATATATAGGTCGGAATTTTTTTTATAATTTTTATTTTATAGGTAAGATTTTGGGAAACATTTTGCCAGAAAATTTTTGTAAAGAATAACATTGCAACAATTTTCTTTTAAAAGAGCAAGTTTTTTATTAATTGGTGGTTGACACAACAGAGAGGAAAGAAATTGGACAATTTGTTTTTGGACATCTATGATAATTATCTGTTTAATGGACCTACCGTTATAGCCCTGAATTGGAAAACCCCTAGGTGTGATATTTCTAACAAGACTTTTTTTCATTTTCCCCCCAAACTTATTACGATGTCTTACTAATACGAGATCCACAATGTAAAGAGGTATTCATATTATGCTACTAAAGTGCTAAGTAATAGGCAAGGCTGCTATTTTTCTGTTTGAATCATTTTTGGTGTGTGAAATTAGAGATATCTTAAATAATTCTTTGTACTTCATTGTGCATCCCTTGCATGTATAAAATAGCGACTGCTGATGTGGTATTATTGTACGTTTTGTTTCGACAGTCTGTTATACCAAAGAACTTCATGGGTTTTTTTTCTCAAAAAGCTTGGCTGGGAATCATTTTGAAAACAGTGTATTGTACTAATGTGATTTTACCAGTGGGCAATTCTGTAAAATCCAACGTGTGTCCGACCACATGATGAACATGTACACGTACAAGGTAGTTAAGGTGGTGGTACCTGTACCTTAGTTTGGTCTGGAATTGTCATTTGATGTTACATGTTAGTGATGTATCACATTCACTTTTCCAACAGCAGCTTATTGAAGTGTCCGACACGTACCTGTAAGTCCGAATTTACGGAATTGCCCAAATGATAAATAATAATGAGTTAAATGAACTGAAAATACTTAAAGTTAATAATAGGGCTAAAATTTCACAAGAGTTTGTTTTCCAGTAGTAGATTCTTCCATTAATAAGACAGACACGCTTCAGTATTTGCCCAGACATTCGTCTCAGATTAAGGAATTTACAGTTCAAAGGCTCATAATTCGAACCCATGGAAGTAATCTTTCATCTGTTAGAATTCATTTGAACTTATCCAAGTTTTGGACCAAAGAGAGAAGAGTTAAATATATCTAAGTCTTTTCCTGTTAGGTTTTTTTGGTGTTGAAAAGCTGGTATTGGGATTTGTGGTGCTTTTTAATACCTTTCAAGCTTTTCAGTTGCATTAATCCTTCAGTTCAGGGTCAAATTTTAAAAGTAAAAAAAAGGCCTATATAATTGTATTCAATTGCCCAACCGCCTAATACTCGACCAGTCATGCATTCCAATGTGTATTTCCCACATTGTCACACAATACAATAATTGATTGCATTCAGCCACCATGTTGGAGGTGTGCTTTGTTATGTTAATTCATAAACAATGCAAACACAAAAGGTCTGCTCATGCATGTCCCTGTTGAACAACACACCTCAAAAATGGGTGCAATGCAAACTCATATTATACATATAAGGGGTGGTACAGGGACTTACAAGTTATGTGATTAGACTGAAAAGTTTGACATGAAAGTTACACTGTACTCAGAGAAACAATTCTCTCGCACAATACTTTCAAATATTGTCACGACCCAGGCATGCAACTTAGGAAAGAGGAAACTCTAGATTTTACAAGAGTTTGTACTGTGTTTTAAAATGTTTAATGGCATAGGTGTGAAGTGAAAAACAAGGAAATCAGCAGATCTGGGGAAAAGTTGCCCGATGATGTCTTTCTATTAGCAATGCACACATGTAGTCGATTATTCATTGAAATTTGTGTTGACTTTCAAAGGATGTAATTAATTTCGTAAAATTTCAATTACTTTGCCTGAAGTACAATCATGTTTGTTTTTATTTTATAATAGAATGTCATAATAATATATGGGTGAAAAAATCTTAGTAAAGAGAATTGTATGAATTGATAATTAAGTTGGGTTTTGTGATTATTTCATTTTTTTCCCAATCCAAGGATTTTTTAGTTCTTTTTTTTTTGTCTCGAGTGAAGCTAATTGGGTTTAGGCCCTCCTCCCCACCCGCCTTTTCCCCTCTCAAAGCACAGATAAAGTTGAAAGTTTTTAAGATGTTTTTTTTTAAAACATTTATGGCTAACAAACACGAATTGTTGTGTCCGTGCAACAAGGTCATATCTCCTATATAAAATAGCATGTGATGCCATGTACGTGAAATGTGAGTTTTCAATGTCAAAAGATGCACACGCAATGTCAAATGTACTATACGGCGATATGTGAGATACGACCTTGTTGCATTGAGCGTATTCGCACAAGATCCGACTTTGTTGCACTGGCGTGACAAAATGTGACATCATGGAGCACAACAGGATTCTCATTCTCACTCAAACAATTTCAATAACAATTTCTTTATTTTTCAAATAACCAACTTTTTTTTCAAAACAATTTCTATATATTTTCAAATGAACCACAACTTTTCGAAACAATTGCTTGATTTTTCTCAAATGAACCATAACTTTTCTAGACAATTTGTTTACTTTTTTTTAAATGAACCACAACTTTTCCGAACAATTTCTTGAATTTTCAAATGAACCAAAACTTTTCAAAGCAATTTCTTTATTTTTTTTCAAGTGAACCACAACTTTTCAAAGCAATTTCTTGAATTTTCAAACGAACCAAAACTTTTGAAAACAATTTCTTATTTTTTTTCAAGTGAACCACAACTTTTTAAAGCAATTTCATTATTTGAAAAGGGAGTACTAAGCCCACTGCAAAAGACCCCTTTGGATTCTGATTGTAGAGTAGTTTTTTTAATTCCGATTCATTTTTGAGGTTTTGTTGGGTATTTTTTCCGGCAAGGCATTGGCAAAACACAGCAAGGTTAGACAGGCTGTGTGATTCAAACTCAATTTTCAAAAGTCCATCTTTACAACTTTGGAATTCTTCAGAAAACTATGAAATTGTAACTACTTATTTTGGCATCAAATATAGGACACCTGTTGGTAAATTTCAAAGTTTTAGGTAAGGCAAGATATATTCGGCAAATATTGCACTCTGCAAGTGCCAAGTCAGAAATTGACAACAGAGGGGGCTGTTATTTGTTTCGTGCCACATGTTTGGAGAAGGGATGATCCGCCGGCAGTTTATGTTTCTGCCACCAATCAATCCCATGAGCCTTTTTCTTGTGGTTCTTGAGGCTGACGTTGTGATTGAACGCCTCGCTGCAAAGCTCGCACTCGTAGGGTTTCAGCCCAGTGTGTAACCGCGTGTGTTTCTTCATGTTGTACTTCTGGCTGAAGCGCTGTCCGCAGTAGGAACACTCAAACGGTTTTTCCTTCATGTGGATCACTTTGTGCCGACTCAGATTTATTGGCATGCTGAAGGCTTTTCCGCACTCCTGGCATATGTATTTCTTAACCCCTAGATGTCCTTGGATATGGAGGTTCAGATCTGTGCGGCTGTAGAACAATCTCCCGCAGAGATGGCACAGCTGGTTCTTCAGTTCTGATCGATTCAGCGTGTGTCGTTTCTTTGTGTGAGCACGCAGGATGCTCCGCTTGAGGCACGTTTTGCCGCACACTTCGCACGTGACGCCCGGGCATTCCCGTTTGTGTTCCCTCAAGTCCTCCACGTTGGCTTCGCATTCCAAACAGTGCCAGTACATGGTGGCAACCTCTTTAGCTGCGGTTGGGAGGTTTTTTTTTTTGCCATTTGGTCCCGTCCCAGGGTCCCAGTGAACCTCTTTATAATGCTGTTTTGCTGTTGTTTTGGAATCTGCGTGCCAATTGCAGATATTGCATATGTAGACCCTGACATTTGGTCTGGAGCATCAACACACGAGAAAGAGAAAAACCTGAACTTTAAATACTGCGGGCACTTGTTTATTCACAAATGCATCACGGTACTTGCCTTCTCAAGCTTATGGACAATTGATTGCATACAAGGTTCTCCAGGCCAGTGTGGTGTTAATATAGACTTTGCCCAATAGCATTAACAAGTAATTATGAGTTTGTTACGATTTCTCTCTTTCAAAAACTTGTACAAATATTATACCAACTGTGCAAGTGTCAGATACTTAGAATCTAGATTAGTGTCTAATCAAAGAGAACACAGAAAAAATTCAAGGGAGTACTCACTGTGAATGAATCTTTTTCCCAGCTTCTTGTTTGGGTTCTGGATTCTCCGCTGAAATACTTGTATCGGAGGTCAAAGTAGTAGTAGCTGCTTTCTACAAGAAAGATTAGGATAAAATTTGAAAGTTATTATGTGGCACTAATTGTAGTATTTCGGTCATCAGAATCTCAAAAAGTGAATTTCAACTGAATTCGTCTTGGGTTCAAATAAGGAAATTATGGCAAGCACCGATCAAACCTCCTCTGGCTAATTCTCTCTCAGATCCTCCAAAATCTGCTAGGAGGATGATGAGGATTTCAGGATTGAGGATAGTAGAGCACAGTCACTTTTATTTAACATATGGGAACTTGATGCTTCTTAAACGAAGCAGTGTAAACGATACACCATTGGTTTATTATAGCACAGTGGTGCTATAAATGAAATTGAAAATGAAAAAAAATGCCTGTTAATTTAGGTTTGATGATTTCCTGTCATGAAACCCAACCAACCATTTTTGTTGGGAATAGATTTAAATAGGTAACCAAATTTGCTAAGAGGTTACTACTAAATACATGTAAATAAAATGTAACAAATTTTGAAAAGGGAGTTGTTATGAAACGTACAGCTTTGCGTTTGGGGACAGCAGTTGGACAATAGTCTAGATCATTTGGGTCGTCAGTCATTGCAATGTCGTCCTCTTCACTGTCTTCCTCAACCTCATTCTTATCATCATCGTGGCCATCATCCCCATCATCCACGTCGTCATCATCGGCAGGGTCATTAACAGCGGCATCATCATCGACGTCATCATTTAGAATTTCTTCAGCTTCATCTACATCCCCATCGACCTGCCTGTGTAGAAGAATATTAATACAATAACAGCCATAGTGGACTCCACAACATAGTTTCATTTCAATCTTTGACACATCCGGTGATTGGTCACCAAGCATTATTTACTGATCATCATTGTTCTTGTTCAAACTTGTTCCAAATATTTGGTAAAGAAGAGTAAGTTGATGCAGTGTTGTACAGTTTAGGAAGAAACTATGTGCATGCGTGAACGTAAATCGTGTGCCACACTTACAGTCACAACAAATTCAGGATTTCTGTTGTTTGTGCATCAATTTAAACAATCAAAAAAAGAAAACATGGTTTCATTACTGGGGTCCAATGCATAGACTGTAGACAGGGTGAAAAGCCCCATGGAGTTGAACCAACAAATCATTAATGCTTAATCACATTGCTTTGTAAGATGGAATTTTGCGTTGGGGTGATATAAATCAAATTAGGTTTTGTCCTTCCCGAGTGAAAGTTGGAAAAAATCACTCGGGTGGGACTCGAACCCACGACCTCCTGCTTTCTAGTGCAGATGTCTTACCGCTCAACCACCGAGCTAACAGGATTGGTTGGCTGGTTCGAACCTGATGTACACAGCAGCATTGCTTTGGCTTAAAAGCCTGGCGTAGAGCGTGCAAAGTCCACATATTTTCCACTGTAAACACCGTTAGAATATGGAACCATACAAAATTTTTATGAAGTTCGATTTCTCAAACCTAACGGCAATGTTACCTGTTATCATTCGCATCTTGCTGCATTTGTTCTTGAAGCTGCCTGCAATTGAAAAAATGATATTAAAAAATATTAATGTCGTAAAGAAGTGCTGCTTGATAAGTTAGTTAGTGTTGGTGTCTATTTTGCATCATGTCTAAATTTACTGCCGAATTAATTCTTGTGCAATTCACAAAAAAATTCTTGTAAATTTTTTTTTTCTGGAGACTTTTTGCCTTAAATAAAAAAAGAAATCTGACCTCTCTTCTTCTTCCTCTTGCTTCGTATTTTCCAGCTGTTCTTCTAAGCTGGGGAAAAAGGAGAATATTATTAATCTGAAAGACTGATAACTACTCCAGTGTGATAGAGAATCCTGCTCTGACACACTATACACAAGAGCTTAGAACTCGGTTGGAATCTAATTTTCATGAAAAGACACGGACTTGAGATTTTTCATGACAAGGAATTGACACTTTTACTTTTTTTGACCCAATGGTGAGGAATAACATCATCACATGTACGTGACTACTTAGAAAGTACAGTGTACAATTGTCCTGGTCATCGCAGTGAAATACAAGTACGAACCCCTTCATCTCAAACAAGTGAGTGCTCACTTGAACCAAGTGACTCATGACTTGGACCCAGACTCTATCCAAGTCGGTCAAGACTCAGACTAAGACTCAGAAACCTCAGAAACAAGAGACTTGGGACTCGGACTCGGACTCAAACCAAATGTCTTGACAGCAATTTCTGACTTACCAAGACACTATCCAGGTCAGCCAAGACTCTGACTAAGACTCAGAAACCTCAGAAACAAGAGACTTGGGACTCGGACTCGGACTCAAACCAAATGTCTTGACCGCAATTTCTGACTTACCGATCCAGCAGGCAGCAGCTTACGAGCTGATCACCGCTCCAGCCTGGATGCTGGATGGCGTAGCGGTTGACGTACGGGATGCTCAGCAAACGATCCCGTAATCTCTCCCACTTGGCTCCTAGGTGGGGGAACAGCAACTGAACTTCCAAGCTTTCGGCTTTTGTTTCCTCATCTTCATCTGGTATAATCTCGTCACCGTGAGCCAAGTCTTCCTCAAGGCTGGAGAGAGAACAGATTGATCAATTATTAGCCCCACCCCTTGATGTTTGTTTTCACGTGAAGTACGAACCAACCTTAAACACAATCCTAGTAAAGCTGGTCCCAGAGTGCACAATATCCTATTCAATCAATTCGCCATGATTTTCAACACCGTGAATTTGGAGTGAATATATAATTTGACATTTTTTTTTCACGGCAATGTCATTGCGAAGTATCTGGTGAAATCACCTTGAAAATCATCACATAAGTTACCAGGACATATTTTGGTCAAGTAAAAATATCGTGAAAATGCAGTGAAGCCTCCTGTGGAACCCAGCTCATTAACTTTGTGGTTGCGTTAATCTGTTGAGCAGTTTGTCAACTTTGGGGTCTAATCCCCCTCATAAAAAGGCACATTGCCTGTCAATCTTAATTAGGTGATCACAATAAACAGGGTGTTGGATACTTGTAGGAGGACACTTTGTAGCTTTTGTGTACTTGGGCAGTGGGCACTGGGTAGTAAGTGTAGCTGTCAATCACACTAATCCTGTAATCACTCAGACAGTTAATCTGTGGTTTTCACACCTTCAGTGGAGGGAAGCTGGACCTGCTGCACAGTTATGAATAACAATAGACCCTTGGACCAGAAGACCCATGTAAAAACACTGTGAAACCGCAGTGAGTTTATCCCCTGCTGAGGGGCCCAGTTTGGCACCGTGAAAATGAGCTTACTTGGCAGTGTAAAAAAGTTTCACAGCGACTTCTTTGTAAACTATATTTTCACGGTGTTGAAATTCATAGTGGCATGGCTTTTCACTGGAAGGCTTTTCATGCATCTGGTCTACACAATGGGCCAAGTTAGCCCATTTAATTGGCAGTACATTGTATAAGGTAATCTTATTTAAAAATTCTGGGCAAGTGTGACAAACAGTCGTAGGGGAGTCGGGGAGTCAGTCAGTCAGGCAGGTATAAAGAGGACTACAGGCCTCTCTGAGACCAGCAACTATTTTACTTTTGATATGGAATATGTGCTTGGCTGGTTTAAAACACTATGTTTAAGGCCGGTTGGAGTCTGGATGCTGATAATAACCCGAGCGGAAGCCTTAAGGTGAGGGTAATTATCAGAATCCAGACTCCAACCATTGATACCGGCCAAGCACATATTTATTCCCATTCATAACTTTTCCGTCAAATTATCAAAACTTTACGGTCCAAAAGTAAAAACAAGTCAAAATTATAAATTTCCAACAAATTGTTGGTTTAAAAATTTACTTCATGTACCGTATTTCGAAACACCCCTAGTTATATTATGGTATGCCCCTCTTGCGAGTAATTGTGCCAGTGTATTGTTTAGGACTATACAAATACAGCATTGTTTGAGAGGAAGAAGTGGGAATTACTGGCCCCGAGGTGTATAGGTCACCTTGACTTCCTCCCGACGCGAAGCACAGTTCCAGAGGGAATTTTTGGTGCTACAAGAAAAAACTACCGCACGGCAGCGAGCTGGATACTCACCGGGATGACGTCACCTGGGCGCGTATCATTTTTACTTCCCGGACATGCGGTGGAATTGGACAAGGACGCGCTCCAATTTGATCATGAATATTTAAGAGGTGTATTAATATGAAATACTGACCCACTGGTAAAAGTAGTATTGTGCATACCTATGTATGTGAGAATTGTGAACATTTAACCATTGCTGCTGAATGATGTTTTCAGAATTGTTGCATGATCCAGCAAGCAAGTGATTCTTCTTCGAAGCTGGGATCATAAAAGACCCATACCTACCAGTCCAAAAGATAACTTGCAAAGGCTTCATCCGAGCTCCAAGAATCAACACCCACAATCTTGGCAGCATACTTTTGAAGATCAGCGGTATCCAGCATTTGGTCCCTCAGAGTTCCCCATCGTTCCATCACCTGTGGGCATGGTGGGAGGAAAGCCTGTATCTTGTCGCTAAGATTGGGGAATACCTCTTCTTTCACTTGAACGTCAATTTCTTCCTTGGGGCACTGCGGTTGTTTGTCAGCTTCCCTCTCTGCTGGCCTCCGCTGATTAGAAGACACTTCCATTTGCATGATCTCTCTGTTGTTGAGAACAATTAAAAGGTACATGATGTATTCCTTTTATGCATGCATACACAAAAGCCAGGAGCTTAAAAATCTCAGAAACAAAACAACCCATTTTTATTTATCGTATCTGAGATGTCTACATGAGCCCTCAGGTGGTGTCAGATAGTGTAGTTGGCATCCCCCCCCCACCCCATGCTCCAACCGGCCAACCCCTATTTGAACTTTGCAAGCTGCCATGCCAGCAGCCCTCCCCTTCCCACTTCTAAGTGACTGGAGCGCCAGTAGCAGAACTAAATTTTTAAGTGCCATCCACCTTTAATGTTTGAACTATATTTGTAGAATTGGCTATTTACGAAACAGAACAAGTACCTAAGTCAAGTTAAGGATCTCATGATGGCTGCTGTAATCATGGAGCCCGGAGGAATAAAACATAAGCCGAATGCAGATGAAGTTGTTCGATCGACGTCTTGTTCTGCGGCTTCTTGTGTTTTGAAATCACGAGAGGGCGCTGTGACTCACTATATTGAAAACGAACTTGCGAATGCGAAACGAATGCGAAAAAGGTGAGTTGATTTTTTATCAAAGTCTAGGGGAAAATGTTGCAATCTGACACCACTTTTTTCTTCATATCTCATCTCAATGAAGGTCAGTCATTGCAAAAATGATGAAAAATGATGAAGGCGACTGTGAATCTGGGACTGAGAAACATTTCCAATTTTGTTGTTAGGACTCTCCATAGACTTTGTACACAACCGCTGAAGACTGACATGACAATTGACATGACTCAGTCAGAGAGCAAGGAACATGCCAGACTGGGGCTGTGAGTGCATAAAAACGTGCAAAATTACTACTGACGTTTTTTTACTCACCATTCGGCTAATTAATGCCCACACAACACATACATCAAAATGCTTAAGTTGCAAGCATGTCACCTGCGAAATTTGAGACCTTAAATCCAATTTTCAAGGCAAGTTTTTGGCAGTTCAAAAACCATCCACGTAATTCTACATCTATTTCAGGACATTATTGATGTTGTGCCCATTCTTGAAAATCACGCATTCTCGAGAATGGGCGCGCATTCTTAAGAATGAGCGCCCATTCTTAAGAACGAGCACGCGTTCTTAAGAATGAGCGCTCATTCTTAAGATTGGGTGGGAATATCACGTGCACAATTTATGAATTTTGCCCAATCTTAACAAACATTGCACGACATAATTATGTTAAATGAATTGTATAGCGGTTAAAAGGGAAACAATTCATATAAAGAGGAAAGAAAATGTTCTATGCTTCTGTACTCATATAACTACGATAATTTGAATCATATTAAACCTGTTATTATTGCTTTTCCTGCCCACTATGGGAAGTTTTGTTATAACGGAGGACTGGGAACTAGTCTGGGAAGTGCTTTGTTTAGGCTAGACAAGTACAAGTCCCTGTATGTATCATATGCGTGCCACGAAAAAAAAACGATGTCCAGAAGCTGCCAAAATTGCTCTTTTGACTCTGCGACGTTATGGTGGGGTGTGAACAATAAAATTGGTGGCAATTTAAATGGGAAATAGCATTAGCACTATGGGATGTCGCAGTATTCATTCTCATTCTTCACATTCTTCATTCTTACGTGTCCCCCCCCCCCCTCTTTTATTATCCCAAAAATCTGAATTCTTTCTTATTTATTCTTATTTTTTCACCCGGTCCCCTCCCCCAATACGCGTATACTTTTCATATCCACTCTACTTTTCAGCGCCTTGCGTTGCAACAGTATAATTATTAAGAATCAGTGAACGAGGATTCAGCTAGACTTGCCAAGCGCAGCCGGTGCTCGGCATCGACAAGACCGTTATCTTGTCGCGCATTCTCAAGAATGTGCGCTCAATCTGGAAGAGTTATTTTTTGCCAAGATTGAGCAAGGATCCAGTTGCACATTCTCAAGAATGTGCATACCCATTCTCGAGAATGCGTGGTTTTCAAGAATGGGCACAACATTGACAAACGATGGAGGCAAAAATTGGAAAGAACGAAATCTTAAAAAAAACCAAGGTAGGCCTACAGCACACCAACAATACCGAGGCTACACCAGTTGAGCTAGGTTGGTCACAAATTCTTCGTGGATTTGCGGATTTGGTGAACTTGGTGAAGGGGATTGCGATTCAACTTGCAATGCATGACTTGTTTAAATCTGCCTGCATTTTCTGCAATTTAATGTACGCATTAGCTATCATTTAATACGGCCACCGTATTATCATGATTTTCTACTGCTATCGTTACGGAACCATCTGGGGCAATTCCACACCAAAGTGGACATGACACCAACAAATTCAAATACATGTGACTTAAACAAATTTGGCATCAAATGAAAGCTAAAAGTCTATATTTTCAAGATTTGAAGTCGGAATTTAATTTTTTATACATTTCAGTACCAAAAAATAGGATTATGTAATAATCCTGTTTTAATCCTAAAAATGTGATTAATAGTGATATGAAAGTATTCTACCAATAGACACACAAAATTATGTACTAATGCCATCAGTTTCTGTCATGAGAAAGTATTGGTCTTGAAAAACCGACTAAAACTTGTTTTTAACATTTTACGTAATTTGTTTCGCTTCAGTGACTTCTAATATTTCAGCCTTCGAAAATGTCCTTCCGTTACCGAATAAATACATATTTTTAATTTATTTTTAAAACTTGCAGTATGAATGCATTGAAAGTTATTGTGCAAAGCAAGTTTAGGTAGGCCTTCAATATGACATTATAACTGACACTGCTGTACTTCTCGTTTTTTAATTACAAAATTGGTAACGGAAGGACGGTAACGGAAGGACAAATCGTATTTTTATCAAATGTTACGACATTTGCGCTCATGTTTGAAAAATGAAAATCACTGCAAATACATGCATGTATAATGAGCATTGAAAGGACATTCATGTGACCCACCTTCACAAAAGCGGGATAAGCAGGGCAAGGTGTTTATTACAAAGGAAGGCACAGGCATGTACAACATGTACAATGTACATGTACATATATGCCGATGTACCAGTACTTGTACATGTATGGAGTTGTTGCAGAAAATCAAATCATAAAGTTGCTTCCATCAGCATTCATGGACAGTAGAGAAAGATACGAATTCTGTAAAGCCATTCCAGAAGCAAATTAAGTCAAAAATGAGATGGCAGAAAGTACCGGTACTGTGAGGCACTTTCATTCAATTTACATGTGTAAGACATGTGAGGTGCAGGATTGACAAATTATGCCCAAGTTAACAATTTCAGTTTGGATGTTTATAAATTAATTGTTACTACTCTAAATCATTGTAATTTGATTTCAAACATTGATTTTAGAGTTCAATTAAAAGCAACACCTAACTGAAGCCATCAGTTCTACCGGTAGATGTTTCTACCTTAAATGTACATGTAGGCTGGTCGCCCCCCCCCCCCCCCCCACCCTTTAGGTAAACCTTTGAACCTACCGGTATTATTATTAAAAGTTGTTGGTGAACATGTAACCAATATACTCAAGAGTTCAAATACTGCGTATTTAAACTTTTAAGGATTGCGGTGATGGGTTTGAAGTCTATTTCTGTAGAAGTCCTGTGTTCGTGAATTATGTGTTTTGGGTTGTTTTCGTTTTTCTTTTGTTATCATTAATTAGCAGGCTTCTATCTTTATCTCAATAGTTTCCTGGGTATAATTATTTATGCCAGGTCTGCATACTGTTGATTTCACATTCAGTTACACATTTCAGCAATTTGTTTCACTTGTATAATTAGTGTAAATTCACATTTTGTTCATGCTATAATTGAGTAAACCTTTTGTCCTTCCGTTACCGTCCTTCCGTTACCAAATTATAATCTGCTTAAAACGTTGTAATTATATTACCGAAACACTTAAAGTCAAATGAAAGGCGGTATAGTATAGATAAAGCTTCAGGGATTCCATTTCCTACCTTTAAAATATAATTGCCCCATAAAATTCACAGAGTTTACGCAAAACGCGAGTAAGTTGGAAAACCCTTGTCCGTTTTACCGTCCTTCCGTTACCGACCTCATTAATATTCATAATTCATAAACGGGAGGCATTCATGCCCCCCAAAAGTGTGGAAAATGAAAGTAGCATTATAGCTATACAATTGTGACATTTGTTTGCTGTAACTATGAACAATGTCTGTGATACACACATTTGAAATTTTGTTTAATGAGTGAAAACGTCCTTCCGTTACCGTGGAATTGCCCTCTGGTCAGCTGGTTAAATGTTTATACTGAGTGTATTATAGTATTTAATCTTAGGATCTGGTTGTTCGACTGTATCATGATTATTCAAATCAACCGAATCAATGGTTCTCAAACTTATTCATTTCCCTTTTTACATGTATTTTCTTTCAAAGCCACGGACAGGTGGATTACAAAGAAGAAAATGAAATCTTGTAATTTAAAACAAAAAGAATGATTTGATTAAAATTGTGATAGTGAAGAAAACTGTTACAAAAAATTGTTTTTTTAATTGAGCATCGCTGAAGCGGTTTCCAAACATGGATTCCCAGCGTCGTGTATAGTTTAAGATAATGGTATGTACAATCATTTCATGTGTCAAAAGTTTAACTTGACATATTAAATGATAATACGGAGTTAAAAACTAAGTAGTTTCTCGTCCAGCATTTTTGAAGAAAAAAAATGAAGCTTGCAGCATAGCATCAGCCTTAGTCATGTTAGTTGGGCTCATCAAGGTGGGATAAGGGGAGAATTTGACCTGATAAGGCATACCAGCACTGCTCAGTGTAACTGAGAGAGTGAGATCTTAACCACAATTACTTTTTTAACATGACCATGTACTTGCTTTGCTTGCAAAATATTCAACCCCTAGTCAGACCTAGTCCGAGTAACTTGGACCCAACTTATCGCCTTTTTTAACATTTTGGACATGGTCTGGCGACTATCGCCAGACCATGTCCAAATGTTAAAAAAGGCGATAAGTTGGGTCCAAGTTACTCGGACTAAGTCAGACCCAAGGTTTGTGCTTAATAACGAGTGGTCAGATTCTCCCCTAGCCCCAGTCGAGTATACCCAATGTAAGTCTTACCGTAGCATGCCATATCTGTGTGTTCTTCCCAAGTTCAATAAAAGGAACACGTTCACATTTTGCTGAATTTTTATCTCTAATACCATTTCAATTAACACAACACACCATTCTATTCTTTTATAAATTGCTTTCGTACAGAGTGCTACTTAAATGTAGTTGAAGAGAGAACCAGTCACCATGGAAATAGCCAGCGGCAGCATGATCTTGCATCCTGACTTGGCCAGCGAGCTCAGGACGTTGCATGAATCCAGTGGTTTTGATTCGGCCGGTGCTTTCTTAAAACATCTTTTCGCCTTAGAAGACCAGCATAGGTATGAGATGCTACAGGCTTTTTTTCTTACACTTTCATTCATTGGAGTTGCTAGAGTAGGGGGTTGGGGTATAACCCCATCCTGTATCCATCAGTAAAACCATTGTCCTATTGGCAAAACATCATCCTGTTGACAGCTTTGCTACAATGAATAGCGCCATCTAGTGTCCTATAGTGTCTGAGATTGTCCGCTTTGAACAGCACTCCTAATAGTCAGATGGTGTCCAGCCCCCACTTTTTGGTCATAATGGCTGATTGGCAACTAGAAAAAGTTCTTGGTCTTGGCTCTTCTCCTAAGGACTCCACAGGGAAGTATTACCAGGAGGCCAGAAACACCAGGGCAAACCCCTTCTCTTAGCGATAAGTGTTACTGGGTTCTTTTACGTGCATTGCATTACACAACACACGGGACCTCCGGCTTTACATCCCATCCAAAGGACGAAGCAATAATGGTTAAGTGCCTTGCTTAAGGGCACAAGTGTCCAGACCCGGGCTCGAACCCATGTCACTGTTGCCTCTGAAACACCAGAGCATGAGGCCATGACACTCCACAAAGTTGTGGCTCCATTCTTATTGACAAAATCGTTGTCTCCCTCCACCCCCTTGCAGTTGGTCTGATGATGCTCTGTTGCCAATGACCACTAAACTGACGTACCACTACATGTTGTCTTTTTTTATCTAGGCAAAGTTCAATGAGCTTAGTACATTTGTGTTAAAATGCTTTTTTTAACCCTAACCTTCCCGAATCCTCTTTGCAAAATGGAGGATTTTGCAGCATTGAGGTTACGTGTACATGTATATCGTCCTGTTGACAGCTTTGCTACAATGAATAATCTAGATTCCTACTGGAGCCAAAAAGGATATGGGGTCTATTCCCATCATACCTTAAGTGTAAGTGTAAGTGTATATGCCAAAATGCGTGGCTGATTTTGGAGGATTCACTGTGTCAAGGTCTTAGGGCAGACCTTGTGTTGTTAATGCTCAGCCGGGCAAAAATTCAGGCCTTGAATATACTTGAAATCCTCCCCACTGCTCCAGGATGTCACTGGCTCTGCCTCAACATATTGGCAGTGATTGCTAGAGTATTTTGCAGGATTGAGGCAGTGGTCACCCCTCCAAAGACTGCATTCAAGAAATAACGGATGATTTGGGAGGATTGAGGCTGTATGCAGTTTTTACGTACAATTGGAGAATTTGGCAGGATTGAGGGTACATCCTTGCAAAAATGCCTAGAGAGTTCAGTTTAATTAAGTCTTTCTTTTTTCATTTTTCTTTTTCAGATCACAACAGTGCTTGACTACCCTTTTCACTAATGTCGAGCAGCCTTGGCTCGGCAACTATAACGCCGGTCAAGCTGTGAGCCTGGATTCAGCACCAAAAACTGTCTCAGTTGGAATTCAAGTCAAGTTGTGCTTTTGCAGCGACAACATCATTGAGAGCGCATTTCGTGAACAAGGCGTAACCAGTGATTTAAATTCAGTTCAGCAAGATGATCTCCGAGAAGAACTATCCGATTCTGACTCGGATTACGATGATACTGAGGAAGTATTTGAGGAAGCGGATGATTACAACAGTAGAAACAACAAACAGCGAAATGAGACAGTAACGGGAAAACAGGTAAACAAAACTGTTGGTCGGCCAACAAGGAATCGAAGGAAACCTAATCAGGGAGCGCATCCTGGATATTCTTGCGAAGAGTGCGGAGATAAGTTTACTCGCGAGTGTTACCTTATCCATCACATGAAGAAACACAGAGGAGAAGAGACGACGGTACAATGTCAATTCTGTGACCTGACCTATCCCAGTCCATGGACATTAACCATCCATATTTCTCTCATGCATCCGGAGCATGCACCGCCACCGCGCGACAAGCCTCCAAAGAATCCAATCATCTGTACTACCTGTGGAATGGCGTTGAAGACTGCGTATACATACAGGAAACACCAACGCACACACACAGATGAGAGACCCTACGAGTGCGACTTGTGTCACAAGACGTTCAAATTTTCAGGATCTCTGGCCAAACATAAATTAGGAATGCATACCCAAGAGCGGCCTTACCCTTGTCATCTATGTGACAATAACTTCAAACATTCTAGTGACTTGATACGTCATCAAGTTGTCCACACTGGCGAGAAACGATACAAGTGCCTCCAGTGCAATAAAGCTTATACAGCAATTAATTCCCTGCAATTCCACAACTTGAGGTATCATGAGAACCCAGGGGTTAAGCCGTTCAACTGCCCTCATTGTAACAAATGTTTTGCCAAAAAATTCTCGATGAACGACCACATCAGGAGGAAACACCTGTATCCAGAAAAGTACAAGAGAAGGCCTGGCCAGCCTCGCAAACCACCCCCAGAACGGACCTTCCATTGTGAGATCTGCAGCAAAGCTTTCAGATATGCAAGCAACTTGAGACGTCATTACATATCTCACACCGGTGAACAGCCTTTCAAATGTACACAGTGTGACAAGGCATACAGAGACAATGATACGCTGAAAATCCACATCTTGCGATACCATGAGAACCCTGGGGTAAAGCCTTACGAGTGCCCCCACTGCGACAAATGTTTCGCCAAAAGATCCTCCCTGCCCAGCCACATCAAAAAGAAACATGAGAACCCAGAGCAAAATAAGCCAGAGAAGAGCAAAACAAAGCCCGCCAAGCCAAAGCTCGCCAAGCCACGCAACCCAGTACCCCCGGAAGAACGGGCCTTCCAGTGTGACCTCTGCGGCAAAGCTTTTGGATTCATGAGCAATCTGAGACGTCATTACGTAACTCACACTGGGGAACAGCCGTTCCAATGTACACAGTGTGATAAGGCGTACAGAGACAATAATTCCCTGAAACGCCACATCCGGAGATTTCATGAAAACCCTGAGATAAAGCCTGATGAGTGCCCTCATTGCGACAAATGTTTCGCCAACAAATCCGCCCTGCTAAGCCACATCGAAAAGCAGCATGAAAATCCAGAGCAGGACGACGGACAGAACACAGAAAAAGTGCCCTCTAAATACGTGCATACTCTGAAAATACCTGCTCATGTTGGAATGACAAGTGTGGTGTCACAAGGCTTTAAAAGCACAGCTGCAATTAAACGTGCACCTTTAGTGCTGCCTGCTATGTTACAAAAGTCTCCGAATACCGAGGCTGGAATATAAAATAACCCTTGCATTGATTGCAGTAAAAAAAAACAACGTTATTCTTAAAGGGAATATACATCATTTGCTTTTGCTGTAATTTTCAGAAATGGATGGAATTGGGGGCTTGGAAATATATGGCAGATATAGTTACACTGACTTTTTTGAGGTTTTGGGTTCGAAAGTGCTATATAAACCAAGAAAAACAATCATTTTCCTGTAGTCTGGTTCCCTGACTCCATTTAAGAAGAAACAGATCAGTTTACATATATTGGGGAATTGTAAGTTTTTTCCAACGCTGATCGGCCGATCAGCGTTGGAAATTGATACAAAAATACCACTTTTCTTGAAAATGACAGTATACCAGGTGCCATGATTTTACAGGATGCTTTACACCGTCATTCACCAACAGTCCAGCAAGGTATTTCAAAATGATTTGGTAGTTTTATTTTTTGATGTTTGCAAATGTTGTATTTTCCCTTTAAGTGAATTTTGTTGCTGCATGATGTCATTGTTGAGGTTCATGTACATGTTCATGTACCAAATGTGTATCTGATGTTATTGTAGTTTTTCGTGTTGCTACAATTTAAAAAAACTACATTATTTACAATCTTTAGCTTTAGATTTAGTAACTACAATCTATAATTTACTAGATTGCTTTAACCCCAATCTTCCCGAATCCTTCAAATCCTTTTTGCATAGGTGAGGAATTCAGAGGATTGAGGCTGTATGGCAAAAAAATGTGTTTGAGTTGATTTTGAAGGATGCACTTTGTCATGGTCTTAGGCTGTACCTGGTGTTGTTTATGCTTAGCCATGCATAATTTTAGGTCTTGATATTACTTGAAACCACCTGCACTGCTTGTTGGCGAATTTTGTAGGATTGAGGTAGTTGTCACCCCTCCAATGAATATGAATGGAGGATTGAGGCTGTATCAAATTTGTATATGGAGCAGGATTTTGAAGGATTGAGGGTGTATCCTAGCCAAAAGGCCTAGGGGTTTAGGGTTAATGAACAAAACTTGTCTAGTGTTTGTATAATGATGTGATTGCAGTGCAGCTCCCTTGCTATAAAAAAAACAATCATATTGCAAATACATGTACATGTATCTAAATTTGGCAATTAGCAAACTCTACATGTACAGTTGTCATTGAACAGAATTTTAAAGAGCATCGTTTATCATTCTAATTTTCCAACAGAAATTTGTATATATATTTCTTTTGGAAGAATATTCTTTTGCACTTTTGAGGTAAGAAATTAATTTTGGTTTTGAAAATTGGGCTGGGAAGTTAAAGTTTCTCAGTTACATAGTTTGTCTCAATGATCACAAATTCTTAGCATTTAAATTTCTCTGTCTTATACAGTTTATGTAGCCCCACAATGTGGCCAATTTACTGGACTACATGTTCCTCAGTAAATAAAGGCCACACTTGGAACATGTACCCTAAAATGTAGAACTTTGTCAAGCTTTCATTTTCTTATTTAGACTTTGTTTGTAGTTTATTTACGCTTTAGAAGCACACTCACCCTCTTTAAAGTGATAAAAAATTGGTCCCCCCTTTTCAGACATCTATATTTCATGTAATTTCTCGGTTCGTTTGCGTATCTAAATTCCAACAAAAAATTACATGAAAAGTAGACGTCTGAAAAAGGGGGTACTAATTTTCTAACGCTATAAAGAGAGTGAGTATGCTTCTGAAGCCTAAATAAACTACAAATAAAGTCGAAATGTGAAAATCCAAATTTGACAAGTTCTACATTTTTGGGAACATTTTCCAAGTGTGGCCTTTATTTACGGAGGTAGTCCAGTAAATTGGCCACATTTATGGGGCTACAGTTTATGGAGAATATGTGTACATGTAGTTAAATATATCAATACGTGTACATTTTATTGATAGAACTTTGGAATAGTCAAAGTAATGTGAAGGAATGTTGTATCCAGACGCCACTTCAGCACTTGTGTACAAAGTCTATGGAGAGTCAACAATTTTCTAAAAAGTATTTCCAAACAAAATCAGTAATATTTCTCGGTCCCATATTCATGTCTTTTCAACATTTTTTTTTTTGCAATGGTCTGACTGACCTTTATTGAGACCAGTGATATTTGAAGAAAAAAATCAGGTTACAACATTCTTTCCAAGGAATGTTTGGATGACATCAAGCATTGAAAGGGTGTTGTTTTTTTTAGTAATGAGCAAAATGTGGTCTTCTGAATTTCATTTTCAGTTTAATACAACAGTTTGAAATAAACATGTGCATGTGCAAGACCAAAAATATAATTTGATTGATGGTGTTTGCAATTTACTTTGATTTGAACTTTCAGGGACAAAATGTAACTAGTAAACCATGGCAAGACAGTAAGCCTTTCTATTTTTGAAAAGACGGTAAAGAAAAAAAATGACTTTTGAGAGTCAAATGAAAATAAAAATAGTTTGCATCACACATAAGGTGTTAATCAATGTGTTGCACTCCAGTTAAACTGAGAATTTACTCTTGAACACAATTTTTATCCTCTGAAAAGTTTTGATATTTGAAGAAAAAAGGTGCTTGCTTGAAAAAAAAGGATGCTGTTCAGATGCATTTCTATTGCTTGCTTTGAAACATAAAAACCTTCTGCTTTGAAGTCCAAAAAAATGTGAAAACACATGAAACGGACTACCGCGTTTCACGCGAGGGCGCTCTCGCAGGAAGTGCAGAAACGCCGCGTCGCGCTAAACGGTCGCGCGGTCTCTTCCAATTCCAAGTTCCATGTCTTCAGAAACTGCTTGAAATCAACAAAGCTGAGGTAAGCCCGAGGTAATTTTTATACCTGAGCTGAGAAATTTATTATTTAACAAAAAACCTAGACAAAGATGAAAAGGGAATAAAGCATCTGGTCATGATTTAATGGAAAACTAAAAAATGTTGCAACCGACGTAGCTGGAGTTACCCAGCCCTGAGTTTTATCATTGGGTTGTCTATTAGACAACCCAATGATAAAACTCAGGGCTGGGTAACTCCAGCTACAACCGACGCAAATCTCACTGGGCGATCTTGTAAGTAGTGTACAGTATGTAGGGCTGTTGTGCGCTTTCTTGAAAATCACGCAATCTTAAGAATGCGCGCGAATTCTTATGATTGAGCCTCATTCTTATTATTGCGTGGGAATATGATCACGTGCGCAATTTATGAATTTTGCGCAATCTTAACAAACATTGCACGACGTCATAATTATGTTAAATGAAATGTTTAGCGGTAACTTTAAAGGGAGATAATTCATATAAAGAGGAAAGAAAATGTTCTATGCTTCTGTACTCGTAAGTCGTATAACTACGATAGGCCTAATTTGAATCAAATTAAACCTGTTATTAATTGCTTTTTTTCTGCCCACTAGGCCTATTGGAAGTTTTGTAATAACGGAGGACTGAGAACTAGTCTGGGAAGTGCTTTGTTTAGGCTAGACAAGTTACAAGTCCCTGTATGTATCATGCATGCCACGAAAAAAAAAAAACGATGTCCAGAAGCTGCCAAAATTGCTCTTTTGACTAGATAGAATCCAGCTCTGCGGCGTAATGGTGGGGGTGTGAACAATTAATTGGTGGCAATTTAAATGGGAAATAGCATTAGCACTATGGGATGTCACAGTATTCATTCTCATTCTTCATCCCCCCCCCCCCCACCGCTTTTATTATCCCAAAAATCAGAATTCTTTCCAATACGGCACTATTATTATGTCTCTTATTTTTTCCCGGTCCCCCCCCCCCCAATACGCGTATACTTTCATATCCACTCTACTTTTCAGCGTTAAGTAAGTGACCTTGCGTTGCAACAGTATAATGAACGAGGATGCAGCTAGACTTGCCAAGCGCAGCCGGTGCTCGGCATCGACACCGTTATCTTGTCGCGCATTCTTAAGAATGTGCTCTCAATCTGGAAGAGTTATTTTTTGCGAAGATTGCGCAAGGATCCAGTTGCGCAATCATAAGAATGTGCATGCGCATTCTTAAGAATGCGTGATTTTCAAGAAAGCGCACAACAGGGCCCCTGTTTTGTTTTCATCAAAATAGGGTCAAAAATGTTTTTTATTGCTCAAAAATCACCTTTTCAATCAAAAGCAGACTTTTCTCAATTCTAATGACAACCGTTTTGCAATTTTGAATAGTTTCTTGGGGTAGAAATCACGATTTTCCTGCGCGGTTTCAGCACTCCGTACCTGCGCACAGTACATAGCGCGGTGATCGCCATCTTTATTTTTGGGTTGCGGGTTGCGTGTTGTCGCCGTGCTGTACTCATCGTCATTTTACCCCAAAATTTTTCTTAAAAATATCTAAACCCTGCCCTCTATCTACTGTCTACCTCAATCTAAGACATACCTGTTTATTGAGAATGTCTCCAACTAGTTTGGTCGGTAATTTTAAAGTGGATTTTGTTCCCTTAGTTATAGGAACCGGGCCCGACACTACACCATCGCCAAAAACGACAACTACTATCACCTCTGCTGACGTTTAATTTGTGGATAAAGTGAGCGACAGTCACCATGGAAGTAATTAGTGGCAGCATGATCCTGCATCCTATCTTGGCCAGCGAGCTCAAGGCCTTGCAAGAATCCGGCTGTTTTAAGACGCCCGGTTCCTTCTTGAAACATCTGTTTGGTTTAGAGGAGCAGCACAGGTACGAAATGTTTGCTGCTGCATATTTTGTTTACTTTCCATTGATACTTACTTACTGCTATATGTCTTTCTTAATTTTCAAATTAAGTTCAGGGTACTTAACCACTACCAGTTCTCCTACACAGCATTCCTAGCCACTTGGGAAATCAAGGAAAACTTTGTAAATGAGTTTCCATTTTTTCACTTGGGGGAAATTCAGGAAATTTCGGAAAACATCACTCTGGGATGCCAATTTTCAGGCTGTTACCTGAATTCAGACTCTTTGGTGTTTTGGAAAAAAACAAACTCAGACATTGCATCCTTTCACAGGCCGGAAACTAAATCCTCGCGTAGCACGCACAGAGAAAAAAATTGTGCACGCAATGCTCCGTGTTAATTGCCATGCTAGCTCAATACACAAATTTATGAATTGTATTTTCAAAACTGGGTTTATTGTATATTGCCATGTGTTATGGTGTATTGCGATCGTTTCGTGCTTGCTTGTCTTCTTCCACGTCAAATATTTTTCAGGCACGGGAACAAAAACCCACTGGTGGCCCTGACCAGTGTTCCCAGAAAAATGAAAGGTTTTGCCAACTTTTTGGCGAGTTTTCTCCATTGACTGACAATGTATCGTCCAATTACATCATATACAAATGGTCATGGAATGCACAAAATCTGAGACAAACAACACTAAACATACAACATTCCCTTAAGGTTGTCCAAGGGGTGTGGCTAACTCGCAAATAGGTCAATTTGCTGTGCTACACGACACCTGTAATTCCAGTGAGACTCATTGAAGTGAAAATGTTTGTCATTGAGTTTCAGAAAATTTCTCAGGGAAGTATCAGAGAAACTCAGGGAATTTTGTTTTCGTATAGTACTCAGAGCTCTGCTACATAACACCCACCAACCAACCATTGGAATCCCTCAGTCTCCTGAGTCCTGACGTTTTTCCTTTGTTTCCCTGTTTGATTGTTAACCACATAGACTCAAAGAAGAGTTTTTCTTGTGACATGATACAACCGACTTATTACACAAAACTTCCAGTCTTATCTTGAATGTGCTTTGTGCATTGTGTTCAGCAATTTATTTACACTTCCCATATTTTTTCCATTTGACCTGCCAGATCTCAACAGTGTGTGACTACCCTTTACACTGATGTACAGCAGCCAAGGCTTGGAGATGCTAATCAAGATGTAATTCTGGATTCAGCTCGGCAATCAAGAACTGTGTCCATCGGAGTTCAAGTCAAATTATGCTTTTGTAGCGACAACATCATTGATAGCGCATTTCATGAACTAAACGTCAACAGTGAAGTAGATTCTTATCAGCAAGACGATCTCCAAGAAGAAATATCAGACTCTGACTCGGATTACAATGATACCGAGGACGTTTTGGAGGAAGAGGTTGTTATCACCAGTAGAAACAGCAGAAAGCGAAAAAAGACCGTAGCAAAAGAACAAGTTCACAAAACTGTTGGTAGACCAGCAAAGAATCAAAGAAAACCTAATCAGGTAGCAGATCAGGAATTTTCTTGCGAGGAGTGTGGAGCTAAGTTTTCTCAGGAATGTTACCTTGTCCATCACATGAAGCAACACAGCAGAGAGGAGTCACTACAATGTAAATACTGTGACCATACCTATCTCATTCCTGCAAAATTAGCCCAGCATATTTCTGTAATGCATCCAAAGCATGCCCCGCCACCTCGGGAAAAGCACCAGAAGCAATCATTCATCTGCGCTACCTGTGGAACGGCATTTAAAACGATGCATACATACCAGAGACACCTGGCTACACATGTGGATGAGAGACCTTACGAGTGCAACTTGTGTAAGGAGAAATTCAAATACTTAACATCTCTGGGCAACCATAAACTCCAAGTGCATAACATTGAACGCCCCTACTCTTGTCATTTGTGTAGCCGTAGCTTCAAGATGCCCAGCCATTTAAAAGACCATCGGGTTGTCCACACTGGCGAGAAACGATACAAGTGCCTTGAGTGCAATAAAGCCTTTACAGCTTATAATTCCCTGAGATTGCACAAGTTACGCCATGAGAACCCGGGGGTTAAGCCGCACGAGTGCCCTCACTGTCAGAAACGTTTTGCTGGAAAACACACATTGGATATTCACATTGAAAGGAAACATGTGAACCCAGAGCAGTACAAAAGAAAGCCCTTCCAGTTGCATGACCCACCCCTTGAACGTTCCTTCCAATGTCACATATGTGGCAGCGCTTTTACATACTTGAGCAATTTGAGAAGTCATACCACAAAGCACACCGGCAGAAAGCGGTTCAAATGCACACAATGCGATAAAGAATACATTGCCAACCATACGCTGAAAAACCATGTCATTAGAGTTCATGAAAACCCCGGATTCAAGCCAGTCAAGTGCCCTCTCTGTGACGTACGTTTCTCCCAGAAATCCTCGTTGCCTAAGCACATCGCAAGGATGCATGAGAACCCACAGCGAGAGAAGTACAAGAGAAATCCCAACAGGCCACGCAAGCCGCCCCCGGAACGGTCCTTCCAGTGTGACCTCTGCGACAAAGCTTTCAGATACTTGTGCAATCTGAAACGTCACGGCTTAATTCACACCGGTGAAGTGCCATTTCAATGTACACAGTGCGATAAGGTGTACAGAGACAATGCAACGCTGAAAACCCACATCCTGGTATGTCATGATAACCCTGGAGTCAAGCAGTTCAGATGTCCTCAATGTGACAAATGGTTTGCTTATAAAACCTCGTTGAACAAGCACATAAAAACGCAGCATGAGAACCCAGAGCGTGGTCTGGAAATACCTGCTCATGTTGGAATGACAAGTGTGGTGTCACAAGGATTTAAAAACACAGCAGTTGGTATAAAACGTACACCTCTAGTACTGCCTGCTACTCCATAAATCTCAAAATACAGTGACTGGAGTAGAAAGTAGCCCTTGAACGAAAAACTGTTCATGTTGCAGACAACAGACTCGGTTGTCAATTAACTTACAGATAATACACAACTTTTGCAAACATCAAAAAAACAAAACTACCAAATTATGGCACCTGGTGACGTACTCCTAATCCCCAACTCCATCCATTTCTGAAAATTACAGCAAAAGTCATTTTAAGTTTTGTTGCAAAGGAATAGTTCTGAGACATAATGACATCACGCTTTGTTTACATGTGGGCTTTCCTATTATTAGCCAGGTGGGACGCATCCCACCTGGCTCTCATAGGAAAACGCACGTGTAAACAGAGCATGATGTCATTACGTCTTAGGTCCATTAATATTTGTGATAGTCACAAATTCATTTAAATACAAGTTGCCTGTCTGTCTTGTACACTTAATATAGGCATTTAAAGGTCCTGAAATCCCTGAAAATTTCATGTTTTGGATTGTTTACTTACATGTAGCCTATTTCAAATATCTGGTTGAAAGGAAACCAACCTAATTTCTTACCGTTCCCGAGAAAAGACGAAAAAACCCTGCTTGTTTACATCGGAGTGCATCAAATGACGGAGTACACGTTTTTGTGTCGTTCTCAGTGTACAATATACGCGTTGTGTGTCTCGGGAACAGCGGTAACCAATCACCAATGCAAACAAAAATGGTTTCTTGAACGTCCGCAAAAGGGAACACTTTATGAATGAAATCACAACTAGCATCCAAACAGCTCGAATTTGATGGGGTCGCAAAAACCGGACCCCGAAATTCGTTCTCGCACGCATAATACAGGAATAACACAAAAGTGCCTAGTTTTGAAAGGATAGTTGTGTGGATGTTTATATCCTTCTTTTAAATGTTATTTCCGATTAACATCATCTCGTTCAAAGTGCGTTTTGTAGCCCAGTTGGGCTGTTCCAAGACCTAGTGTCCCTTTAATACAACATAAAAATTTGTTTAAATTCTTAGAATAAAAAAAAAAAAAACTTGTCAATGCTCTGCATTTGTACATGTAGATAAATTTCTTAGATCAGTGTGCCTATGCCTAAATGTTTTTTTAATGCATTATATCAAAGAATTACAAAAAAACTTGATATGACGTGTCATAACTTCGTTTGTGCATGATATTTCTCAATATTTATCTTTTGTGAAAGATGGCTTCAATAAATGTTTTTACTGTAGTCTACAGAAGTATAAAATTTAAAAAAAAAAGTGTTAATATTATGTTTTTGTTTTCTAAGGATTTCCCCATTTTCATGATCATTTGAGCCTTTTGAATATAGATTGTCTAAAATAACCCAATACAATTTGGTGGGGGGGGGGGGGGTGGTAGCGTAATTGGGTACAGGAAAATGTTTGAAAGTATTTTTTTTTATTTCACAAGTTAATTTAATCAGTGCTAAATATTTTGAGATGTGATATTTTTTTAGATTTATAGATGAAATCCCCCTATATTAAAGGGCCCGCACAATTAAATTGTTTTTAGTGCTATCCTTAAAAATGCACCTTTGTGTCCCATTTAACTTCTTTTAAATGTTCGTTTTGCCATTTGGAAGGATATTTGGGATATTTTCGTATTCATTTCAAAACTGATGTTATTCAAGACAGATGCTACAGCTAATAGCACACAAATTGCTAGAAGGTTGGGTATTTTGCAGTCTTCAATTTTCTTTTCTGTGGTGATTCATTGTCGTGTGAGTACATGGGTGTAATAAGCCAATGAGCAACCCTTTCTAAACAAATATTTTCAAAGCGCATATTTTGGGTCCACAGTTTGAATAGAAAACCCTGAAGCTGAACAGCGTCTTCCTGAAATGACATCACAGCAACAGCGCCCTCAGCTCACTTGTGTAGAGATGTGAACAATTTGAAACGTTTAGAGAAGTGGACTTGACAATAACATGAACTGAAAACTTAATGGGGATGTGAAATAGATTTCAATATTTAAGACTAGGGAAGAAAGTTGCCTTGTGTTCCTATTCAAACTTCCTAAGAAAATCTCATCGCATGACCCCTACACTATAAAATATAAAGCGCGGTTTGGGTTTAGCATGAATATAGGCTTTACACTGTCTTGAATTTGTCAAGAGGTTTTCACTTTGACATCCAAATCATGTGAAATAACTTCAGTCATATGATACTTGAAAGAATGTTGCAACCTGACGCTACTATCTTCATGTCGTCTCAATCAATGAAGGTCATTCATTGAATCATTGGAAAAATGATAGACATGAATCTGGGACTGGAAAACATTTCCAATTTTGTTGGGAAATATTTAAAAATATTTTGTCACTCTCCATGTACACAATCAAGGAAGTGGCGCCAGGTTGCAACATTTCCTCCGTTAGATGTTTTCTGCTTTGGTATTAGAGTTTTTGGGTTTGTTTTTGTAGTGTATTGCATGCATTATGTGCATATCATGCAATGCGCAGGGGTGTCGGACGCTTCGCCCCATTTCCACGTCGCCCCATGTCACTTCGCCCCTAACCACTTCGCCCCATCCCCACTTCGCCCCATCCCCACATCGCCCCATCTCCGCTTCGCCCCATCCCACTTCGCCCCATCCCCGCTTCGCCCCATCCCCACTTCGCCCCATCCCTACTTCGCCCCATGTAGTATGAAAAAGGTGAAGGCTAGGGGTGCAGACCAAAGAAACTGCCAAAGACCCCAGATAATAAATGCTCCCAATTCTAGAAACTTAGGAAAAATACAAACTCTCTGATGAGGTGCTCGAGACACAGATGAGAGAAATGATGGCTCTATCCCATTCAGAGACGCCTCTCCTATTGGCTTGTGAATGTGATTAAAATTATCAGCCGCTGGATTCAAAAGAATCCGTAGGTATGGGTCAGTGAGTTAAAAGGAACTCACTGCCTTGAGGAAAATGTTCCGTCAAAATTTGTCTGATATGTGACACTTACAACTTCATTTAGATGAAACTGGTTCCTCCAAGAGTGAAATTATGATGTCAAAGGTATTGTCGTTCTCAGATAGGCCTAAGTGGGAGACGGGTTGGTATAGCCGGGTTGGGAACAAAGTTGGATCTTTTACTTCAAGCTTTTTTCTCGGTAGGGGAGAGCCTAGCTCGAGAGGTTGGTTATGAATTGTTCATTTGGTGATGGGCTAATTCTTTCCGTTTGTTAGCAATTAGCGAATCTGTTGAAATTGTTTTTTTTAAGCCAATAAAATAGATGAGATTTTTTTGTATTACATGTAACGGCTGGGGCGAAGTGGGGATGGGGCGAAGTGGGGATGGGGCGAAGTGGGGATGGGGCGAAGTGGGAATGGGGCGAAGTGGGGATGGGGCGAAGTGGTTAGGGGCGAAGTGACATGGGGCGAAGTGGAAATGGGGCGAAGTGTCCGACATTCAATGCGCAGGGTGACCGTGAGGTCATGGCCAAATTCTGCTAAATGCATATCAAAAATCTGCCAAATTCCCCAGAACTACTCAAAATACACTAAACACCATAAATCACATGCAGTTGTTGTTGTATTGCCAAGACTCAAATTACGAATACATGTATAAACAATCTATAGTCACATAAAGATGTTATGAAATTGTGTAAATTTCAGACAAAATGCGGTGCGCGTCACGCTGAAGTCTGGTTCCCAGTGAACCTAAGCACCCTAGAGTTGACAAGCCAACACTGCCCATTATGCAGGGGTTTGTTTGAAAAAAAAAAATGAGGCTTTTTAAAAACAAATGTACCTTTTTTTTTCAAATTTGCTATGTTTTTCTGTCAAACCATTTTTTATAGAATTCTGCCAGAAATCTGCCACAAAAATTCCATTCTGTCAAATTTTCTGTTTATAATTATCTCACTTTTTTTTTACAAAAAAATCTGTCAAAGTTAGCCGAAAATCGGCTAAAACGGTCACCACATTATTATGGCAATGCGTGCGTTTCCCAAAATATCACGAGAGGGCGCTCAACCGTGGGAACTGCAAAAAAAACTACCGCGCAGGGTTTTGAGAAAAGGCAGGTTAGTTTGTTTTTGTGCCTTCAAATTTCATTATTTAACTTTAAAGCATTCATTTTAGAACAACGTAGACTTAAGACGGCGGAGACAAAGTGAACGACATGCAGGCCCCCAATGATTGTTGCTTTTTACTTTAACGTGGGCATATTTTTTGCCGATTCGTAAAGAGTTTTTAAAGAGTACGGTAAACTCCGGCTAAGTCTGTAAGTAGACGGCACTCTCGGGACTCTAGCCCGACTGCGTCTGGCCGTACAGTACTGTACTGTAGTACGGCCAGACGCGCAATGCTTCCCCACAGACTGAATATTTTTTCACTGTGAATATGTAGCGATTTTGCTACGGATTTTGATCGAGATTAATTATCTTCGCGTCCATGGACAAACATTTCCAAAGTTAAGGTTCTTAGTCGTAGAGCAACTCATACCTTTTCGAAAAAAACGTTCTTTGGTCTCAATATTTTCATCCATCTGGCCAAAAGACGACTTTCAGTCACCATCTTCCACAAATATCGTCCCGAAAATGTCCTCCATGTGATTTCAAAATGGCGGCCGCGTTGTAATGTATGCATTATGTCGGTGCGCTTGGGCAAGATAATGAATATGCATTATTTAGTTCATGATCTGTTTGTATGGCAAGCCGCGCCGTGCGCCCGACAAACGTCATAAACTATGATGCCAAATTTAGCCGAAATTCGGCTAAAACGGTCACCCTGATGGACATTTGGAAATTGTTCATTTTTCATTTCAGTAGGTTGGTAAGTTGTATGATCCCAGTATCTGTTTGCCCTTTGCTTTGCTTTTTATCAATATGGTGTGTTTTTGTAAAGCAGCAGAACACTATGCCCCAAGCTATAACATGTACATGTATAAACACTTATTCAAATGGGCCATGCTTTGTTGACCAGAAACTTGAAAAAAATTGACTCCATGGCAAACTTTTGGTGGCGCACTGCATTGTGAATCACCTGAATTCAGCAGATGTGTATCTTACAAAACTTGCCACTTCTGACCCAGGTAGTTTGACTTGCCGGAGTGGTTTGAGCTGTACTATTTTTCATTTGAATGATCATTTTGTTTTGTACTACTAACTTACTCTTTCAGAAATTACTCTACAACAGCTAGCTTGGCCTGATACCTCTACCCCTTGTTGAAGTGTCTCATTTAAGAGTGAGCAACAATCACCATGGAAGTAGCCAGCGGCAGCATGATCTTGCATCCTGACTTGGCCAACGAACTCAGGGGCTTGCTTGAATCCAGTGGTTTTGAGACAGCCGGTGCCTTCTTGAAACATCTTTTTGCTTTGGAGGAGCAGCACAGGTACTAGATGTTAAAACGCTTTATTTCTCTAATTCCAGAGGGCCAGCCTAGTGCCCTCCTCATACCCATCTCATGCACTGAGTGATGGACAGAAAGTCTCAGACGTGTTGCCACGCAAAGACTTCCAGTGAAAAGTCATTCTTGATCATTTGAATAGAATTTTTGTGTGTGCTCTGTACTGCTTACTGTCCTCTAAATTTCTCACTGAATGTCACGTACAACTTCATTCGGCTTGCCTATTCTTGTTTTGACAGATCTCAAGACTTCACTTGTTTTGTTTTTTTCAAATGTTTCGACTTTTCTTTTCAGATCCCGAAAGAGTTTGTCAACAGAGTTGGAATGGGATGACGATTTTAACATCAAGCAAGCTTTAGGTATAGTTGCTGCACAGCCACCAAAAACTGCTTCAGTTGGAGTTCAAGCTAAACTGTGCAGTTGCAGCGACAAGGTCATCGTTAAGACATTACATGGAAGAAGTGCCATCAGGCTGTTTGATAAGATTCAGAGAGGGGATCTCCAAGATGAAACATCTGACTCTGAGGGAGTTGATCAGTCCGACGGTGTCGATCAGTCTGACTCTGATTACAGTGATGGTGAGGAAATGGAGGAAGAAGTCAATTACAACAGTAGGAAGAGAAAACAAAAAAGTAAGACTGTCAAAAGAAAACCAAAGCACAAAACTGTTCCTAAGAAGAAAAACCAAAGAAAAGATGTCGATCAGTCTGACTCTGACGGTGTCGATCAGTCTGACTCTCATTACAGTCCTACTGAGGAGATGGAGGAAGAAGTCAATTACAACAGTAGGAAGAGAAAACAAAAAAGTAAGACTGTGAAAGGAAAACCAAAGCGCAAAACTGTTCCTAAGAAGAAAAACCAAAGAAAGGATGTCGATCAGTCTGACTCTGACGGTGTTGATCAGTCTGACTCTGATGGTGTCGATCAGTCAGACTCTGATTACAGTCCTACGGAGGAAGAAGTCAATTACAACAGTAGGAAGAGAAAACTAAAAAGTAAGACTGTGAAAGGAAAACCAAAGGACAAAACTGTTCCTAAGAAGAAAAAACTAGGGAAGGATGACCAGGAACCAGCCACTGTGAGCCAGCCAAAGACAAAAAGGAGAAAGCCTGATGAGGGAACAGAAAGTGTTAGCAAGCCGAAAAAGAAGCCAGAAAAGTCTAAGGACGGAGCAACCCAACCAGAACAAGATCCCAATTACACTGAAGAAATACCCGATTTATTTAAATTCGGAGGCATGGTGCACATTGTAAAGATCAAGGAACGCCCCCTTGTTTGCAAGTATTGTGGCAAAGCTTACAGAACCCTCACTGGATTGTTGCGTCATGTTCGTGGCCATAAAGGTGAACAGCCCTACAAATGTACACAGTGTGACAAGGCCTATGTGGATAAAAGATCACTGATAGAACACGTATTAAGATTTCACGATCACCCTGGCATTAAGCCCTACAAGTGCCAGAACTGTGATAAAAGTTTTGTGAAGAAACACACATTAAGGCTACACAATAGAGACAAACATCCGGGCCATGACATGTAGAAGCATTAGTAAAATTGAAACTGCACATCAGAAAGACCTGGGCCGAGAACATAGCAGCATCTGTACTGCCACAAGTGTTGCATCGAAAATTCACAACTTGTCGCTTCAAAAAGACATATCATTAACCAGAGTAGAATATATGCCTCATGGAAACTTTGGAATACTCTTATTTCTGCATAGTTTTTTTAGGTTCTCCATTCTTATTTGTGGAAGAATGGGAATTCTTATTTGTCACCAAAAAAAAATAACCAAAAAAAGACTAAATATTTTTACATTCACTTTGTCGTGTTAACAAAAGAATGTTGCAAAATCAGATTTTTTTAAAGCCAGAGTTCTGATTGTAATCATTTCCCTCTCTTCTTTAAACCTGTTCCATTTAAATTTGAAAAATGTAGATTTGTTACTTAACTTTGTGAAGTCAATAATCATTCCTTGCCCCCACCCCCTCCTCTTTTCCTTGAAGGTGACTTGAAAGTTGCCCGGAAAAAAAATGGGAAGCCTCAAATCAATTGCAAATGACTTGTTATTAACTGTAAAACTTGTCTTATTTCCAAAATTTCATAACGATCATGGCATGTGAAAGAGGTCAAATAAACATGTCAAACTGTGAAATCTGTGAAAGCGACGGGTGCGCTTAAAGGGAATATACATCATTTGCTTTTGCTGTAATTTTCAGAAATGGATGGAATTGGGGGGTTGGAAATATATAGCAAATATCGTTACACTGACTTTTTTGAGGTTTTGGGTTCGAAAATGCTATAAAAACCAAGAAAACCAATCATTTTCCTGTAGTCTGGTTCCCTGACTCCATATAAGAAGAAACAGAGCAGTTTACATACATTGGGGAATTGTAAGGTCAGGGAACCAGTCTAGCTGGCTTGTACCCGTTCATAGGTGTGTAATCGATTGCAAACAAGTGCGATGGTCAATTGGGGCCAGTATTTGAAAAAAAGCCAGTTTTTTCCAACGCTGGTCGACCAGCGTTGGAAATTGATACAAAAATACCACTTTTCTTGAAAATGACAGTATACCAGGTGCCATGATTTTACAGGATGCTTTACACTGTCATTCACTAACAGTCCAGCAAGGTATTTCAAAACGATTTGGTAGTTTTATTTTTTGATGTTTGCAAATGCTGTATTTTCCCTTGAAGTGTTGTTCAGTGCTTTTCATCGCACACTTGCAATCAGCTAAATGAGATCAAAGGTGCTGATTGCAGGCATAAATCTAAATAAGCCTCTGTACTGATGACTCGCACCTTGTTGATGTGCGCTTTTCTATGGGAACCTGGTGGGGGTCAGATGATTCGTAGCTCGATGGAAAAGTGCAAATGTAAACAAAGTGTGACTTCATTAATAAAGTACAGAGGCTTATTGGTTTATCAGAAGTAATGAATAATTTCAACATTTACATCCAGCAAAAAAGTTGAGGCACAATTTAAGATACCTTTTATATCATTCATAAAAGAAAATCCCTTGTTTGAAGAAATATAGGGAAAATGTTTAAAAAAATGTATTGGTGATTCAATTTTGTTTGAACGTAGTGGTCCATTAATTCAACCATTGTAAAAAGTGTAAAATATTTCAACAATATGTATAGTCAAGAAAATGAACACAAGGTGTGTTCAAAAAAAAATATTGGGCCAGAAAAGATGCATCAGTGTGGACCATTTATTTCTCCAGATTTTCACCTCGAGAATTAAAGTCGGATATATATGTGTGCGGTTTCCCATATGGTGTTGGAATTTGCCATGATGGGTATGATTCCTTGTAAATTATGCATGGGAGCTGGGCAATAAGGTGATCAACTAGTAGACAATACCCATAACCGTGGAGCTATAACCCGCGCTAACTATCAAGTAAAAAGGGCGTATTTTTCAATAAAGAAAAACTACAAAAACCCTCATCCTCCTTTTTTTTTGAAAAAAAAAAGGGAACCCGGACGACCGAAAGAGATGAAGTTTGCGAGTCCCCCCCCCCCAAAAAAAATTTCCCAGGAATTTTTAAAACCCAGGCTTCGATTCAGCTGCGGCTTTGACGCACTCGGGCTTCCTCTTTGATTTCAAAATCGAGTGGAAATATTTGAAATGATTGTCTCGTTAGACTAGTGTGTGGATTGACAAAATTATACATCGTTTTGAGCAAGTAAGTCCGCCCACATCGAGGACCTAATTTTCTTGGAGCCAAACAAAAAATTTTGTTCAAAAATCTGGACGACAAGGGTGACCGTATTGGTCAGAGCCAAATTCTGCTAAATGCATATCAAAAGTCTGTCCGATTTATCAAATTGTGCCAAATTCCCCAGAATTACTCGAAATACACTATAAATACATTAAATCACATGCAGATTGGTAGTATTGCCTCAATTAAGATTCAAATTACATCATAAACAATCTAGTCACATAAAGATGTGAAATTATTGGTAAATATTATAAGATGGAAGTTTGCGTCGGGGTGATATAAATCAAATTAGGTTTTGCCCTAATATTGGTAAATATCGGGCTAAAAGCGGATCCGGCCATGACGAAGTCCGTTTCCCAGTGAACCTGAGCACCTAGACCAGCCAACCTGTCCCATAATGCAAGGGTTTGTTTGAAAGGATTGAAACTTTTTCAAACAAATGTACACTTTTTTGTTCCAATTTGCTGTTTTCTGTCAAATAACCATTTTGAGGAATTCTGCCAGAAATCTGCCAAAAAAAATCCATTCTGTCAAATTTTCTGCCAAACTCATAGAGCTGTATATACAGCTCTGGTCAAACTCGTTTTTTTTTTACAAAAATTCTGTCAATGTTAGCCGAAAATCGGCTAAAACGGACATACTGGACATGATGTTTGAAATCGCGAGAGGGTGCACTACTTCCAAGTTAAGTTGCGGCGATAACTGAAAAGTTTAATGTTCACAGATTGAGATGCCGTCGACGTCCAGAAACAATGGCAAAAAAGGTAACAAGTAGACGTTTTCTTTTAATTCAAGATTCCCCCAAAAATAAAGTAATTAAAAAGTTATGTTATTCGTCAACGTTATCAGTTTTAATGAAAAGTAAGCAGAATAATCCGAAGTTTACTGGAAATTTACTGGAACGTAAAAATAGTGTCGTCTGCTTTAGCCTGTAATAGACATATAAAGTGAATGCAATTAGGCCTAGTTTTTATGTGGCTTGGCATCACCGGTACCGTGCGGGTGCACTTTTGAATAGATATTATAATCGAGTAAATGTAGCAGATATGCAAAACGTAGAGGTAATTGACATTATATGAATATTCTTGAAATTGTTATGTATTTAAAACGTCTAGGATGCCTTTTAAATATCGTGTCAGAAATAAATTTATCATTGAAACATAACTGCTGATTTTTCTATTCTCTTAACTTGAGCTAGAGTTGTATTTTTAATCATGTATTAAATTTTAAAATAAATAAACTTGTAGTATATCGTTTGTTTGTTTATTTATTCATTTTTGTAGAGAGATCTTCGGCAGAATTCCATGCTTGCTGCCGTTCATTCTTTGGAAATCGAGCGAAAAGATTCCTATCGACTGACGGCAAAAAAAATTGCCTGAGTCCACGCTGAGACGATGGGCAACGAATGGAGTACCTGCCGGGAACCACAAGGTGGACGTACAACATTCTTCAAAGAATATGAAGAAAAGAAGCTGGCAGAACACATTTCATATGTGGGGCAAATGGGGTACTCCTATCTTGGAAGTCAAATCCGTGAGATCGCTGGTGTGGACGATAATTCTGTCCCCCGTTAAAAGTATCCGGGGGACAGAATTACCTAGGTGCCGGCGAAATGGCCCGGATCTTGTGCAGCGAGGATCAAGAGCGCAAGTGCCGATTCACAGACTTTGTACCAGGACGGCACTGGTACTACGGCTTCCTCGCAAGATGGAAGAATATCATAAGTCCAAGGAGGCCAAGCAGACTGGATCACTTGAGGGCAGAAATGTCCAGGAGATCAATTTTAGAGGCATACTTTGGGAAACTTCTAGTACAACCTGCGTGATTGTCCTGCCCAGATATACAATGTCGATGAAACAGGAATCACGAGAGATCACAAGCCACCGAAATCTCTGGGGCCGAGCCAAGGAGCATTCCATGCTGTCTCGGACGGGGTCCAGTTCACACCATCATTGCCTGTGGGAATGCCATGGAAAATCGGCTCACGCCATACATCATCTTCAAGGGGGCAAGGGTTCGACAAGAGTGGACGGAGGGGACTTTGTCAGGGACAGGTTATAATGCCACAAAGACCGGCTGGAGCAACAGTGCCACATTTCTCCAACGGTTCAGGGGTCATTTCCTTCCACAAGTTGGATCAGTTAGGCCGCTTCTTCTACTTTATGATGGCCATTCCACCCACATCAGCTTGCAGATTATTGAAGAGGCCCGGTTGGAAGGAGTTCACTTATTTGTCATCCCTCCAGTCCACACACGTCGCACATCCTACAACCCCTTGACGTGGGCTGCTTTGCTCCTTTCAAGGCCACCTACAACAGATCAGTTCACAATTGGCTCCAGAAGTACAAGAACACAGGTCGCATATTCTGGTCGAAGAAGACATCGCCTCGCTGGCATGCAAAGCTTACATGATGGGAATTAGCAGTGACAGTTTAGTATCATCCTTCAGATGCACTGGAATTTGCCCATTCAACCCTGACGTCGTGCTGAGCAAGCTCCTTGAGCAACCGGAGAGGGGAAGTTTTTCCATCGATGGTTTATTCGCCCCTATCGAGAAGTTTCCACTTTCCATCATCTCCAGAAGTGTTCGCCAGGCGACCTAAAGCAAACAGAAGTGCCCGAATGCTGACGGAGGAAGACGGATACCTCAAGGTTAAAAGTAAACAGGGCCGCAAATCGAAGGAACCGACTCCGCAAGCAGCAGACCTAGCACTAGCAGCAGACCACTTGGCACCAGCAGCAGACCACTTGGCACCAGCAGCAGACCACTTGGCACCAGCAGCAGACCACTTGGCAGCATCGTACGACGAGTCACCACCGATGTCCTCCATGTCTTCGCCATTGTCGCCCCTAATCACACCGTCAATGCCCATACCGACTATAGCGTCATCCGCCAAGGAAGCACCCAAGTCCCCGCCGCCGCGGGCCACGTGCACGGCGCCACTGCCGCAGTCGCAAGAGCCTTCTACCAGCAGATGCTGCCCCAAGGCTTCTTCTCCCGACTCATCATCAGATGATGTGAGCGATGAGGACGACAACTGTGTTGTTTGCAACAGAAGATGGCCGAAAAATGTCAAGAAAACTGGAGGTCCAAAGATAATACTTTGGGCCCGATGCGACAAGTGCTACAGCTGGGTTCACCTGAAGTACTGTTGCAACAGAGTGACGGAACCAACGATCGAAGAAGAATTTCTGTGTCCCATTTGCAGCGTTGGAACGAGGAAAAGGGAACTATAAATGACACGCACACGGTCACAAATATATGAACATTATGTTTTAATAACTTCAGCGTACATGGGGATATGTATTTTTTTTTTTTTTACTTGCCAGTATCGGTGGCAGAGTTAACCTGTTAACTTTCATAGGCCTAACTGTTTTTTAACCTGTCAACTTTCGTAACTGTTTTTCTTTATTCGATTTGGCAGCTGGCAAAAGTGTATTGTTTGTCTGTATTGTCATTTGTAGGGATTGTAGGCCCTACTTCTTTTTTTAAAACATTTATTTAAGTTACTGGATTTTATTATTTTTTATTTGTTTTACAATATTGGACGAGCGTGCGTTTTTTTTTAACTGTTTATTATTTTTTTTAAGGGTATGTCTTTTTGCATTGCTATATTTTCTGTTTTCAAGGTTCAATGATTAAGAGATTGTCTTTACTTTTCAACTGTTTTTAATGTTGTAGCCGTTTGTAAACTTGTAAACACCAAAAAATCCTTATTGTTTCCTGCATAAAATGAAATGCAATAAAATGAAACTTTATTTTTCACGGCAAATTGTCGTCAGGGCAAATGATCGTCATAGGCCACCGTAGCATGGTACCAAACCATTTCAGCCAATGCAGCGGCGTGCACTGGCACCACGCGCGTTGGGGGTCGACAGTTTTGCGTAAGTAACTTCCCGACACCTCTGTCGTACTCTCTGCATTTTTTGGTCATTTGTATTAAACCAAAATGAATGACAGGGAGGGTTTTCTGGAGGGTGTTCAATCCGGCACTAACGTGTGTAAGTTTGAACAGAATCGGCTCTTGGATATTGAAGCAATTTGAACGGATGTCAAGTGAGTTGTCGAAGTACGCCACGTTAGGGAACACAACCATACTGTACTTTTTAAAACGAGAGGGCGCTGTTCATTTGGTGAAACATGGAATAGAAAATTGAGATAAATGTTTTTGATTCTTTGCTCTTTGTTTTTAAGATGGAAAACGTTCCACTTTTTTCAATTAATTTTCTAGTGCCAAAAGTTACATCTTTTTATGGTTATTCCTCCACTTTCCTACTCCTAGAACTATGAGGCTCCACGTGGAGCCTCATAGTTCTAGGAGTACCACTTTCCCTCCTCGCTCTACTCTCACCCTCTCCTTTCCTTAATTTCTCTTTATTAATCAGTCAGTTACTTCACCGAGATTCGAACCACGGATGCTTGCTTGATACACGAGACTCTTAACCGCTAGGCCGCGCACGATCGCTGTTGCAATGATCAATCTTTGGACGTATTTGAAGTATCCATTGAAATAAACTAAATATTCATGATGAGAAAATAAATATTCATAATGACGTATTGCACTATCATTGGCCGGCTCATGCGACGTCATGGTTGTCAATGTCATGCGTATAACGTACCGCTGTCTTTCAGCCACTTCAATCAGTTTTGACCGGCTGCTTCAACTTAGTTCTGCACGACGTGTGCATCCAAAATGTGCTCTAAAAACACATTTTGCCTATTTTTTTTCGCATTTACACAGCTTCCTGGATAGCCCCACTAGTGTGGCCGCGGTATGCTGCGCTGAACCTCTGCAGCACAGCATACCGCGGCCACACTAGTGGGGCTACTTCCTGGATTCCTCTTGGTTGAAATCACAAGGTGAGGTGAAAATTGATATGTTTGGCGGCAGTTAAAGTGGCGATCGAGTATGGACATTTTCCCTTTAAGATTCCCAGGCAAAATTGCAGAATACCCTGCCACTCTAGACTAGTCCCACTAACTGGAAATAGACTAATAGGTGGATATGTCCCTTGAATTCAGACCAACATCCAATTAAATGTCAAAAAAGGAGCACCCCGGCCCAGTTGCTGGGGCACTTCTTTTTTGACATTTTGGATGTTCGTCTGAATGCAAGGGACTTATCCACCAGTTGTCTATTTCCACATGCAGTGCGCAAGTTAGCGTTGATGTATCCGGCAGGATATTTTGCTGACTTAAACAATGGAGATGGAGATGGTCTGTCGTACTAGCGTCCCCCTACGGAATCCGAATTTACAATTTCAAAGTTCTAAAGGCTAAATTGTCACCTTGTGTACAAACCATATGATATTATTATGAGACTGGTCACTGGTCTGAAAATGTTCAGAAAGTAATAATGCTTAAGGTCAGATTTACTAGCAGGGAAAATGGCAATCATGTAGTGACATAGCTTGAGTAACTCCAGCTGACATGCTCATATTCATTCATATGAGCATGTCAGCTGGAGTTACTCACGCTAGTAGTGATACGATCGCCAAGTCAATATTGAAGTATTTACTGAAAAAACACTAGGAATTTTTCAGACCAGTCTCATGCAGTTTGTGCACCGGGTGACAAGTGATGGCCAGATATGGGAATCTTTCCTGTATATGCACCCTTGTCTTCACTTTGGATCATTAAAATATGAAATGCAATTTGCAAACTATCTTTGCATGAATGTTCATTCACATAGCCCACATTCAAGATAATTAATATTGTAGAAATTGCTCTCCTACAGTATTATACAACCGCCCCTGCTGATGTACATTGTATCCAGTTTGGCTGAAGTGAGCAACAATCACCATGGAAGTAGCCAGCGGCAGCATGATCTTGCATCCTGACTTGGCCGAAGAGCTCAGAGCCTTGCTTGAATCCAGTGGTTTTGAGACAGCCGGTTCCTTCTTGAAACATCTTTTTGCTTTGGAGGAACAGCACCGGTACAAGATTTCAAAAGCTTTTTAGAAGATGCAAATACCATCAATCATTTCAGGCCAAAAAAAATAGTTCTGCTTCCGATTACATGGCATTTGAAAATGCGGTAGTTAGGTAGGGAAATGTTGAATTTTTATTGGCATTTCTTTTTTTTTTGTATGATCATATGAAGGTGTCTGCATGTACGTGTAGTAAAGAGTAAAAGGTAGAACATGTAATTGATAGCTTTCGGGGGTTTTCCCTTGTTTCCCTCCCCCCCCCCCAAAAAAAAAAATTCGGCGGATTCAGGATACCTCCATAATGAAAAAGTTGGTAGATTCAGGACATGAAGCCTAGCGATACTGCAGGATTTTGATGGATTCAGGATACCGCGATTGAGCAGTTGGGGGACTTTGATGGATTCAGGACCCAACAGATTTACTCCCACCTAACTGGTGGATTCTGATAGATTCAACTGGCCACCTTTTCTTTTCAGATCCCAAAAGAATTTGTCAACAGGGATGGAATGGGGTGGTGATTTAAACATCAATCAAGATGTAAACCTAGTTTCTGCACAGCCACCAGAAACTGCTTCCATTGGAGTTCAAGCTAAACTGTGCAGTTGCAGCGACAAGGTCATCGTTAAGACATTGCGTGAAAGAAGTGCCGTCAGGCTGTTTGATAAGATTCAGAGAGGGAATTTCCGAGATGAAACATCTGACTCTGAGGGAGTCGATCAGTCTGACTCTGATTACAGTGAGGAGATGGAGGAAGAGGTCAATTACAACAGTAGGAAGAGAAAACAAAAAAGTAAGACTGTAAAAGGAAAACCAAAGCACAAAACTGTTCCTAAACAAAAAACAAAACGAAGAAAGGACGAACAGGAAGCAGCCACTGTGAGCCAGCCAAACACAAAAAGGAGAAAGCCTGATGAGGGAACAGAAAGTGTCAGCAAGCAAAAAAAGAAAACAAAAAAGTCCAAGGACGAAGCAAAAACTGATGCCAAACCAACAGAGAATGAAAAACAATCAGTCAAAACATGCAAGGAGTGTGACGCCAAGTTTACCAATAAGTTTGACTATAATCAGCATGTGAAGAAACACAGTGAAGAAAGTCTTGAATCTTTGAATCTCGGACGCATGGTGCACATCGTACGGATCCAGGAACGTCCCCTCGTTTGCAAACAATGTGGCAAAGCTTACAGAACCGCGCGTGGATTGCAGTATCATACTTATAACCATACGGGTGAACGGCCATACAAATGTACGCAGTGTGACAATGCGTACAAAAGTGGCCAGTCACTAAGAGAACACGTATTAAGATATCATGAGCAACCCGGCATAAAGCCTTACAAGTGCCCTTACTGTGATAAAAGTTTTGTGAAGCAACACACATTGAATGTGCACAAAAGAGAGAAACATCAGAGCCCCGACGAGGACCAGTAGAAGCATTAGTGAAATTGAAACCCCACATCATAAAGACCTGGGCTGAGACCATAACAGTGTCAATGTCCGTACTGTCACAAGTGTTGCATCGAAAATTCACAAATTTGTCACTTCATAAAGACATAGACCAGCCTTAAGTAGAATATATGCCTCACAAAAACTTTGGAATACTCTTATTTCTGCATTATTGTTTTAAGTTTTTCATTCTTACTTATACAATGTAGTCTATGTAATAGACCATGGTGGTCTATAACATTTGAGCAGATTCGCTGATTAATTATGCAAGACAACAGCATCTTGACCTCTAGATTTTGACCAGTCGGCATGCGCTTTCTTTTTTTCAGGTCTTCGGTCATTCACTTCGGATAAAAAAGAGGCCTATAAACATTTGTCAGGCTTTAAACACTTTCTGTAGATTAAATGTAAAAATATGTACCGATAAGGCAAAATGTAAAATACTTGGGATGAGTATTTTTTTTAGCTAGAGTGTCATTCATAATTAAGATGACGCTCCATTGTTGAAAGAAAAATTGTAGGGAAAAGGTTTGTCAATTTTTAGGTGGTAAAGTAAACTTTTGAAATAGATATTAATGGTCCATTGTATTCAAACACACAGTTAAAAGGATGTAAAATACAACTTAATTGAAATAAACAATTGTACAGGTTTTTTCGCCAGAAAAGAACAAATGATTTTCTATCAATGACTGAATTTTGTGTTGGAATTTTAATAGCCCAAAAAACTGTGAACTAACATTGATCCCGCAGCTTTATATGTTGTCCCTTTTTAGTTTGTTTACACAAAAGGCATATCTCGGGGGTGTAGCACTGTAATTTTTATTGGGGGAGGGGGTGTGCCGGTACTACATGTATCTGTCGATGGGGGCGCGCTGTTCAATCCGACGATTATGCACACTAATGGACAAAATACATGGTGCTTTTCGGGGCAGTACATGAGCCAAATTCACAGAAAGGCGCTGCATCCGTAACGGCCAATGGCACAAAAAAGGGCTTAAGGTTTTTTTTTTTTTAAAAGGGCACTTGTTCAGAAAAAAGGGCACTTGTAAAATTAAAGAATTTGGTGCATCTTTACACTATGGGGGGGGGGGGGGGGGGGGGGGGTAGTGCTAGCTGATGAAAAAGGTGCATTTGAATAGGAAAGGGTAGTCTTCCCAGAATATTGGGGTGGGGGGGGGGGGGGGGTAAATAAATATTTTACATTGGCCCCTTGCTCTCTTGATTTTTTTTCATATTACATTGTAATTTCAAGAAAACTATAGCATTTTGAATAGATGCATTTTACCCTTATTGCCCATTTGTTTTGTAAGCTGTTTACACTTATTCTATTGAACTTCCACACATATTTCTAACTAAAGATGGACAAAAATATTTTGGGAAAAAAAAGTATGAATGCTCCGGCTTCGATTCAGCTATGGCTTGGAAGCCACAGCTGAAGTTCATAATGGGTATAGGCTTGAATTCCTCTTTGATTTCAAAATCGAGTGGAAAAAATTGAAACGCTTGCCTCGTTGGACTATGCGTACTGACCGAGACATCTCAGTAATACACAGTATTAGAGCCCCAAATTTTGGACTATGACCGAGTCCGCCCAAATCGAGGACCTAATTTAATATCTTGAAGCCAAAAAACATGCAGATATCATGATCACGGTCGACGAGGTTTCGAAAATGATTAGAATCACGAGAGGGCGCGCTTGCAACTGCATCACGCGCGCGCGCGATCGTGCACGAAACACGTTGCAATTTCGAGGTGAGGTGGGTCAGATTATTTTTGTGACTGAAAAAAAATGGTCATTTTTTAATAGAAACTGACTTAGTTTATTTTCAGGACAGTGACAGGAACTATGGGAGTAATTGTATCCGCCACTATGTAAAGAATGTTGAGTCCAGATCCCATTTCTTCAGTGTTCTAGCTTGTGTGAGAACGCGCGCTGCGCGCTGTTCATGCATGTCAATGTTTGTTTACCAACCATGTTTACGTTAACATGTGTTGTGCGCTTTCTTTTGATTTGCGCATTCTTAAGAATGCGTCTGCGCAATCTTATGATCGCGCAACTGGATCCTTGCAAGTATCTAAAGATATGCAAATATGGTCCATCACTTGTAATTTGTGCATTATTGTTCGTTTGAAGCAAAAAAAGTGCTTAAAATCTAAACTAAAGTAAAGAAGGGTACTGACATGACTGAACAACCATGGAGCTATAGCTCCATGGAACAACTAACCTGATGAAGTTTCACGTTTCAGCTTCAGCTGTATATTCTGAGAAAAACAGCAATCTAGTATCTCAATTTCAAATCAAATGTTGCTGAATCATTTTTGAATTGGGACTGAATTCAGCGTCTGAGACACGTTCTCACTGAGCTGATTGCAGCTTCACGATGTCGCGCACTGATCCGACGAATTATAGCAACCGCACGTGCGTGTGCGTTGTGCCAATGCTTGCGCGCACTTCGCCGAATAACAAAACGAAGTACTAATTTAAATTTCCTACGGTGCGTCTTATAAGAAGCACTGTTGGAAAGGCCTTCTTTCGTTGATTACTTCAAAATGACAGCTTGCCAGAAAGAATAATTTCAAAGGGATTTTAGTTTCCTTACTGTCTTTCAACCAAGTATGTTTTTCAACAATAATTACGCCAGTTACTTTTCAGATAGCTGCAAATGGTTATGATGGACTATAGCTTTAAAAGAATGCTTGCACTCCTGAAATAGTGTTTCTTCAGATTAACAAATAACAACCTTTGGTAATTTTAGATCATAATAGCCCTAACAGTCCTGAATCCTCCAATTTCATTATAATTTTGCACACCCCCTAGGGAGTTACAATGTAGGGTTAAGGAATATGAGTGGTGGCCCAGTGTGGAATTCTTTCCAATTATCCAAAAATCATGGTAATTCGGCAACGGATTCCAAGGGTTTTGAAAAAAGCATGGCGTCTCTGATATTTACCAGACTGCTTCCCAGCCCTCCCCCCCCCCCCCAACATAGTCAAAAGCCCAATGGGATCAAGGAGCCAGACAAGAGCTTTAATCATCTCCTGAGCGTGCGTCAACTTGGGCAAAGTGCACCATGGCTGTTGCCTGTCATTCCAAAATCTTTAGAGCTCTCTGAAGTACCAGGATGCACTACGCGGCCGCAGGTGAAGAGTGCACACAAGAGGGCGCGCTTCACTACATTCCAGGCACTTAATTGATTTCAAATAACTCTCCCACAGTTAAATACCACAACTGCCCCTGCTGATGTATTCAGTTTGGCTGAAGTGAGCAACAATCACCATGGAAGTAGCCAGCGGCAGCATGATCTTGCATCCTGACTTGGCCGATGAGCTCAGGGCCTTGCTTGAATCCAGTGGTTTTGAGACAGCCGGGACCTTCTTGAAGCATCTTTTTGCTTTGGAGGAGCAACATAGGTAAAAGATTTCAAAAGCTTTTTTGAAGATGTACATTTCATTAATCACTTACACTTATGCACCACTCATTTGTATTCTAAGCATTTTGATAGTTCTTACTTTACTAAAAGCCAAGGGTTGATGACATGAGTTTCACTTTGGTATACATCAATTTTCGGTTAAAATTCAATGTAAGTGCACTTTTTGAAACATTTGAAATGTTCAATCATTTCCTGACATCAGAGGACACTGTTGCTGTGATGTCATTTAAGGCACTCTTCAGTTAACAGGTTTCCTATTGAAATTGTGAACCAATAGATTTGTTCCCCACTTGTTCCCCAGTTTGCTCTTTAACCCCTCGCATACGGGAAGCGGTAATGGCCGCAGCGGCTAATCCTCACTGGAATGCAGTTGCCAGCTGTGCTATGCCGTGGCACATGGCTAGTGGGTAGTTCTACAGCTGCTGCTTTTGTGCAGTCCCGCTACCACACAAAGGCTGTGCAGTCATGCGGGTCACTTGCTCTATGTATGGAGGAATGTCCCCATTACGCCCCGTCCTTAAGGGTTTAAGCTGGGGTCATGTACAGAAACATTAATGAATCACCAGAAATGGAACATATTCCACAAAAAAAAAGAATCATTCTGGGAATGTTTCAAGCTAATGCAGCAAGGCTAGCCTGAAGTGCAAGTGTAGCTGGCCATAGCCTAGTCTACCCGTATGCGTACCCGAACCGCTACACACACTTACACAGCAGAACCCTTGATGAGACGAGCCACCCTGTTTAAAAAAATGACATGAGTCTTTGCGGGCGTGCTGGTGTTGGGTTACCAACACAACAGACTGAGAAATAACATTGAGAGACTTACAGTATTCAGACTACATAATTTGCATATCCTTCCCCCCCCCCCATTTTCCCAGGATTTGCCATTCAAAGTAAAGAAAAATTATAAAACCCGGAAGTGACAGAAAAATCAAGGCTGTGAATTGAGCAGAATATCCCACATGTACGTGCATGTGTGTGTGTACACAATGTGCATGGAGGAGACTGCCAGCATTGGCGTGTAGTGTGTGAATTCATTGTCGGCTTCACGTGCATGTGATCAGGGTTTTGCCTTGTATGGATGCCGTGGAAAACAGGCTGTTGTGCCATAATTTGGGGTTCACAATTTAAACAACAATTCCCTTAACCAAGCAGTGTCTAGTGAAGTAACATCACAGCAACAGTGCCTAGATTTGATAGTAAAACTTTTTAAAATTGTTGCGTCAGTGCAGCAAGGTCGTAATTTGATTATGCAACAAAGTTGTATCTGGCGCAAACATGCTACATGAACAAGGTCGTATCGCAATGTCTATTGACTTTTTGTGTGCATCCGAATTATTTTAGGTGAGATGTGAGTTTTTACCCCTCAGCCGAGAGGCTCGAGGGGTATTGTCATCGCCTAGGGCGTCCGTCCGTCCGGATGTGTGTGTGTCCGTCCGTCCGTCCGGGCAGCTTAGTTTCCGGATGATAACTTGAGTTAGAAATGAGATTTTGGTGTCTAACTTTGATAGGGGGTTGCCCTTGGGAGTAGGCAAGTTGGGATTGGTTTTGGGGTCAAAAGGTCAAAGGTCAAGGTCACCGTGGTGAGTTAAATGTAAATGGTTTCAGGATGATAACTTGAGTTAGAAATGAGATTTTGGTGTCTAACTTTGGTAGAGGGTTGCCCTTGGGAGTAGGCAAGTTGGGATTGGTTTTGGGGTCAAAAGGTCAAAGGTCAAGGTCACCATTGTGAGTTAAAGGTAAATGGTTTCCGGATGATAACTTGAGTTAGAAATGCGATTTTGGTGTCTAACTTTGGAAGAGGGTTCCCCTTGGGAGAAGGCAAGTTGGGATTGGTTTTGGGGTCAAAAGGTCGAAGGTCAAGGTCAGCATGGTGAGATAAAGGTAAATGGTTTCCGGATGATAACTTGAGTTAGAAATGAGATTTTGGTGTCTGACTGAGGTAGGGGTTTGCCCTTGGGTACAGGCAAGTTGGGATTGGTTTTGGGGTCAAAAGGTCAAAGGTCAAGGTCACCGTGGTGAGTTCAATGTAAATGGTTCCGAATGATAACTTGAGTTAGAAATGAAATGTTGGTGTCTAACTTCGGTAGGGGGTTTCCCATTGGTACAGGCATGTTGGGACTGGTTCTGGGGTCAAAGGCCAAAGGTCAAGGTCACCACGTTGAGTTAAAGGTTAATGGTTTCCGGATGATAACTTGACTCTGGCTGAGGGGTTTCAACAGCAACGCTGTTATTTTTTACTTTGAAAACTTGTGTTTCACATACGTGACATCACAAGCCATTTTAGTAGATACGACCTTGTTGCACGGACACGATGAAATGTTCAATGTTTTTCAATCAAATTAACCAAGAAAGGTATGTCTAATAGTTTACATACAGTTGCAAAAAAAATTCCTAGTGAAATTCATTTTATGGTCCCTTTAAATTAATTCATTAAAAAATCATGGTGCTTTAGGTGGCAGACATTTCAGGCGTTTCCATTTTTCTTTTCAGATCGAAGCAGAGTTTGTCAGAGTTGGAATGGGGTGACGATTTTAACATCAATCAAGCTATAAGTCTAGCTTCAGCACAGCCACCAAAAACTGCTTCAGTTGGAGTTCAAGCTAAACTGTGCAGTTGCAGCGACAAGGTCATCGTTAAGACATTACGTGGAGGAAGTGCCGTCAGGCTGTTTGATTCGATTCAAAGAGGGAATCTCCAAGATAAAACATTTGACTCTGAGGGAGTCGATCAGTCTGACTCTGATTACAGTGAGGAGATGGAGGAAGAGGTCAATTACAACAGTAGGAAGAGAAAACAAAAAAGTAAGACTGTAAAAGGAAAAGCAAAGCACAAAACTGTTCCTAAGAAGAAAAAACAAGGAAAGGACGACCAGGAACCAGCCACTGTGAGCCAGCCAAAGACCAAAAGGAGAAAGCCTGATGAGGGAACAGAAACTGTCAGCAAACCGAAGAAGAAGACAAAAAAGTCTAAGGATGGAGTAAAAACTGATGGCAAACCAACAAAGAATAATACCGGCCAGAAAAGGAGTACATTAATTACCTGCAACGACTGTGATGCCACGTTTACTAATGCGTTTTACTACACTCAGCATGCAAAGAAACATGCTGAAGAAATACCCGAATCATTGAAATTCGGACGCATGGTACACATCGTACGGGTCCAAGAACGTCCCCATATTTGCCAACAATGTGGCAAATCTTACAGAAACGCGACTGGATTGGTGTGTCATATTCGTACCCATACTGGCGAACAGCCATATAAATGTACGCAGTGTGACAAGTCGTACAAAGAGAAACACTCGCTGACAGAACACGTAAGAAGATACCATGAACATCCCGGAGAAAAGCCTTTCAAGTGCGATCTCTGCGACAAATGTTTTGGGAAGAAATACTCACTGAATCTGCACATTAGAAATAAACATCAGAGCCCCGACAAGGACGATTGGAAGCGTTAATGAAACTCCACATCATGAGATCCTGGTTTAAGGCCGTAAAATGGCCTCTCTGTCTCTAACAGGTGTTGCATAAAGAATTGGAGGTCAATGGGGGATCACATGTTGCCAAAGTTAAAAAGAGTGTAAATACAGTGAAATCTCGAAAAGTCAAACTTCAAGGGAACAGGTTAAAAATTTGACTTGAGCAGAGTTTTGAGTTATGCAGGGTTGTACATCATTGTTGTTCTACTAAAGGGAATGGATACTTGTTTGACTTCACAGTTGTTTTGAGTTATCAGAGTTTGGCTTATTGAGATTTCCCTGTACTGTGATATTCAGTTTTTGTTGCGTTGTGATCTGAAAAATCTGATTTTTACAGCGAAATGTGAATGTAGTAATTTCCCACTCTTCTTTAACCCTGACAAGGGTGATTTACAAGGAACCTTCCTCATCCTTACAAATCCCAACACCACGGTAAACGGTGCACATAAAAAACAGTTGGACCATTTTTATTTGTGGTATCCCTAATCTGAGGTAAAGCACAGTCAGTTTACTAGTGCAGTACTCATCCTGACAGCTTCCAACAAACCCTGTAGTCGGAGTTTGGCTGGTTGGAGATTGTTAGGGTCAAACCTGATACATTGTAAAGGCAGTTAAATGTTGAAATGCCAAATTGTGGCTGAAATCTGCAAAGTCCATGTAGTTGAAGGCATTTTACTGCTTAAAGGGTTTGGGGTTGACCTCTCACTTTTGTGTAAAGGTGACTTGAAAATTGTAGACAAAAACGGTGAAATTTTGAAATGGACTGCGACGATGTTTCAATGTCTTTATTTCTGATATTTCAAAACAATAAAAAAGAGGCAAAACAAACATTTCAGACTGGATTTATTGAGAAATATTTGAACATTTGATAGACAAAAAGTTAAGGCACAATTACTTGGGGGTGCATATTTTCTTAGTGTGTCATTCACAATATCATAGGGAACATGAGGTTTGGTAAGTTTTTAATTTTGAAGTAAACCGCTTTTTGAAATATGTGTATAATGGCCCATTATATTCAAACAGAGTTAAAAATGTAAAATATAGCTTTGAATTAAAAGAACATTTGTACAGGCTTTTGTGGCAGTCCACCAGCGTTGGCCTTTTTGGTCAATGTCTGAGGTTTTGAAGATTTTACTTTGTTAGAAATATGAACCATTATTGGTCCTGCTACTTTAGATTTTATCCGTTTTTTTTTTTTTGAAAGATGGTTTCAATACATGATTTTTGAGAGTGAATAAAGGTGTATAAATGTGCAAACTCAAATGAATATTCATTTGCTCTCTAGAATTTGTTTTTTGTTCATTATGATTTTCATGAGAACTGTAGTATTTTGAATACGTGCAATAGATGACGGTAAGCAAGTTATGCTTAAATTATTCTATTTGAGTTTTCACACATATTTCTAACTAAAAATGGACGAAAATGCTTTGAAAAAAAAGAAGGGGCCTATAATTGTTTGAATGAGATGTATGTCAGAAAATCTGTAATTACTGAAAACCCGTCTCCTCGCCCTAAAATTAACCGGTGCAGGGGTACGCGCGAAAGCTAAAAATTTATATGCAGAAGCTGCGATCGCGACGAGGTTTCGAAAATGTCTTGTATCACGAGAGGGCGCGCTTGCAACTCTCGGCTCGCGCTCGATATGTCGTCGACCCCTTCCTATCCTGCCTTCGCGCGCGATATGCATGTGCATGTGGTTCGCGTCCTTTTGCCATGGATGGTTGCCTATTTTCATGATTTTTGGCAATGGCAATTGAAGGGTAGGTGCCTGCTCCTGAGTCTCTGAAATGTGCGAACGTGGAATTTATTATAAAATATTAAGGAAAGAACTTTGCAACATGACGCCACTTCAGTTTATGCCACCACTTGTCACATGCATGGAGGAATAAGAACATAAGAACACATGTTCTTATTCCTCCATTGTCATGCTTGTAGTAACAACATAATTTTTGTGTAAAAGCTTTTGAACAGTTTCTTGCAGTAGAAAATGTTTTAGGATCGTGTTTTATGGATTGTTGTCATGATTGTGATGCTATTGCTATGTAAGTTAAAGGGAATATGCTACATTTGCAAACACCAAAACAAGAAAAACTACCAAGTTAATTGTACTCAAGTACCAGGAGCAAATGCAAGTGCTACAGCACCAAGGGCGGATCCAGAACACAATTTGGGGGGGGGGGGGACAAAAAAAATGTTGGGTCCAAAAAATTTTGGATTCTAGGTGCACTGTGGTGCGATCTGAGGCAATTTCTGACCACTTTAACCAATGTTTTTTTGAGGAAAAGATGGTGGTGTACTCATTGCCTGCCTTTATTGCGATGTCACATAAAAAAAAAATTGGTTTCATTTTTTTTTTGGGGGGGGGGGGGGGCGCCATGGCCCCCTTTGGCCCCCCCCCCCCCCCCCCCCCCGGATCCGCCCTTGTACAGCACTGGGTTACTGCAACATTCAAGGCACCACACTTAATCGTTTGAAAATAACTCTCCCACAGTTAAATACTACAACCGCCCCTGCTGACGTACCCAGTTTGGCTGAAGTGAGCAACAATCACCATGGAAGTAGCCAGCGGCAGCATGATCTTGCATCCTGACTTGGCCAATGAGCTCAGGGCCCTGCATGAATCCAGTGGTTTTGAGACAGCCGGTGCCTTCTTGAAGCATCTTTTTGCTTTGGAAGAGCAACATAGGTACAAGATTTCAAATGCTTACTTTAAGATACACATATCATTTATCACTTTAACTGACTCGCCATGGACAGTTGCGGATCTAGAGGGATTGTATACCCCCCCCCCCACCCCCAGTTCAGCTACTTACTAATTATATACCAGTAAAATTTAGAAATGAAGCAACATAAAATTAACGGAATACTAAAGTTATCCCAAAATTATTCTCAAATTGCCTTATAATGCACAAAGAAGCACGGGAGAATTGAAACTGTTCATGCACCTGGTCCCCTCAAGTGTCCCCTCGCCCACCCTCGAAGTAATGATAAATTGAGAGTATGCAACAAACAGGTCATGGATTTTGGGAAATAATGTGCTTTGCCCCTCTCTAGAAAAAAACTCCTGGCAACGCCCATTGTTATCAAATGATTTGTACTGATATATTTGATTATACCAACTTAAACGTGATCAAATATTCAATTATTCAATTTCAAAATTCACCATCCTGATCTAGCTGACAATCAGGATTTGTGTGCGATTGCGCTTGAAAACATTAGCAAAGACCTTATTAAAGTAATAGATAGAACAGGTGGACGAACGGCTGTTAATTGACCAACAAAATGGGGTGGATATTCCTGAGGAAGCACAAATCATATGCAGAAGTTGCTTTCAACAAAAGTGACTAGACACTTTCAAAATTCAAATGTTTTTCGTTTTTCTCTTCAGATCTCAACAGAATTTGTCAACAGATTTGGAACGGCTTAACGATTTTACCACCAATCAAGCTATAAGTCTAGCTTCAGCACAGCCACCAAAAACTGCTTCAATTGGAGTTCAAGCTAAACTGTGCAGTTGCAGCGATAAGGTCATCGTTAAGACATTTCGTGGAGGAAGTGCGGTCAGGAAATTTGGTTTGATTCAGAGAGGGGATCTCTCTGATAAAACATTCGACTCTGACGATGTCGATCAGTCTGACTCTGATGGAGTCGATCAGTCTGACTCTGATGGAGTCGATCAGTCTGGCTCTGATTACAGTGATACTGAGGAGATGGAGGAAGAAGTCAATTACAACAGTAGGAAGAGAAAACAAAAAAGTAAGACTGTGAAAGGAAAACCAAAGCACAAAACTGTTCCTAAGAAGAAAAAACAAGGAAAAGATAACAAGGAATCAGCCACTGTGAGCCAGCCAAAGACAAAAAGGAGAAAGCCGGATGAGGGAACAGAAAGCGTCAGCAAACCGGAAAAGAAGACAAAAAAGTCTAAGGACGGAGCAAAAACTGATGGCAAACAAACAGAGAATGAGGAACAACCCAACCAGTACATGAATTTGAAGAAACACAGTGAAGAAATATCTGCACCATTACAATATCAACGCTTTGTAAACGTGGATTGTATTGAAGCGCGCCCATACGCTTGCGACTTGTGTGACAAAGCTTTCAGACTCGAGCGTAGTTTGATGATTCATGCAAATATCCACAAACATGGTCGGCAGCTGCGGTACTTCCATTGTACACAGTGTGACAAGGGGTACACGAATGGTGCTTCACTGAAAGAACATATTAGAACATATCATGAGCACCATGGCGAAAAGCTGAACAAATGCTCTTACTGTGACAAATGTTTTGTGAGGAAAAACGCACTGAGACAGCACATTAAAATTAAACATAAGACTCCAGAGAAGGCCAGATCTGTCAGTTTCAAAAAATGAGACATCTGAGTTTAATCCTTTCCCATCTTTTTACATTCCATTCTTCAATATTAATTTGTGGCTTAAATTGGTAAATTTAACAAGGCATGACTCTTTATCCCCACTTGTGTTTGAAAATGCGATGTGGTTGTGCCCAGCGTTCATTCAATGGTCCCCGTATTCCGAGTGCGATTCCGTTACTGAGCGCGATGCATTGATTATGATACTGAGTAGACTGGATCTCGTTTGTAAACACAAGTGAATTCTGAACAAGGATAGGGAGTCGAGAACTACAAACAAGGGAGTCGGGTTGGCGTAGCGGTACTTTCCTCGCCTTCCACCGCTGTGACCCGGGTTGGAAGCCCGCCTGTGTCAATATGTGGATTGGGTTTTCAGTCCCTACCTGATTCCGTGGATTTTCCCCAGAATATCTTCTGGGCTTTTCCTCCCACCTCTGAAACTGTAATTTCTTCTCATTGTCTTCTAAGTTGGTGTGATGTTTCCCCTGGGATGCTTTACCGACCATAATATACAGATACAGACTTGAAAATTGAACCACAAAATTAAAAAGCAACTGAAATGTCAAATGGTTTTACAAGGGATTTGATGAAATTGACTGTGACATGAAATAATGTCTTTTTCTTTTCTAAATTTGAAAACAATCACAAGAGAAAAAAATCAGCTCATACTTTTTCATCAATTATGAATAATGTTCACATTTTCAACTGACAAAAAGTAAGGGCACATTTCACGGTGTCATTCACAAATGAAACACTCATGTTTAAAAGAAAATTTTATGGAACATCTTTGTTAAAACTGATCAGTGTGGAAGTCAACTTTGCTTTAGAGACATAATTATCCGTTATATTCAAACTCACTCTAAAATGCTTCAAGTTGGAATATACATGCTTTTTCAAAATTTTCTTTTCTGAACCAAATTTAAAGGAATGTAATGTCCTGTGTAAACAAAGTTTGCTTGTTTGGTTTAGCAGGCCTTTATACAGTTTAAAAAGTGGTTTTAAATTGCGCGTTTCAGTTAAGAAATTGCGCACACTATTCTTAACGAGTTAAGAAGCGTCCCACTCTTAATTCAAAGTTGAAATAAATTACGATGTTTCATTGGAAAGCTCATAAGTAATATGCTAGAAAATTGTCAATTTGTTTGGAACATTTTCAAGGTGCCACACCCTAAAAGCACGTACGTAGTACACCAACTTTAATGTTAAATATTTACAACTTTGAGTAAATAATGTATGGTTTACTATGCAATTGTAAATGAAATTAGGTTTTTGCCCTTCACCGATGTTTAAACACTATACTCACTGTGTTACCTCCTGAGTGAAAGTTGGAAAAAATCACTCGGTCGGGACTCGAACCCACAACCTCCTGCTTAGAAGCGTCCCACTCGTAATTCAAAGCAAAACCTAATTTGATTTATATCACCCAGACACAAAACTCCATCTTATAAATGAGCAATTGTACATATTTTTGTGCCAGACAACTTTTTATTAGTGTCCGAGCTATTTGTGTCCTTTAAATATTTATTCTCAAATAACCACAAAGGAAACTATACTTTGAAGATTTATTTAAAAAATAGCGAGGCTGTAGATGCACTTCTTGCTCTTACGTGTAATTGTTTTTTGAAAGATGATTTATTTCAATAAATAATTTTTGGAAGTGAACAGAAGTATAAAATGTGCCATTTATCCTTTTAGGCGAGTCCACAAATTAAGTATTATAAATTTGCTCCTCTATGTTTTCCACATTTTTTTGCCCTCCAAATATTTTGTAGTCTTCCCATGTTATATATTATATAACATGGCAAGACTACAAAATATGGATTTTTTGAAAATGCAGCTAATTTGGTTTTGGAATTTGATGCATTATTATTGTTACAGATGTAAAGAAGAATGGCAGGCATTTGCTTTAATATTGAAATCTCTTGGAAATACTTGAAATTTAAGAGTCTTTTTTTATTAAACTTGGATGTCTGAGGGTTGGAATATTATTATTCAGGGAACTAAAATTTTCTTGAAGCTGAAACGGAAGAAGTAGAGAGTTTCAATTGGAAACGTTTTGGTCTATCATATCCATCACAAGGTGCTTAACAGTTCAGTTACTCAAATGAGTTGTTACATAACAGTTTTCATCCTGTGCAACGCAAGACTTGAGCGTTTTTGAAACCTTTGCTTCGGCTTCGTCTCCGACTTTGCCTCCGAATTCTGAATCACTGAGAGGCAAACCAAACGAAACATTCCAACTTTTAGCTTCATATTAACCGATTGCACGTTCCTGAAGCATAACAGACACCAAAATGTAGCCGGAGTTTCGTAAGTTGTTGGGGCCGAAAAATCTTAAGCCGAAGACGAGGCCAAAGCCAGTCGTTTCTCGAAAACGCTGCTTAAGACCCGTAGAAGAAAAAAAGATGGACTCAGGCTTGTGCACGAGAGGGCGCTGTAGCTTAATTCGCGCGCTTAACAAAAATTTGGTGCAGATTGGGCCAGCTAGCTGTACGGGGAGAAAATGTGTGCTTAAAAAAATCCTACCGTAAGTTGCTAATTTAAATTGCATGCAAGTGTGGACAGATTCGTGAATTAACTAGTAGTGTATGGGAGTCCTCTTGGTACAACTATAGAATGCAGGGCCACTTCACTGAAGTTTGATGTGTGGTATTGTGTAGTTAATTCTAGGCACTTTGCTTCTCAAATAGGAGTACTGATGATTTGAGCTATTTTCATATGCTAGTGTGAGTATGAGTATTCTCAAGAAGTACTCAAGTTGTACTCAAGTACGAGTCCCAAGTGAAAGTACTACAACACTGACTGCAACATTCCTGTCACTTAATCTTTTAGCAATAACTCTCCCACAGTTAAATACTACAACCGCCCTGCTGATGTATCCAGTTAATTTTGGAAGTTTGGCTGAAGTGAGCAACAATCACCATGGAAGTAGCCAGCGGCAGCATGATCTTGCATCCTGTCTTGGCCAATGAGCTCAGGGCCTTGCTTGAATCCAGTGGTTTTGAGACAGCCGGGGCCTTCTTGAAACATCTTTTTGCTTTGGAGGAGCAGCACAGGTACAAGATGTTATTTTACTTTTTACCCTTGACTACACGCAGACGCCTCGAGCCTCCATATGATCGTACACAAAAAATGGCCAAAAAAAAAGAAATCCCTACCTAGGTACCTACCCTATTTTCGAACGCCATGTAATCGGAAGGAGAACTGTGTGTTTTTTTTTTTGGGGGGGGGAGCCTAAAGCAGGATTGACTGCCTTGGACTGCTTAAGTAACTTGATACAGCTATGCTTTGACTCCGGGTGATGATAGAACAGCTGTGACCACAACTTGCCTGCTTTGTCTGTTGACCCAGTTTGACTGGACCAGAGCTTGTTTGATGTGATCTGACTGCTGCTGACTAGCCTTTGTGAAAAGTATAGTAGTGGAAGTGAATTGTGACTGTGACTGTTTAAAAAGCAGGAGGGAATGAGTGGCACACGCTTAAATGTTTCCATTTTTCTTTTCAGATCTAAGCAGTGTTTGTCAACAGGGATGGAATGGGGTGGTGATTTTGACATCGATCAAGCTGTAGGTCTAGTTGCTGCACAGCCACCGAAAACTGCTTCAGTTGGAGTTCAAGCTAAACTGTGCAGTTGCAGCGACAAGGTCATTGTTAAGACACTACGTGAAAGAAGCGCTGTCAGGATGTTTGAGACAATTCAGAGAGGGGATCTCCAAAATGAATCAACATCTGACTCTGAGGAAGTCGATCAGTCTGACTCTGATGGTGTCTATCAGGCCGACTCTGACGATCGGTCTGACTCTGATTACAGTGATATTGAGGAGATGGAGGAAAAAGTTAGTTACAGCGGTAGAAAAGGAAAACAAAAAAGTAAGCACAAAATTGCTCCTAAGCAGAAAACAAAGCAGAGAAAGGACGATCAGGAAATGGATACCGTGAGCTCACCAAAAACAAAATGGAGAAAGCCTGATGATGGAACAGAAAGTGTTAGCAAGCCCAAAAAGAAAAGAAAAAGGGCTAAGAACGCCAAGGAATATATCCAGGAAGAGGGTGCATTATTTTCCTGCAATATCTGCGGAGCGGAGTTCACTCGTGAAGCTGATATTAATCAGCATGTGAACCAACACAGTGGGAGATCACCTTATTCATCGACAGATGAACCCCGCTACTTTTGCAAAGAATGTAAAAGATCATTCAAAAACCAGGAGGGTATGTGGCGTCATAAATTTACCCACACTGACTGGTACAAAGCAGCAGAACGAATGTATGTAGTGTGACACGGCGTACATATCAGCCATTCACTGAAAGAACACTTAAAGAAGATACATGTATGAGCATCCCAGAGAAAAGCCTTTCACAAGTGTGATCATGTCATCTCGTCAGTGCAACAAGGTCGTATCTCCTAAAGTAAAATGGCATCAACGCAAAATGCGAGTTTCAGAATGTCAAAAGGTCGTATGTGGCTCAAAATAACCCGGATGTACACGCAAAGTCAATGGACGTCTAGATACGATGTTGTTGCACGGAGCGTATACGCGCGAGATACGACTTTGTTGCAGAATGGACATACGGCCTTGTTGCTCTGACACGACGACTTTATTAAATGTTCCTCACTGACTGTGCTCAATAAAATACAATCAACATCCGATACTAGGGAAGGACAAATGAAGCATCAGTGAAAGTCTGTATTATAGAACCTGGGTTTAGGCAATAAGCATGTCTTTGCTGCCACATGCACACGTGTTACAGTTTTCACCTTTAAAAGACAGAGCCTAGAGCACACAACATAGCTGAAACAGCCAGAAGAGACCTGAATATGTTTAAATGACAAACATGTACTTTCTAGAGACTATCAAGCACAGCTGAAATCCATGGGCAAGTTCGCGCAAGAACTATTGTTAACCACAGTTTTACTATAAGGTAGCCCGAACTCTGTCTAGTCAACGATAGTTGGACTACGCTACTCGACTATTTGGGACCAGCCTACTGGGCCCGACTGCATCGCTGGTTATCAATAGCCTCATTTGGTTACTTGAGTGGAGAGGGAACCATTGACGAGTTTAATTGTAGCGAGTTGTACCACCTGCTGGTGGGCCTCGGAGATATCTTCTGGTTCATTCAACAGGACAAAAACCTTAAACAATCCAAACATACTCATTACCGCCATATGTTGACAATGGTTCTGCTAGTCATTCGCACTTTAAAGTTTCAGCCCATGCGCACTGTTTGACACCAACCAATCATTGGTTGACTAATGGTTCTTGCGCGGACTTGCCCCGAACGGAATTTTGTCCTGTTCAATGGAAAATATTTGGTGCCCTCCTTTTTCAGGAGTCTTTGGCAAGAGGCAGAATGCAGATCTTGTGTGATTATTTCAGTGAAGTCTGATCAGAGATGTATTAGAGAAGTAAAAAGTTACATAATAAAATAAACAGATACCTTGAAAGTTGGCAAAACTTCATTATGTTGATATTTTTTGGGAGCATGTGACCTTTGACCTTGTCGCTCCCAATTTCAAAGGCTCCCAATGTTACAGCCATAAGCCACTGGCTTGTGGCTACAGCCACTCCCCATAGACGTGCATGTGTTGCTCTCAGCCACGGCCAGTTGATTGGAACACAGCCTTATTGGGGCTAAGGCCAAGCTCACAAATCAATTTGAGTGAAGTCATTTAAAGTGACATTTGTTTCATAGTTAAAATTGTATTTAACCAAAATAAAATTCAGTTGAAAAGCCATGGTTATTGTTTCTCAATCTTCTTACTCTTTGTACAACTTCTTGTCAAACTGGAAAATGGCACTGCAGGGCTCTCCTTTTTGTTAGAAAGTATCTCGAAAATATAGATAAAAAGAAATGGATTCATCAAATTATTTGCAACCGACTTCCGAAATTTTGTTAAACTGATAATGGCTTTGTTATTTTCAAAACTGAACAAAACCATAGTGGGGTTCAAACTTACGACCTCCAGATTCCCGTTCCAACCAGTTAATTTTTTTTGTCAGTTTTCCTTTTGGGTTTATTTGAAAATTGTTATTTACAAGATTTCAAAACAATCATGACATAAGAAGCCAGCTAAACATTTCAAATCATTTTGATTTATTCATCAGGATTAATTAATAAGGGAATAAATGTGTGCTCCGGAGGTTTTTATCACTCTGTTTAATACCACTTAGAGTCTGGGTGCTGATAATTACCCGAGCCGGAGGCGAGGGAAATTATCAGCACCCAGACTCTAAGTGGTATTAAACAGAGTGATAAATACCGACGGAGTACATATTTATTCCCATTCATAAATACCTTTTCGTTAAAAAAAAATCATATAATTCGTTCAAAACATCCCGATTTTGTTCAACAAATTCACTTTATACTTTTTGAATCATCCCTCCTGCAAAATAATGGAGTGTTCAGCTGGCGAGTAAGATGAAAACAACCCTTTTATGGAGATTGACGCGCGCGTATCATGTTCTATGCGATGTCGCGCAGAACGCACCTGGCGCGTTGCGTTTTGAATTTAGAACCATAAAATTCTCACTCCCTGGTAGTGTTGCGCATGCCTACGTGAGGATTGTGAACGTTCAACCAATGAAACGATAAGAGGCACTGGATTTTTAGGAGTCCACATTTTATTGTGACACTGGAAAAGTGTTTAAGACCAGCTAGCCATGTCTTTATCATCCGTTTAATACCGGCCACGTGACGGGCTCTCGACCAATAGGAATGGCTAAACTGTCTGAGGTATTTATGAATGAATATTTAAACATTTTCAAGCAACAAAAAGGTATTAAGGCACAATTCAAACTTCTGTGGACGGAACATTTTCTTTAGTATGTCATTCACAAGTAATACTATTACTTTTGTAAAAGCAAATCTTGTTAATTTAATAAGGAAAAACCCATTATAAAATTTACATCTCCCCTGCGTAAATCCCATCTTATAAAGTTTTTATAAAATGTTTTGAGTGTTGAAGTTACATGTACATGTATATTATATTCAAACACCTGTGAAGATGTAAAAAAAAAAAGAGCACCTGTAAACATGGTAAAAAAAAGGAAAAAAAGAAGATAATTGTTCAATATTTACATATTCCATTTGAAAACAGAAAACAAAATAAACATTGTCAAATCAACGTAACATTTGTACAATGCACATTTGTTATGAGTCTGATCTGATAAACCAGGGCCCAATTTTATGGCTCTTCTTACCATTTGCGAAAAATCCCTGCTTACTGTAGCAGTAGCTTATGGTAAGCATATTTCATGGGTAAGCGAGGAATTTTGACTTCTGCGCATGCGTTCTTAATGATTCCAATTACAGGATTAGAGCATATTTTTTTCCGATACTGCTATTAGCACAAAATGGTGTCTGCTGTGCAGAATTCTGTGGTTAGCAGAGCCATCGAATTGGGCCCAGTCAATGTTGTGTAGATATTAAATTCAAGACAAACTATAGCTGTAAACAGAAGTTTTAATACCACTCATTTTTACAAGGAAATATGGACAACTTCTTTCATCTTCTGCCTGTGATCTACAATCTCATGTGGTGATTATATATCGGAAACACTAGTTGTAGATTTGGAAAATAGAGCTAACATAACCCCTCTACTTGTTTCAAATTAAAGACAACATTTTATGGACGGAAGTTGTCATGAATGAAAGGTGACTAGAATATTTTTGACTCCAAAAAATAGTTCAAGTCACTATCCCAATGTCCCTCAAGTTTTTATTTTGTCCCAAATGAAATTATGCTTCTGCTGGCTCTTCCTTCTTTTCTTCCCCTCCCTCTGCTGCTGGCTCTTCCTTTTGTTCCTCTCCACCCTCTGCTGCAGGCTCTTCCTTCTGTTCATCTCCACCCTCTGGAGGCTGTTCCTCTTTTTGTTCTCCCTCTGTGGGAGCAGCTTCTTGTTCCGCTGCCGCTTCTTCGTTTGGTTTTTCATCTGTGTTTCGAGTGTTTACAAGAATAACAATTGTGAGAGTGAATTAAGGTTAAGAGTAGTATTGTATCTATCATGAAATTTTGCAGTAGCACCATGTAAGCTCAGCATTTCAAATTGTTTGCCATTGTCAGTCTTATGAAGACTGACTAATGCTTTTCTGGACCACACAAATTTCAAGTTCAATTTTTCAATTTCAATAACGTCTATTACCATCAAAACAAAGTAAAAGCACCATGCGATCAAATTCACAAGTCATAACCTCTACTTTAATTGTATTGCACAAAAAATCATATTAAGTTTGTATTGCAAACACACAAACAAAAACACAACTCCAGTCAAATAAGCCAGAATTTTCTTGAATTTTTTTGAACAATTTGTCAGTTGAAAACAAAACAGCTAGCTCCAGACAATTAAGACATTTGAATTTTTTAAACTGAAGAACTGGCAATTTTTATGGACATGAAGTGTACTGAAGTTCAATCCAAGACCAATAGGGCTTTAATACATGTACAGCTGCAATAATGCAAGATCGCAACGAGGCTGCATCCAAATACCTTGGCTATGGCTAGCAGTAACACACGTGTCTATGGTGAATGGCTTCTGTTGCTTCCATTGTGGCATGTGTATGATTGCAAGACGTAGCCATGTATTGTCTTTTGTATCTAGGCCCTGGTATGTTTTCCCATCATGAAAAATCGGTATCACCAAAAGACTAACCAGCTTCTTGCTGCGCCTCTTCAGATGGCTCCTCGGCCGGTTTCTCTTCGGCTGCCTGTTGCTCCTCTACAGTGGGTGTGTCATCTGCAGCGGGTGTGTCATCCGCAGCGGGTGTGTCATCCGCAGCGGGTGTGTCATCCGCAGCGGGTGTGTCATCCGCAGCGGGTGTGTCATCCGCAGCGGGTGTGTCATCCGCAGCGGGTGTATCATCCGCAGCAGGTGTGTCATCCGCAGTGGGCGTGTCCTCCGCAGCAGGTGTGTCTTCCGCGGTGGGTGCGTCTTCTGTCGCTGGTGCCTGTTCTGTTGCTGGCTCTTCAGTCTTATCCCCTTCAGTAGCTTCACCTGAAAAACCAGGAAATCAGTACAAAATAGCAGTAGTAAATATTGACTCAACATGTTAAAATAAGTCAAGTTTCAACCTGAAGTTTTCTGAGTTTCTTTAAGACACACTTGAGCAGTTTGGACAAGCCCCATTTTCAGGGCTGTAGTTGAGTCTCCCGTAAAACATCGCCAGTAGAAATCCATTACAATCCATCCAGTCTCGAGTCATTAGTCAGATGGTTATCAAATGAACTTTGACAAAAGCATTCCTTCATTGTTTATCCCTCATACGTGTGAATGGATTTGTCACAAAGGACTTGTGTTTTACTTTGGACAAGTCTAGTCTTAATTGTGACAAGTCTTGTGAGAAGTCTAGTCTTGTGATGGACTTGACTACATTCTGCTGATTTTATTAATAACTGAAAATTGTCAGTAATGTTATTAACATCCCATCTCCCAACACAAAGGATCTCTGGACGCAAAGTTTTCAAATGTTCCTTGCTACATGGACAACTAGAAATGATTATTTTGAGGATTACCAGTGAAACTTTCCACTGGTTCCAAATGACTTACCAACACAAGCTAAACACCTGGAAGGAAAATGGGTATTTAACAGAAAAGTATTTAGTATGATCGGAATATTAAACTTCATATGATTCCATGAAACGTTACGGTGAACGTCTTGTTAATGTGTTAATTACAGCAGCATGCAATGATATACTTTCTTCTAAAGTTTCTGTAATAAAAATGAGAATGTTAATAATGAGAACGTTAATGGGAAAAAAAGCATGCATACCAGATAGTTAAATTACCCTCAACCATTAAGTTGTAATGAATAAAGATCTACAAATGATTCAGATACTTATGCTAATGGGAAGTGTTGAATAACACTGACAGTGACAGGAATGTATACAACAAATTTATGGGTGCTGTATATCTTGCAACTATTCTGCATGAATGAAGAAAGATATGCAATTTCTAATTTCGTCAGCTATTTCTGCGACAGAAAAAAGAACTGTTAGCAGAACATGCAATAACTATGAGTTACATGTACCTCCACCTATGAACGCAATACAGACCAATCACCACATAAATGAGCAATTAGAATTTTTCATCTCATCTCTTTGGGCATTTCATCTTAAGTTAATGCATCGATTCCAGATCATATAAAATGTATATTGTACAACGTTTGATAGGTAACTTCTGGGGTTTTTTTTAGGGGGGGGGGGGACCTGACTATTGGGTCATTTTGTGGTGACAGGTCTCAATTTGCGGATGAAATTAATAAAATAGACTCTTTAAAGGTAGAGTAGACCATTTGCAGCTATCCAAAATAGCCGACCAAATTATTGTTAAAATGCTTACTTGGTTTCAAGATAGTAATGGCACTAAACTCGCTGTGAAATAATTCCTTCTGGCATGCTGTCACTTTGAAGAAAACAACAAAGAATGTCATTTCCAAAGATGTGTGAAGTGACACATTTTTGGAAATTTTTGTAGTTGGTTTGTAATTGGGCGAACGCGTGAATGGGTGCAAGCGTTGCAAGGTTGCTATTATTCGTCGGTTCAGTGTATGACATCACATTACAAGGCTGCGTTATCAAGAATCATGTCCCGAATGCTGATTTCGGGATTGTCATGAGAGGGCTGGCAACTTAAGAAATCGAGATCCGGAATATTGTGTTTTCTTGAGATGTACAGCATGCACACAGCTATTTCATCAGGTTAGTCATTAAGAACCCATCTTTAGATTTTGAGCTCTTTTGTTGCTTCAAACGAGAAAAAAAAGAGGCAAAAATTACAAATGGTCCATTCTACCTTTAATGGATTTCCGACTGGAAATATGCAGTAAAGGTATAGGAGCTCATCAGAGGTGCATTGTGGAACAGTATGCGTTGCACTAAATCCACATACTATAATATAACTGCATGGCAAATACTATAATATAATACAGTCGACTCTCGTTAGTACAAACTCTGTTAATACAAAATTCTGGTTATAACAAACATAAAGCCTTGGTCCCAACTGTGCATTTGGCTAATGAATGGGACTGATGTTCCTCTTAATACAAAATTCTGATATAACAAACAATTTGGCTAGGTCCGAACGAGTTTGTATTAAAGAGACTCAACTGTATACCTTCACTGCATATTTCTGATCTACCCAAAAAAGTTCTAATGTACAAGAAAATAAAATGTAAAGGGAATGAAAAATGTTAGCATGCTCTAATTAACGCTAGTACTGCTAGAGAAATGTATATTAGAATGAAAAGGGGGTAGGTTTGGTGATTTGAAGAGCCATCTAGTGATGTCTCACCAACTGCTTGATCAGCCTCAGGCTGTTCCTCTTGTTGTTGACCCTCCTCTGGTACAGGTTCGGTTGCTGGTTCTAGTAACATTGGGTAAAGTATTAATAAACAACAGGTCAAACCCAAAAAAACCAAAATCTAAAAATTGTAAGCGAAATTACATTCTTTCATAATAAGAAAAATAAATGGTTACAAAAGAAGAATAAAAAAGAGTAAAGAACTTTTTCCCCCTCAAATAATTTACGGGATCTCAAGATTTTTGACAGGGAAAACATTAGCAGATTTGTCCAATTGGAGTCAGTGTAATTTTAACACTCTCCTAAAATTCTGATAAATCTTTGGTCCAGTTCTAAAGACCTCCGTTCTCCTAAATTTTGACGATTATTTTTCAGTTGACCCATGCTGACAACCCACATACCCTCCTGTGTCTGGGGTTCCCCACCCCCATCTGCCGTGGGTTCTGTCGCCTCTGTCTGTTCACCATCTGGCGGTGTTTCTTCCTGGATTTCTTCGGTTGGTTGTGCTGTGATATTGGACATTACATTTGGCTTTATTTCTGCAATTTATTAAATTAATTTGAACTTTTGTTTTGTGGAATGAGAGGAATGCTGGAATAAATAATAATTTGCTTATAATCAAAAGTTTTTCTATGACGCAATGTCTGGCATATATGTCACAAAATGGCTGATTACTTTATGTGAAAGGAATGGCTGTTTATAATTTGCATTATATTGTCCGAAACATGTCCACATTGTACCATGGCTAAAAATGGGCGATTTGGAAGAAACAAATTTGGGGACAATGGTTTCACTTTCTTCAGAAACATAGATAAAAAACACGAAGAGGACTTGACATGAAAAATGAAACCAATATATGAATTTGAACTATATGTTAAAGTGATTATGCAGATTTTAATTATAAAGTTGTGAGGTTAAGTACATTTTTCTAAGAACTAGATTATTGATTAAAACTAGAACAGCTCTGTTAAAAAAACGCAGACATGATTTTGCAGTTTTGCTTCATGCAAAGCAAATATTAGAAACTCAGGCAAACAGAGAAATTAAAATGCACACATTGGTTTAGAAATACAGTTTCTTGCTGCTGACAATGCTTAAATAGCTCAACGACCTCTACAAAGGACCAATTACTGCAAAGTTCACATATCAATTTTTGTGTCAATTTGAATAAAAGAAAGTAGCATGTAAAAAAGCATATTTTGACCTGAAGGTTTTTTTGTTCCGTGGGAATTGCTACTGATATAGATCTTCGGTTAAAGCTATAAAAGAAACTGATTCACTGGCAGAGTTTGTCGATGATGGGGCAACTCCTTTTCCGAGTCCCTTTTATCTTTTTTGTCTTTTTGTCTTTTTTTTAAAGCTATTTCTTAGTTTGCATGCTACATGTATATTAGTGCCCCAAAAGCTTCCGAGAAGTTTGCCAAACTCATTACTTTCAAGCAGCTAGCAACGATTAAACTTTTCTTCAAGTAAAGAACAATTTTCACGAGTAAAAAGTGAGAAAAACTGTGTTAGTACTGGCAATATCCTACTAGCAAGAAAAATATACTCATAGTTTGATCTAATGCACTTATGGAACCTGCAAAAGGGAAGAAAATGCTACAATGAAAATTTTCTATGGACAGAAAGATAGGTAACAATGCCTGTAACAGAGAGTACGGTATGTCTAACAATGAACGAGACCAACTCTGGGAAAATTAAATGTCAAGAATTACATAGAAATAAAAAGTTGTTTCAACATTCGACCACTCATAGAACCTCCAGGTCCTTCACTTTATCACACATAATACCCAACTTTTTTCAATGCCTAATATTATACATGTACGACCCTTTTTGCTTTGCAATATATTAAAGTTTTGAAAAATTTCATTTTCTTGAAAAATCTTGAGAAAGTTGCGGCATAGGTCAGTTTAAGAAACCTTTTCATGAGTTTTGTTCCCAGAGTTAGCCGTTTGGATAGCAAATGTGATACGAAGCTGTACAGATGCTTTACTCTAAACGGATAAAATGAATGGAAGCAATTAGTGATGAGAGATGCAAAATAAGCTTGATGATGATTACTGTTCTCGCTGTTGGAAAAATGTAATGAGCAAACAACTGTTAGTAGCTTAAAGAGTTAAAAACTGACATACTGAATGCTATTCAAGATACTTCACATACTGCAGCCATCTTTGTCTTGCTGCTTGTAGCTACAATGGTAAAAGCATGTGTGATCCTTTGGTATTTCCGGCACCAGACTACATTTGGCAGTACTGAATTTGGGTATTGATTTTGTATACTGATTTTGTGCATATAAATAAACTACATCACTAAGACACATATGAATTGTGAACAGTTTGCAAGGTTCAAATGCAAAACTGGATTTCAATATCATATTTTGTCAATAAAAATCACATGTAGACTTTAGAGAAAACAAAAATGGCTACTGTACGTGCTAAGACAGGTTAGCAGCTTGACATTGATACAAAGAGTAGACAAGATGAAACTTTGTGTTCATGCACCATGGATACCTTCCTGTCCCTCCGCCTGATTGGCTGTTTCATCAGCTGTTTGTTCATCCTTACTTTCCTCCACTGAAGGTTTTTCTTCACCACCCTCTTCAACCTGTGCACTGTCTTTCTCTTCCCCACCCTCCCTTTCGCCCTCCCCCACCGCCTCCCCCTCTGGGACAGGGGGTGCATCTGTTTCCCCGCCCTCAGTTTGTTCACCCTCCCCTTCCCCTGGGGCTTGCTCATCTTCCCCACCCTGGGGTTCTTGACCTTCCTGTGGGGTGTCTGCAGACAGAAATTTGTTACAATTTAAAAAAAACTTCTTGACGTTACACATTCACTTTGACAAGGACTTTGCGCAGATTGCTTTCATTTTCTTAGTTCCAATTACTGTTTAGCAAAATTGAAACTGTGGCTTCTAAGCAATAAGAAACTGTTACTGTTTGGAGTCGCAAAGTGGGTAGCATTGTCATTTGCAGCCTTCGTACAATTCTTAACCCATACCTTGAATTCTCAGGCCAAGACTGAGAACTACTTAAGACATTTTTAAGTGCATAGAACTTTAACAAACATTTTTCCAGAATGGACTTTTTACGATCCAAATGAATACTGTGTTTTTGTTGGCTCTGCAGTTACACAACAAAACTGATGTTACTTAAGTAATTAGTTATATTAATCACTTAAAACTGAAAAATAATTTTCATATGGTATTAAACGTACCACCACTGCTTTGGATGGAAACAATTCATCCTAAATAGGTTTTGTAAAGATACACCAGATACCTGATTCATTATCAAATGCCTTTGATTCCTTACCCTCTGTTGCCGCTGATTCTGCTGCCTCTTCCTGTCCTTCACCACCTGTAAAAACAAATAATGGAAGCTCTACCTTTCTTTCTCTCTTTACATCCCAATATTTTAATAGAATTATTTAGAACATCACTTTTGACATTTTGTTTTGAATGGTTTTGAGACCTTCACAAAATTTGTCACAAATCAGAAGACAACATTTTTTAGGACTAAAACAGCTCTGTCAAATACACAGCTAAACTGGCATTACTATATGGGCAGAAGGGCTGTCTATTTCTGAATAAATTAGGCCCAAAAAAAAGTCTCCGGTTTCTGGTATGGAGCTTGCCCAAAAAGTGGTGCGGCGACGCGGCCTTTTTTTTTTTTTTTACCTGATTTTTTTGCTTCAAATGTCGGCTGATGACTGCAAATGGTGCCCGACTAAACTTAGTGAAAATATATGGGAGTCCAGAGAGGCCACATAAAGCTTATTCTCGACCATAACCTAATCTAAAAACACGTTAAAATTGTGCAGCAGCAGGATTCCAGTCAAACCAGTGAGTTTGGCGGTTTTGAGACATCATCTTTCATTGAAAAAAAAACCTTTTTCATTTTGCCGACGCGCATGGCTACGGCGACGCGCGCGCATAACAGAAACCGGAGCCTTTTTTTTTTGGCCTTAGTATTTGATTATTCGAAACTGCAATAGGCCTAAGTATGTTACAACTGTCAAGGGCTTTAACCTGCTAAAAAGATAGGAACAATGAGCTGTCCTTAACAAAAAAGTTACCGTCGACCAAAAAAGACGGCACCTGATAACAAAGTGCTGCAACTTTACGATCAAAATAACATCACAGTCATGTGTGTATGTGCATAATATTTTTTTTCTTCAAAACTTCGAACCGGCAAAAGCCATTTGAATATTCAGTATATACGGGACAGCCCTTATGGCAAGTACAGAGTTCCCATGTGTTATGTTCCCGGTCTAACATAAATTAATGTTTTGAGTTGTGAAAAACATCCCTAGCAAACATACCTTCATCTGCAGCTTTCTCATCCTCCTGTTCATCGGAAGTTTTATTCACTACAAAGTAAACAAGAGATTATACCATAAAAAGGATGTTCAGAAATTTTTTTTTTGTTTTTTAAATCATCTTTTAATTTGTCCATTAGGTGCAACAACAGAATGGGATACAAACCACACATTTAAACACGTCTACAGATCCCCAAAATCAGAATAATCCAATTTAAGCTTGGATTTTACTCTTTCAATTTTTTTCTTTTTTCCCCCTTCACTACTATAGGTTTTTGTCATTTTTTAACATTATGTGATAATAAACAGTTTTTGATTCTACGGTAAGGATAAAGTGAGGATTCGGTTTTGAGCACAAATCATTCAAGAAAATAAGCACAAGAAACAATTTTCTCCAAATTCGAAGCAGCATGCGCATGAAACAATCCATACTGAACAGCAAGGCCACATGAGATGGGAGTTTTGTTTTTCTTGTCATCTTACTTTCATCTTGGTCTTGTGTCGTATCGTCGGGAACAGTGTCAGCCATGTCCACATCCATGTCTGACAATACACACACACACACAAGGGGTTGTGAGGAGTGAGGTTAGCACACACAATTACCACACCAATATTAACAGGTGAACAAGTAAAACGGGATAAACAGGGTGCAAGTAGACATTGGTGATCAAGATGAGGCCACGTTAAACTGTTGTTAACTTCAGACCACCAGGCCTGGATAGAGGTGCTGAAAGTTAGACTGGTGAACTACAGCCAACCCACGCAGTACCGTGGAATGCTGTATCACACACTACATCCAGTTCATGTTGATAGGACTTTTAGTTTGTACCCGCTCATCACTGTCTAAAACGAACCATATCGTGTCAACTTCAAATGATGGATTTGTAAATTTTCCACTATTTGGTCTGTCAGAAGAAAAATATTCCTATGATATAAAAACGGAGTTCAGTCGACTCTTCCTTTAAATAAAATCACAGAACGCAAGAATTGCAAGTTTTTAAGTTAGTCAGAGTGCAATAAGTACAGTCAGCAGTATTTAACAGAAAGACACTACACAGTTTATCATACTTGATTCAATAAACACAAAGTGCATAAGAGTTGACGACATTAAGGATATTGTGTGACAGACTATTGTGAGAACACGTGAAATGAATACTCGAGTGCATTGTGCTATATCAATAATAGTTTTCATTAAATGAATCCTACTTCTGGTGCATTAACAACAAAATGCTCACAGAACACTGCATAGCCCTCATGCTCAAACCATAAATCAAAGCAGACTTGAGCCTTGATTCTTAAAAACAGAAATGCTTGAATTTCACACTGCCCTACTCAAAAAATTAGAGTTTGAATTTCGGGAGTGAAGTTGACACAGTTCTTTCCTTGTCTTTCACCTCTATGGCCTGGGTTCGAATTCTGCCAAAGCCTACTTTTGGATTGAGTTTCAGTTCCTGCCTGATTTAGTGACTTTTTGTAGAATATTTTTTATCAGATTTTCCTCTCACTTCTAAATTCAACTCTCTACAGGTTTCTTCAGGCTTGCGAGCTGCAGTGCCATGGGCACTTTTGGGGAATCTTATTTCATTACAAGAAATAAATTAATAATATTTGCGTCAGTTGCCTTCTAATTTCACTAAGAACCTTCATACTCTTGTGGTTCATGCAAGAAGGCCATGCAGTGAGCTTCGTGATCAGAGAGTGGGGTTGGAAGAAACACCAAACCGTATACACCAGTTACTGCAACCACAGCATGCAATATGCTCACCTGCGATGGAACCGTCTGTTCCAATCTCAACCTCCGGGAAGAACCTCTGTATCTTCTCCTTAGCATGCTCCTGATTGGAGCTGCCATGGATGGCGTTTTGAAGCACATCCTTGCCTAGCAGGGCCCGTAGGGACTCCGGGGCCTGCTCCTTAGCTAGCTCTGGGTCGGTGGGACCCATGACGGTACGCCAGCCTTCTACCGCGTCCTCTCGCGATAACACCATGATCATTGAGGGGCCACTGATGATGGGTAGGGAGAGAGAAGCCATGAGGGTGATGGGTGGTGGTTGGAGGAGGGGGTAGGTACGCAGGATGTAGTAAGAGTTGTGATAAAGTCATTACAAGTCAATCAAAAGTCACCCAGTCTCAAGTCAAGTCTAGTCACAAGCTATTCACATGAACTGTGACAATTAAAGGCATTCCTTTGTTATTTGTTCTGTTACTCGTGATGAGTTGTGACTAACTTAATGATGGAATTGACTACATTTCTGACCGTAACCAATCCCAAGTTAGGCTGGACGTCAGGCCACAAGCAACAACAAATAAGGTATGCCTTTGTCATGGTTTATGTGATGTGAATAACTTGCATTTAATGACTTAATTGTTATTGACATTCAACTGCATGACTTGAACTGATTAAGATTAGAATTGATTTGTAATGACTGGATGACATCTCTGGTCAGATCTAATCTAATGCTATAAGCTGGGCAATGATATAATTTGGTTGGATGAAATCCAACTTGACCAAACCACACCTTTCCCTCACTTATTACAAAATATATCTGGGTTAGCTCCTTGATACATCCCGTGCATAAACACCGTACGGAGGAAATGAATATGGTAATTATGTAAATAATGAAAGCAACGCTGAAAACAAAAGACACTAATAACAATTTTTTTTAAAAATCAATGTCTGTTTCGTCATGATTTAGACTGCTCACACTTTTAGCAATGCAGAAAAAAAACTCACCAAGCTGTTTCTAAAATCCACATCAAATAATCAATTGATGAAGTACTCAATTTGTTATACAGTTTGACAATACAAAATCATGAATTTTTTTCACCAGCATTACCGCCAGTATACAGTTGGCTGAATTTGCATATTTTTGTATAAATCCCCATTGTGCAGAAGCTGAATGCATTTTGAATTGGATGAAATGTTCATGGACTTCACAATGACATGAAAAAGCATTTGCATGGGATATGCAGTTTGGATAAAAACCAATGTCAAAGACAGAAGGCACCACCAAATTAAAATTTAAAGTCTAATCGTGATGTGCTCTACTATACAGACAAATAGAGATTAAGTTCCAGATGACAATGTTGTAGCAGAGTCTGCCATATTCGAATCGGAGTCTGAAACTGAGTCCTTTCAGTTTAAGTCTTGAGTCCTAAAATTGTGAGTCTGAGTCGGAGTCCTGCTTGTCTGAGTCCGAGTCCAGACTCAAGTCCCATAACACTGGCACAAAAAGCACTTTGAAATGGAAGAAATAACACAAATCTACATGGCTATAGCAACATCTGTTCTAAAGCGATTACAAGTTATTCTCACCTCAAAATAATATTATACACATAAATGGCTGCATTGCAAATTTCAGAAACTGACACAAGTGTATTTGATGTAGTGACCATATCTAATGGTTTGCAGCGATGCAATGCTATGAGAATGATTATTTTTTTCTGCGTGATTTGCGCATGAATCACATCATGAGGACCTCAGTGCATCAGAGTGTTATCGTCAATAAGACACAGCAATCAGAAAATGCCGATGCAGGAATAAAAAAACAACTGAATTACGCATCAAAGATGTCTCAGATCACAACAAAGTTAAAATGCCTCACAGGCAGCGTTTTGTCAAATGTAGATCTGTCTTATATGTCCACACTGGTCTAGATCAACACTTTTAAAGAGTGATGAAATGAATTTTGAACCTGTGGAGATTTAGAGAATAAAACTGAAAATATGTTCAAAAAACGTTTTTCACTGAAAGGTCTGAGAATGTAGATTATTGTGACGGTGACACAGTTGAGTCCACTTTGGTTATTTATAAAGACTGTTGATAAATTCTAACCTGAAATTCCAAACACATTCAACCTATTATCACCCTCATCATTAGCCGTAACGTGTTTGAAAATATGCTCACAATTGTTGGCAAGATATGTCACTTTTGAATTCTGATAATTAAACTAGCATGGCTGACCAAAATTTAGATGACTAGAACTTCTTTCCACTGCAAAGTTCTAGCTGCAATGCCAATGGACAATTCAAGATGTCCCCATAAGCCCCGCCTACCTTTTGTTTGTGTACATTTTTCACTGTGCTTGTGACAGAGTTGGACCAATCCAAGCCACAGTGGACCAAGAGTCGCGATCTAATTGGTCAATTAACACTGATTGACAGGCAGGAAAGGTCCATTATCAACTCACTACAAAACAACAAAACTGCCCCACTCTTGCACTTTTTTCTTTTACTACGAAACACTAACTTCCTGGTGAAGGAAAATACTTCAAGAGCGAGTCTACTGCACCTTGTCATGTGATCCAGCAGACTGTCAAAGAACTCTTTGCCTTCGTGCTCCTTGTAGAGTTGCTCGGCTAGCTCCCTGTCCAGCTCCACGTTCTTCTGACAGGCGATGTTGAAGCCAGCTTCATGAATCTTCTCAATGATGGCATCTGGTCATGATCAAGCAGTCACATTTAATTGCTACACAATTCAAACTTCTCAACCCTTCCTCATAAATCAGGAGGGCTAACAAAATTTCAAAAAAATTCAGAGAAAAAAGTTTTTTTCATAAGTTTTATTTAATTTAAGAAAGTGTTCACCACAAAAACCACAAACAAAAAAGGATTCTCAGCTTCACCGGTTTCAAGTTTCACCAGTTTGCATCCTTCTCACGCCTCACCGCACCCATCCTTAAAACATCGCATCATCGTTGGAATCCCTCATTCTCCTGACGACGGGCAGAGCATACTGTTCGAAATGTTGAGTCCCTCCGGTTCTTTTCAGAACCACACATACTCACAATAGAGATTTATTCACATGGTGCTACCGCAAACTTATCTTGCCTTAAAAAAGGATTTACACGTGATATCTGAAAAACTACACCTACGCTATATTATACAGCCTTCAGTTTGTGGTCCATCCGCCATTACTTCATTTTTTTTTCACTATACATTCCTGTTTGGGGTTTTAGTGGTGTAAAAAAAGATATATTGTTACTGTTCATCCCTTGTTTCTTGTGAATGGACATTTGTTACTTTTGAGTAACTTGAGCTGGACTTGTGATGGACTTGACCAACTACAGTAGCACTGCGTCACGTCAAGAGAACACAGTCTTTGGTTTCTGTTACCTTTGTGTTCGACTGCAGCGTCAGGTTTGATGATGGCTAACGTGTGCTCTGTCGGGAAGAAGTAATTGAGTTCTTTCTGGGCTGACTCTGCCGAATCGCTGCCGTGAACACAGTTGATTGTGGCATCAGGAAGGCTGAACTGAGCACGCAAACTAAAACAAAGACAGAGAAACTGTGTTACCATGAGCAATGTTCTGATTTCAAAGGACCTTTTAATTTTGTTTTGTGCCATTTTTTGTGCTCTCAAATCAAAACTGGGATCCTGAGAGAGCTAAATGATTCTTTTGTCAGCCCTGGTCATCTTTTTTTTACAGATTTAAAAAGAGCACAATCTCAGCCTTACTGCTGTGAAAACAGCATGCTGATACCATCTTTAGTTAAAAAATTATGGAAGTCGGAACACCTAGAGATGTGATGAAGTGATGTGATGAAGTGGCCCTATTTTGGCCTGAATCTCCAAATGAAAGTTCCCGACAAACGACTCATTTAGATTGATCGCATCACAATTGCATACAAAAGAGACTCAATAACAAACACAGCTACAACTATACCATACATTTGGTCATGACCCATTTATAATTTCCCACGTGTGCTATTGTCCCAACTGAAATTGTCCACTGAAATAAGCTTTTGGTGACAGACATACATGAAGTATGATAATTTACAGTACCCACCTATCGGGAGCCTCCTGCTTCGCTACCTCTACCTCCTTGGGTCCCAGCATATTTCTCCAATTCTGGATTGCTTCCTCCTTGGCTAGACCCAGAGCCAGAACAGGACCCCTATATTCGCCAAAAAAAAATAATAACAACAACAGAAATCAATAAATCATAACATCTCCAAGATGCATCAAAATCGACCCGGAGTTTTTGAGAGGATTTTTGCAGGATTTAAAATCCACCCCGAGTTTTTGAGAAGATTTTCGCAGGATTTCAAAGGGTACAGACAAGCAACTTTTTCTTTTCAAGTCAATTCAAAATTCTCAAGACTATTGGATTCATCTTCTGCTGCAACAGCTTGAACTGTGTTTGCCAGGGTTCAAAACGAGCTTGGATCAAGACTGATTTTAGAGAGACTTGCAAGAAGCTTCCCGGCAAAGATGCTGCAGGAACTTTCAGTTTCAAACATGGTACAGTGCAGAGCAAAGGTATGTCACCGTGGAATCACTCACGATGTCATGTGACTGATGAGCTCCTCAAAGTGAGGCTGTCCTGCTTGCTGTTTGTAGAACTCCTTGGCCTGCTCCGCTGACAGCTGGATCTCCTTCTGGAGGCAGACCTCAAAACCTGAGGCTTTGATCTTCTCAAAGATGGCATCTGAGACAAACAAAACCGCACATCTTATTTATATTCTAAATAAAGTTGAGTGACTGATAACATAAATATCAATTAGATCATCATCTTCATAAATCAGAACTTTTGGCCCCTGGTGTATTTATGAACTTAATGCGTGGGAACATTGACCACTATGTCGTGGACAGTTTGTCAAACAAATCTTAGGTTGTGCATGGTTATCTCGAAAAGTGTAATATCCACTGAGCTCAAACTTCAACAGGTTTAGGTTCTGAACTCTCTCCTATGGAGTTTGACTTGGAAGTGACCCTTGACCTACCTTTGTGTTCCTTGAGAGCATCTGGTCTGATGAGGGCCAGAGTTTTCTGGACTTGGGGAGGTGGTCCCGTACCAGGCACGATGGGAACGGCAAAGTTGGGGAAGAAAAATGATAACTCTCTGCAGATTCCAAGGGGAAACAAATAACATTGTACGTTATTGTTTTTGATCGATATATAAACAGACTATACAATAATAAAACCAAACAAATGACCCAGATATTGAAATCTCTGAAAGCCTAACCAACAGGTCTGTTGTCCTCATACATGTACACACGAGTGTCATGAGATCGGGTCAATATATAGTCTAGTTAACAGGGATGTTAAAAATGAACGTTTGTACAGGAATCCTTCAAAAGGCTATGTACACGAGTCAATTACAGTAATTTGTTCCTGATGCGTTTCTGATTGATGATATAGACAGTGTTACAGCTCTGTGATGCTACAGTGTGTCATTACCTTGCTGCACGTTCTCCAGAGTCTGCTCCATGAAGAGCATTCATTGTTGTGTCCGTTCCGTACAGAGCACGCAAACTGCAATTGTACATAAAGAAATAATTAAGCACGAGCCTGTTGCCAGCGCAGAAAATGGCTGTCTCCAAAATAGTCTACAAGCATGTGTTCAGTGCGCGCATGCAGTGTCCCATACAATGCAGCTTTTCTGAGAACATGCAAAATTGTCTAAAAGTATTACTTTATTCTTCTGTATTGAAATACATTAATAGCGCTAAGATGTATGTTTTTATCCCAACCTTTCTGGAGCTTCTTCTTTGGCAACCTGTACATCCTTTGGTCCAATCAGAGCACGTACTTCATGTACCACCCCTTCACCAGTGTCACCTTTGGTTAACACAAGGATGTGACTTGGCCCGCTTGACATGAACTGCACGAGTGAATCAAAGTGCTCCTGAGAATTGAGAAAAGAGACAATTTAAATCACAATGCTTTACAGGGATCAGAAACATTAAAGAATCTGGCATACGAGGTAAATTTTCTCTTTAAAATGTCTCAACTTTAGCTGTTTCTACAGTCATGATGCAGTTAAAACATCCGTATTTACCAAAATATCCTTAATTTTAAAGGAAAAACAAGCAGTATATTTGTTTGATTTGTAGATTCAATATTTAGATAATGTCCTTGAAAAAATGGATTCAAACAAATTATGGACTATGACTTGATATCGGGCTCAGATGGAACTTTCCTTCAACCAAGTTAAATTAAAGGTAGAGTAGATTTTTCGTCAGTTGTGCATTTTTTTCATTTGAAGCAACAAAAGTGCTCAAAATAAAAAAATGTGCTTAACAACCAACTTGATTACGTTTAAGCCCTGTGAATGCTGTATACTCCGAGAAAACAATATTCTAGGATCTCGATTTCAATTCATAAATTTTGAATTGAGCCCGAAATCAGCATCTGGGACATGTCCTCATTCAGCCGATTGCAGCTACGCGATGTCACGCACAGAACCAACGAATAATAGCAACCGCGTGCGCGCACGCATGTGAGTTGCGTCAACGCACACACGCACCCTTTCAGGGATTCACCCAATTACAATCCAACTGCTAACGAAAATTTCCAAAAAATACGTCACTTGGCGCATCTTTCAGCATGCCAAAAAGGGATAATTTCACAGGGAGTTTATTACCAATACTATCTTTAAACCCAGTCAGCTTTTCAACAATAATTTGGTAAGTTATCTTGTGAATAGCTGCTAATGATGTACTCTACTCTGAACCCATTAGTCACTGTGTCACCCCAAACCACCCTGCCTGTTCCTCCTTGTACTATCCAAACTGCCCCAGCATTGTCTGATTGTATACATTCATCAGGGAATAAACACAATGTAATATAATGTAGTACAAGTGCTGATGAGTTGTAAGAAGAAAGTACTGACAATAAAGTCAATGACTAGAAATTGCTAAACTCAAGATGACAAACCTCTTCTTCGTGTTCCTTGTAGAAGTCCCTCGCCTCTTCCACTGATAATGTCTTCTCTTCTTGAGCCAACACCTCCAGGCCATTTTCTAACAACTAGAAAGATTTTTTTTTAAATGTAGTGCTACTCAATGTAAAATAAATGATAATGTTAATGATATGTTAATGCATCTACGTTTCTCTCCATTCATAATTTTTTTGCATCATTGCGCAATTATTCAGGGTTCAATATGCTCAATATAACAAACTCTTTACTAAGCTCCATCGATGGACAGCAATCAGACGAAACAAAATCTGGCAGCTCTGTGTTTTCTTTAAGGGTGAAGAGCTTGTGCAAAGTATCAAGAAATAGAGAAGATTTCGTTTACAATGTATTGTTCTTCTAACAATTGAGAAAAGTGTCTTTCACTTCCGCATTTTCCTTGAAATTTGAGACAAATTTGTTGAGATATATTATTTCAAACTACATGTAGTTTCTAAGGGGCGTTGATTGAAGGAATAAAAAAAGTAAGTTTTGAAAACAAATCTTTCACCATGAAATACACTGAAAGAAAGAGACATAAATATTTCAAAGAGAGAAAAGTGTCTCTACCTTTTGGATAATTTCTTCCACCTTTCCTTCTCTGACAGCGTCTGGTTTTACCAAGACAACAGTAACTTGCTTGGGCACAGGTTCTGTAAAAGTAAAGACCAGAATGACTTGTTTTTGCAAATTGGCACAGTCTTTGTAAAACTGATAAGAGTATTTGAGTTTGGATCAACAAGAAGAGAAATAAAGATGGCAGCAGTATTAGTCTACATTAGTATGCTGGTCTATGACGGCACTGGCAAAAAAAGTTAATTTAAATATCAACATTTGGAAATACACTGTAAAAATTCGAAACAAAGTTTTTATGGAACCAATAAATACAACAGAGATAAAAGAACCGGAACACATGATGTAAAAGGAAGTTAAGGAATACTGAATTAACACAAACAACAAGATGATAGGTTAAGCAATATAAAACACACTTATGTAACAAATGCAAATTCTGCACTGTAAGAAAGTTATTTCTTTTTAAGAGGAAGGCAACATTTTTTGAAAAGGTATTTTAAGGAATACAGTGAAGCAGCAACATTTTATACTATACAGCTTCCTTCAAAAAGATAAAATAAAGACAAAGAACTTTTTAAATAAGTTGTGAAGAAACAAACTAAAACCAAAACTGATTGAAGTTTGTTAAGAAATCTACCAAACCTGATTGAAGTTTAACCACAGATAACAAACTCCCAAAAAATAAACACATAACAAAAACTTCCCTGAAACAAAAAATACTAAATACCTATCAAATTACAAACTGGATTTCAACAGTAACTAAAAACCAGGCCAAATTTCATAGTGCTGCGCTAACACAGAAATTGTGCTCTAAAGCATGCACACAATGCTTGTTTACAGGCATGTGCATAAGCCACAATTCGATGCTGACCTGTAATAAACCTTTGACGTTTTAACACAGATTTTTCTGGCTTAGTTCAGGAGTCACCTCAATAACAATCCCAGAAAAGTTGCAGACAAATCTCCCCAAACAAGCTAATTGTATCTCGCTCACTGATATGGGTCACTGATATATGGTTCTGCCCAGTATAGCAGTGCCTACTGGACTGTTTTACCTCCCAAGATTCCCCAGAATTTCTTATGACTGACATGGACTTTTCTGAGGAAATCTCCTCTGAAACTTTTCAAGAATTGTTGGCTCCATACACAAGAACCCCCTTGATAGTTACAAAGAGCAAGTAGGTAGGGAACACTGAGAGTGACATTAGGAGATGGCCCCTGATGCTCGCACAACGCTACAATGAGTTGGTGCACATTCAGAATAAAATTAGTCGTGTGTATTTCACGTTATTTGTGCATAACTCGGTGCACACGCGATGCGTCCCTCCCACTGGTGCTCCTGCGAATGATAACAAAGCGCCCTCTGCTGTTCATGCACAGAGTCCATTATTGGGTGCGTTTGATTAGCTCACCTGGGTCAACTGGGGTTAGCCCCATGCCGTTCGATTAGCTCTGACGTCATTCTCAGGGTTCACCTGGGTCAGCCACCACAGACCCTGCTCTTGGAGCAGAATCACTGGTGGAAGTACGTCACACACATGTGCTGTTCATTGCAAGAAATGGACGAATGTGGCGGCCAGACAGCAGAAAAGATCAACTTTACTTGAACTCTAAACTTAATAATTTGTTGATCTTATAGAGGCTATAATTCCAGCCAGATGTTGGTACTTTTTCGACTGATGGAAAAGCAGTAAATCTCTAAGTAAGACTCAGTCCAAAAAGTTTTGTCAATGACTACGGCCACGGCTACAGACATCACATTATGGCCTGCATTTGAGCATTGGATTAGCACGGCTTCTGTGGCTCACCGATGGATCTGACTTTACCCGAGTCGACCCGGGTGAGCTAATCAAACGTACCCAGAGACATGATTCCCAAGCGGCACCGTGAAACTTGGCCCAGTACCTGTACCTGTTCTAGCCCTACTGATCTGTCCCTGTACACCAGTAACCATTAGCTGGAGGGTGTTCTCACTGACTGGCCTAATGGAGACATCCTCACATTTCTCCTCCCCACAGAGTATTCCCCCTACTGTAGGGATGAAGGTAGGAGGTGCAGGAGTCAGGTGTTAGGGTGTGGGGAAGAGGGAGGGGTTAGGATTGGGGGAGGGGATAGGATCAGGAAGGGTGTAGGATCAGGAAGGGTGGGGCCAGTGGTCTCACCAGGCATCCTTAAGAGCGGAAAATTGAGGAATTCCCCCCCTACTGAAAAAAAAATGTGCACCGATTTCGCAAAATCATGTGTCATATGGAAAATAATAATCATTCTTATTTCTCCCACTCTTATACAGAAAAGTTGCTCCATCATTGATTTTGTCAATTTGAATTTTCCCCTATCCTGAGTTAAAAAAAACCTGGTGAGATCACTGAGTGGGGCTATATGATAAAAAGGCACACTAAAAAGGGAGTGTAGGAGCTAAAGTCTTTATGGGTGATGAAACACATGGGAAGAAAGGTCTCTATGAATGAGCTTGTAGGTTAAATAGGTTGAAACGTTGACTAACTACACTGAATTACTTTCTCAGGTCGATAACTAATACCCCAACTGTACTGGTATATGTACATGTACATGTTAAAAACAGGGTGTCACTGAGACACTAAGACAGATAAACTAAGAACGATACTGACAAGGTGTCACTGAAGTGGTGAAAGATCACAGCCTTACAAAAAGAACACTGAGAAAGGGGCATTTAAGAAACTTTTATAGTCAGACACATACATTAAGAATGAGTATATATGCCTACAACATCAAAGGTTACAAGTCACATGGAGAAGTCTCTAACTCATGAACTTTTTAACTGATAACCCTGTGCCCCAATTTTTAACTTGCAACCATTTCAATTTGCAACACCTTTCATCATAATGGTCCATCCTTTCTGCCTGGCTATCTTGCCTAATGAAAAGACAAGAAGAGAACTAAGGTAAGAATGTATGTCTTACTCTGAGCCTCTTCGTCCAGTTTGCGTTGCTCTGCAGCATCCGCCTCGGCCGCTGCCTGTTCCTTAGCCTCCATGGCAGCCATCAGTGGATCTTTGATCTATTTGTACGAAAGAGCGTTAACGAGGTAAAAGTCGACGCATTTCCACAGTTTTTCTTCTCTTTTATGTTTTATTTTTACGGCCAGAAAAAATGGAATTTTGTGAGACTTTAAAAAAAAAAACGGACTTCCTGTTAAAACCCGAAAAATAGCATCTCTGAGCCTAAAGTAAAAGCGGTTATTAAGAGGGTTGCAGATGCCCAAAAAACTATTTCATTAAAAGAAAAATGTCACAAGGTCAAAATACTAAAATGTCAGGGATAATCGATAGATTTAATGATACGTAGCAGTGAACTCACAATTTGAATAGTGACTCTGCTCGACGGAATCGAATCCCTATATTAGTTGATTCCTGTTCCCCATGATTCAACGACAGATAATGTAGTTCTGCCTGACAATGTAGTTATGAATTGCAAACCGTCACTCACCACTTTGCGTTCAGCACCCTCTTCCAAGACTCTGTGCTCAGCGGCCAGCTGGGAAGTGATAGACTTGTTGAGACCCGGTCCATTGGCCCCTCGGACCACGTCCACAAGCTGACCGCTGCCGTAGAACAAAAAGCATGGCTCGCAGTGACCACGGTACTTCTCCAGATTCTCGATGCTGTCAGCTTCGGCCTAAAACAGGTTGGTAAAAACATATAGACCTAATTTTGTGACATCATATTGCAAGTTGCACTTAGCCCATGCCAACACATACAGGTGGTCCCAAAATAACGGAACGGCATACTTCCACTACCTTGAGACTCAAACCACCTGTAACAAATGATGGAAGATCTTTTAGAAGATATATGATACCAAGATCTCCCAATTCAGCCCAGTAGTATTTGCTGCAGAGCCTATTTTGTGAAACACACATCTTTCATGGGGCAATAACTATCAATTTTAGTCAAATTCGCGGGCGCGGTTTAGTAATTCATCAAGAAGAAATGACTCCCAACTTTGTTTCAGAAAATAGGCTCTAGAACAAAAAATACCGGACCGAATTGGGCAATTTTGGTATCATCTTTCTTTTCAACACAATTCCCTACGCATTGGTATACGTCGGTTGAGTCTCAGATTAGCAGAAATATGCCGTTCTGTTTTTTTTTTCCCCACTCGGTATAGTCCTTTTCGAATACTACGCTGCCTCTCAATTTGACATTGCAATGCTCTCTGAGGCCATGAAAGCAATACTTAAAGTCTTACAATGTTGGGTTGGACCCAACTTCTACTTTAAGGAAAATAACTACAACTCAACCACTAAGCTTGTCTGGGTCAACTGGCTGGTTTGAATCTAATAAACATCTGTGAGAAAGGAGCAAAGGAGGTTTTTTGCAACGTCTCCCCTAACTCTACATCTCTTATCCCCCTCCTCCAATTTTGGAAACATGTAAACATAAACCTGAAAAGAAAAAGTACCACCAACACTTAACTTACAAGACTGATTTCATCTTGGATGAGAGACATTTCAAAAGATTTTGGGTTTTTTATGAGCACTGTGGATCTAAACCATTTGATCTTACAATAACAAACTTGAGCAAGTCATCTCCAATTTCATTCTTCAGGCGTTTGAAGAGGCTGACGACGGCAGTGCAGGGACCACACCATCGCTGGTACACGTCAATAACTGCCATGAAAACAACACAAAAACAGTCACATTTTAATTCCATGAGTACAATAGGCTATGGCTGAAATAAATAGGACTTAAAATTCATTCCTACATTATGTCTTCCATTTTGTATTCAATAAGCCCTTTGCGAGTGACCTATACCCTTTGGGATTTAAGTTTGAAAAACGTCTGGTACATTGACTTGCTCAGAATGCTTGGCACATTTGAACTTTGAATTCTCCAGACCAAAGACACTGTTGCTAACCACATGACTCAGGGCAAGCTCTTGCATAGATACATTGTTCACAATGGGTGAGAATGGCACAAAGACACCAGACCAGGAGCTGGGGGTTGCTAGCATACCTAAATTCTCCGTTTTTTTTAAAGAATCATCAGCAGTTTACACGGGTTTTATCACTTTTGAGGGTCCTAAAACTGAGACTTTCAGGTTCAGCTTAATTAGACCATACTAGTCGTGCTTTTTTTCAGAAACTGCCAAAAAATATAAAAAAAGAAGTCTCTTTTTCACTCACCAAATAGACCTTCACCAACCATGAGATCATCCCATTGCTCCTGGTTAGTCACCGCCCTCTGTAGAGCAACTGCCTCTTTCTTGGCAGGCATCTTGGAAACACTGTCTCTTCTTGATATTCAAACTATAAAAAGAACAAAATTACAAAATAGGTAAATTAGATTCTAGATAACTTTTTCTGAATGTAAGGGTATTACGTCACTGAGATGCTTTACTCTAAATTTACAATAAAATTAATTAAATCTGGTAACCATCTTTACACCTAAACTATTCACGTAGTTAATGGAAAAATGATAAATTATGTATTGAAAATGATAAATTACACATTAATTTCACATTATATCAACACCCGATTTCATGAAACTCATCCTAACTTGCAATGCATCACAGCACTGCGACGTGTCCTGCGATTCCTATCACAAAACATGTTTTAAGTACGACACATCATAGGTGTATTTATAGCACAATACGGTGACTGTTATGTATTTATTCAACATACAGTAAATAGTCATCTGACATTCAGCAAAGAATCGTCAGATCTCCTCTCAAAAAGTTTTTTAAAACGTCAAACAAAATGACAGATGTATGATGCAGTTTCAAAGAAAACAAGCCCATGGTGGACTGTTATCCACTTTAAAATTTCAACTGTAATATTCCATGCTAATTATATTTACTTCGATGCATTTTCCATTTACAACTTCACATACATTGTCTCTGAATTATAGTCTCATTTATTTAATGAGAAAAGACACTTCTTATTTTGCGATGACCAAAAGACACATTTTAAACCATTGTCAAGGAACTTACTATGCATTCAACACATTGTACGTTTTGTGAAATGGATCGTACGACTAGTTGCAAATTGCAACGAGTTACGCATCGCAACTTGAGTTACGATGTGTCACAGCGCTTCGTGAAATTGGGTGCAGGTCTGATATTTCTGTTCTGCCCATTTAGTTTTCTACAAACTTAAAAGAGCTTATGTTGACAAGATTTTCCTAATTCATTTGACCTCGAACTTGAGCAAAATCAAAGAAAAAATGTGAAAAATATAGTTGGAAATGTAACTTAGTAAAAAAAAAAAAAGTTTTACGTTTCATATTTAATAATAATATAAATTCAGAGGGGCTACTGCTGTTCTTCTTCACTGTAGTTTCCACACACAAACATTGACAAAATGTTTATGTACAAAATGGTTTAAAAATGTTGGTTAATATAAAAAATAATCAAATAGTATTATTTAACTGATTAAATATAAAGCACATCAACAATGACGTTTTGTAAAACGACGTGTCATGCGAAGGTCGAGGAAAATTCCGAATCTCCCTAGCCTGCCTGGCTGGCAAGGCCACCTTGTTTATCATGTTTATCGCAGGTAAATTAGGCCTAACGTTTACATGGACTAAAGCTTTCGAGTCAACTCGTACCTTGGGCAACTCGTACCTTGGACAACTCGTACCCTGGACAACTCGTACCTTGGACATCTCGTACCTTGGACAACTCGTACCTTGGACGACTCGTACCTTTAATTAAGACGACTCGTACCATCAGAATAAAAAGTAGAGTACGTGAAAGCACAGTGTGTGGTTCTTTGACTCCGAAACGATACGATTCTTTATTTTTATCCCACAGAACCACATTCAAGATCTAATGGCTTTGCCAGGCAGCGTGATTTTCCGCGTTGGGCCTGCCGCAGGCATGGCCGGCAGGGCAACGAAATTGACTGCCGGGCTGGCCTCCGAGGGCGCGAGCAGCGGTCGGTCGTGCGCGGTACCGATGCCGATGACTCGGAAGCGGCCGGCCTGCGCGGCGCGCGCGGCACTGCCATTCTGTTTTGTATGGAATTACATGTACTTGTACATTCCTTGTGCATATTCAACGTTTGATTCGGTAGCTAAGACAACTTGTGAAATAAATTTTAATATACTTTTTTTTTTTTATTTTTAGGGCTCATGCCATATTTTCAATGGGGAGCGCCAATAAAATCCTAAAATCATTCACAATATATTAACTAATGCACCCTTGTCACGGCTATTTCTTCTTTAGGGGGAGACAGTTCGCATGTACATCACAATCATTCTTTTTGCTAATGCAATTTTTTTACGGAATTTTTTTTGGGGGGGCTAGACAAACATTTTTTTTCTGGGGGGGGGGGGGGCCCCCCCCCCCCCCCCCCCCCCCCCCCCCGTAGAACCGCGCCTGAGCCTAAGTCTTTAAATGTAACGGCAGACTGCATCAAAAATGTCACCGTGCACACCGTCCATATTAACAGTTCAGCGCGGCGCAAGAACCGTGTAACTTTGCACGGATGGCTACCGTAGGTTGACCGCAAACGATCGCGTGGGCCTGTGCATGCCGCGCACACAGTGCGTGTAACCTGCCGCGGCCGGCTTCGCGCTAAATAAATTCCTCTTTTGGGGGGAAAGAGAGCCCATACCAAAAAGAGATTCGCCTTTATTTTAATAAGCAGTCCACTTTCAATGAGTTACGGTCCACTTTATTCAGCCTCGGATCATTATCCTGACTGACGGTACGACTTGACTTACGCGTGATGGTACGAGTCGTCTTACTTGAAGGTACGACTTGCCGAAGGTACGAGTTGTCCAAGGTACGACTCGGTATAATGAGTCGAGTTGAAGGTACGAGTTGTCCAAGGTACGAGTTGCCCAAGGTACGAGATGACCTGTTACCGGACTAAACTGCAAAACGTCAGGGAGTGCAAACGGAAAATCGTGCAAACATATGAAGTCGTAACTACATCTTAGAAAGCTAACATTTTCCTAATTGCCTGACTAAAGAATGTTAAAAGACCTTTTCATTCATAAGTGAGCCTGTTATAGCTTCGACTACTTTTAAAACGAACAAAATATCTTACATTTCAGAGGCTAAATCTGAGCTGAAACAGAGCAGAATGTGTTTATACGACCACGGTTTGTTGCTTAGTTGAGTCACGTGATCAATTTGGATTGTTACACTGGGTTCCCAGGTAAAAATTACAAACATGAGGGGCGCCCCAGAATCGAGTTTTTATATTCAGCCAAATTCGACCTCGAATGGTTGTTTAAATCAGTGCAGTGATTAATGCAGGCAAAATAAAATTTCTATAGATGATTGGAATATGATTATTTTTATTTGCGGTATAAGATTATCCGTCCCCTCTTAAATGTTGCACCCCTGTCTGTTGCGACTTTGATGACTCTACGTCGACAAACTTTCTTCACATGAGGGCGCTTTGCAAGTTTATACAGTCGAATTACTGCAAAAAATAATCTAGTTCAAGTTGGTGCTCAAGGCACAGGCAAAAAAAAACAACTTAATGCACCATCTTTCACTTTCTGTTCAATTATATTTGATTTATCTTTTTGGGTCTCTTAACCATTTAGAAAACAAAATAAATTAATTTATAACTCCCCAATCCGATAAGATGCTATTTCGAGTTTCGCCCCCAAAAATAGATTTAGTTTTTGTCAATTGCTATTTTCCAAGCAATATATAATTTAGGCCTATTCAATTTTGAATGAGACATCAAACGAGAAAAAAATCACCGACGTTTATAGTTATTTAATGATTTCCTTACAAAATTCGCTATATTTGCAACTCAACAATAATTCGGCTCCAGCATGCAGGGCGAGTTTATTAGTGTGCATGTATGCAAAATGTGACCTTTCAGAGAGATTGCAAACGCCCAAACTCGGAAAAGGGATGTTTTTTCTCGTTAAAACAAAACATACAAATTGAAAATTCGATATAAGACAAATCTCTCTTTTTTTGAAGAGCACGGGAACCCCATTCCTAAATTGAAAATGATTTTGGGTTCTTTATCCCAAATCTCAGAAATACATGCCAAGATTGTGTGTCAAACTGGAACCCATTTGGCATCCATGTATCTATCTACTCATGACGAACGGTGCCTGGATTTTCTCCTTCTTTATTTAGACCCTTTTTTTTTAGCTGTGGGCGAAGTTCGGGAAGGAATTGCGTGGATAGTATGGACTTTTACAACCAACTTGCTATGATTAGTGGCGGCGGGTTGTTTAGAGCTAGCTAGAGGACAGCATCAAACAAGCTGCGCCGGTAGCTCATCTCGCAATGGCGCTGTCCTGACTAGACTCCTGGCCAACTTGAACTTGGGAGAGGCGAGTAAAAGCTTGATCCCCGCAGGGCGTAACTGGGGCTGGGACCGTGCCGTTCGCTTTTGCCCCAACCGAATTTTGGAAGGTGAAATTAACTTTTATTGTTAAAAAACAAACATCGAATGCCCCTTACAGATAATTGGACCCTACGGTACGCCATTTGAATTGGCGCACCGCGACTGAAAATTGTCTTCTTCTTGAGTTAAAGGTGAGGCGTCTGGACGATGCATACATAACCGGAGATTGTCTTTTGACGTCACGGCCATGGGTAGATGTCCGAAAGCCGGTTCATATACTTGTCAAAGCGAAGCGAATTTAAAGGAGAACGTTACGATGAAACTTGGTGAGATGATGTATAGTGCGAGGTTAAAGAAGAAAGCCAGTACTATTATTAGTGATAAGTTTCATCCGGCAAACGAGCTTTCTGAGTTATGGAGATCAGGGAAGTGTTATCGAGTAATCAAGTGCAACACAGAAAGATTCAGAGGAAGTTTATCCAACCGCACTGAGTAACTTGGGACTGAATTTGTTTTTACCATTTTAAATACCTCTTCAATTTTAATTATTCTGAATGCCATTTTAAAACCATATTAGCAGCAATTAATGTTTAATATACAATCTTTGTGTGTTTCTTTAATGATATTACTTATTCATCCATTATGTATTTTGATGTTGTAATGAGCACAAGAACCACAGTGATTTACCTGGTATAATAAATCAATCAATCAAATTCACTTCTCTTTTGCTTTCCGCACGTGAAGAATGAATTGGCCTTCACGCGCACAAGGTGGCGACTGGCCTGAAGAGGGTACCGTGGTCTGTTATTAAACTTTTATTTTAAACTTGAAAATTATTTCAGTGCAGAATCAAATCGGGATGATTTTTTCTTCTAACGAATTTGTTAATTAATAAACAGGGCCAACAAATATTAGCGATTGTCGCTAAACTTTTCTAAGTCAACTGGTTACAGTAGTATGTTTCATTTCCTCAAAATCCTACTGTTGTTTTTTTTCTTTTTAGGACCTGCAACCCCGCTCCGCCGAATTGCTTTTGCGCCTCTATAGTATGGAACGCCAAAGCCGCCTTCTATAGTTCGATTTCATTCCATAATCAATTTCATCATTCCATTCGGCGATTCCATCATTTCATTCGGCGATTCCATCATTTCATTCGGCGATTCCATCATTCAATTCGGCAATTCCATCATTCCATTCGGCGATTTCATCAGTCCATTCGGCGATTTCATCAGTCCATTAATCAATTTCATCATTCCATTCGGCGATTTCATCATTCCATTCGGCGATTTCATCATTCCATTCGGCGAGTCCATCATTCCATATCGGCGTTCATTCGTCTATTTCGCATTTGATTTAGCCATTCTACATTTCATTCAGCAATTTCGCCCCTTTTGCACTTCATGCTATTCTGCATTTCGCATTCCATGCAGCTATTTCGCATTTTATGCAGCTATTCCGCATTTCATTCGGTCCGGCAGCGTCCATCCGTACGGAAGCGTTAAAGGGATATAACACAAAGTAAAAAAAAAGAAAGAAAAAAGTCATAATTAGGACTTATTATTAAGTCATTGTTATGACTTATATCTTATAATAATGACTTAGTGTGAAGTCATAATTATGATATATATCTCATAATTACGACTTAGTAATTGTTAAATCATAATTATGACTTATATCTCATAATTATGACTTATTATTAAGTCATATTTATGACTTATATCTTATAATAATGACATCATTAAGTCATGACTTATATCTTATAATTACGACTTAGTATTAAGTCATTATTATAACATATAAGTCATAAATAAGACTTAATTGAGATATGTCATAATTATGATTTAACAATAATTTACTAAGTCGTAATTATGATAAATATCATATTATTATGACTTAATAGTCATTATTATAAGATATGTCATAACAATGACTTAATAACAAGTCATAATTAAGACTTTTTTTTGTTAACTTTGTCTTATATCCCTTTAACGCTTCCGTACGGATGGACGCTGCCGGACCGAATGAAATACGGAATAGCTGCATGAAATGCGAAATGGCTGCATGAAAAGCGAAATGCAGAATAGCATGAAGTGCAAAAGGGGCGAAATTGCTGAATGAAATGTGGAATGGCTAAATCAAATGCGAAATAGACGAATGAAAGGATGAACGCCGAATGGAATGATGGAATCACCGAATGGAATGATGGAATCGCCGAATGGAATGATGGAATCGCCGAATGGAATGATGAAATCGCCGAATGGAATGATCAAATTGCCGAATGGAATGATGAAATCGCCCAATGGAATAATGAAATTGATTATGGAATGAAATCGAACTATAGAAGGCGGCTTTGGCGTTCCATACTATAGCACACAAAAACATCCACTCGAAATCTCGAATGGCTACAGTTATTAAAATCGAAATAGTAAGTTTTCCATCACTATAACAACGGTGGATTTTCTCATTCGGTGTCTCATTGAAAATATAGATAACCTTTTATTGCTCAGAAAACAATAAGCCTATTCTTTCCTCTTTGGCCTAATTGAAACATCAGTGCAATGGAAATTTGTGGTGAAACATGAATTGAACAACAAACAAACATTATTTTATTATTATAGCCAATAATTTAGCCGGGGCGGATCTAGCTTTCGGGAAACGGGCTGGGGGGTGAGTGAAGCACTGTGTAGAGGTCGACCCGTGAGTGAAGGCGTGTCGAAATGATGCTCGGCATTCGGGCTGTGTTTATCGAGAACACATTATTCTTCATGATGGTATTATCCACGGAGCCGGTCTCCTGTATACATAAACTAGGTTCGGGCATGCCCCCGCCCCCGGGAATTTGTAAATGCTTTCCTGAGTTCCTTCCCCTTTGCCCCCTCACTGTGTACACGCTCCAGTGAACATCCAGCATCCCTCAGTCAACTTGCATCCTTTTCAGCTTCACCGGTTTCGAGCTTCACCAGTTTGCATCCTTCTCACGCCTCACCGCACCCATCCTTAAAATATCGCATCATCGTTGGAATCCCTCATTCTCCTGACGACGGGCAGAGGATACTGTTCGAAACGTTGAGTCCCTCCGGTTCTTTTCAGAACCACACATACTCACCAAAGAGATTTATTCACATGGTGCTACCGCAAACTTATCTTGTCTTAAAATCTTTTCTCCTGCATTCGAAGGCAATTTGAGAATTAATATAGGAACTTTAGAATTCCATTTATTTTTGGCCCCATTTTACCAGTACGAGGGGGTTGCAACCCCCGGTACCCCCCCCCCCCCCCCCGATCCACTGTTATTTAGCCATGTTATAAATGAAGCCAATGTGGAGTGCAACCTCCAAAAACGCTTCATTTTATGGCGGTTTACGCAAGAGCCCTCCTCAAAATGTAAAAAAAATGGCAAGAATGCGGATCCCGTGTTTACTACATCGGGCTACATCCATCCAAATTGGCTGCACATGTTTTGACACCCTATGCGATATGCGGCAAACTAACATCTCGGCGGATGCGGTCAAAAGTCATTGCAAACCTCCCTCTTCTCCTGGCTCCCTGCTGTCAATACATTGCGGTGCGTGTGGCCGGCCACCAGCGATGTGCCATTGCATGCACGCGCGCACGTACCGTAAATACACGAGAAGGCTCATTGACTGGCGTGCATACCAACTAGGTTAGTGATCATGCTTGCATTTTTATTGTGATGTATTTTCAATCAACATTTGAATGTTTCCCATTTGTCATTATAGCCTTACCCATATTCGTGGTTTTGATTTTGTTTTTTTTAAGCAATGAATTCGAGCCAAACATTGTGAATTATACCTCCAAGGCTCCAGCTACCCAGCCCCAAAAGAACTGTGTTTTGTGTACATTCGGCATTCCTTCGCTCAGCATGTTCAGTTCTATTTCTAAGTTGGAGCACGGATCTTCTAAGCTAGCTTGAAATTTCCAGTTTTCTAGGCTCATGACATGGGGAGATTCGCCAGGATCTCCCCGTGTTATGAGCCTAGAAAGAAAGCTGGAAATTTCAAGCTAAGTTGGAGCATGGAGGTAGAATTAGAGCAAGGCTCTATCCTATCTGCCTATGGTTCTACTAAATGTACTAATAATCTTATTCCTCGGTGGCTGGTGGTGGGGGCGGGGGGGGGGGGGGGAGGTGTTATTACTCAGTATTCTTTCCCCACATGAACAAGGCTCAAGGCTCAGTGTAATTTGTTTCAAATCTTTTGTTATTGACAGCTGAAATTGGCACTAACATCACCCACCAAGAAGTCTGAATACCACCCGTACAGTCATGAGTAGGGGAAAGAAGAAACTCAACTATGAACAGCAACTGGACAAAGATGGCAACCTTGGCCCCGCCCTGGTCATGGTGGGTGAGGATCTGGATGAGATTCCGACCATCGATAACAACCAGAGCCGGCGAGTGATCGGTGTCAACGTCAGCAACAACAAGATCAGCGAGCTCTCGGTTCAGCTGAAGGGCTTGAAGAAGCTGGAGTTCCTGATTCTCTCTGGGAACCTGTTCACGACTCTGCCTCCCATGATCGGCCAGCTGGCTAGCCTTCGTTCCCTCAACCTGAGCAACAACCAGTTGTCTACCCTGCCGGAGGAGATGGAAGATCTCGATGAGCTCCAAGAGTTGATTCTAGACAGCAACAAGTTTGATGTCATCCCACCGGTTCTCTTCAAGATGCCCCGTCTCCGAGAGCTCCACATGCAGCACAACAACGTCCAAGTCATCCCGCCGGAAACCACCAAGATGGTGGGACTCCGGATCCTGGTGTTGGACTACAACAAAATCACCACCGTTCCCGCCGAGGTGGGCCAGATGAAGCTGCAGGAATTGTGGGTACAGCACAACAAAGTCGAGACGTCCCCCGACGATCTGAAAATCAGTAAATTGAAGCTGCACGACAATCCAATAGACCCCATAGATCAACCTTAGATCTAGGCTCGTGAGCCTCGTGTGCAATTGTGCATGTATTCCCTTCGCTGTGCCTTACTAGAAGCATGGCTTATACAAAAATTATTAAAGTGTACTGTTTTAGTACTATTTAGGTATTCAGTAGCGATTTTCAATTATTGAAATTGTAATAATGTTTTTGTATTAGTGTGGCAAAATGTTCAGCAACTCATAATGTCAACAAATTTGTGGAACCTAAAGTATTTTTTGCTCTGTTATCCAAGCTTTCTTCAGTACTTAATCTTTAATGTGAATGTGGCACTGCATACTTACTGCTCTAATTTACAACAATCATGCAAGCATAAACATCAGAAACGACAATTTTAATGATCATTGATTAATTGTTCTTGGAATTGTAACCAAAGCATTGTAATAATCGATACTAATAATGACACTGCAAAGAAAAGTTAAGAATCCATCTAAATTAAAAAAAAGACCTTGTTTTTGATTGATGTTTAGGGTTATGGGATCAGCTCATACACATGTACTAATTCTTAATATTGACAGTTTTGACCTAAAATAAATGGCATGGTTGCAGTACTGGCTGCTATTCGAGCCATTCAGCCAACCCCGGCAAGCTCAGAGGTCGAGTGGCAAGACATCTGGACACAATTTCATGGCTCTGCTGACCACAGAATTTGGTGCTTACGATCACCATTTTAGAAAAATTATGTGCTAACCCTGTCGGCACAGAATCCTTAGTTACAGGATGTACGCATGCGCAGAAGCCAACATATCTCGCTAACCCGTGAAATACGCTTACTGTAAGTACAGAATTTTGCTGCTACAGTAAGCAGGGATTTTTCGCTAATGGTAAGCAGAGCCGTGAAATTGGGCCCTAGTAAGCAGGAGTTTGTGAATTATTTTCTTGTAATACATTGGACAACACTGAGTATGCAGTATTGTATAAAATACATACATGTACATGTACGTTGGTGAGGGGGAAAACCCAATATTGAATAACAAAAAAAGGGGTTGGAAATTATTTGAGAAAATATACATTTTTTGGTAATCTTGCATATTTTGAATTGAAAGGTGTGGAGTTTGATACGTTTAAACTTTCTCAATCACACTGTATGTTTTAAGTAATCTCTACCTGTCTTCAAGTATTGCAGAAGCCAGAAAATGTGATATCTTTGGGGGCTTTTAAGCCAAAATATATTGACTGTTTTTGACCAAGTGTTGAAATGTTAAGTCTGAAATTCTCAACAGTGTTGGAAAACGTCATCGCAAAGAACGTGCATTCGTAATTAGTAGGTGTTTACTGTTGGTAGCTGTATTCAAACCCTAATTCTTGATGTAAAAAGTATTAAGTAGGCAAAATTTTTCGCACTGCTTTGGGTCGACTGGGAATTCACTTCTAAAGCTTGGTGTGTCGGTGTGTTTTTAAGCAGTGTGTTTTAAGTGTGTTTTGTTTGGCTGAAAACAAATTTGTTTGTATATATTGTTTTATGATATACGTGTACACATAACAGCATTATGCACCTCTGCAAGCCAACTCTATGTACCCTTATTTGGCAATGCAGACTTGGAACGTTTGTTTTTAGATTGGAAAGTTTCCTTTCCTTAAAACGTATTTTATGGACATCGCTGCATTTACGTAGATTGGAATAGTGTCAACATTACAATGGTGCTGTTGGCACAAAAGCTGTGTCGTAAAGCAGTTTTTTTCAGGCTGAATGGAATACCATAGGTATAGATTTGTAGTGTGAATGTTTGTTAAAGGCTTGGCCCTGGATTAAACAACTGTACACACAAAGCCTTTAAAAGAGGGCTTGTAAAAATACCCTGACCCCAAAATCATGGAAGGAATTACTCTTGCGTAAATTCTGGAGCAAACCTGTAAAACTGACTAGTGTGCATTTTTGAAATGCATATTATGTACTTTCGTTTTCACTAAAAATAAACTCAGGAGCTTATTTTGTGCTGTGAAATGTGGTGCTGCATACATGTACTGTATGTTTACAAGAAATAATAGTAAACGTGAGCCGGACACAATATTAGTTCTGTATTTGGGAACAAATGCTTTACTTTGTGGCACATTGCAGATGTACAAAGTAGGCCCTTTTCACAGCTTTACATACCGAGTGCAGTCGTGCATATTGCGTTACCGAACCAGTGAACCCATTTTTTAGGAAGACCGGTTTCCGTTTTAAGTGAACAACAAACATTTGGCTTAACATACTTTTTTGGTCTTAATACTGTTGAATTGGGTTCATTGTGAACTATTAATAGGTTGGGCCCTGGGATCAGACTATGCAATCCCCTGTGCACATGCGGCAGTCAAGGAACCAGTCTTGATGGAATCATTTGTACAAGTAGTGTATGAAATACAAAGATAAAATCTGTTTTGTTGACAAAAATGAAGTAATGGGGAAACCTGGGAATTTTTTTATTTGCCCCAGGGTTTGGAACTAGGGATTGGCAGGCACATCTGCTGGAAATCAAACCCATCTGTTGCAGTTTGTATTCACTCGCGCATATGTTATGAAATAATAGAAGTACTACATAAGCAATTATTTGAACAGCGTTATGCTAAACTGATATTAATGCTTTGAAAAAAATAAACCTGTCAAACTGGTTGAGATATATTACACAGTGTGAGTTGTAAAGGACTTTTGTTGGGTGTCGTGTGTAAAATAGGGAAAAATGTTGCAACCTGACACCACTTTTTTCTTCATATATCATCTCAATGAAGGTCATTCATTGCAAAAATGATGATACATTGTATATGTAAGACATGAATCTGGGACTGAAAAACATTTCCAATTTTGTTAGGAAATACTTAGAAAATTTTCTTTACTCTCCATAGACTTTGCACACAATCGCGGAAGTGGAGTCAGGTTGCGACATTTTTTCCCTAAAATAATGTAGTATAATGTTTCATATTAATTCATTGACAGATAAATTTGCTAGAGAATTTCAGCCCTGTCCCACCCTCGCCCAAAATGAATAAATGATCAATTAATTATTCAGTGAACCAACCAAAAGTTAATTTAAAGGACAACAAATTGACCATGGGGAAATAAAAATCAGTAGATAGAAAACTTGAAACATCTTTGCTGTAAGCCAGTTTGAAATAATTTTCATGACCATCGTTGAAGACTGTTGCACTGAAGTTGGAATGTTCAGTCTTTCTATGTCTGGATTATTCAGGGTTACCACAGCTGTGGGAAACATCCTTGAAAATCCAGGAACTTAAAGCTTTCATGGAAAGTCATGGAAAAAGTCATGAAATATTGGGGGTTTTTTTACGTTGATAAGGCCACAAAAAAAAATAAGTCGGTCTCTGGTCAGCGCGCGCGTCGATTTTAAGCATGCGCGTCGATCTTTTTTTTTTCCAAAATGTTCCGCGATAGCTCCAACAGCGCCCTCTATTTCCGCACCTCCTCAATTTTTTTTACCAAAGAGCACCAAGGAATGGGAAATTGCACCAAGGCAAATGATCAAATGCACCAAGGCAAATTATGGAGGACACCAATGTACATGAGGACACCAAAAATGTAAAATAGTACCCACCTTGTCTGTACAATCCAAGCTTGAAGAAGAAAAAAAAAGCAAAAAAAAAAAAAAAAAGCCGCGTGGCCTTGTCAATTCCGGAACTTTGGTCTGACCAGAGACCGAATATTTTTTTTTTTTGCCTAATCCAAGAAAACAACCCTACACAACCCATACGTGATGGTGTAATATTTTAATAATAATAAAGGGTATTTATAAAACGCACATATCTTCCAGGACTGGTGCTCAAGGCGCTACATCATTATTACCCCTGCTCATGGGGCCCATGAAACATTCCAAATACCATCTCAGCTCCCTGGGGAGTATACAGCTCGATGCAGCCTGTTAGCTAATTCAATCACAATAACCATCTCTGCCCTCACAGGTACCCACTTACTCCTGGGTGGAGAGCAGCAATGACTGACAAAGTGCCTTGCCCAAGGGCACACGCACCATCACCCCAGGCTGGACTCGAACCTACAACCTGCAGCTTTACCTGCAGACCACAAATCCAATGCCCTTAACCACAAGGCCACAGCACTCTAACCATCATTTAGTGCATAGTTTTAGTGGCGCTCAGAGAGCGTTGAAGTACGGTACCATGAAATGCAAGGAAGATGGTGACAAGATACCGTAATGTGTTTGCTGACGCAAGTTTAACATGAAAGTGAGAATATCGGATGGCTGTGAGGGGAGATTGAGGCCATCTTGTTGATGGTAATGCACACTGCATCAGCTTAATTTTCACTGTGATGACTGGCCAGTGTATTGTAAATAGGCCCCTAAGATGTCAAAATAGCCTAGACTGGTCAAGTGAAGACTTCATTTTGTCCTGGAAAAGTCACAGGATGTCATTTGAAGATTTCTGTGAGTATTGTATAAAAAGAGTATCAGTGTCCATGATTTCTGATTGTGATTTGTTAGCTAGGACTGTTGACAAACTGTGGCAGCCGGATGACCACACTCCCATTCAAAATTAGCCTGGCGATGTCCATGCTGTTCACCCCCCCCCCCCCCCCCACCGACTTCCCCACCCTCCCTGCATTGTACACGTCGATGCTGTTAGACATGCATCATCTGAAGATTCCTAGCCGGAAATCATGGAATGGGGGTCAACAACTCTGCCCCCCTCAATTACCATCCATCATCAAAGATATCTTGCTCACCAAATTGGCTACATTTTTTTTCTCTTTTATCCCTCAAGAGAAATTATCACCCGCCTCCGATTCTGCCCCATCAATTAGGCAGGTGTATTCAGCTCCTGCCACAGGCAGTCCTGCCAGACAAATGAATTGGCTTGCAAGGCCAAATTTGCTGATTAAAATGCAACCAGTCTCTTATAGGGATGAGATTGTCAATTAAAAAAAAAAAGAAGTCTGAAAACAATTTGCAGTAATTTCTTGCGCAGTGGCTTGTTTTCCCATTTTTAAGACAGTTGAGAAGTAGACAACCACACATGGAGATACGAGCAAAATATTACAAAGGAACACTGATGCTATAATTGCATATTTCCACAAACTTCAATTTTCGCAGTCTCACAGTATCAAATTCTGGTCAACTAACACACAGGAAACAACAAGGTTATGTACACAATTATTTATTGAACAAACGAAACAAGTGGCTATTTACAGTAATTATACATCCTGTGTTCTACTTCCGGTAAATTCATCAGGTACAATACCACAGAGTGCCTCTAGAAGCACAGAGAAGCCAGCATTCTACAAACCAGTTTTAAAAACAAAAGATTCTAAAATGGAAACTGAATGGATAGATAGAAGTATTAACAGTTAACTCAGCGTGAACAAAACTACATTGATTGTGGTATCCTTTACAGTCCAAAAAAAAGTTTATACCTCTGGTTCTTTTCAGAACCATTCTCTTAGTTGAGAAATCATTCGCACATGGTGTTTCCCCAAACCTTCCATTATTCAGTCCAAAAAAGCAGGTTCATACTTCAAGCGAATGGGAAGTCAATTTGACGTCATGGAAACTTCGCTGCGGAATTTGCCAGAGTTGAAAACTTGATGTCATATCACAACTTCGTGGTCGCATTTGCTTTCATGTTGAGGGAGAACTGGCCCTGACGTCGATTTGAAGGTTTCAATGATAAACATGGGAATTTGAATGGTTTCTTATTTTGTTCTGTTACCTTTTACTGTATATTGGTTTGTTTTTGCCAAGTTTGCAATACATAAATGGACTTGGTTGAAGTCTAGTCATGTTTGTGTGCAGAGGTTTGGAGCAAAACCCCCAAACTAACAAAACAAAACAAATAAACCACAGTCTAGGTCCTGACTCAAATCATTAAGTTTCCAAATTCATCTGTTAAGGATCATCACATACATTTTTTTCTGGGAAATGGAATAACATTTTTTACACCACTAAAATGCAGCAATGTCAAGCACAATTCATATTTTAAGTTACAACAAATATATCTGTTATTTAAGCAATAGTCTTGGGCAGCAAGGTTTTCATTTACAGTTATAAACTCATATAATCCTTATATCTACAACTTAAAACTTATCCTTTATCAGTAGAGTAACAACATAAATGTATAAGTGATTAAGGAAAACGAAAACTTTCATTTCAACCAGGAATCTGGTTTTCCAAGTAAAGGTTACAATATTTGTTTATTTCGACAATGAGTGTGAATAACATTGGCTTATTTTTATATTTTAATAGCACAACATCACTCCAAATTTAAACTTGCTGACTTTTGTGACACAAATTTAGCACGGCAGCATTGTTTAATTTTTTCTTTTAATGAAATGACAACATTTCCATTCATCTAGAAATAATGTTTAAAAAAAAATTACAAAAAAAGTTGAAGTTTTTAGTGTGATCCGCTGAGGTAATATTGAGGTATAATACATTTGAATCTTGTCTTATTCTTTTGACTAACCATCTTCTTTCACTTCAAATTTCTTAAACTATTCAGCAGTAAGTAATAAAAGGGAATATTTTAATGAACTTTTCAACCTTAACCCAACTTTATAAGCAGCGCCATTCTCTTTAACCCCTTAAGGACGGGTGTAATGGGGACATTCCTCCACACATAGAGCAAGTGGCCTGCATGACTGTACAGCCTTTGTGTGGTAGCGGGACTGCACAAAAGCAGCAGCTGTGGAACTACCCACTAGCCGTGTGCCACGGCATACCACAGCTGGCAACTGCAGTCCAATGAGGATTAGCGGCCGCGGCCATGACCGCTTCCCGTGCGCATGGGGTTAACAGCTAACACAGGAGGGCATGTGAGCATGATCCGGCGATGTATATTTGCAGGGGTGGGCAACGGGTTAAATCGTTAAGCTTTCACCGAGTCTCCGGCAGTGGATGTGAATATACATCAGTGGTTCCCACTGGTTTTGTACACACCGTGGTTTGAAACTGAACCGAGTGTTGGAAACTATGAAGCTATGGTGAGAAGTATCATACAAATATTGTACAAATGACTCTCAAGAGTCGGTATTTGTGCGGGTACTTAACTTAATTTAAAATTTTGCCGATATATCAAAAATGGTGTTTTTGGGCCAACAAAAATTCCCAGCGGCAAGTGGTTCAGCCCAATGTGAAGTAATACATGTACATGTTAGGGATACTGTCAATTTTTTTTAAAAATCTGAAAATATGATGAAAGGTCTGAATGAATTTCTTTCTTTACTGATAATATCTTACTCTCAGATTCAAAAGTCTGATGCCACACAAATGTTTGAACAATTTCATGCCTGGTAAGATTAGCAGGACTGTGTGTAATTGAATCTGTCCAAATACTTGCAAGGGATCGGGGGTGTATTTTGGTAGTGTAGTAGTCAAGTCCATCACAAGTCTCGTCAAACATAAACGGCAAATCCTGTCACAAGTCCAGTCACAAGTCACAGGGAATGAGCAATAACAAATGAGTGTCTTGGTCATTGTTCATTTCACAAGCTTGTGGCCTTAGCTGTGACTGGATGACTTGAGATAGACTTGTGACTGACTTGACTTCAAATACTGGATTTTGATGGTTTTAAAAAGTATACAGTATAAATATATCTCTATGGTCTTGGATGGCACCCGAAAAATGATCTGAGAACAGTAACGTCCAATGGTACTGAACCGCAATTTCATAATTCTAACATATGTACTTGGTACTAACAGCCCACCAGCCACTTTACACAATTCTAGATCTCTTGAGATGGAGTTCACTTTGGGGCCCAAGATTTGTAACAAATTCCTAGTAAAATCATACTTGTGACTTTTCACTTGGTATGATCCAAAAAGTACACAGTACTATGAGCACCACTATGAGCAATAAGAGGTATCTAATTTTTATCCAATATATGGGCAGCTGGGGTATTTAATGCCCGTTTCATCCATTGTGCGAGCTTGAACAACTATTTTCTTTTTTCTGTTTGGCTTTCTTGGATAATAACACCTTGTTTATGTTCAGAGAGCCCTAAACTCTGGTACACTTCTCAAACAGTTGTTTAAACTGAATTCTGTACAGACGCGTTTTTATCTTGAAAAAACGGCCCACCATCGTCAGATCATGGAGATTTGTCATGTAAGCATGCACACACAATGTGTACATGTACATATATGAGGTAAACGGATCATATTAACAATGAATATGAGGTACTTAATGAGAAAATGCACTATGTATGACACAAACAACAAATACATGTTCAATTGAATTTAAACCACAATAAATTACAATGTCATTATTCAATCCTACAGCGCTTGCAGTAATCAGTCGATCTGCAAAATGAACTTGACCGAAAACAGTTTGCAGTACAAATTTGACGTAAATATGTAATATAATTGTAAATTGTCGTATTAGATTCTTAGATTAAAGATATAAGACTTCAAATGAAAGAAAATAACAAGTGAACAATATATCAAAGCAAAGTCTGGATGTGTGCAAATGGACTCTATGCAAATTAGTATCTGTTAAGCCCCACCCCAAGATAATTTGACCAATCACAGCCATGATGGGTGTTACCAACGGTGTGGGGTGGGTGGGTGGGGCTCATAGCCAAATCTGAAACTATTCACAGCCAAATCTTGTCATTGTTCATTCCTCGTTACAGCCATATGGTTGCGAGGGCGAAGCATGGCTGGTTGTCAAGCAAAGCTAATCTGATTATGTACTTACGCGCTGTAACAGAGCAGTGAAATTCATGCACCCCCCAAAACATGGCATTTTGAACGTTGTGTTTCTCAGAAAATATGCTCAGTATGATTGAAAATGTTAAATTATAACGGAAGAAGAAATTCTAAACTTCGTGTCAGTGAAATACTGGTTACTGGTATTCCAGACCTGCAAGTCTGGAAGAAATCGTTAAAAAACTTCCCCATATCTAAGTTTTTGTCTCAATTTCTTGGAATCTACTCAAGTTGTTATTTAATGAGTAGTTGAACACTTATATCATCTAAGTATATTCCGAATTTCAACTTGATCTGTTGTTGCTTACGCTTGTGTTACAGCTCGAACTATCTCTAAGGAAAATCTCGACGAGCCTGGCAGCACAATAACAACGGGTTACAAGCATATTCATTAGCGTCACCTGGCGTGACTTTGCGTGGGTCTCGGTATCGACCAATGGAAGCCGGCAAAAGGGGTGGTATTTATTAATTAATAACTCGTGAAGGAAGTTTTTATGCTCATTTTTACTACACACCATAATGGATAGGAACCTTATTAATATTTGTGAGGCTTGAAAAAATTGACAGACATTGCCAACGCCAGTGTTACAACTTTCAAAAATGCACTTAGCCAGGCCTATTTTCCAATGTCAACAAAAGTAATGAACATATCACAATGATTTTTAGCACATAATTGGATCATTTTAAGGGAAATAAACCCTGAAAGTTGCATGAAGATACGGTCTTCCAAACGGGAGAAATTAATTTTTAAAGATTTCGCCCGCCTGTGTGAACATGTCTGTGTACATGTAGTTTCATTCAAAATAAAGTGTTACGTAACCTTTAGAAATCGCCCTTTGCAACCATATGGCTGGTTACTTGTGCCTTACTAGCGATTTGACCTGTGATAGACATGGCTACAAGTGTGAATATCTGTAGCACTGAGGCAATCTGAAACTCTGCATATATACATGTATGCTGCTTCATCTGAAAAAAATTTCCTTTAAAAGAATTGACTGTTATGCAGCAAAAATCCCATCAATGGCACTGGTCACCTGTTGACGTCTTCTCTAATGGAAATCTGGTGCGACTGCGTCCGAGAAACTCCCTTGTCTGCACTTTTATCTTCAAAGTTGTTATTTGAGTAAAACCCGGCAGAAAAAATGTTAAAGTAGGAACAATTGTAGACATAATAAGCATAATCGTCTGTTAATACTTTCCACTTTCATAGAGATGGTAAGCAGAAAATCATCCCTTTTGCAAATTTGTATGCCGAGCAAAAATCAGCAGATACCCGTCTGAACAGAAAACCTGTGTTCGCTGTAACAAGTAAGCATTGTTTCCCAGGCTAAGCAGGATTCTCCGCCTCATATCTCTGAGGAATTTGTACATGTACATGGTTATTAACTTTACATAAACTTATGAAGGTGGCATACAGAAGTTATTACCTTACAGAAATTCTCAATAATTATTAACACTATGGTACATTTTCCTACAGTGGTGCTTACATTTGTAAAAGTTAAGAGAGAAATAGAGGATCTTCCTCTTTCACCATTTTATAGGATTCAGTCGTATTTTTCAAGTCATGATCTTTGCTGCGTTGTTTGCATTCGGGTCTTTCTATCAGTTTGGGGTCCACTGGTTTTTTCCTGTCCCTGTTACATCTGACATCTAAGATTTTATAATTCTGATGCACTCCTTCATGCAGTCGTCCTCCAAGAGTGATTATGAACAGCAAACTACCTACCCAACAAATACAAAATTGTTTGAAGGTGTTCTTAAAGATGCTTAAACGGTGAATTACAAAGTACCAAGGTAACAGGGATGAAAAAAGTTCACACTTTGGACCCTTAAGTTACAGAACGACCCATCTACATCTTGACCATCTACATCTCCAATTTCACAGCACAGGAAAAAATTATCCAGATCATATACTTAATATCTTTTTCAAATTAAAAAAAAGAAGGAAAACACATCACCACCAACTTGTCTACAATGGAAGAAATGGTGAACATTTCATTCATGACAAAGTCCCTTTTCTCAACCTTCTTTAAATGTTGCAGTTGATGCTCATATTCTGATGTCCATTCACTTAAAAACAACAAAATCCCTCTCGACATCAAATTCCAATCGGTGAAGACTTTGTTGGTCTTTGCCCGGTAGAAGGAGTGAAAAGTCAAAGCAAGAAGCAGCCACCGAATCACTTGACTTTGGAGATTCTTGTAACATACAAAATCCATAATCCGTTTCCTGATTGTAATTGTTGCTCCACACACACGCACACAAGTGTGTAAACATTTTCAATCATGGACCAATTTCTTCCTATCGTTTTTACTTTACCTTCTTGGGGAAAAAAACCCCAATTGGATTCGTACATGATTTTCAAGTGTGGATCTTCACCCATTCGTGGACCTTATTGTCCTCTATTGTTCAAGGTCCTCCACTGGATGCGTTTACATACAGCTGTACTTCAAGTGCTTCCACCGCAGAAATTTCCTCCAAAGTTTCATGCCAAACTGATGCTCCATAAGAGTCCAACTCAAATTGCTGCGAGAGCAAATCCAAACTCTCTTTTATCCCTTCACTTTCTTTTTCTGTTCATATTTTACAAAGTTTGACCGGTGCAAAAGCCGTCAGCTCTAAGTCAGCATTTCAAGTTACTTGAATCTCATCCGACGAAAAAAAAAAAAAAAAAAAAAAAAATATAACATTTCATCTTTTACAGCTGCATTTCATTTTTCATCTGGTCTGGCCGAAGCTTTCTATAACTTGACATCCTCGGCAACGCGTAGGTTGTCAAGGGTCTTCTTGATGCGGAGTGCCGTCAGGCGGGCGGCTGCGCTGTGGTACCAGCATTCCTTCATGACTTTGGCCAGGACACGCAGTGGCTGGGGGTGAATAAGAAGGGAAAAACATACCGCTGATAACTTATCAATTTTAAGCGAAATATCAATGATTTCCTTCTCTCTCTCTCTAACTTGCTTCTCTATTTCTTATTTGCAGTCATCACCTAGAGTGGCCCTTCGGCATGTGGTTGGCAGTTTCCATCACAAAAATGACTCTTGAGTTTCAAATAACTACAGTTCATGGTGAATAAATGAAGGCCTAAGGTGAGAAAATACCAAAGTTACTAAAGGGATGTTGTCAATCCCAGTCTTCCTAACTAATTTCATTACTTTTATCAACCCTTTTCATCATTAGCCCCAACAGGAACACATTATAAAGGAGTCTCGGCATGAGCAAATTAATTTTACACTTAAACCAATTATATTTTTGCGCCACACGTTTTTTTGGCAATTTGAGCCAAAAACAGCAAAATACCCCTTCACAAAATTAATTCTTCCCAAAAATTCCACTTGACTTGTGATAAGTTTTGATGTTTATTATTCTGTCAACACTTAATTATTTTCTGGTCAGCTAGCCTTGCTGTGACAAAAAAACACCATTCAAATAAAACGAAAAAAAAAAAAAAAAAAAAATTCTTTTAAACAGAGAAATGATAGTTTTATAAATCTCATAGCACATGTTGTTTACCCGGTCTCACAATAAGTTTCCAGACTTTCTTTTATTTACTGAAATGGAGGTAAACCCATGAGTTCTTATGCAGTTATAACATATTTTCCTTAATCCTACAAACTTTGACATTTACATGATATACTCCTACAGCCTCCCCCCCCCCCCAAAAAATCCAAATCTAATTTTTAAATAACCTAATAATGACTTAAGAAATTACTTGATGTTATTAATTCAAACAGTCAATTTTCAGGGTCACCCTAGCATCCCTTCTTGCATGCCGACAGTGAATTCATTAGAGTTGTTAGAATGCATGAGACTGCTGAGCTGAGTCACATGTCTAGACAGGGAAATTATGATGTACAGACATCAACCAAATTTGTTTTTAAATGTGCCAAAACATTCCAATATGTACTTTGTGAGTGGGTGTTTCTGATCACAAAGAAGAATTTCTAGAACATTTTTTTTTGAGACATACACGTAAAATTTGTAGCTGATAAGACCAGCAGAAAAAAACCTAGAAGCAATAAAAAAAGAAAAAAAGAAAAGAAACGGGGGAGGGAAAAAGAATATGGACACTTATGCAGACGGTTGCTATGGTTACCTCTTCACATTACATTAAAAGGAACGTGTCTAAGAGAATTTCATGGAAAAACAATGTTTGCAAGGATGTACTATAAAACGAATGCACACGGGGGAATGACGTTTTTCACATGTAGCCCATCAACACTTTCTGCTAGTGTATTTGAGGTTTTAGATACTTGGGAGTTTGAGAATAGCTGAGACGACTTCCTGTATCCTTTTCCTTCCCGGAAGAAATCCTAGACCATTGTGGTTTTTTTTTTTTTGCTTCCCCCCCCCCCCCCCCCCCGACCTGAGGATCCTACTTTCAAGTACAGTTTTCGCCAGTCTTCTACCCCCGGGGCAAACACTCCTAGCCTCACTTCCATATCCAAAAATCCCTTACTTCCTGAAATAAATTCCATTCCACTTCATTATAGATTTGATTTTTTTTCTTTTTTGCATCTTCACAAAATAAGATTCAATTCATTCCACATGGATTTAGTAAACAGTTGAAAAACAGGTGTCTAAATTTGCCTCGACTTAAAAAAAATCTAAGTTGCTGAAAATTTCCCTTTTAAAAAATCCACAAAAAAATTATTTGGCAGAGCACCAGACTAAAACACATGATCTATCTACAATACATGTACGTACTTGTCTATTAAAGGCATCCCTAAAAACCGCCCATTGCAATAAATTTGTATGAAACTTTGACCCCTACAAGAATAAAGAAAAGTAGTGGTTAAAACTCCTCGTTGAGGCTTTTAACTCAAACATTCCACAAATGTTGGAATCTAACCAAAATGAAAGATTGTTTCCATGTTTTAAAGGGCATTTCCAGTCACATGATAGGGTTTCACTCAATCTGGGGTCCAAATTGAAGAAATGGCATGTTTGATGGTTTCGCGTACATATTCATGACAAACAGACAGGTCCAAAAATAGCCTATAACGCATACTTGTTCCGTAGTCTTGGGGACTACACACAAGTTGTCCCATGGTACTATGGAGACCGAAGATGCTGTGGGGACAGCAGAAAGTTCCCATAACTCAGTCCTGAGTTGCCTACAAATAAAAAACTTCCCCATAACACGGTGACAGCCCGCCCACAGAAACCCTCTGGCTACAACTTTGATTCTGATTGTTTCCAACATTTCAATGACCTACAAAAATTGTTTCCAACATTTCAATGACCTACAAAAATTGTTTCCAACATTTCAATGACCTACCTCTACATTGTTCCACCTGTTGGGGATAGTGGGTCGCTGCCTGTCACCGACGACCACCTTACGCATGTCTTCAATAGACGGGTCACATGGTACCATGTCATAATATGGTAATCTGTACTCCTCATAGATTCCTGCAAAGGGGAAACAATCGGAGAAAGATTTTGTAATGATCATCTACAACGCTGATACTCTGGACAATGTCTGATTTCAAAGAGGTTTCTGTTTTTGATGAGCTGATCAAATTAGCTTCACAAAGGGTTTACATGGTTAAGGGTTAAAACAAAGAAGATAATTCAGAGCTTTTCAGTACATTGTGAATCACCCAGACTCTTTGAAGTCTGACAATTTCATTTACACAAAAATCAAGAAACTGTATGTGTGCTACAGTGGAATGCTGCTTTAATTGATCATGATCCATCTGTTCCAATAGTTATCAGTTCAATTCTCAGTTGTATATTGGTTATCGATTAATTTTATTTACTTATTTACTGTGCTGTGATTTAGTTTACCAATACGAGCGTCTTTAAATGCTGATATATTTTTGATTATTAATGAAAACCACTATATGAAGCATTTGTCTATACCCAATGGCTCCAATATTTCATGTTTAATTACACATGGCATTTTAGAATCGAAACTACTATTACAAACAGCCGCTTAACTGGGGTAAAAAAAAACAAAAAAAACCCACATTGTTGGACCCCGTAACGTCATTTTGAAGGATTTGGCGCTATATAAGAATATTATTATTATTATTATTCATGTTGTGCTCATTATGGTGTAGTTCTAATGTAATATGAACATAGCAGCAACTGCTTTATGCACACTACATGTTTCGCCCCAAAACACTCTAAAGAACAGGTTTGGAATTTTCTGGTTTTTTTTTTTTTTTTAGAGTATTTTGAAAACCAACTCGATGAACAGAACATGGGGCTTTTCTGCTTTGTTTTTTTATGAGTTTAAGATTTTTAAAAATTGTTTTCATGTGCAGTCTGATAATTGATTAACTAACATCAAAGTTACAAAAAGAATTAGCCAATTATTCCTCTTATGTCTGACAACTGACACACTGGTGATGAGTGATCATAAAAAAACACCAACCAAAAAACTCAACAAGTCATACTAAAGGGGCTGTTATGCAAAACACGCCACTTATAGATGCAAAATCAGACTGTCTGGAGATAACTGACCTTTTTGATACAAGATAAGATCAGGTTGCTTCTTGCACAAAACTGGCCACAATAAGGCATGCATGCATTTGCATTGCATAAACCATTTAACGTTTCGTGCAAAACAACTCACTCTTGTAAATTTATGTTGACTTTGAACATATTTTAACTTCTAATCATGTATCCAGGTCTTTTCCTTTGACATGTTTGAAATAAGAGTCAAATACTAAGAAGGCATTACATGTATGTATATGGATAGTAAGCTCACAAATTTTGTTGAAAAATAGTACTTTTTTGAAAGACGGTGTCAAATAACAAAACATACATTTTGTAGATAAAAAGGTAAATACTGTTTGAATAGTTTTATTAATGTTACAGGGGCAACAAAATTTGTAATTAGACAAAACAAGGCTCACAAAGATAAACCTTTGACTTGGTTTTAAAAAATGGGATTCCTAATGGAGCATTTGATTTTATTAATAAGGATCAGAAGTGTTAAGAATCACTAGACTGTTAATTTTGTTGGACCATTCAAAGCACCACAAGTTTATCAGTGGACATGGTCGTTGCAGAAGGCTGTTTTTTGTGCAAAACTATGAGAGAAAGTTAAGTTGCCCATTTCTATGGTGGTTCTCCACCTTTACATGCACTTGGATGCTCCAAACATCCAAGCTCTCTTTGATGATATTTCAGCAGAGTTCCCACAGAAATCTTGAAATGAAATTCCATGATTTTATGCAGAACAAAATTAGGGCTTTCTGTGACAAAATCCTACGCTGTTTTGGCATCTTAGGAGACTTTTGCTCTATAGAGGTAAGCGACACCACTCCCTTTCAGCCTTCCAGATTGGCAGAAAACCACCAAGCAGCACAAAAGCATAACAATGGTGCATTTAACTCGCAACAAGCATCTACATGTACGTGTATAAAGAGGAAGTATAGTAATGGAATGCGAACTGGAAGACTGCCATAGCCAAATATTACGCATCATCACGTATGGGTTGTGCAGGATTCAAAAGTTTTTTCCATGACTTTTTTTTCTTGGAATATCACCTTTCCACAACTCTTTGTAAAAATTCCATGATGCCTTAAAATCCCAGGATTTTCCAGGATTGTTCCATGACTGCGGGTACCCTGTTTCACACCTTTGGTGACAGGTGCAAAGCTTAAGAAAACACACACATTCAGCTTGAGTTTAAGATTCATGGGGTGGCCACGCTGGCATGGAAGTGCCCAAGTTATGGGCAACACAAAAATCACTGGAGAGTAGAGCCATGCTCACATGAACACCACTATAATGAGCATTTGTCTACAGAGTGAGTAAAACAAAACTGGGAACCCAAACTGGTGCCCCTATATTTTAAAACCCTAACTCCCAAGGGGGTGTGCAAAATCGTATTAAACTTGGAGGATTCAGGACTGTTAGGGTAGAAGTTCTACATGTAGCGCTTTCCAAATCTAGGATGTGAAAGCCTAATTAACAATATTTCTTTTAGTGAAAGAATAATGCAAATGGCTCAGGCACTTTTCCAGTTATGGAATCTTGAACACCTTGTCCATGGATCACAATAAAGGTAGGTGGTATTTCAGCAAAACGAAAACTATTCACATACCAAAAAACACATCAGAACACTCTCATAACCATGATAACTGGCACCTACATGTATCACAACATTTATTTCAAAACTTACTGCTTCCAATGTTAAAGTATCATGCTTTACAATGTCAAGAGTTTAAAGACTTGCCCTGCCTTCTACTTGGCTACCCCGGAGACTTATGGGATTGTTCTGATATCATTTTCAGGATACGACATGGTTTCATTCTTACTGAAATATCACGTACCTTAAATGTGATCCGTGGACAAGTTAATAAAAAAACAGTCTGTGTTCAAACTTCCATAACTGGATAAGTACATGTACTTGAGTGATCAGAATGATTCTTTCACTAAAAGAAATCTTATGAAATTAGGCTTTCATATCCTAGATTAGGAAAACGCTACATGCAGAAATTCTTTAAAATATAGGGGGCACCATTTGGGTTTCCTTTTTTGACTCACCCTGTATAATGAACATCCCCTCTGTGTCTCCCAATTTTCATGTACCATTACACAATGCAATGGCGATTGGAAACTGCTGTAACGAGCCACTATTACACTGAACAATCTGTTGTGTTAGTTACAGTGAAGTGCTTCCATAGCGTTATAGTGCCTTACCTCCAATGGAACATCTGCGCGCGATCTCCCAGAACACCAATCCCAGCGAGTAGACATCGGCTCTCTTGAAGGCTTCAAAGTGGTTGACGTTGATGGTGTCATCGAGAACCTCTGGGGGCAGGTAACGCTTGGTACCGATGCGATTGTTGGGGGCGATGTCCACCGTGTCACGCTCCGAGTCATGGCGGACGGCCAGGCCCAGGTCCGCGATGGCGCACTGACCGTTGCGCTTGACCAGGATGTTTTTGCTCTTGAGGTCCCGGTGGGCTATCGCAGGCTTGCCTGTGGAGGAAAAATAACAACTTTGCTTACAGAAGCGACTGTAAATGTAAAGCAGATTTTGACATTGTGATGAAATTCGCTTGAGTTGAAATGTGTTTGGATTTTTGGGAATACGAAGCACAAAACTCAAGAAAGTCGCATTCATGTTTCGTTTTCCACCGAGTATGAACAAGCCTTAAATGAAGGATTTTCACAAACTATAGAGTACCGCAGTGTGACGTCAGCTGTCATTGTTCTGGTTCACTCTGGTTTACGCGCTGATGTCTTCACACACTTGAGCCATGCGCATAGAACAGAATACGCGGAGCACTTCGGTACTCTATAGCAGACAGTTTTTAAGAAACAGTGTAGATATTTTTACAGGGTAGAGAGTTATACTGCCAAGTGAGTACGTTAAATACTGCCAGTTAAGGGCAATTCCTGCATTATGGAAGCAAATGTAATGTTTCGTGACAGAGCCAATTAACCATTATTTTTAATTAATGATTCAGAGAAATGATCCAAAATCGTAGTCTGTTCTTTCACCATCACTGGATGGTGGATGTTTTAGATTTGAAAAATACCATTTTCTAGTTTCAAAGGCTGAGCTCATAGCCCTAACAGTCCTGAATCCTCCAATTTCAATACGTTTTTGCATACCCCCTAGGGAGTTAGGGTTAATGCACTGTCACGGACATTACATTTTCTTCCATAATGCATGGAATTGCCCTTATGTTGCTACCGGTACTTAAAAAAAAAAAGACCAAGCACAAATGTGAAAACTACACACCTTCCCCCAGAAAGTACAAATCTTCACATTAACATCAGAGGATCAACTCACACCAATACGTTTCCAATGAACATGATGAACCAGAAAATGTAACCTGAAAAGCTATTTTATTTTTGTTGTTGATGAAAAATAGGTTATCAGTGTGAGAGAGTCTGATGGCCCTGCTGTGAATTTGAGCAGTAACATGTAAACAAGGGAATAGAATTTCAACGAGCTACTTGGCACTTATCCAGAGATTGTATAAAAAAAACTGATTTGGATATCCCTCACAGTGCATAGCAAAAATGGATGTACATGTGAGGCAACTCATTTTTTATTTTTTATTTTATTTAAAGATGCACTTGTGAAAGACCAAACCGTTAAACAGTCACAGACAGTCACAAATTCAATCCTGTTCCCCTGCCATGTCTTTTACATAGACTAGTCACCAACAATCAGATTATATTTCTTGTATGCACTGTGTCAGTCAAATTCCATCAACAGACAAAAGCAGGTAACGGATAGGCACAGCTGGCTTATCAATCTTCTACAGTCACAGCATAGCTATATCACGTTTCATAACAATCACAGCCAGTCAATCCTGCTTTACGCAGGCAGGGAGCACTCAACTGTTAAAAACAGTCACTCGATTTATTTCGACCGCTTGTTGAAATTGCCAGCCAGAGAGGGAGTGTTAAGCCCCGCTAGCTGTGCACATGACAAACAACAGATGCGCACGTCATAGTTAATACTAGCAAGTCGGACTTTTGTCATAACATCAGCAAAGCAAGGATTAGTGGATTGGCCCATTGTGACACTGAAATGCAATGAAGGAATCGAACTACAAAGAAAACAGTAAATGGCATGATAAGTCACTATGAATAATACATCATGTAACTTGACAACTAATCACCCTGGAGACAGTTATAATGCCATCAGTCTGATTTACATGTAAAGCGTTTTTTGTAATGGGGGGGGGGGGGTGTTTCACATGTTTTTTTTAGTTGTTGCACAACACATGAAAACTGCATGAATTCGCCCACACAACATGAATTTGAATCCTAACGCTGCCGTGACTTACAATTGAAATCATGATATATAACACATTACAAAATATATTGACAGGACTACATAATCACAAGACGATAAAAGAACAAACTTGAAAAACAACTTCAAGGTGGTCTTGACTAACCTTGCATGCCAACAATCTCCACATGAAGGTGTGCCAGTCCATTTGCCGTTGAGTACGCAAGTCGGATCATTCCAGCGGTGTCAATAGTCGTCATGTTCAAAAAGTCAAAGAGAGAACCGTTCTCCATGTAGTCAGTGACCAGCAGGAGTTGTGTAACCATACCACTGTCTGTAGGTTGGGAACAAGATACAAATTTAATTACACCTATTAAAACAATGCAGCATAAATTTCCAGCCAATGTATTGGCTTTCCACCTGTAGAGGGCGCTGTTTCAAGCAGATAAAATGGAACGCAGTACACGAGGAGTTCAGTGTTTTATTTTCCAAATGATGAATATCGGTAATTCAAATGATGCATGAAATTTGCTGGAGATACATTTTTTGGGGGGGGGGGGGTGTTGCAACTGATAATACCGATAAAGTCACACAAATTGACCAATATTGCATCACTTACTGATAATGTAACAAAAAAATGACTGATAGTGTGGTAACAATCACTACACTATCAGTTCATTTTTGTTACTTCATCGGTTGAGACCAATAATGTAACAACAATTGACTGATAGTGTAGTACATTTTACGACACTATCAGTCAATTTTTGTTTACATTATCAGTTAATGATACAGTATAGTTCAATTTTTGCTACATTATCGGTTGGTGATACGTTATCCGTTTGTTACTACATTATTAGTTGTAACGGTGAGAGAGGGGGGGGGGGGGAGTGGTAATTGTTTTAAACTGCACCACAAACCTTTGTTATCAGCAGCAATGAATCCCAAAATGTTCTCGTGGCGCAGCATGACCGTTTGGTAAATCTCAGCCTCACGGAACCAGGACCGTTCCTCGCGCGAGGAGAAGATTTTGACGGCCACGTGTTCGCCCCTCCAGCGGCCCTTGTAGACCTCGCCGTAGCGCCCCTTGCCGATGCAGTCTACAAGGGTGATCTGTCTGGCAATGGTACGCTGCACCAGCAAGGGTAACCCTGTGAGAGAATAAAAAAGAAAACTTAATAAATAAGTAAATCTTTAATTTAGTTTAGTTCGTTTCCAATAATAACACCACTCAAAATCTGAAGAATTATGTTAAAACCTGCTGTCGAAATTTCAGCTCAGAGGATATTACCCTTTTCAAGAAAACAGTGAAAACCCATGCACAACCTTTTGATCACGACACACGATTTTGTCTTTATAACTCAATTTACCGATTGTTGGAAATCGCCTAAAATGACAGCAAGCCAGGGGGAACAATTTCACGGGTGTTTAGTGCCAGTATGATCTTGAATCCAAGTAAGCTTTTGATAATAATTTGGGATAAATGCAATTGATCCTATATGCCTTGAACTTTAACTTCCTAGGCAACTATATTCGGCTAGGAATCTTCTTGAATCCTCCAAAATCCTCCGATACAAAATGTATAGCTCATTGGATATTTTACATCTTGAGAATACAGACAAAATGTATGTACAATTGTTGGGGTCTCGTAACTGGATTCCGTAGCTCATGCACCTAATTCTAACACCACCAATGATTGTTTCTTCTGAATGATACCATTTCTCAGGGTAGTTGGTACCAGTCCTATCTCCATTTTGAGTTAGGACTTTCTCGTAAAATCGGAAGGCACGTTCCAGGTAATTGCAAATGTCCTCACGTACCTTTGAAGATTCATACAGATAAGGAAAAGGCCTTCTTTTTTTTTTACCTGAACCTGAGCTGGAGGTGGCGGTATTGTGGAGATCTGTTAGATTCCACCCCATAGGAATGACCTGACTGCCTGTGCCGGGTATCAGAGGCACCTGCATGCGGATGGGCCGGGATGCCGACTTCTGCAGCAGGTACCAACGGACCGCCATCAGGAAGAATGCTGCTAGGCAGATGATGGTGACGGGGATGGCGATAGCCAGCGACAGGTTGACCATGGAGATGGGCTCGTCAGGCTTGGCCTTATAATCTGAATTTAAAAAAAGGTCAAAGAGTTTCAACAGGCCCCTTCACACTATCCAAAATCTCTACGGATCAGATTTCAGGAACGATTTCAGGAACACCTTTCATGCTAGCGAGAATCCAACACGGCTTCAACATGGATCCAGTGCTCTACAACTCTGACTCTACCCAGATAGAACATCCAAAATATATGGCCGAACTGTGTATAACCTGAGCAGGTACGCCCTGTTGATCGTGTTCGATCGGACCCCTTTCTGCTCACCTTGGACCCTAGTTGCTTTAAAGGGAAAATACAACATCTGCAAACATCGAAAAATAAAACTACCAAGTTGTTACGAAATACCTTACTAGGATGTTGGTAAATGACATGCTAAAGCATCCTGTAAAATTATGGCACCTGGTGTGAAGCCATTTTCAAGAAAATGGTACATTTGTATACATTTCCAACGCTGGTCGGCCGACCACCGTTGGAAAAACCTAACTATTTTTCAATTACTGCTCCAAATTTACCATGTTTTTTAGTCTAAATTTTGTTTTGCTAGCTATTGGTTCCATGTTCATGAACGGGTGCAGGCCAGCTAGACTGGTTCCCTTACCTTACAATTTTCCGGTATTTTTGATCCATTTCATCTTTAGTGGAGTCAGGGAACCAGACTACTTGAATATTTTTGTTTTCTTGGTTTTTCCAGCATTTTCGAACACAAAACGTCAAACATGTCAGTGCAACAATATTTGATTTATTATACTAACCCCCCAAATAGTTCATTTCTGAAAATTACAGCAAAAGCCAATGATGTACAGTCCCTTTAAACATGGGTAGGCGAGTCAACAGTGTGAAAAGGGCAAATGAAGTTATGTCCAACTTTTATCTTGCAAAAAAATGTTTCCAGAGTACTTCAGTTTTGCGAGTACTTGCCAAAGTTGTCAATAGCTAATCCAAGAATGAGATTATTTTGGTTACATTTTTTCATTGTTGAACTATTATCAGGCCATTTTAAGGGAATTAAGACAGTTTGGCTCTTTTTTTTTAATCTTCAAATGGACATACTAATTTTGAAGTTCTAACCAAACCTACCATGGCACTGACGAAGACAGGAATCCTTGGTGTAGAATTTGTTATCGTTGCCTCCGCAGCCGCTGTATACAAACTGTTGACAATCGTTCAGGGTGGTGTTGTAATACCACAGAAATGCTTCCATGTCACAATCCCCAAAGGCGGGCTTCAAGTTACAAACTTCTGATAAAAAAAAAAAAAAAGTCGAGGAATGTTTACATTTTGGGTTCTACAATTCTGAATCTCTTTCGAATCATGCGTAAAGGAGGTTGCAGATAAGGGGCAGATGGGCTTAAGTTACCCTTAATCACAGTTCAGTAATTACATCGATGCCAGAATATCAATATCAGAGATACATGTACTATTAAAATATGAACAATTCACAATACAGCTTTAACCCTTACCCTACTAGACCCTCCAACGCATGCCAATGTGTGCCTCAAGAAAATCTCCTATGTTTTTTGCATGGCCCTCCAATATCTGCCATGTCATTTCAAGGGTAACTGGACAGGCACTCCAATACATGCCACAGAGAACAATGAGAGTCCTCTGATAACAAAGTGAGTGCCCCCAGCTGGTCAGTATCAGGCACCCTCCAGGGCCTCCAACTCCTGCCAATTGGAGCCTTCACTGCTAAGACTTGTTATCTGCCAAATAACTGCAGCTGGAGGGCATTGGCATAACCAACTGACATGCAGTAAACTACCCTCAGAGAGTAAGGGTTAATATCAAAAATGCAAATTTTCAACTTCATAGGAAACATCCTGAATATTATAACACTATAGCTGATCTTGCATGCATTCTGCATTGTTTCCTTACACTACAATTTAGTATTCGATAATTCGTGCTTGGATTTGATCAAACATTGAAATATTCGAACATTGACATCGATGTAAAAACTTTTTATGAATATCATGTCTCAATATATATTTTTTTTCGAGAAAGGTGACTGGCTGATATTTTACAAACTATAAAGATGAAAAATCATGAAATTAGGGCTAATATTCCACTCAGAAGCACGGGAATAATGCGTGTAAATTTGGCATTTGGCCAAACAAAATCTCTCAACTCATATACGAATAAAATGACATTACAGATGTTTTTTGGCATTTCTCGAGACGGCTCAATTTTTTTTCCCAATATTCTATTTGCTAAATTCTATTTGGATCTTCAGTGGATGAATGAATATTTGGATATTCAGTATATTAGGCACAACCAATCACAAACAAACTTTATCTTCACTCTCTCTCAGGTTTCATAAAAACAAAGAAAATTTGGGGGGGGAATGCACCCCCCCCCCTCCCCCCACTATTCTCACCTGTTGGCTGGGTAGTCGGCAGTGGCTCAAGATGCATATCCTTGACCAGCTCCCGATTACAATAGTCCTGGTCCACACAACACTTGGACATGTAGTAGGGGTTAGACTCTGGGTTCTGGCATGGGAATGGCCGCTCCTCTGGCCCCTTGGGGTCCTCCTCGCACATCAGTAGGGATACCTCTCTCTAACAAGTCCAAATATTCACAGAAAAAAATTCACCCTTAACTCTAGAGATGTAAGACCTCTTGCACAATGCGCCCTTAGTGAGGGCATTTTTTGCTATTACATTCAGTGACAATGAAAGTACTAATTGTCTACTCGTGCGCATCACAAAGGAGCAAAGATCTGTCCTCAGATGTGACATCACAAGCAAGGGGTCTATTTGCTTTGAACCGTCCTGAATCCTCCAAAATCTCCCGCAATGCAAAAAATTCATGGCACAATCCTTGTGTTTAACACTGTAAAAGCAAAAGTGGCTGGGATGGGCGCAACCATCTGCAATCCCGAAAAATCCTCCAAAATCTGTAGGTGGATTTTGAAGGATATGGGTGGGTGAAGTTTAATAATGGGATGTCTGAAGACTTTTATTTTTTTAACCAATTTACTCATAGAGAAATGCTGAATCTTCTACGTAGTGGATGGAAAACTATCAAATTTGTAAAAGGGAGAATGTTAGAAGATAAAGTGGAATTTATGAGATCAGAATTTCACTTCTCGGTGATGTTTTTAAATCTGTCAAAAGTCGTGTTTTGAATTGCGCCCGAAATCAGCGTCCGGGACACGTTCTCATTCAGCCGATTGCAGCTAAGTAATGTCACGCACTGAACCGATGAAGAACAGCAACCGTGCCTGTGTGCGTCGCGTCAACGCTTGCGCGCACCCATTCACCGAATTACAAACCAAATACTAACAGAAATTTCCCAAAATGCGTCACTTAACGCATGGGAAATGGCCTTGTTTTCTTCTTTTCTGCAAAATGACAGCATGTCGGAAAGAATAATTTCACAACGAGTTAATTGCCATCCACGTCTATAAACCAATTAAGCTTTTTTGTCAGTTACTTTTTGGATAGCTCTGCAAATGATCTACTCTACATTTAAATCAAAACGATGTATGACACTATGACAGAGGATTGACAAACCTGCGAATCATCCCTCATCTTCATGGCAATGCAAAGCGCATTAGGGTTTTGCAGGACGCATGTGTGGTTGGTTTCAAGACATGGTTTGTCATTACATGCACACTTTCTGCCCACTGCGCCGGTAGAGGTGTCCGTGCCTGCAAGAGGAAACAAACAAAACTTGCTATAAAATACCAGATCACTGTTCACATACATATGTACATGCAGTGTGGTCATGTTTAAAAAGCAGTCTGACCCAATTTTTAAAACATTCTCTAGATCTTGCAACTTAATTTTTATGATATGAATGAATATCAAACATTTTTCACAGGACTTGTGTATGTGGGAGGTACCGGTATGTTACATGTAAAAATGTGTGCGTTCTTTCAATACAGGCTGATATTAAGTAAACCACCGATACTAACCTATGGTGTCTTAATATCCACATGGATACATGTACAATGTATACGATGTAAAATATTGAAACATTATCATGTACATGTACATTATGTACACATTCCAAATGGATGATTTTCTTTTAACAGATAAATCCATGCAACATATACATATGGACATGTACACTGCAACAAATAAAAAGGTTCCCATTACATGAGCATCAAGATAAGCACATGTACATCTACAAGTACAATGTACGTAGATGTACCAGTACATGTACATGCACAGTGTATAAGGTACTGTACATGTATAACAGTTGCATGCAATGCATGGCAAAATGAAAATCAGCCTGTGTACTACATGTATGTATTTTCGATACGTACACATGGAGTATAGCATGAAAACAGATAAGCCCTTCAATGCATTTTGTACTTTGGAAGTACATTGTACAATTCATGAACGAGTGACTGTTCACAACATTATCCCCATACTACAAGACTACCGATACATGAGCATGATATAGAGGATGAAATAAAGGGGAAATTTATTGGACAGTTTACCAGATTTGTAAAGCATACATGTACTTTCAACCTAGTGCACTCTTTCTGTGTCTCCCCTCCCCTGCATCATACACTATACATACATGGACCATGATTGTACACACACATACACACATGTACATGTCATTACATTTTTCCCAGGCCCAGGCTGCATAATACATCTACATCTGCACTGTTGCACATTGCCTGTTATGAGGTCAACTTACAGTCAATCTGCTGACCAAGATATCGCAAACACAAATAGGTCAGGCCAACATTTATAGGTTATTTTCTTGCAACGCTGAACTTGAATGAGAGGTAGTGAATTTCAATGTGAGGCGGGGGTAAGTTTCTTTACAACAAAACAACTAGCATTATTTATCTTTTGAAATAAGCAATTTTAAATAAAAAGGCCAAAATGACTGTTTTAACTGACATTTCATGAAACCTACTGGCAACCTATAAAAACCTTACATTGTAAACAAGCCTTGTACCAGAAACAATGACAGTAAACTATAGCATATTACACACGTACTGAAATTTTCCTACAAATCACACCAATCAAAACAAAATTCAAAAGTAATATTTTATCTTCATTTAAAATTACTTCAAAATACATTATAAACATAATTCCAAAACCAGCATCCCTTTCTACAGATGATCACAGGGCTAACATGAACAAAACATTCACATTATCTTTATATTATTGCCAGTGGCGATGATGCATTTAAATCATGATTTTATGACTTTGATTTCATTTGGGTGTACATGTAAAGTAATAGATAAGGCCCCAAGAAAAAACAGTTGGGTGTTTACGGTAATGCCCTAAAAATTATCAAGGTAGAGACGTAGAGAGAATTTTTTTTTATTTATACATTTTTTAATGCTTGTCTGTTCGTCTGCTATACTTATTTTTGTTTACTTTAGGATACCTTTAGCAGCATTCTGTTTAATTGACCTGTTTAATTGTTTAACTGACCACCAACACCAAAAAATACTGCAAGACTTGCGCAATCCCCCTGGCATGCGAGCAGTTTGTTATAAAGTTAGTGTCCCTAACCAAAATGGAAGATTTCTATTGTTTTTGCAATAGTGACCTTGGCCTTTGACCTGTCGGCCCCAAAAGCAACAGGCTTCTTAAGACTATCAAGAACAACCCACAAATAAACTGTCAAGTTCCTAAGTTAAGTATTTTTCAAGTTATCGTGTTAACAAGATTTCTAGTGTTTTAGCAATAAATGACCTTGACCTTTTGGCCCCAATAGCAACAGGCTTCTTACGGCTATCAAGAACAACCCACAAACCAAATTTCAAGTTCCTAAGTAAAGTATTTCTGAAGTTATCGCGTTGCCAAGATTTCTATTGTTTTAGCAATAATGACCTTGACCAATTTCAAAATAAACATCATGTTAAATTTTGGCCAAATTTGGCAATACAAAATTCTGAGGTCAGCAATTTGGCCTAAAAAAACCAAGGTACATGTAGGTTGAGTTACTGTAAACACGAAGCTTTTTGTTAGGCCTTAACCCTAAAGGGGCCGGGTTATTTTGACCATCTCTCAGCCGGGGGGGGGGGGGGGGGGGGGGGGGGGGGGGGGGGGGGCAGATTCCCCCCCCCCCTAAGATCTCGGCCATCGAGTGGCGAAAAATTTTGAAACTCAGCACATGCATTGAGCAACTCTTCCTAAACATGCCCCAGAAATTTCATGACTATAGGTCAAAGGGTTTTGGAATTATGGCTAATTAATTATTCATATGTATGAATGGCAATTCTGCCTGGTGTACACGACGTATATGCGAAAATTCAGTTTTCACGGCGCGTAGCGCCGGAAAATTTTTCGCTACGTGCCAACCCGCGGTCCGATTTTTATGTTTTTGGTATCAAAAGATGCGCAAAGCTCGAGGCTAAAAAGTCATAACGGCTTGGGTCGCGAAAAAAATTTTTTTAGAAGCTATCGCGGAAAGCTACCCCGGCCCCTTTAGGGTTTAGAAGCTACCCCGGCCCCTTTAGGGTTAAGACAGCACGCAACCGAGTTAGAAAGGTTATTTTTCAATGCCACTGTATGCAATGTTGACACAGGGAATACCGGTATGTCCCAGATAATAATACCTCGCCCAGGTCTACATGTAGTCTAGCAACATGGGAGGAACATGTCTAGCCAACAAAGATGTACAATGTACAAAATGTACATGTTCTTAACATTGTGCATACTGTACAAAATGTACAAGCGCAGGCATGCATACAGACCAGGACCCAATTTCATAGCGCTGCTTAAAGGGAAAATACAACATTTGCAAACATCAAAAAATAAAAATACCAAATCATTTTGAAATACCTTGCTGGACTGTTAGTGAATGACAGTGTAAAGCATCCTGTAAAATCATGGCACCTGGTGTACTGTCATTTTTAAGAAAAGTGGTATTTTTGTATCAATTTCCAACGCTGGTCGGCCGACCAGCGTTGGAAAAAACTGGGTTTTTTTTCAAATACTGGCCCCAATTGACCATCGCACTTGTTTGCAATCGATTACACACCTATGAACGGGTACAAGCCAGCTAGACTGGTTCCCTGACCTTACAATTCCCCAATGTATGTAAACTGCTCTGTTTCTTCTTATATGGAGTCAGGGAACCAGACTACAGGAAAATGATTTTTTTTTTTGGTTTTTATAGCATTTTCGAACCTAAAACCTCAAAAAAGTCAGTGTAACTATATTTGCTATATATTTCCAACCCCCCAATTCCATCCATTTCTGAAAATTACAGCAACAGCAAATGATGTATATTCCCTTTAACAGTTAGCAGAATAGCATGTTGCTGTTAAGGAACTTTTTAATGGCGTGGCGGGCTAGCGTCTACGCGCGCATGCAGATAACTATTGTTACGTCACTGTTTTTTTTTTAAACTTTTTTTTTCCTCCGGGGTTAAGCGTGCTTTTGTGCTTACTGCTTATGGTCTCTATGAAATAGACGGAGTGTACGTACAACTACAAAATCGGCCATTAAAGGGGCACTAGGTCCTGAAATCCCCCAAAATTTCTTGTTTTGGATTGTTTACTTATCCTATTTCAAACAGGTGGTTGAAAGGAAACCAACCAAATGTCTTACCGTTCCCGAGAAAAGAGCAAAAATCCCTGGTTGTCTACATCGGACACGACGGAGTACGAATACGTTTTTCGTGTCGTTCTCATACAGTGTACGAGATACACGTTGTGTGTCTCGGAAACAGCGGTGACCAATCACCAATGCAAAAAAAGTGGTTTTTTCAACATCCGCAAAAGGCGAACACTTTACGAATGAAACCACAACTAGCATCCAAACAGCTCAAATTTATGGGGTATTTATTTAACCCTGCTATGCCCAGTGCAGTTGGCAGAGAATTATCAGACCTTTCAAAACATTTAAAATTTGCCTGACTAAAAGGGTTTTGAAAGGTGAAATAGTCCTGGAACTTTGAAAAATTTCGAAAGGTTTCGGAAGGTGAAGCAACTCTGTGGGCAAATTCAGTAAGTTGCCTTTCAATACCTTTTGAAAGGAATTGAAAGGTGTGGTAGTGCAGTAACAATAAATTCTGGAGGGTTTTAAAAGGTCCTGCATTTTTTGTCCTCCAATTTGCCAGAACCCAGATTTTGAAGGGTTTTGAATGGTCAAACCACAGGAGAGTGGACCTCGAAATTCGCTCTCACATGCATAATACAGGAATAACACAAAAACGCCCAGTTTTTAAAGGATAGTTGTGTGGATGTTTATATCCTAGTTATAAAATGTTCTTTCCGACTAACATAATCATGTTCAAAGTGCGTTTTGTAGCCCAATTGGGCTGTTCCAGGACCTAGTGTCCCTTTAAGCAATGCTATGAGATTGGGCCCAGCCATGCATGCATGTTCTCTTTGTGTATGTACATGTGCGTTGTATACATGCTACTAGTCCTACATTAGTAGGTGCACAGGGTTTGAATAGTACCCACAGGACTGCTAGACCAAGTGATTAAAGCGTTGGTCTAGTTTTCTTTCTTCTCTAGACTTGACTAAACTTGTAGTCTGCTTGGTGTTAAACTGATCAATAACTAAAATGTCTAATACTCAATTTAAAGTAACATTTGACCTTGTTAAATGTTAACCTTATAAAGAAGGTTTCCAGGTTTCTCATATTTCACCATTTATGACCTAAATGAATAGTACTTGTTAATTACCGTATTTTACCGTACCGTTATAATCTTACCTTT